CCGCTGCCTGCCGCTGCCACCTCCGCATCATTTGTGTCGCTCCCTGCAACGTTCTAGACCAGCCAAGGCCCGTCATCTCACCAACGTTGCCCCCAAGACCTTTTTTAAAGGGGGGGGTGTAAGGAGACGTTGACAGCTGCACGTTGTTTCCAAATCCCGGAAACAAAGCTGTCAGAGCCGGTGCTTCGGTCGGGACATCATACCTCCCGGCCTCCCGGCCTGTTAGCTTGCAATGTGACAATGTCACGTCTGAAAACAGATGCTCCTGGTTCACCGGCTGATTGCGACAACTAGTCCATGTTACGGGGTGTCTTCAGAATCCCGAGGGTTCTACGAAATAATATGCTCGTATTATCAACAGTACCGCCGTTTGACACCATTAGCGCCACTTTAATATTGCCGCCAGATTGCCACCGGCGACCCAAGGGGGCTTGACAGCCACAGGCACCTCTCGCTTCCCTCCCAGCGACACGCTTAGTCGAGTTTTCTGGAACAAGGTATCCCCTCCGCACGTGGTTAGTGCCAGATCGACCAGAGAATGCTAGACCGGCGGTTGGCTCTGTTGGTTGTAAGTCGGACGCCTCTCAAATGGACCGCTGATCGGCCAGATCTGTTCTTGGAGGGATGGAGTTGTGGTAGTGATCATCTTCCCGTCGTCCGGATCGTCTTTTCCTACTGCGGATCAGCAGGTACGGCGCCCCCAGGTTTGAAGAGCTCGGGAGCGTCTGGCGAAGTGGCTCAACTACTAGACAGGGGTACTGTCGGCACGGTGCCGGCTGCTTAGCCAGGGGCTTTTTTTTTTCTTGGGTGATTTGGAAGCGCTGATTTGCGTGTTCGGGGTCGTTGTTGGTTCGCGTCGTGGTGGCGCCTGCAGTGTATGCAGTGGCGGGTACAGAGTATTGATTGCGAGATTACGGCGCGCTTGCTACAGCGAGACAACGTCATTGCATGGCCAATCGTTTGCGTACGCGCAATAAAGATTTTCGACGACGAGATTGTTTATTCGGATCGAAAGCGCCTAGGAACGGTCTAAAGTTGGAATTTTCTTACGCGATGATGGACTGTGCCGTTGGACCGTTGCAGCATTGGTATGCCAAGATCTGGGCGTGAACATGGTGCATAAATTGATGGCATAACTTGTATAAGTCAGTTGTGCTCACATTTTCACAAAAAAGCCCAACACACGAGCTGAGTTGAGTTGGATAGTTACCAGCCAGTGGTAGTTGCGTTACTAATCTAGGTTGTCGGTTGTTGTTCTGCTTGTAGTGGCATTTGGACTTTGTAGTATTTTGTAGCAGTTGCCCAGTTCCTTTTACAACAGGGTGATAGGCTCTTGTACTTGAGGCCCCCGTGTGCTGGTTACCTTGGCTCTGAAGAAGTTCCAAACCTAAAAGACGTTCCCCTTGACTGTTTGCAAAACCGAATTGAATGTCGAATTACTTACCGCATGAAACAGTCATGCATTTATGAAATTCATTCCCGAATCTAACCTGTTTCATGAGAGTAGAAAGGGCGTTTTTGGAATACCGGACACGAGGACCTCGACGAGAAGAACGGTATCCGTAGGAACTCTGAATGCTACAAAGTTCATTATAGCTACATAGTATCTCTCATGCCATTGACATATTGATTCTCCAATATCCGACGTCGAGGTTCATTTCCGAGCTGTTAAGATTGAAAGGAATAGGCTATTTGGAACGTCTCGTAGGAGCATGGCCTTGGCACATAAAGACTCACGCTAATCGAACAGTGACCCCATAGTTTCCTCTAGTAGACTGGTTGAGCAAAGATGGTTTGAAGAAACAAGATACCATGGCTATAAAAGGTGGTGTACTCTAACGAAATTGACTCTAGTACTGACTTGAAAGACTTGAGTTTCTGGGTTGAGTGCTGCTTTTGGGATATAGATTTTCCATGCGTAGAGAAAAAAAAAAAAAAAAGACTAATCAAGAGGGAACGAGTATCTTCCAGTGCTATTGAATACATGCGGTAAACTTGCAGGGCATCAACAGTATCACTCGGTCATAGACTAACCCCAACCTCCGTCGTTTATGTCAAGTCTCCCTCGGAACTGTTGTTTTGGCTTGGACCGCGGTCTTGCTTTTTACGGTTGCAGATGTTCACTGGGCTCTCATATGTCGCCCATTATCACTCTGGGTTGGTCTCCCGCTCATTTTTTCTGGTCTTTTTCGAGGGCCAACACAACTGAACTATCCTCTCAGTATCTGTTTCAATAGTCGAAAATCCGGTTTGGAGTGGCTCCGTCGCCGGCAGACGTGCCGGCAGCCAGACAGGCTAGAAAAAGTTCCGCAATCGCTTCATCCAGCACTTCTGCTGGAACTACATCTTAGACATCAGACACAAAAACAGAAACCAGTTTTTCCCTCAAGAGATTATCAAACTCTGCGAGTACCCCTGTGATCCCAACGGTATCCCTCGGATTATTTGACTATGCTGTCAGTCTTCATTGTGATGCCGTCCGGCTGTTGTCAGTAAACATGACTAGAGATCCCATGTCCTTTTTTTTTTTTTTTGCACGCTGTATTAGCACGTCTCTGTTGGGAGAAGATTTAGGGAGCACTGGCTTCAGAGAAGGAGGAGGTTGAGCCACCACCGCTCCGTCCTTGTCATTGCCCCCTGAAATACATTTTTACTCGTTTCGTGAGCATGATTGCACTCTTCATATTCTCTGGCTTGTCTTTCCCACTGCCGCCATCAGCATTGTATGTCTCGGCGACAGAAATAAGCAGAAAACGCGCACTCGGAGGTCAGGGGTGATGAAAGGCCCCACAGACCCTGATAGATGGTGGAAACTTGATCAGTGGAGAAGGCCAAGCCAGAGAAATAGAAGGCTGATGAGAATAGGGGCTCGTAGCTGATGTTACGATATAGGTACTGCCATTGACTCATCATAGAAAAATCGTAGAGTACATCAGTGATGGTGTCGTGATGGCTCCGGACCTCCGGGCCCACTCTGCCGCACATCGGCCGTAGTCGGCCACCACAGATGGAAAGATTCAAAAACGGAAAGTGCCCTGAGAAGAAAACGAGTTGCTCCCTGATATGGGTGATCAAGTCTACGTTTTGCTTGAAAACCCCGGAATTCTCACCAATTTACGACGACATATCTTGATCGCTGCCGTTGAGAAGCGATTTTTCTGGTGGTCTGGCGCCTTTGCCTTGCCTTTCCCTGAAGCACATGCTCTCCGGGCAGCTCTCTCATTAAAACCGAAATTGCACAGAAAAAAGAGGATGCAATCCACATCAGGTTTTGAATATCCAGGCTTAAGAGTAGGCCAGTCATTTCGTCGTAAGGGGTCTCCAATAAGTTGATGCGGGCTTACGAGGGCAGCAATCCCACATGCAAATGTACAGACTCGGGGTTTTTAATGCATTTTTCGAATCCTCTGGCTACCTGCTCCCTCAACAGCTGACGCTTCGGACTGAACCGAACCTTAGGCTGACACAATCCAAATTTGTACGCTCGTGTTCGTAAGGCCATGTCTCCAACCTCATGGCATAGCTTGCCTTTCCGGTAAGGCTAATTCTCAATCTCTACCGAGTAAGAAAGGTAATACAATGCATCTTCGGTGCGAGAATGGAATACCACCGTACTAAACACCGACCCCACTAGGAGGTTTACTGATGGTGTGGGTTGGAAGTGGTTTCACTGCCTATCCGGAGCTCAATCCCGGCCGGATGGATAAACGTTGAGGAGTAAAATACTCCATGCTGCAAAACTATCTTTATTGGAACGTTCACCTGCAGCTGACCTGACTTGCCGTACTGCCCCTGGTGCCATCGCTGGCACAGGCCCAGGTCGAACCCAACCATTACCAAGAAGCTAGTGATCTCTCCGAAACATTGGCTTCCCCATTCTTGTAGGTGTCAGCACCAAGCATTGTGGGCGATCCAAAAGCGAATCCGAACGGCGGTTTGTCCTTGTTCGGACCGAAATTGATGTACGCTGGGTCAGTGTGGTCCAATGTGTTGATACTCGTCAAAGCCGTTCGGGGATATGACCTGGATACAACTGGCTAGACTACCCACATCTGGTTCCGTAGATCACCCAACAGGTCAGTATTTCGAGAGCTCCAATCTAGCTGTTGCTTGGCATCTTGGCCAAAAGCTAGGGATGACAAGCATCATGAAGGGTTGCCATCAAAGCATTCGACATGCGACCCGCCTACACTGGTATCTGCGGAATTAACACGGGAAGCCCCAGGTAAATTAAATCGCAGTTGCAGCACACCTATGGCTGGGTAGACCGCCTGCTACATGGCAAAATCCTTTTTTCTACTATCGCTATGGTCTCTGGGAGCTATGTTGATGACTTTAACGTGGTTTAGGCTTGTTAATTAATAGTTAGGCAACCACTGCGGCACTAAACAACCCCTTTAGTATGAAAGATCTGTTGCCATAACCTATTTTTCTTTATTTGCGCCATACAGTCCCCAAACTATTATGTTTGTAACACAGCGGGACTGTAATTCAAAATCTGACTGAAAGCTTCTAACAAATGTTTAACTAGCCCGCCTGAGAACCCAGTAGGATGGTTGCCCCACCTTCTGTATGCCGTCGTATTATTTTTACAGTTAGCGAAAATTCCGCGATTGGTCCACGCACCGCTCCACTCAGCGAGGATGAGACGACAAAGCCTACAATACATTACGTTTCCATTTTGGTCCAAGAAGCTATTTCGCGGACGCCGCGGACGCCAAGTAAAGATTGTCACAGCACTGCCTTCTTGCTAAAGTGTAGATAGTCTGGGCATCCATTACCCCTTTTGCTTTGACGTAGACGGAGACTTAACGCCTCGTTGGAGCTTGAGACAGAATGTAAGGTCTTATAAATACACTTCATCCCTTACTGGAAAGATTGTAGAAACACTGTTCTATCACACACCTCATATCCTGCACTCTGAGTTCTATCATAGAAGTCAAGTAAGTTACGTGGAAGCTTGTGGCGCAATTAAGCTGATACTGTTTGAAGCAAACAACATGGCAGGTTCTCATCGTGCATGGAGCCTTTTGGGCGCCGTGCTGACGATAGGGTTCTGCACAAGAACTGCACATGCTGATCTATGCGCTCCCCTTACTTCCGATGGCCCTGTACTAGTTACTCCTAACTGTACCGATGCCAATTTCACCCCCATCATCGACGGTGAAATGGACCAGCCACTACCGATTGCACACCGGAGAGTTTCTGGTTACATCAATGAAACCGGAATCCGTTTTACCATCAGCCTCCCGAAGAAAGACCTCTGGGAAGGCCGGTTTTTCCAACTCGTCTACCCAACTCAAACCGAGAACGCAACTGATGAGACTATTGCATTTGGGGCTGACAGCGGCGGATACACCGTGCAGCTCGGTGGCGGCACTGGTTATCAAGCCAATGCTGCCGTTGCAAAACTTTCACGACAAGTTGCTTCCACGTACTATCAGCATAATGGCTCCATTTATGGTTACATCTACGGCGGGAGTGGCGGTTCACTGCAAACTGCTGGGGCTATGGAAAACACTCAGGATGTTTGGAATGGTGCAGTGCCAATTATCCAGGCTATACCCATTTCCTTCATGAACAATCCTACGCCTCGTGGCTTGGCGGGTATTGTCCTAAGGAACAAGTCCGCCGAGATCGAGGATGCTTTGAAGCCCGGAGGCAGCATGGATCCTTACGCGAACCTGAACCCCGTGCAGCATCAGATCCTCGAGGAGGTTACGAAACTGGGGAACCCCTTAGAAAGCTGGCAAGACTTTGACGCCATTGCCGACATGACTGATCTATCGAAGCTGAACTACGACGTCCGAGGCATAGATACGACCTATGCAGACGACTTCTGGAACACGGAAGGATACCTCGGCACGGAGAAATCTCCTCTTGGTGACCTCCTCCGCTCCAGGCTGGTTAATCAGTCTGCCACTATCACCTCCATTACCTACGTAGATGGAAAACCAACCAATGTTACCATCGACAACGTCCCTCCCCAGGATTTACACCTTGGTCTTGACTTTGCGCTCTACTCGAAAAACGGCACTGAAATCGGACTTATCAGAGGGGCCCTCAATGGAAGCACAATTGCTGTAGAAGCCGTCACAAGCTCTGAAGTTCTTCATAGCCTGAAAGAAGGGCTTCAAGTACGTGTAGACAACCGGTGGTTCATCGCTATGCACGCCTACTACAGACATCAAGTGCCATCTCGCGATGGCTACTACGCCTGGGATTATCTTCGCAACTCGTCTGGCGCCCCAGTCTACGTTCAACGCCCCATTGAGACTAGTGTTTTAATTGCCAAAGCCGCGGCTGGAGGTGGCACACACACCGGCAAGATTAGATGCAAGATTATCGTCATCGATAACCTTCTTGATGAGCAAGCCTATCCGTGGCACGCCGACTGGTACCGAGGACAGGTAGTCAAATCACTTGGAGATACCCTGGATCAGAACTACCGACTTTGGTACAACGAGCATGCTGACCATGATTTTGGCGCTGTTACGGGTGCCAGAGCGTCACGAGTTATCGAGTTCACTGGGTTGTATCAGCAGGCACTACGTGATTTGGCTATGTGGGTGGAAAAAGGCCAGGAGCCACCTCGTTCTACCAACTACACCATTTCTCCTGACGCCCAAGTCAAAGTTCCAGCGAATGTGTCGGAACGATATGGGATACAGCCATCAGTCACACTAAGTCTCAACGGAACCAACCGCTTCGAGGCCGCGTCGCAAGCACCCGTTTCAATGACTGTCCATGCTGAGGTGCCTCCCAATACCGGTAGCATCGTAGCTGTGGAATGGGATTACCTGGGCATCGGAGAGTTTGTGAGCTCCCCACTTGGTGCCGCAGTCACACCTCTGTCTATGACAAGTAACTATACCTACAGTCAGCCAGGTACTTACTTCCCGGCTGTACGAATCACGTCTCAAAGAGAGGGAAACATGACTAGTCCTTTTGGACGTGTGTCTAACCTCGGCCGGGGACAAGTTATTGTATCCTAAAGTTATTGGTCGGACTCGCTGTATATACAATGTTCTTCACTGTTCCTTTCGTTTTTCTCTTTCACTACATGCTTTCGTTTTAGTTTCTCTAAGTCTCTGTTTTCTCTCCCTTGTATATATACGTTCCCTTGAACATATGTCGCTAGATTAATATAATATTTCTGATTCAAGACTGCCGGATTTTTGAAGTCTGTCAAAAATGCGAGGCTCTGTGTCACATGCCCTTTTGAAAGCGTTGGCTGATTGTGAGATGCTCTCACATACAGCTTGAAGGTTAGTCGTGTCGATCATCCTAGAGACACGGTCTGCAGCGGCTCATGGCCCAACAATCACTCGTTTCTCGAACTTTCCGGTCTAGGCAATATCGGTCCAAACTTTACCCTGACATAGTTATGGCGTCTGTTCAGAAAATAATGTCTTGTTGGCAGTACCAGCCTTCAGCTGTAAATTATCCAGGGTCACACGGAGGCCAACGGGCAACACCATGATTTAATCCAGCACACAACTACGAAAAGTGGCCTGCGGCACCTTGTGCCGGGTGCGGTTCTGGCCTGTTCTGTCCAGACATGGTCGCACAAAAATACCCTGCGCTTGCCAGAAGACTTGCGATAGCTTGCAGCCGGAATATTACTGGCAGAGATCAAAAAAAAAAAAAAAAAAAAAAAAAAAAAGCCAAAAGGGTGTACTAGAAGCCAAATAAGGAGTAAGAATCAGACGAGGATCAGCTAAACATGACGTTGGTCTCTTTTTCTTTGGTATAGTGAACACTGTGAATGATATGACTGCAAAACTGTGGGGGCCAACAGTAGATAATTGACGACACTGAGTTCAAGCAGCATCATTCTGGAATATTTAAACTGGGCTCAATCAGTTGATCCAAGTTTTATCCCTTCGCAATCTTGCCCGGATGAAGATATAATTGGTATTCATGGTGAGATGGTTGAATGAGGCTGTCAATGTGAATGATGTGGAGCCCTGTTACGCATTGATTTATGCCATTTTTCAGAGTGCATGAAGCCTTGAACCCGCAAAACTGGGCAAGCTGGCCCGGGACCAAAAATTGGTAGACGCAGTTGAAACGACTCTATTTCTATCGGGATCTTGGACAGGCACACACCCATGCCTCGATGTCTAAGGCTGTTGCTAAGTTATGACAGGGGCCCATGTGGGCTTCCCTCAACTTCAAAACTAAATTGTCTACTTCTCTTTTACAATTACAGTCTTTGTCTTTCCTTCATATGCAACTCGTTTCGTTTCCACTTTTCGAAAATGCAAGACGGTTCTTCTGGATGTATATCACTGGCCGCGCCGTTGTTACCCCGTTGGAGACGCTTCATAACTGCCGGCACCCCAGGACAGTTTCTCTTCGCTTGGAACTGGACCGCTTCCGATGGCCTTGCTTTTATTTGCTCCATGAGATCAACTTTGCTCGGAACTTGAGGGATGCGGAATCTGAGCAAGGCCCATATCAAGTTGAACCCGTCTGTTTCTCGCTTCACCATATCGCCAGTGAGCCGTATACGAATCCTCCGATATCTTCGTTTACAACATAAATCAAACTCCCAATCATTAGACAATAGACGTTCAAATAAGCTAGAGAGGTTTAATACGCTATAATCACTAGTCGCATATTTGAGCATGGATACTAGATAACACTCAAATACGACTCGAACGACGTACACTCTATTGCGCCGTCGAGTTCGATGGCAGCGTACTGTTTGAAGCATACTCCAGCACCCACTTTCCAGTAGAATAAACCTCCCAACTACTCGGCTCCTCTGGCTTGGCGTTCAACCGCTGCGACTTCACCTGCCAGATGTACGTCCCCGCAGGAACGAAAGCCTTGTTTCCGTCAGAGCCGTCCCAGTACCATGTGTTGCCGGGACCCCAGACATCGGACGAGGACGTCTGGAAAGACTGGACAACTTCTTTGCCGGACTTGGCGTCTACGATGCTAATTATCAGCTCGCGGGTTTGTATGACGAGCTCAATCCAGACTCCGGGGAACATGTTATCCTCAAAGGAGGCTGGTACATCTTTGCTTGTGTCTAGGATACACCTGAAAACCCGGCCCTCTTCCATGCGAGTCGGAGCGGCGGCGGTGTTGTTCCAGGCCATTAGGTACGATTTATCTCGGTTGACGATTGGGAGAGTGGAGAGCGGCGCCCCGAAACCAGTGTAGGGCAGAGTGAGTTTGTTGACTTCGGCGGAACCCTCTGCTTCGATCGCAACGAATCCTCCAAAGAAGGAAACGCGCGTCGCTGCCTCGGAGAGCGCTGGCTCTTTGGTGACTGTGACAGATACGGTGGCCGACTTGCCTGGCTCGATTTTGATTGTGGAGGGTTTGATACTGAGCTCAGCATACACTGGAGTTGCCTCCCCCTTGGTGAAGGTGTAGCCCTTCGCCGTTTCCAGCATGTAGCCCGAGGCAGCACCGACGTTGCTTAGTTTGTAGGTGGTTGCTGTCGTCCCGGTGTTTTTGATGCTAAAGGTGAGCTCTTTGGGACGGTTCGTTGTGTCGTTGAAGGAGAGGGCCGCCGTGCTTAGGACCGTCGTGGAGTGGACAGCATTCCACGCGTCCAAAAGACCCCCACCCTGCTGGAACACAGGTGCAAGGAAATCGGATGTGACGCCTTCTCCGTTGTTCCATTTCAATGGCCGAGAGGTCGTTGCAATTACCGCCTGGATCTCTTCTGGTGTGTAGTCTGGGTGCTTTTGCTTGATGAGAGCGGCGACACCTGCTGCAAATGGGACGGATTGACTTGTTCCTGTGACTTGTCAATAAAGGCTTGTGAGTTCAGACCGCTTATGCTTACCGCTAACAACACCATAGCCTCCTAATTTTCCGGGGAACGTGCTCAAAAGATTGCCTCCTGGAGCGACTAGCAAAGGCATGGAACCTCCTGTGAGAGTTGGACCCCAGCTAGAAAAGACCGAGGCAAGATCACCAGTGCGGTTGTTGACTCTGTTTTCAAGGGCGGTGTTGGCTACAGACGCTTCGTGCGGGAGATGGACCTTGGTGTTGGCGTCTTTGTGGAAGGCCTCCAGCAGCTTGACGCCAGTCTGATACTCTACGGTAGCGATGCCTTTGAGGTTCGGGTCCGAGGTGTCCGGGAAAAAGCCTGGGCCATCGGAAACGGTCCAGTTCTTTGTTGTGTAGTAGATTACATACGGTATACCGAGTACCTGGGACAGAGACGGGGATCCTCCGCTGGCGTCTGTCCAGCACTGCGTGATGGATAGGAGGAGAACTGTGTTTGAGAGGTCAGCTGGCAAGTTAGTAGCATCAGGAATCGGTTTGCAGTCGTTTGATACGTCGACATTCTCATTCGGGGACCAGATTGTCAACTGGTTGTCAGCGGGGAGATCGAAAGGCAGGCCTGGGACAAAACGAATGTCTCCTGCATCACTTCCCGTGGTCCAATTTCCTTGCCAGGTGAAATAGGGCGTGACTGAATTATCGGTGGATCCTATGGAAGTGATAGCGTCAGCCATGCCGGGACTGCCACCGGTGAACACGCCCGGACCGCCATTGCCGGTGGGAAGCGAGATGTATGTGCCGTTCTTGAAGAGTCGAGTAGCTACAGCAGACCAAGGATCTTGTTTGTGTTAGTAAAGATCGCCGGTTCTCGGCTTAAATAGCGCATACCTTCAGGGAAAGCTTTTCCGCCCCCAAAAGAGCATGATATGACATCTACACCGCGGTCTGCGGCCTCGAGAAACGCGTTGATCAGCATGTCTGTCGATCCGCTTTCACCACACGGCTGGATGCGATACAGCTCGTAAGTCGCGTCCGGGGCCACGCCGATAACACCAAAGCGTGCCTCGTCTCCTTTCGCTGCGACAACGCCCAAGACATGCGTGCCGTGGAACGAGCAGTTATCGCGGACATCGTTGTCGTTGTCGGTCAAGTCATGAGAGTACTCAATGTTTACTTTACTTAAACCTGGGACGTCTACGTCGAAGCCGCTGTCAATGACCGCAATGCGCAATCCAGACCCCGTGAAATTCGCTGCATGTAACCTGGCTACGCCGGTGTCAATATGTGTGGAGAGTGTGTCGGCATTCTTTTCATCTCTAGCACTAATTTGAGGCAAATCGCCTCGGATATTGGTCGCGAAATGGCGGTTAATGAATTTGCCGTTAGACACTCCGGGGAAGTGGCCCTCAAAGATGGCTGGCTCAATGGAGGTTACCGGCCAGGCCTGCTTCACCCCATCAATGGATTTAACCGTGGAAAGAATGGCTTTCTGAGAAACTCTATCATTGCTGCACTTAAGGTCGAAGGAAGCTCCGTGGAATACTGCATGAGTAAACTGGAAGCGTTTTGATGCGATGCAATCTAAGCCAGAGGTAGCGAGGGAGGTCTGAACTTGGGTGTTCAGGATGTCTGGAGTCTGTTGCAAAGTCAGATATAGGTCATGGCTGTGAGCACTACCGAAGCTTCTGTCTTACAAGCTGGAGCGATTCGTCAAACTCAACAACGAATGCATCCTTGTATGCACCAACGAGTTGCTGTAGGAGACATGTCGCAAACGCGACATGCACAAAAGAAGATCTCATCACAAGTCAAGTGAGTGTGAGGCCAAACGAGTGTATGATTTAACGATAGAACATTTATCACATAGATTGTCGGAACTGTAGGCACGCAGCATATAACATTAGAAAATGCCCGCTGATGAGACTGACTCGTGTACCGGCTGTAACCCCTTTACGGAAGACCGACGAGGTCGCTTTCGTATGCGGCATACACAGCCCGCGAGAATCTCATTGGCCAAACTCTAACATATTAATGGTAATTACCGACTACTCCGTGAAGCCTTCTAGCGCCGTTGGTGGATACTGCGCAAAGAGGTGTACATTTTTATTGCAAAGATTTTGACATTCCGACTTGGCTAGGGATTGACTGATATACCTCGCTATCCGGCTGTTCTGTGGGCGTAAAAACTGACAGGGTCATCTACTAGAGATGCACGCCCTTAAAGCGTTGCACAAGCGAGGCATCGCAACCCCGTATCAAATCATTCTACTTATCAAAAGGAACCCTCTGCAAAACAAACTAGGTGACTCGGCTACTAATCCTTTTTCTGAATGCTTACAGCTCCAGAAACAGGATATAACAAAACACGAATAGCCCTTGCCATGCGCGACTTACAAATATGTTGTCAAAGATGAAAGTATCCACAGCCGGGGCACCTATTCTCTAAACAGGTTGTGAAGCGCCACTCGGGCGCTAAGCTCCGAGGCCGTGCTCGTTTTAAGACTGCCGGAGCGTTCGTTATCTTCCATATTTCTAGGCTAATCTGCGTCTTATCTTATTGCATCAAGTACAGAGTGGGCACTGGAAATAAGTCAGAGAGTTGATAAACCATTAAGAGCCACGGGAGTAAGCAGTGGAATGTTGCGATGTACATATATTCTTGTGTTGCAACAAGCGATACTTGAATTAGTAGTAGAAGATGCATGGATCTCTAAGTTAATTGCCAGGTGTAGTGAGTTTGTTCTTTGATGCAACATAGTAGATCGGGTTCATATCTCTCTGAGTGCTCATACTATCCACATAAACCACCAGGAATGGGTACCGTGTAAATCACTATCCACCATTGGGTTAAGCATCCACGCCAAATGGGCTCTTCATAGGTGATTTAAGGCTCTTGAAACGAGCCATACTAGAAAAGGAAAGACTACCCAACTCGGTTTTAGCTTTAAACAGTTTTGAATTCGAGGTATGCCGATCTAGTAGCTGCCAGGTGACGTACAGAAAAACTAACTCCTACCGACAGCCCATTGGCTCGCATCCTTGAGCCAAGCGAAGACCATTTCTGTGCCCTTTGAAACATTTCTTGCGATCAAGCCCCTTCTAGGGTCCCAGTCGGGCCCTGGATCGTTGAATATTTGAACCAAACGTGTGTTCTCCTTGCCGACTTCCAAGATGGATCCTCCAGGAACCGCATCATCTTCAGCACATCTCAGCATAGCTTCAGCGACTTCCCGTGGGGTAACCCAGCCGTCTTGGCTCTCGTCCAAGTTAATCAGCTTCTCTGGGTGGTCTGTCCATAAGGGCGTGCGGACAACACCAGGTGCGACGGCATTGATTCGAACTCCATCCGTCTCGTCTAGCCGAGCGAGACTCCGCACAAAACCAGTGATGGCAAACTTGGAAGCAGAGTAAAGCGGGGCGTTGATGTTAGGCACCTGTCCAGCAACGGACGAAATGTGTACGATTCGCTTGGGATTAGCTGGCGAAGCCTTGACAGTGGCCGCATTTGAAGGATGCAGCCAGTGAGAAATGGCAAGCTGGGTTGCGCGGATAGGATGATTGATATTGATATCCAAGAGCTTGTAGTGGCCTCCGTCAATGCTATCCTTGCTCTCAGCCGAACCGGGTGGATGCCAAAAGTTGGACCAGTGAGGCTCGTAGACACCAGCTCCTGGGCAGAGAATATCAAAGTCGCCAAATTCTTTAAGGGCAACGTCGAACATATGGGAAAGGGCTGGCCAGGATGTGACGTCGGTTTTCACAAATACTGCTCGTGGCTTGCTAGGGCCCTGGTGTTTTGATACCAATTCCTCCGCTTCGGGCCTTAAGGCAATGTCAGCGATGACAACATTGCAGCCACGCTCGAGGAGAAGTTCAGCAAAAGAGAAATTGATTCCTGCGAATGACTTAGTTTCTCATGGTGGGTTTTGGATCACACTAGATGAGGGGGGCCAACCTGATCCACCACCTGTAACAATCGCTGTTTTCGCAGACACGTTGAAGGGTGCGTTAGGCTTCTGGGAGTTGTCGGTCATGATTAAATAAGAAGATAATAAACTGTGTTGCTATTTCAATCACAAAACGGTATGCAGTACCGAGAGAATCCTTTCTAGTATTTTGAACCCAACTGGTTTGGAAGAGGTTCAGTTCTGACCAACTTTTACGTTTAACAATACGGGTAACTTTGGTTTATTAATGGATGTTTGGCGGGGTTGCTTCACTCTTGTGCTGTTTTTTATTGGGCAACGTTGGCATGATCCGATCATCGGAGCCAATTCCACCGAGTCAAACGCCCATGTGAGACATACGTACGGCTTCTACCACTGTCTTATCTCCACGAATACGTGTCTCCTGAGGGGAAATTACCCCGCAGAGGATTCAGAATGAAACAATGGAGGGGACGATCAATCCAACTTCGCTCTGCTTGTTCAACGGAAGTTCCTTTGTCAGTATTATGTGTTGATAAGCTTAATACAGCAACATAATTGGCCTTGTCTTTAATATGGCATCCGACATATAAGGCTATTGAATATTTTAAGCACAAAACTGGGTTTCCCAGAATTATAACTAGAATACTAAGGGCTTTGCGCACTGTTTGATATTGGGTATTAGTAATTTAACGAAGTTGTGGGATTGGTATGCACATGGGCGGGCTTCAATGCTTTGGTCTACCGTGCTTTGGCAACGGAACAAACCTCATGGCACATGAAGCCATGTATCACCTTGTAGGTTGCAGTTTTCGGATTGACTTAGAACTATATATACTTGGGTTCAGTTTCACTACCACGTGAGGCACATCTTTAGAAATATGCATTTAGCAAACATAGGACTGAATATGTTCGTGATATAAAACAACTATCGGCAAGAATAGTAACTACTTATTCTACTACACGGCATTTACAATTAATTACGTTAACCATCAAGCAAAATTGAAGTAAACTCAACACCCATATGGTGTACGGATGGTGGACCAGTTCGCCCGAATTCCCTAATTGGCCAATTGGGCGTTTTAGTTGAGTAATTTGCAGCAGCATAAACTGTGTGAAAGTTGGTATCCAATATCCTGGCTATTCGGACTTCAACACGAAAACTTCAAAGACCGAACATGCTGACTCTTCTTCATGTTTTCGAGGAACACAGCCATCAGAACTTTGCCCTCAGTTTCCAACCCACTGCCAATACTCTCACAGAAGCATAGCAGATAAAGGCTAGTATATAAGAGGCGCCGGAGAATATGATGAGGCCATTCCAATTCTTGGCTCCTTTTGACGACTCCAAAATCGCTCCCCCAATGGGCAGACTGCTGAGTGTACCGAAGCTGGCCATCATCATAGCCGTTGAGAGAAAGCGCCCGTAATCTCGCGCGTCGCAGAGCTGACCAAGACATACAGGCACGAGGCCCAGGTTGCTGCCGCTAGCAAAACCGAATAATGCCACAAAAGCCAGAAGCATGGGTTGAGAGTCCCCTGAGGGAAGCCATAAACCAAATACTGTGATGAAGCATAGAGCAATAGTGATGAGGATGATGTTGAAGCGTCCATACCTATCAGCAGCAAGTCCTGGCAGGAAACGTCCGACAGCAGACCCAGCGTTGAGAATTGACAGAATGGTGTATGAGTGGACCGTGCTTTGTTGCATGCTAGAGGCATAAGAGATGATGTATGTGATGGGCACGAAAAGACCCCATTCCATAAAGAAGATGCCAATCGCCGACAAAGTAAACTTGAGATTTCGGAAGACTGTGAAGTCAGGCCAAATGGATGCGGGACCCTCCTTTTTCGGCAGACGGGATCGGATGAATAGAGTCGCTGGAATTGTGAGACCGAGAAGGATGAAGCCGAGAATCCTAGCTGTAGGAGCAAAGCCTAGTTTTGGGAAGAGGTTTTGCAGAAGTATTGGGTACACTATTCCGCCGATTGAGCCAGCAGTGGCGGCTATTCCGGTTGCAAAGCCGCGTCGGTTGTCAAAAAAGTGGGCGATAGCTCCGTAGGATGGAGAGTTGAGCAAGGCGCCTCCCAAGCCCCCCAATATGGAATAAGCAAGCAGGATCTGGTAATATTCTGCAACCACATCAACGTCAGAAAAAGCAAATCTTAATATGAAAAAATGGAGACGCAATCAAAAACATACCTTTGCATAAGCTCAAAAGCAGCAGACTTGCAGAGATACAAAGACCTCCGGCAACCACAAGTCCGCGAGGGCCGTAGTTATCAAACAAAGGCCCAACCTGAATGCCTACAAAAAAGACGATGAAGAGATAAAGACTGAATATCCAGCCAATCTGTGAGGGCGAGTGGTCTGCAAGTTGGTTCTCAGAGAAGTATGACTCAAAGACAGCAGCTGAGTTGATAAGGCCGAACACAGACAGCATCGCACAGAACGAGCCAAACACAACCAGCCAAGCTTTCAAGCCACCCTCCGGGAATGTCAGCTCCGTAACGCTTGCTGCATCTTGTCCTCCATAGTTGTTCCTTTCTCTTTCCCTCGACCTGGACCTTTCTTCATCGTATGGTCTTTCTTCATCAAAGCGGGTTGTTGATGTTACCGAGGAGGACGGGCCGTTAACATTTCTTAGGAGTATTGATGAAGTCTCAACAGCAGTTTTTGACATCCTGTTAGTCAGGGGAGTTGGATGTTATTCAACACAGAGCGTAGACGGTTGCAAGGTACTTACCTGAGACCGATCTCAACCTGGCAAATATTTTGAATGGGTCAACCTTAACAACAAAAATGAGTGCAGTGAAGCTTGGCATAAAAGTCAATGACTATGGTGGTGACTGCAAACCAATCTGCCGAAAAATGTTGTAAGTGTGAGAAAATGGAATCTTCAGTCAATTCCAGATTTAGGAATATGTTCTCCATCTCAAGGATCCACCTGCACGTGCCTTATTAACCCCATTCCTTGACAAAGCAGTAGAACATACTCTGGGTACCCGCCAATGGTAGTGTGTCCGTTGGTTTCCGACTGCTGAACCTTTCATTATTTCTGCGAACTTCATACGGCTAGCGTTTTCATAAGGCCAAGACCATCCTAGAAATGGATGGCCAATCACGAACCAAGTTGGCGGCGGGGCACCCATGTTGTCTTCGAACCGGCGGATTCCCTCGGTGTATCCAGCAGTAAACGATAGCAAGACTGTAGTTGGTTTGATAGGGAACTCTGATCGAATTCAAAATGATGTTACTCAAATTTCAGAGAAATAGTAGATCAGAGCTCCTATTCGGACTCTAGTTGTCTTGCAAACGTCTACTCCGTAGGCATGCTGAAGCCCTGACGACACTGATCCCAGAATTTATCAGCTTAACCGCCTGGCCACATTGGTCCGCTTAAATCCGGTTAAACCCAACACCACAAGGGTTAAGCGATAGAAGGGTATTCGGACGGCAATAGTCCCTGTATGGAAAGGTTTCGTACGTTGATGTACTTCGGCGATTTATAACTTTTCTTGTTGTATTTTACCAGGGCATGTCCAATGCTTCGGTTTCATTGCAAACAACAGATCTAAACCTGCGTCGTCTGGTTTTTCAGAACATCCATGTTCAACAAATTTTCAAGGGCTATCAACAGCGCCTACCTTAGGCGCATTCAATTCGAGCATGATTGGCTCACCCTCTGTGCGCCGGTGTCGCCTTCCTTCACGTCATGTCTTGGTCCTTTGATGTCAATAGAGTGATAATGGGACCAGTCGCTTTAGATTATTCTTTATTCCATTGTAATTCCTTTCTACCACCGTAACCTGCGTCACGAGATGTGCTTTAGGGCCATTTCTAGCCTCCATGTTGATTTTGATCTTGTCTTTCATTGGTAGTTATCGAATGACATTCATTATCTAGGTTGGAGTATTTAACAGAGGTTTATGTGTGAACCAGGCAGTTTCATTTTTCACCGATTGGAGTGCCAGAAGGTAGTAGTCCCAATCGTCTTCAACCATAGACGTGGATTGTTCAATAACCATTGCCTGTATTTAATAAGTGAAACAATTTTATTCTCACTTGATCAAGAACTATGACACCTGTTCAATGAGATCAACTCAAATGCTGTACCGTTCGAAGTGATAGCTATACCATTCAATTATTTCTTCAATCAACCCATCGCCTTCGCGAACGACCAACTCAACTCTGGCCGGGAAGCAAAGTTGTCCGCCATTTGCTTTTCTACTTGGAAGATCGGCGGCAAAAGTCCCTGTATTCATCGTCCGAAAAATAACTCTATGTTTCCCACCAGGAAGTCGTTCTGCAGGCCAGATACCCTCGACCTTCATCTTGAAATCCGGTACGGACTTTCTCCAGAACATGAAATGATTCTCTAGTTCTTTGAGGCCACTACGGCGGATGTGAAAGGCATGGTCGATGTAAGTCACGTCGGGATGATGAAGGCCTAGCCACGCAGTCGGGTCGGAAGGGTCCGGCATCGAGTAATGAGAGGACCACTCGTTAATTATTGACTTAAGTCGGGATGATGCGGCTGAAGGACTGTCAGTTTCTCCTACATTGCAATAAAATTAGGCATACCCATTTTAATAGCTCCAATGTTAAGAGGTTAAATATTGTTGAGTTAGAATGTCAACGAATCGTCGAGGTTGCTAAAAAGCAGAAGCATCCACAGAGGGAAGCCGGACACTATGAGTTCTTGCGACGCTTTATAATCCATTTCACGAACCGGAAATCCCGACTTCGCACACAAGACGGATTTCAGTGAGTTCTAAATGTCCGGGGCCATAGGTGAAACTTAGAATCTGCGGCGAATAATATCATTCTTGGTCTAGCGCTTTTCTAGTAATAGTTGGGGATTGAAGCGTTGTTCCGAAGGTTCGTGTCACAGCATGTCACAGATAACTTCACCGAACTGCTCGCTATATACACACCATGTTCTTAAATGCTTTCGCAGGCACTACCGAGTTGATGGTTCTCCTACCACTGAATGACATGCATCCAACTATATTTCTGCTGTTTAATAACCATCACTGGACATCTCAAATCTCCATAATGAGTTCAAACGAAAGGGACAGTCTTGAAATGTTTGAACGGACCTCTTCCTTCATACCCAAACCGAAGGGATAAGAGAAAGTTGCCTCACTTTTGTCCGATGTAAGCCCACAAGGAGACGCCAATGAAGAAATCTGATGATGGTAACAGGGTGAAAATAAGGCATATTACTGTATAGTTTAAGTAGTGCCAACCTTCACCATGCGAATAAGAAGACTGGTAGTATCTCCATGACAGTGACAGTCTTAGTAGAGTGGATACCACGATTATCCCCAGCCCTTAGCAATACAAAGGCATATTACCTGAGCCTTAGATACCCCGCATGAACTCTGTTAGTCCGACGGCTTCGTACAATTACTCTATAGAACAATGGATCAACTACGCCCGTCAGTGGATGAATCGGGCTTTACGAATGTCCAGGGCCGAAAGGCATGGATCGGGAAATTACCCCAATCAGCATTCCCCGAGTTTGCTCAAACTTTGACGGCCTCTATTTCAGCGTACGACCAATAACGCTGTCCTACGGCTAGAATCTTATAATAAAGTAACGTCCAAGATGATTGAGAACGGTGTATTGAGCAAGGATTCTTGTATAAAAATAGTTACTAGCCGCTGATTTTACGGAGATGTCCTAGGCTATCCTATCGGCTGTAATGCCGATAGGTAGAAACGCGCTACAAAGCCTGAGGTGCTTAGAAGAAAGTCCTGTGAGCACCACTACATAAATACCGCCTGCAGGCTCTACGTGCGCATACAATCGTACACCTACCCGATGATAGTTTACGGAGTCTCGACTAGCCTCGAAACCATTCCGGCACATGCGAAGTGCCTTTACTTCACTATTGAAGTCGAACCGAATCAAAGTTGTGCGAGCATGGAATACTATTTGCAGTTACTCCGTAGCAGAGCAGCAACTTATGTAATCATCTGATTGGCACACGTTCGTTGACGGTGATATTCAGCCTAAGCCATCATGGCCCGGATTCGGGTCGGGGCGGGCCCGAACCGAGCCGAACCCACAGTCCCTCCTTGACAACCCCGGAAATGCAGGGCATCATCAGATCACGCACGCATGTAGCTTATGAAAAATCGAAAGTCATCTTTTCATTACCAGAAACTGCTATTCCCATTCCCTTCCTCTTCTCTAGTGAGCTGCCTGCGAATAGAGACAAATAATGGGCGGGACCACAAGCTCATCGGAATATGCCACCCAGGAAAAACAGCAGAGCTCTTCACCCACAGTTACATCAACGCAAGATGGCGATTCACCTCTGTCAAACCTTGAAGCAGTCCCGACGAACACGTCGTACATCCCGCCTTCACTTCCTCCATGGCGCCGCCACGCAATAATGTTTGCACTTTGCATGACCCTTCTTCTCTCCGCTCTCGACGTTACAATCATTGCAACCGCGCTGCCCACAATCGCATCAACCCTTCATGCGTCAGCGGCTCAATATGCATGGGTCGGAAGCTCTTACACTCTTTCAAGCACAGCGTCGACGCCGGTCTGGGCGAAAATGTCGGACATTTTCGGGCGCAAGTGGACGATCATGGCGGCAGCGGCGACTTTCATGGCAGGGAGCTTGATTGCGGCGTTGGCGGGATCAATCTCGGTTCTTATTGTCGGTAGGACGGTTCAAGGACTCGGGGGAGGCGGGTCTTTGGTTTTGGTGACGATTCTAATTGGCGATTTGTTCAAGTTGGAGGAAAGAGCCAAGTATTACGGAATGACTGGTATCGTATGGGGTATCGCGAGCGGCGTTGGACCGATACTCGGCGGTGTGTTTACACAGACGATTGGTTGGAGGTGGTGTTGTCAGTGGTTTTCCCCTCCTCATTCCTTCACTCATGGAAATTAACATATCACAGTCTACATCAACCTTCCATTTGACGGGATCGCTCTCCTAGTCCTCTTCTTTGTCCTCAAAGTAGAAACGCCCAAGGAATCCTTCCTAACCGGTCTTCAAGAGTTAGATTGGACCGGCTTCGCACTAATCATAGGCGGAACGATATGCTTCCTCTATGGCCTCGAAACTGGCGCAGGTGGTCTCCTCGCTTGGAATTCGGCGCAGGTCATATGCCTCATCGTCTTTGGCGTATTAATACTCGCCCTCTTCATGGTCTGGGAGGCGCGCTTCGCCTCGAACCCAATCATTCCCTTCCGCATTTTCCAAAAGGTCACCAACATCGCCTCATTCGCTCTTTCTTGCATTCACAGCTTTGTTTTCATCTCATATGACTACTTTCTCCCACTGTACTTCCAAGTGGTATTGGGCTTTCGTCCCATCATTGCTGGAGTGTCGCTTTTTGCGTTGCTCATTCCCCTGACAATAATGACAATGCTTGGGGGGCTGTTCACCCGAAGAACAGGAAACTACATTATCCCAATATTGTTCGGTTCTGCTCTTATGACCCTCGGAAACGGTCTCTTTATCACGTTCGACACAAGCACCAACTGGGCGAAAATGATCGTCTTCCAAATGATCACCGGCATCGGAGCTGGCGTGCTCTTTCAGAGTCCTATGATCGCTATACAGACACATACTCATCAGAAAGATATCCCAGCAGCCATGTCTGCATTCTCGTTTTTCAGATCTCTTTTCTCATCAATGTCGATTGTCATCGGGACGGTGTTGCTCCAGCGAAATCTGGGCGGGGGAGGATTGACAGCGGGACAAATCCACTCGGAAGACGCCTCTGGAGAAATGGGAAGTACGGACAGAGAGAGATATGTCTCTTCGTTGCATGTGATGTGGGCTTTTTTCACAGGCATGGCCGGTTGCATGCTTTTCGCAGCGGTGTTTATCAAACAGAAACCTAGAAAGGCATCTCCGCAGCCTGAGAGCTAGTAGAATGACATACCGGTAGATGCCTGCTCACGACTTGATTCACCAAGAAGCATTGGCTTATTGACCAAGTTACAACAGCGTCCACGGCATTGGTATAATTGCCAAGTCCGGGACGATTGTTGATGTCGCCAATGTTTTCATGATATTAAGGAGAGAAAGGGGCTATTCAATGATGGCTACCATGTTGCTTGCATGGCTCAGATCGAAAAGAATATGTGGTCTGTCTACATATAAACATAGACTTTCAGGAACCCCAGTGTTCGCATGTGCCAAGCATAGAATTGGCCGAAAGCAAAATCCCAGAAGACTCGATTGTTAGACCATCAAATACTAAAATGTCTGGAAGCTGTATCTAGAGTCTTGGCCTATTTATGTGTTGTTTGAGCGAGGGATAAAAGTGGTCATCAATGGGGTCGAGACAGGGGACGCACGCCAAAGAAACGCCGGGCCGCTATGAGAAAACCAAAGTGATATGCCGTAGTATTCTAAAAGTGTTTAGCATTGTTATGGAAACAGGAGAGACGCTTTGGGACGAACTGTGTTTAGAATAAAATGTGTTACTACAGATGACCACTTTCTACCCTCAAATAAGTGGACCCTTCAGGGAAAACTTCGATCACTGTTCCTGGGATTGCGGGTCAGTTATCCCATCGACGGCGGCATGGCACCAGATAAATAGTCGGAAAGGTACCGACCAATCAGAGACGAATAGTATGACTATCGTTCAAATAGTGAGCAATCTGTTATGTAGTATTAGGAGAAATATGGAGTCTTTAATGGACTGGTTTGTACCTGCAGCGGTGCCGCAGCCGGTGGGATATACGTTGACTCAGAGGACTTAACATAAGCCTCTTAAAAGCTTGACTAGTAGAGCAGTGCAAGCTATAGCTATATGACCAATACAATTATCATACTGTCAGCTCCTTGGATGTCAAACTTTCCATTCCAAGCACCCTTTGTAACGAACAACTAGCATTTTAGGTGCCTGCCTCAACAACCTTGAGATAGGGTAGTCACAGGTTGGAACGAATAGAAATTGAATCAAGTGTCACATGAAGCAAAGGCATCAGAATCTTTTGTAGAACATTTTATAAATATGCATTGAAAATCGTCGAGTATTCATCAGCTAATGAAAAAGAAAAAGAGTATATCCGTGAAGTAGAAGTAAAAATCAAAAAATGGCCCGCCCGAAAACTCCAATCCGTAGCCCTTCCCCTCCTTATCTAACAGGTATCTATTGCTTCAGGTCGAAGCGGTCAAGGTTCATGACCTTGTCCCAGGCGGCGACGAAGTCCTTGACGAACTTCTCCTTGGCGTCGGAGCTGCCGTAGACCTCAGAGATGGCGCGGAGCTCGGCGTTGGATCCAAAGATGAGGTCGGCACGGGTGGCGGTCCACTTCTTCTCCTTGGTCTTGCGGTCGGTGCCGGTCCACGACTCGCCCTCGGCGTCATCCTTGGCCCAGGTGGTGGAGATGTCGAGGAGGTTGACAAAGTACTCGTTGTTGAGCTGGCCCTTGGTCGAGGTGAGGACGCCAGTGTTGGAGCCGTCGTAGGTGGCTCCGAGGGCACGCAGACCACCGACGAGAACGGTAAGCTCGGGGGGAGAGAGGGTCAGCTGGGAGGCCTTGTCGACGAGGATCTCCTCGGTGCGAGCGCGAGCGGTACCGCGGCCGTAGTTGCGGAAACCATCGGCCTGGGGCTCGAGGTAGCCAAAGGCGACGACATCGGTCTGCTCCTGGGTGGCATCAACACGGCCGGCAGCGAAGGGGACGGTGACCTCGACACCAGCATCCTTGGCAGCCTTCTCCACAGCGGCAACACCGCCGAGAACAATCAAGTCAGCGAGGGAGACCTTCTTAGCGCCGTAGTTGAAGGACTTCTGGATGTTCTTGAGAGCGTCGAGAACCTCGTTGAGCTGAGTGGGGTTGTTGGAGACCCATTTGTTCTGGGGCTCGAGGGCGATGCGAGCACCGTTGGCACCACCACGCTTGTCGGAGTTACGGTAGGTGGAAGCAGAGGCCCAGGCGACGGAAGCGAGCTTGGAGACGTCGAGACCGGGGGCGGCAAGGATATCGGCCTTGAGCTTGGAGATGTCGGCGTCATTGATCAGCTCACCCTCACGAGCGGGGAGAGGGTCCTGCCAGCTGAAGGTCTCCTTGGGAATCTCGGGGCCGAGGTAACGAGAGACGGGGCCAAGATCACGGTGGAGGAGCTTGAACCAGGCCTTGGCGAAGGCGTCGGCGAGCTCCTGGGGATGGTCGAGCCAGCGGGTGGTAATGTTGAGGTAGATGGGGTCGTTGATGAGGGCAAGGTCAGAAGTGAGCATAGTAGCCTTGCGGAACTTGGTCTTGTCGAAGGGGTCGGGGTAGTCGAGAGTGCCGTTGACGGCCTCCCATTGGTGAGCACCTGCAGGAGACTCGACCAGGGTCCATTTGTTCTTGAGGAGAGACTCCAAGTAACCGTTGCTCCATCTGCAGGTACATGGGTTAGCGTCTGCGTGTCACTGCATAATCACCCGATGAACAAAAATAGAATTTCTTCGCCTCCCGCAGCCTCTCTCAACAAACATCTTTTTTTGTGACCTTCTCAGATGGGCGAAGAAGGCCATGTGAAAAAAAAAACGACAGAAAAAAAGCCGCAAATATTGAGCCAAGGAGAGGGGGGGAGGAGAAGGCTTTCCGAGACATGGGGGGTTATGCAAATATCATCTCATCACTTACTTGGTAGGGGTCTTAGTCCAGATAACCTCGAGGCCGCTAGTCATCTGGTTGACGCCGTTGCCGTCACCAACGCTGTTGTGCCAGCCGAGGCCCATCTCGCCGATATCCGCAGCAGCGGGCTCAGGTCCAATGTTTGCTATTGAAATTACAAATGTCAGCGGATGCTCGGTATGGGGCGGTGAAAGAGAGGGGAAAAAAAAAAAAAAAAAAAAAAAGTGATGACGCGGAATCTCTAGCTTCGGAGCCAGCACGGGGAAAACCACTCACAAGACTTGACGGCTCCATGCGTCTTGCCGAAAGCGTGACCACCAGCGATCAAGGCGACGGTCTCCTCATCGTTCATACCCATGCGACCGAAGGCGACGCGAATGTCCTTAGCGGAGGCGGCGGGGTCGGAGCTGCCATCGGGGCCCTCTGGGTTAACGTAGATGAGGCCCATGTGGGTGGCAGCCAGAGGCTTCTCGAGCTTGTCGGCACGCTCGTTGATGTCGGTGCTGCCGTTGTAACGGACATCGTTACCCTTGGGGACAAAGGTGGTCTCGGCACCCCAGTAGACGGACTCGTCAGACTGCCAAGTGTCGGGGCGACCAGCAGCGAAGCCAATGGGCTTGAAGCCCATGGTCTCGAGGGCGACGTTACCGGTGAGGAGGTACAAGTCTGCCCAAGAGATCTTGTTGCCATACTTCTGCTTAATGGGCCCTGTGGATAGACGTTAGCATCCGTAAAACCACGCGAGGTCAATAGCTTCGGCAGAATTTCTCCACCGGAGGGGGGAGGGGAGCTTCTAGTCTTCTCCAATCCAACCATCGCGCAATCGAATGGGTTGATGGGAATAAGACAGGGATTGGGGCGGTGGTCTTCTTCAACCACAGGGATATGTCGACTTACACAGCAGGCGGCGAGCCTTGTCGAGGTTCTGGTTGTCAGGCCAGCTGTCGAGTGGAGAGAAACGTTGCTGTCCCTGCACAGAAAGTCCAATATTAGTAAACGCCAATCATTAAGACGAATAAAACTGATGCACAAGGTGATAAGATGCAAACAACGCAGGGCCCATAATTGGAGTGTATGTGGAGAAAGGAGATGCTTTAGCACTTCTTGGCTCTGCCCCGGGATAGGACGAAAAACTCCGGGAAACCTCCCCGCGAGGCGAGAAGAAGAAAAAAGAAAGCAAAAACTTGAGAATTACCAAGCAAGATAGGACAGGGGTGGGGATCAAGGAGAATTTGGAATCATGGAGGAAGAGGGGGCACCGGGGGACCGGAGGGCGGGGGGGAACAGGCTATCCGAAGAATATGACAAAAGAGGAAATCCGCTTACCATTCCACCGCCACCGCGGCCGTCAATGGCGCGATAAGTGCCGGCGCTATGCCAGGCCATGCGGATGAAGAGGCCGCCGTAGTGGCCAAAATCGGCGGGCCACCAATCCTGCGAGTCGGTCATCAGGGCTTCGAGATCCTTCTTGAGAGCCTCATCTAGGTCGTGTTAGCGTGGATTTCACCTCACCAGAAAGTAGTGGGGGAAAAAAAATCCAACTTACAGTCGAGAGACTTGAAGGCAGCAGTGTAGTCAAAGTCACCACCGTACGGGTTGGTGGAAGGCTGGAACTGGCGGAGGACATCAAGCCTCAGTGCGCAAGGCCACCAGTCGCTGCTCCGGGTGCCGCCACCGGCTTGGTTGCTGGCTCTTGAGCATCGTCCGAGGCCCTCGGCGGTGTCTCTCTTGGGAAGAGAGCTGCTGACGGTGCCATCACGCTTAGCAAATGGGCATCCCTCGGCGGTGACGGCGGGCAAGAGGACTGAGGCTGTTAACAGCCAGTGAGATAGTTTGGCGTGCATGGTGAGAGTCGAGACTGTTCAAGGTCCAAGTAAAAGAAAACAAGTGAACCCCAAGGTAGTCGACTCAATTGGCGAATTGGTTGAGTTGATCCAGGAGATTGACCAGAAAAAAAACAAACGTCGAAGATGGGACGAACGCAGACCTATGTATGAAACCCGCTCGTCGCCACGACTCTCGTTGAATGGAGCTGGGCTTCAACTTCCTCCTTTGTCACCCTCACCCACATGGAAGTATTTTGATCACAGGTGAGATCCACGATTGGTAACAAGGGTCCCAAGGCCAAGTCTAAGCCCGTTGTCTTAACCCTGCCAAAGTCCAGGCTGACGGGGGCTTGGTAATAAGCTTCCTACAACGGCAGTCCAGTCGGTATTACCTGTGGGAAAAAGCACAGCACAAAGGTGTGAGCCATAACAAGGCGTTTGTGGTTGGCATGTCTTTTTTTGCCAAGGGACAATGAACCCCTGTCAGAGCAGGCAATAAGCTGCAAGGTTTCGATCCAAAATAAGCGCTTGAGTGCACCGCATTGTACAATCTCCTTTGATTAGGATGGGCGTGACTTGTCAGCAAAGAGACAAAAGAGACCCGTTTTTAGAGGACCCGCTTTACACGCTTTCTGGGAGGAGATTGTCGCTAGCCGAGGGCCATCTGGATGAAACCTGTAGTTATCCATGAGAGTTGGACGTAGATTTTCCCAGGATTACCTTGGATGGACCTGTCCACATTTTCCGTAACAGGCATAACGTCAGAAATCCGGGGAGCTACATAGTACAAGACTAGGAGACTTACGTAGTTGTCGAAGGATGGTTGAGCCTGTGCAAGGCGGGCCGGTGCCAAGTGGCTGGAAGAGTAAGGTGGTATGAGGCCAATGGTGACCAATGGCGTAATAACAGTTTCCAACGGACGAGTCCACCTTGAATATAATAAACTTCGCCCCCCTATCACCGGGTCCTTTTTGGTACGGATCTTTGCTGTGTTGAGCTGGTTAAGATGACTTGTCGGAACATCTCAACGGCGGGCGGAGGAACCCGCGCGCAACGGCGTAATTGAAACCTCCGTCATTTCTCAAGTCCAATACTATTTGGGTAGTACTTTTAGAGGGGAACCCCGCTGGGAATGGTGATGTTCCCCTTGGAATAGAGAACCCTGACTGTCTGAGTCGCACCAAGCTAAGGTTCCCGCCCAAATGCGAAAAGGTCGCACTTGGGACGAAGGAAGCTTCTCATCAACAGCCACAACCATTCATTCAGCCCTATAACCGATCGTCTGGAGTTGGAAATGAAGTTGAAGTTGGAGGTCTGGACCCTCCCCGCGCGGCCCAACGCGCCCGTCCGGTCGGCCTTGGATCATCTTGACAGGTTGAAACGGTTTTTTTCGTTTACTTGTTCCGCCACCCAAACCATTCCTAAGCGGGAAGCTAAACGGATTGCATGCAGCATCGAATGCAGCATCTAATGCAGCCGAACTGTCGGCCGAAATAGACATGATCCCGGGTAGACCGCGCAAGGGGCCGACCCTGAGTGCAGCATGTAGCTGCAGCGGAAAGCTGGCATGGCAACACACGGAAAAAGCCAAAGGTACCATGTAGTGATTGATGGGAAGGGTATCCGTACAGCCACGATAGCTACATCTGCCAAGGGCCTTGGCGTGGTGGCTGCTCATCACATGCAGAGTCCCCTGGCAAGGATGAGAGACGGTGAGCACAATGGAAATCTGACAGTGGTGAGTGGCTGGGATGGGATGTGATGGCTTGCGTGTTGCCGCCCAGCTACTAGAAGCTTGCAGGCCTACCTACACTACAGTACTAGTATAGTTTTAGCTGGGCAAAAAAAAAAAAGTGTGAATTTCTAGTGTTCGCAACGTGCATCCCTGCACATCTTTTTTGGTACCTTGGTGGTCTCAGTCCAGACATCCACTTACCGACGTTCCAATGGCACGGGACCACATGGTCTAGGCACGAAAGAAAACAGGAATAGGTTGACTCTAGCGTGATGTGTCGCGGCCGTGTTTTCCGGAGTGTAGAGACCACAAATGAGCCCAGTTTGCAATTCTGCTAGCCGAGAATCCGACGCCGGGCAAAGTTTTTGCTGCATAGTAAGGTATTTGGTTGTAAAATGAGAGGAGTTATGGGGAGTTTGTTAGTTCATTTCCCCATACTCACATGGCTAGTCTTACCAATGATGAATCATGCTTATGATCCCCCCTCTTCACTATCATAGACGCAAACCTTGTCATGACCTGACGCCTGCTCATTAACCATGACAGTTTGACTAGCCAGCTGAAATGTTGCATTCTGTTATTTTCCACGGACGCAAGCGAATTAAGCTATTGCGACTGTACCTTAATCAATGGATATACAATGCTATCCCTGATCGGAGGCAGGGCCAGCTATAGTCAGGGTAGCCTAGGTGATGAGACACTGTAGTACTCGGTCTCATTCACTTCAATACCCATCTCCGAAACTCTGCTGCATCTCCCAAGACTAAGCATGAGACGGTCTGCCGGAAGCAATTACGTCCGACAAATTGTCCACGCCTGGAACCAACGGTCCGAATCATCATCTAGATTTCACACTGAGCCAGCCATCCCCTGATAAGTTTACAATCGTCTAGGCCTCGAATTGCCTTACACACGCAGCAGTAGTCTTCATGCATGCATGCTAAGTGCAGGCACCTGCGGATCACTAGGCATTGATCCACGCGACATACGATGTACCTCAGTACTAGACAGACAAAGGGAAGATGAAGTAGCCTACGGTCTTGGCTGTGGCTCGTATTGTAGGCATCGCCTACATCTCATCACCCAGTCCACCAAGTCAGCATCAAGAGGAGGGGCCCGCTCCTTCTAAGCCACTTTTGATGATTCGGACAGCCAAGCCTTGCATATCATGAATCCCACGTTGTAGGTGTTGTCGAATGGCTCGATCCCAATTGGCTACCATTCGCGTCTCTTGGGTGGCGTTAGCCTTCGGATAAGCAGCCACGCGGCTGGTCTCCCGTCTTCCTAACCAGTCACCCAATGTAGTCATGCGGAATTCAGCTTACTACCTCATTCAGCGTTGGATGGTTTTTGTCAGAAGCCTACTCATCCTGCTGTCAACACGGACATCTCATGGCCCAAACAGCTTATGAACACACGATTCACCTCATGTTCTAGATCCAGTAAGGTAAAGAGGCGGCAGAAGCTCCATTTCAGTGCATAAGCGTGTTGGTTTCTATTTCCAGCAACCAATTGAACATTGCCAGTATGTCAGTGGCTTCGGACTATACCGACAGCCCATGAATGGTCTGATTATTAGAAGTCGATGTGTGCCCTATTCTCAACATCTTTCCTTACCGCGCCCAATTCGCTTCTTCGCATCCCCATCAATTGGGTGTATTGGAGAATGGTCTGTCTGCCATGCACCTACACCGCGAGGCGCAGTGGAAGTCCGGCACCGTAAGACGAAGGATTTGCGGGGTTATTCGGTTGAGTCCGAATTGTCAAACCCTCAACAGTTAGCACGCCAAGTGAGGCTAACATGCCCTCCAGCTCGAGGCTCCGCCATACGTAAGCTCACCTACTACTAATCCAAGGCAGCTGTTAGGCTACCACTTCTTTCAGACGAGGAGGAGGAGGATATTTCTTCCTGCCCAGCGTAATAGAAACGCCCCACATCGATTCGGGTCCGATAAAACACAAAACATCAGTCCGTCCGTCCGTTCTTTACTACTTCCCCGGCCCGGCGCGCTTCGGATGCCGAGAGCGGATACACTGAGTCATGCGCTGAAGGCAAGCTAACCAAGCGGGACGAAAATACCCCCTTAAACAATGCGTGGATAGCTGGCTATATGTTAATGGCTACCAACGCGTTTCATCCGAATGAATACACCGTTCGATTTTTTCCGAAACTGAACAAACCCAGAAATGGGATGACTCGAAAGCATATCTTGGCGCCAAATCAGGGGCTTCTGCCAGACCTTCGTCTTTCCCATGAAGATAGATTGGATTTTTCGCATACTTTGACCTAACAAGGCATGGTGTCCGACGAGGGAAAACAAAGTATCATTTGTCATCAGTCAAAATGTAGAGCTGGTAATGATGGGTGACATTGCCGGTTATTGCTCTCGATTTAAAGCATTCTCTTGGAATTGTTTTACAGAGATTATCCTTTCTTGACCCCCCCTGAACGCAATCCACGTTCTAGACCGTCGATTAACTCCCTGGCTAACCGCGCGGGCGCTCCTCTGCGACCCCTTTCGGTCTCCTCTTCGAAGCTGCAACGTTCGGTCCACCAGTCGAGCCAAGTCTCTGCCCTTGCCCCTTCCTCTGCTCGGAACAGGCCGACGCTGATGTCGATCACATCAGGACGGAACTCGTCGTGCCAAAACACAGTTGCGCCGCAGTTTCCACAAAACTCGCGGAGCACCCCCGATGATGATGTGTAGGTTTGCAAGACACCAGGCGGGAGCGTTTTGAAGTCGAGCTGTACGGTGTTTTGTTGTCCATCGGGACCGGGAACGTGGAAGAAGATGTTTTAGCGTGGAACGAACGTCCAAGTCTGGATTTTGAAGCCGGAGATGAGGCGGCACGAGCGACATGCGCAGGTTCCCGCCAAGTACTTCGTGCCGTCAGCGCGAACCCACCATTTTTCGTCTTTGGGGTTTCTCATGAACTCGGGAGAGTGGGCGCAGGCGGCATACTGCAAGTCTGGATAACCAGAGTGCGGAACAAAGCTTTCTTCGTTGGGGCGAGTGATGTGAAAACTGACGGTGCCGCAGGCGCACGAAGCGGGCAGTACTGTCGAGCTGACGTTTGATGACTCGTGTAGTTTGCGTTTCGCTTTGTCGTCAACCGCTGGTTCAGCGTTTTCGAGAGCTTCCAATGTGAGGTCACCAACCGTCCGCAGCCAAATTGAGATCCCACCATCTTTTGTATCGACGACTGACGTATGTTTTACGAAGCGTAAATCAATGTTGTCTGAGCTGTTGGCTTCTTGGTCAATGACACCAGTAGCAACTTCCCATGTTGTCTCGGGCCCTCGGGGCCGACTGCGAAAGATATGGCAACCGCAGACTGAGCAGAAGTATCTTGTGTATCCATCTACCTCATACCGCTCCTTTGTTCCTTTCAACGAATCAGGCTGCTCGATGGGACAGTAGGACGCGCAGAGGAGGCCAGTCGAATGACGGTCAACATCGCTATGGCTGAGAGATAGCCCTGCGGCGTTGGAAGTGGAAATACAAAGCTTGACCTTTCCGGTAACTGTACCGCACAGGCAGGAGACGTCCATTGTTGCTAAGCCGATAGTCGAGTCAATGAGATAGAAGATTCAAATGCAAATGTTGGGTTGCTGACACAAAAAGATCAGAAAGAAAGAAGTATTGCGGCTTGAAGATTGACGAACACCTCATGCTGGTCGTCATCAGACCCTCACTCAGCGTGTCCCCGCATGCATCGGCAGGTGCATGAAGTGGGATTCGGACCAGTCCCGGCGGAACCGGCCACTCAGGAGTGGAGGATCCTCCGAGGTTTCGGCGAAATGGCCCCGCATTTGCCGAACTCGGTCCCTCTAGTGAGTTTCTCCGGCTACTCGGGTAAACCGCCGGGACCTGACCTGGCCTTGGCCAATGAAAGAGAGGCAACCCCATGAAGGCTTCAGTGAACGGAGAATTATCGCTACAAGCGCGGAATGTCGCTCGAGAAGCTGATCGTGAGACTGGATGACGTTTAATGGTCGAGGCAACATTCGCGCAGACTTCTTCTCTTGCGGTGTTAGCCTCTTCTAGAAAGATATGTGGACTTGAAGTGGGCCGTGAACCTCACCAATCTTATGTCAAGTCAAGTTTGCCACTGATAAGCCAGCTTGGTTCTCCGCAGGCATCCAGGCCAAAATGTCTGTTGATTTGCGTAACCTATGCTGTGTGTTGCAATCATGCGTACTCAGTATACATTGCTACTTGCTTCACTGTGGTGTTATTGGTTATTATGTACACCATATGCCATTGAGGACAGCGCTCGTATATATCTATCGGACAGTATAGCCCAGCGCACGTTTCCGATCAAATCTGTCAGGTATCTTAATTCTTTTGTTTGATTTTCCTACCTAGTGTGTAAATCTTGGTATCTAGGGATTATCCAAAAACTCCATGTGATATGCCTTGTATAATTGAGGATGTTACTATTTACAAAAGGAAACAAGTGCTCAATGTGAAATCATTGATCAACCTAGCAAAGATGAATTGTTTCTGTACTTGTTTGATCGAACCCATGCACTGATAACTTCATCGGATCACAGCCATTATACCTAATTTAACTCAAGAAGCAAAATGGTGGGTTAGTTTTTGGTTGATGAGACCGGCCGAGTTGTCTTTCATGGTTTTGAAGGGAAGCCCTTAGCTAAGCGCTGGAATCAAACGCATACTAGTCGGGAGAAAGGCCACCATCAACATTTTTTCATAGCTATGCAAGCAATTGTTTCAGTGTCTTCGACTTTGGGTAAGTAAGGACAAGCAACGTTTTTCTTTTCTTTTTTTTGCAACCCAATTCAACTTGAAAATCATTAAGCTCGTAGTTCTTGGTGCGGCTGGCCGAAACGTGTGACATTTGCTTCTTTCAGACTTCTGTTTTGGGTAAAATTGTGACATGAGATGGCAAAACCAGTGACCAATATGTGGCATCTCAATGGTAGACTTACGCATCCTTTGTAAGTTGTATGTGAAAGAAGCAGCCTCACTCGCCAGAGCAGCAACTTCAAAGGAAACCTTGCATGGCCCACTCATCACCCCTTATTTTGGAACAAAGACGCTGCTTTCAGCAAAGGGTGAAGCCTTGTGTTGCTTCCAAGTAAATCTAATACACAGCCATGTGGATGACAGCCCCCAACTTGAAACAACCTTTGATTATATAAAGATGTTCCAAGCCATATGCAATGCTTGTGACTTGGAATCTTCACAGAGGCTATGTTAGACATCTGACATAGGTTGTTATGATTGGATACGGTCGACACTATGGGACACTTGATGCCATCTATGAGCTAATGTGATGAGTTGAACAGTACTATCTATCCGAGATGCCACAATAAAATGAATTTGGGACTTCAAAAAGCCACTTGAGCTACTCACTACTTACAAGAGGGCTAGACAGGAGTTCATGCAAGCCTAAAGTGACACTCCTGACCACGAGGTAAATCATCCGTGCCATTGTGAATCAGAGCAGGGCTGAAAAAAGGTTTTATGGTCCCAACGTCTTTTCCCGACAAAACGGCCCATCTGATGATAGCCATTTACGTTCTGGACTCGCAGTTCTCGCCTATGATTGGTAGCGAAGTTGAATCTTTTCCCGAAGCCTGTCGGCATTAGTCCGAGCAAGTGGGGCTGAAGGGCAAAAATACCATTCTCGTCGACTTGCACCATCCACTCGTCGATGACGTGCTTGGCTGATAGCTGATAATCATCAGTTTGACCCTCTTGATACGTCGAACTCAGCGGATCTTCTGCCTCTGATCGGTAATGTGTGGATGCTGCAATTGAAAAACTTTTGATATTCACAGCTTGGCGAATGAATGAGGACTATTTCGCCAGCTGCGAGGGCTATGACTCTTTTGGCGTTGAGAATGATGTGCTCCAACCCATGGGCTGACTGCATGGCTCAGAAGTGATTGATAAAGGATTTGTGCCCGTCGATTGCATGATCATCCACCTCGCTTGCTAGCTTTTATCGCTCGTTACATTCTTCGTGAAATTTGGTTCACCACCGCTTAATGGCCGAAATCAACGAAAAGGGGCCCGCAGAGGCTCCGGTTACCGAGCCGTCCTCCGATGTAGAGAAGCGACCCGCATCAATCACCTCCGGTCCGACTGAGCCTGCTTCGAAGCAAACCGCAAAAAACCAATCAAAATCTGGCGCTGATGCAGCTTTGGAGCTGCTCAACGAGACGGGCCCGTTGGGCCATGCCGTGGACCCCGAGAGCAACCGCAGACTGAAACGTCGTATCGACACCCATATCATGCCACTGATCTGCATCGTCTATTTCCTGCAGTACATCGACAAGACCGCTATCTCGTACGCCAGCGTCACCGGTATCCAGAAAGACACTGGCTTGCATGGAAACCAGTTCAACTGGGTTGCGTCTATCTTCTTCTTCGGTCAGCTCGCCTTCGAGTTCCCCACCATCCGTCTCATTCAACTTTTCCCCCTGGCCAAGTATACCTCCGTCAATATCACACTATGGGGTGTCGTCTTGGCTTGCCTCGCTGCTTGCAAGAACTATGCCGGCCTCCTCGTCTGCCGCTTTCTCCTCGGCGTATTTGAAGCGGCAGTCGTACCTGCTTGGGTTCTCTTCACTTCACAATGGTACACCAAGCAAGAACAGGCCTTCCGTGTCGGCATTTGGTTTTCTGTGTGCGGTGCTGCGCAAATGTTTGGCGGCTTCTTTGCTTACGGTGTCGCTGTTCATGTCGGAAAAGATCCGAATGCCCTTTTGCGGGGTTGGCAGTTCATCTTTCTGTTCCTGGGATTGTTGACAACTGTGGTTGGCATCGTATTCTGGTTCATCATGCCCGACTCCCCTGCAACGGCTTCTTTCCTCTCCCAAGGGGAAAAGGCGACGCATCTGGAGCGTATTCGCGAAAACGAGCAGGGTATCGGATCGCAGCAGTTCAAGTGGTCTCATGTATGGGAGGCCCTGACGGATACCATGACCTGGCTATACTCATTCTGGATTTTCGCAGCCAACATTCCCAACTCTATTGCCACCAGCTTCGGCAACATTCTTGTTAAAGGAATGGGATACACGAGCGAGGAATCGCTACTCCTCGTCACGCCTCTCGGTGCGTACGAAATCGTGGCCTTGGTCGGTCTGACCTGGCTGGCAATGAAGACGAGGCAGCGCCTGTACTGGTGTATTGCGGGCCATATTCCTGCCATTGTGGGTGCCATTTTGATGGCGACAACAGAGAGGGTACCTGCGCTGATAGGATACTACACAACGGGAGGTATTCCAATCGGATGGACTACGATTCTGGGTCTTCAGTCCACAAACGTGGCCGGCTCGACCAAGAAAATCACCGTCGCATGCATCGGTACCATCGCATATACCGTGGGCAACATCATCTCGCCGCAAACCTTCCAGAGCAAAGATGCGCCTAGATATCTCCCGGCCAAGATTTCCATCTGCATTATATACTTCTTGGTCACAGTTGACCTATTTGTCATGCGTTGGGTATTGGACAGGAGGAACAGGAAGCGGGATGCCGAAAAGGCGGCTCTGGGCGAAGCGTATAGAGCGGAAGAGAATCACGAATTCTGGGACTTGACGGATTTGGAAAACAAAGAGTTTAGATATGAGTTGTAATTTTAGTTGTCGTCTTGGACTGTACTCTAGCGTATACGACTCGGTAACTGAGAATCATTGTTTGACGCAGTGAAAATAAAATAGGTATCTATGTGCGTAATGACTCGATGCTGACTTGTGGTATTGCATTCAGTCCTGTAAGACTGGGGTATCATTAATTTCCAACCACGCTCTTCATAATTGCTAGGAGTAGTTTGACTTATGGCATTAGGATGTCCTGTGCAATACTCGGTATTCAGTCGAATCGATTTTAAATGACTGATCCTGGCATGTAGTTAGGGAAACGCCAAACTACAGTCCAGAAATGGGCAGGTCTTACTAAGAATCCCTTTGCCCATTGAAGAGCGGTTATTGTTGAGGCTTTTGTGCCTTTTGCAGTGACCAGTCGCACGAATACAGTGCGGCATGTAGGTCGTCGTACCTAGGCCAGCGATCCTTCCTCTCAACACCGTCGTGGACAGACAGGTGTGAAATTTCGTGGAATCGAGTTCTACTTTCAAAAGTATGGTCTCAGACAGCAATGCTGCCTTATCGAAAGCGGTGACACTTATGTGCTTGCTTCATGGGCAACATGTCCAAAGCTGTTTCTATAGGGCTCGTTGCGGCGATTTAATCGAATTGTTATCATGTCGCTCGCGTAAAGTTTGTCTCGAAAGGTTTTTCAAATATGACTTTTGTCCAGTTAGTCTCGATTCAAGTCGGGTCCGTCATGCGACTGGTATTCAGGCCAGATGTTTTTGGTTGACTGGTCGTCGATAAATCTTCGAGTCGATGGCAGTTGCATGACGACATTCGTGTAAAAGCAAGAAGCTTGTTTAACACAGCGAATTCCACTTTCAACTTGATGCCGTATACCAACGGCTTGCTAGTTGTTTGGAAGACGAAATGGTCCATGTATTCGAGCACACACAGTGCACTGTCGAGTAGAAAAACAAGAACGAACATGCTGATTGTTACGGCCAGCTATCTGACAGTAGGGTTCTGCTAACAGAAGGTGCAGTAAGAGACTAACACTGGTTCGTAGAGGTCGTTCTGGTAGATCGTAGGGTTAGGGTAAGGTGATCAGTCTTACACTATGGTAACGAGGTTCTTAGTATTCACAATACTGAGAGGTAAGCTGAAAGTCATTCGAGGATGAATCATAAGTTGATTGCTGAAGAACTATCTAGAGGGCTTGAGCAGGTACTCAAGTCCTGGTCTATATAGGAGTCTATCTACACGTATTGTCTATAGTCGTTGGAGATCATATTGATCGAACATGATCCGTTGGCCCCCAACTCTTCTTAGATCATTCTAACCTAGAATGATTCATCACGTGACTTGTTCCGTTCTATAGTTCTTCCGTTCCGAGAGGTTACCTTTTGTTCCCGTGGCCCTGCATACAAAGTCCTGTCATAACCGCCCAACCGAGTGGGTCTTGTTAGGTGTATCTAACGGGTCGTAACATCAGGTCTCCCCTCGATGGTCTTGTCCTCAAGGCCAACATAAGTAGGTCGGGGCTCCCAGGTTGGGGAGTCGTCAATCGTGCGTCCTTATTCATTCATGATGCTGACACCATGTCAGGTCGCGTTCAAAAATCGGTTTCCAACGAAAGTCGGCGCGCTCAAATCAAGCGTAATCGTCAGGCTCTAGGAATTCTTGTCGAGCATCGTGGTTACGACGCAATGCCTTGCTCGCCTTGTTTTCAGCATCATCGTGTGTGCAAGATGGATCTCGCCAATTCGAAGCGTTGTAGTGAGTGTGTAGCACGGGGTCTAACGGGTTGTGATGGTGGTGATGTGGCAAATGCCCGTATGTCCTTTTCCTATGATTTTTTTTTTTTTTTTTTTTTTTTTTTTTTTTTTTTTTTTGCTAATTTCTCTAGTGAATCGTTGTTTCCGGGAGCAGAAGAAGGTTGAGCAGGAGGAACAGGAGGCCGAGGAGGCCCTCGAGATCCTGCAGACTCAGCTTGCCGCTGCTCTGGGTCGTTTGTCTCGTCTTCGCAAACAGAAGAGGTTTCTTAAGGAGCGTGGTTCTGATCTAATTCGTCGAGGTATACAGTCTGTTGATGAGTAGGAGGAGGAGGAACGTGTTGTAGCGGCGCAGGAAGCGGCAGTCCTCAAGGATCTCAATTCCTGGGGTGCCGGGGATTCTGGTAACTAGGGTTCCTTCGGTGTTGGCCTTGTCGAGGCGGATTTCCTTGGTCCAGGCGTTCCTGGTTCCAGTACCGCTGGAGTTCTTCCTGAGCGTGTTCCAGGTTCTTAGCTGGTTCTAATAATGAGACGTGAAAGACTGGGTGACATTTCATTATTTCCGGTAGTTTCAGCTCGTAGTTGACTTCGGAAATTTTCTTCGTGATTTCGAAAGGTCCTAGTTTTTTGAAGTCGAGTTTGTCGCTAGGTCGTTTCGTTTTGATATTTCGCCGTATGAGATAGGCGCTACCTCCCTCTTTTAGGGGTGGGCCTCTCACCCTATGTCGGTCGGCGTGTTTCTTCATTCTTTGCCGTACGAATTCGAGTTCTTAGGGTAGTTTTTGTTAGATTTCCTTAAGTTTCTTGATGTCTGCTACTGCTTTTATCGCGGCAGAGCCGGTTCGGGGTTCTCCATAAGCGGTAGGGTTAAATCCATAGTTAAGGAAGAAAGGTGATTCTCGCGTGCTTTCTCCTATTAAACTATTGTATGCGAACTGTGCGGTTGGTAACAACTTGACCTAGTTGTCCTGGTCGTAGTTTACATAACTCCTTAGGTACGTTTCCAGGATCTGGTTGATTCTTTCCGTTTGTCCGTCGGACTGCGGGTGGAAGGCAGTGCTGAGGCTGTGCTTTGCTCCGAGCTGCGAGATCAGGGATCTCCAAAACTTAGACGTAAAGACTGATCCTCTGTCTGACACTATTTCCTAGGGCAGGCTGTATTAGCTGACAATGATCCTGAGAAAGGTATATGCTAAGTCTTCTGCCATGCTTAATTCCAAGTATAGTATGAAATACGCGTACTTCGTAAATCTATCTACAACCACTAGTATACTGTCGTACTATACTTTAGTAAGTAGTTCTCTCGATTTTAGTAGTTTGACGATAAAGTCTAGAAAGATTAAGTGCCAGGGTGCTGGTAGTACTAGCAATGGTTGTAATTCTCCATATGGTTTGTGTCTGCAGGGCTTACTTTTTGCACAGACTTCGCAATCCTTGATTACGTCAGCAACGTCTTTTCTTATTACTCGCTTGTCGTAGTATTGTCTGATCCGTTTCCAGGTTTTCGTAACTCCTTGGTGACCGTGAGCGGGTACGCTATGTATCTCCCTGATCTGGTCGTGTGTCATTCTTCCAGTCGTGCTAGTCTTGACACGGTCGCCGATCATTAAGAGTTTCGCGGCGGGTACGAGGTCGCCATTGTCTTTTTTGAGGATAACCTGAGTTTCTTCTAGGACTTCGTCCTTGTAATCGGGTCTTCGGCTAAGCGCGTCTGCTCTGCCGTTTTCTAATCCTTTCCTGTAGATGATTCTGAAGTTGAATTCTGAGAGGAATTCTGACCATCTGATTTGTCGTTTGTTAAGCTCTTTCGAAGTGGTGAAGTATGCTAGATTCTTGTGATCCGTGTATACTTTTACTTCGTACTTTGTTCCTGATAGTTAGGGTCTCTATTCTTTGAATGCGTCGATAATTGCTATAAGTTCCTTATCATAGATCTAGTAATTCAGTTCAGGTCCTTAGAACTTCCTTGAAAAGAATCCACAGGGGTATAGGACTCCGTTCTCGTCCCTTTGGCCTAGCTGCGCTCCTTCAGCTTCGTTCGAAGCATCCGTTTCGAGCTCGAAGGGCTTCTCAGGGTTCGGAATCTGGATGACGGGTTCCGATGTAACCTTGTCCTTGACTTCTTGGAACGCTTTCTGTTGTTTGTCTGTCTATTCCCAAGGTGCATTTTTCTTAGTAAGCTTGGTAAGAGGCAATATCGTTTTAGAGTAGTCTTTGAGGAATTTTCGGTAGAAGTTAACAAATCCTAAGAAGGATAGTATGTCCTTCGGGTTCTCTAGTATAGGCCATTCTTGCACAGCCTTGATTTTGTTAGGGGACATCTTGATTACGCCTGGCGTGATTGTGAACCCTAAAAATTCTACTTCCTATTTGTGAAACAGACTCTTCTCTGGTTCCACAAGTAGCTTCGCTTGTTCGAGTGCTTTGAGAATCTCGTAGACATGCTTCTTGTATTCTTCTAACGTTTTGGAGAATATAAGGATATCGTCGAGGTATATAACAACAGACTTGTCTAGATATTCCCGTAGTACTTGGTTGATCATAGTTTGGAATGTAGCCGGTGCGTTGGTGAGTCTAAATGGCATGACTAACGTTTCAAACTATCCTCTTCTCGTTCGGAAGGCTGTTTTCTACTCATCTCCTTCTGCAATTCGGATAAGGTTATAGGCTCCTTTAAGGTCTAAGGCTGTAAACCATTGGGCCTCGTAGAGTAGGTCTCTTAGTTCCGATATGAGGGGCAGTGGGTAACAGTCTTTGATCGTAATATCGTTAAGTCGTCGATAATCGACACAAAGTCGTTTCTTCCCGTTCTTCTTTGGTACGAATAGTACGGGGTATCCTGCAGGTGATTTCGAAGGTCTGATAAATCCTTTCGCAAGATTTTCGTCAAGCCATTCGTCTAAGGCTTTCATTTCTTCTTAGTTGAGTAGGTATATTTTGTTAAAGGTAGGTTCGTGTCCTTCCTTAATTTCGATCTTGTAATCCCACTTGCTGTGTTCCGGTAATCCGGTCTCGAGTTCTGGTGCAAAGAGTTTGCTATAGACCCTATATTCAACAGGTATCTTTAACATTGGATCTTCCGTGACTTTGTCAATCGTCGTAGCTGCTAGCGTCCTAGTGCCAATGTCTTTTATCCTTAGCATCAGGCATGGTCTCGCTCTGGTTGCTGCTAGTAATCCGCGTGAGGCCTTCGTCGAGTACTTCTCAGAGGCTGGATTGAATTTCATTCGGCCGGTAACCTAATCGATTTGTAGGTTATGTCTTCGTAGCCATGGAATTCCAAGGATAACGTCGTGGTTTCCTATCTCCGTGATGTCGAGGCTGATAAGCTCCTGATGGCCATGGTAGAGCAAAGGGAGTTGCGCTGTCTCCTGATCAATGCTGCCTCCGCCATACTCGACTTCTTTCCCTTCCACATTCCTTAGTCGGTAAGGGTTTTGCTTCTAATTCCATGGTATTTCTCGCTGTTGCACTATTCGGGGTGCGATAAAGTTTCCTTAGGCTCCTGAGTCTATCAGGACCTGTGTGGTGTATCCGCCCAGGTTTACTGTGATCTTCATTTGTGCGTCGTCGTCGAATATAGCATATAGGGACTTGCTGGGGGAGCTTGCCATGTGTCCCGGACAAGGCGGCTCTCCTAGTTTTTTGAGTAGAAGGCCTTCTCGCCCTTCTTTCGGTCTCTGCCGAGGTTACTTTCTCTGATTCCTAGACGAGGTAGGCTAGGCGTCTCGCCGTCCTGTCCTTGCTTGTCTAGTTCTTGTTGTCGGAATCTCCAACTTTCGCTTTTTAGAATGTAGTGGAGTTTGCATAGGTCTTCCCTACAATTCCACCAGACTCCCGTGAAGTAGTTCACACACTTCTGAGGGTATTCGATGCTGGGTCGTAGGAATGCTATTCTATTATTATTAGTTTTCCATTCTCCGGGTTCTCCCCGTACTTCCCAATATGAGAGTTCTTGTTCCTTATAGGCTTTGCGGATTCGCAGTTCTTCTTTTCTTTTAGGGTATAGTTCGTTTTCTACTTTCTTTAAGAGATAGTAGGCGCAGTGATCGAAGATGTAGTAGATCCATGCTATCTCCTTGTGTTCTCTGTGCTGTGTCGTAATCCTGGGATCGTCTTCCAAGAATATTTCTTCATCCCGGGTTTGTATGATTGTTATAGGGATTTTGTTATGATATTCTTCTGCATGGAAGGCGATCTGTTAGCAGTCGTCTTGGGGGTCGATGTATTTATATTCTAGTACTTCCTTAATTTTTTCCATTCTGTCGAGATAGTGTTCTTCTTCTGCGTCTTCCGGGTCGGTATCGTCTATCGACGTTCCTTGTAGACGTACTTCCGCCGAGGGTAGTCCGTCTACGACGTCTTCAACCCATTCCGAGATAGGTTAAGGAGTAGCGCGGGTTCTTTATAGCAATTCAAAGGTCGAGTCGCTGGCTACCGTGGTATATGGTAAGCTCCATCGTTGGCTTAGGTTGTCCTTTGCTTGGTATACTCGGGTCTGGGTGCTAGCGTCCCTGAATTGTTATTGTCTCAGCATTTCATCCAATTGCTCGGTGGCTTTGCAGGCATATTTGCTGGCTACCGCGAGGGTTCGTTCCGTCTTTCCATCGTTTTAGGGTTAGTAGACAAATTAGGTTGCTTTGTACTTGAGTTGATACTGTCCTCGGGTGTTTCCGCGTAGTGCGATGCGGCGGTCTCGGGTTTTCCGCATGTGTTAGAAGGTGTCTCCAACTTCGCTGTTGTTTCGAATTTGCATCGTGTAGTTGATAGCGTCTTGTATCCGTTTGATAGCTGTCTCGTTTTCTTCTTCGAGTTTCCTAGCTTCTTCTTCTAAGAAACTTTCCGGGGTGTTTACTTCATTCGTCTGTCGATAGTTAGCAAGGCGTAGGATGTCCCATAAGAGTCCCGGTTGGTATATAATGCTACCATCTTGGAAGGCGTTGTTAAGTTCCGCGGCCTTCTTCGCTTGTTCCTAGTCGTCGAGTAGCTCTTGTCGCTGCTTAGTGTAATCCGGTCTACCGGTATATCGGTCTATCACAGCAATGGCCTTGGGTATGTTGGTAGTGTCGTATCCCGATCGTCCTGCTAGGTTTTGAGGGTACCATCCACTATTCTCTTTTACATGCCTGTGCGTAGTACAATCATTGTCATAGCAGGCTATCTATCCCTTTTCTTCGTAGCTAGGGATTTTGGTTACAGCGTTGGCTTGCTTAGGGGTTGCCGTAAGTTTCTTAGGCTGTGTGCAGTGTCTAGCTATGTGTCCTGGCTTGTCGCAGTTGTAGCATTTGAATTCTCTGCGTCTGGGTTTGTCTTTTTGCGCGACGCTCAGGTCCATAGGTCCGCTGTATTGTCTATGTGCGGTGCTCTGCTGATTGTTATTCCTGTTGTTCTGGTTTTTGTTAAACTTGTGTTGGGGTTGCTATTGGTATTTCTTTCCTAAGTTAGCTGTTTAACGTTTTTCTCCTTTTTCCTTGCATCGTTCAAACAGTCGGTTGTCAATCTTAATAGCGTATTCGACATAATCAAGGAAGCTAGGTAGCGTGTCCACTTTAGCTATTTCGTCCTTGACGTCGTCCTTGAGACCCTAGTAGAAAGCGAAGACTTTACTTTCGTCGGTCATGTCGAGTCTGGCTGCAAGTCGTCGAAATTCTACGGCGTACATTATAGCTGATTTGTTTTGTCGTAGGCTCGCCAGTTCTCTTTCTGCTTGTCTTTTCTCATCGAGGTCTAAGAAGAGAGATTGAAGGGCTTTAACATATCCACTAAAGCTGAAAAAGATATCCTTCACTTCTTGACTATATCTCTCGATAGGGGTGTCTAGCCATTCTTATTAGAGGGGTTCGAACCAAGCAAGGGCCTTCCCTCTCAAGAAGGTGGCGGCGTAGACGACACGTTCGGTATCGTTCTAGAACGTGTTGATGTAGAAGGCTTGGTAGGTCCGTATCTATACCAAGTATCCTTTGAGCTGTCCAGGGGTTCCGTCGAAGGTGGTAGGGGTGTTAAGCTTAAGGCGTTCTCTTCCTTCGACAGGAGCTGATATGACGTTCGCGGCAGCTCGAAGGGTTGTGACTTCCTTCTCTAGTTCTTTGGTGCGGCGGGCTTGTTCCTGTAGCTCCTTGAGGGCTTTGACGTTCTGGTAAACAGGTTTTTCATTTCCCTAAGCTCGTTGTTGTTCCGCTCAAGTTGCCGCTTAAGTTCTTCATTGTCGTCATCGCTATCGGATTCCTCCTTCATTTCCTGGTCTTGAATCTCTTAGGCCAGATTCTGGGGAATACGTCTCTCGGACGTGGACGAGGTTCCAGGAGTAGGGTTTTCGGTAGTTCCGTGCGAAGACATCTTGTCTTATACTGTTCGTTAGTCTCAAAGGGCAACTTACTGAACAGGAGCAATCAAAGTGTTACGGCCAGCTATCTGACAGTAGGGTTCTGCTAACAGAAGGTGCAGTAAGAGACTAACACTGGTTCGTAGAGGTCGTTCTGGTAGATCGTAGGGTTAGGGTAAGGTGATCAGTCTTACACTATGGTAACGAGGTTCTTAGTATTCACAATACTGAGAGGTAAGCTGAAAGTCATTCGAGGATAAATCATAAGTTGATTGCTAAAGAACTATCTAGAGGGCTTGAGCAGGTACTCAAGTCCTGGTCTATATAGGAGTCTATCTACACGTATTGTCTGTAGTCGTTGGAGATCATATTGATCGAACATGATCCGTTAGCCCCCAACTCTTCTTAGATCATTCTGACCTAGAATGATTCATCACGTGACTTGTTCCGTTCTATAGTTCTTCCGTTCCGAGAGGTTACCTTTTGTTCCCGTGGCCCTGCATACAAAGTCCTGTCATAACCGCCCAACCGAGTGGGTCCTGTTAGGTGTATCTAACGGGTCGTAACACCTTATTCATACTATGCGGTAATAACATTGTAGTTAAACCCGGTTGGCAACGGGGAAAATGCGGACGAGCCAGATGCTGAAGTAATTGTGAGGATACAGCTCCTCGCATCAAGTTCGCGTGATTTAAAGTTCGTAGGTATTGGTAATCTTGCGTTGTGCCCATTTTTTATACCCAATTGACGCCCAGTCAAAGTCCAAAGTCGCTGACGAGGTAGCTGCTCGCATATCAACCAAAACCGCACTCCAGCTGTTGAAAACTGAAACCGTTACGTGATTAAGAAAAGGGGGATAGCACCTTTTAGTCTTCGACTTCGACTCAATCTATACAAGTGTTAGGTTTTCGGCATTCATTTACATATAGCGGTAGATAGACACAGGAATAGAAAGCCTGAAAACTATTGGCCCAGCCAACTACAAGAGGTAACCGTGCGCTTGGACTGGGTGAATAAGCTTAAAGCTCGGTATTGTATTACTAACTTAACTGGAAATCATAACCTGAGCTCATACGCATTTCACAACAGAGTCTGGTATACTCAGCTAATCATAAGACTTGTGAGATAACTAGACATAGATACCTCTTTGACAATATCTGAGGTCCCAAGTAGTTGCATGCACTTCATATCGTAAAAGATTCTTCTCCTAATTCTGACATGAGCTGGATTTCCTTGTAGCATCAAACTTCTATTTTGTATAGCTTTTCATTCTATGTTGAAAGGCTTTTAATCAGTATCATACTCGCTGTTCCATCAACTATTACGTCAGTAAGAATTGTTTACATACACACTTGATTTGTTAATCTAAAGATTGGCAATAGTTCGGTATGGTGGCAATTGATTATCGACTCTTCCATCACGTTCAAAATTTCTAAACGCCAGCCGCTAAGAGAAGCACACTGTACTGTAATGGACAATGATTGGGGCGCAACCCGGAGTATATGCATCGGACACCTCCATTGAGATACCGGATAGCTCCGTTTGCCCAGAGCAGACATGCTGCATAACAGCTAAGGAATTAAGACTAGAGTTCGTATCCCTACCGCCAGCTGCAATGTGACGCAACGGTTAATTGTTCCTTGCGGATAATCAACAATCTCCTCATTACTCCAGCTTCCCCGCTCTCCTTCTCCTTTCGTTCAACTCGCGATGTTAAAATTATGGGTTTGGGTCTTGGCGCTAAGCCTGATGGTGGAAAATCTTTGTGTCAACGGCAATCTTCGGGTTATGATTAGGCGACACAAAGCTATTGCGGGATCCGAGAGGAGGAGACTAGTTGACAGAATTGAGTATATTGGGAATATAAGCGCAATCAGACTACCTCTAGTCCAGGACGTTTCTAGCATCACGGCTGTTATCCAGGTCATCTCTGCCTAACAAGAACCACACGATGCTATTCCGGCTCTCGTTGCTGTTATGTCTCAGTGTTGGAATCACAGAGGCGCTGGTTGCCGACAGACGAAGCACAGCAGGGCCATGTCATCAGTCAAATGCTCGCGAAAAGATTAGGCTCCATACAGGATGGCGTTTCTGGCGCTCCGAGTCCATACCAGATGGGGTGGTCTACGAGAAGCGTTCAGATGCTAATGACGACACTTTGGTTGAATTGAAGCCTTGGATCATGCCAATTGCCAACGAATTCATTCAGAACCCAGCAGATCGGCATGAAACACCATCCACAGAGCCCGATGTTAATATCCCATATGTTTCCCCCACTTTCAACGATGCGGCTTGGGAAAACGTCACGGTACCTCACGATTGGGCCATCAAAATGCCGTTTCTTGAGGGTGAGAATCCGATCATCCCTCCTGCTATGGGACAGTTACCGGTGCATGGTGTGGGCTGGTATCGTCACAACCTGCTCATCAGGGGAGACGCCAATGACACAATTTATTACCTCGACCTTGACGGTGGAATGTCATATCCCATGGTGTGGATCAATGGACATTTAGTCGGTGGCTGGCCGTTTGGATACAACTCATTTCGTCTGAATATCTCACCATATTTGGTCGAGGGCGACAACATAGTAGCGATTCGTACAGAAAATCCTGCAGGGCCATCTTCACGCTGGTATCCCGGTGCCGGGCTCTACCGGAATGTTTGGCTTACCAAAGTCGCCCCTGTACATGTCGCACACTGGGGTACCACCATTACCTCCCAAGAAGTTTCAAAAGACTCAGCTACGGTCGATCTATCCATCAAAATCCAGAGTGTTCAGCCGGAACAACAAGACCTAGCAGTCACTATTGTTACTGAAGTCTTTGAAATCGATTTGGAGACAAACCAGAGACGGGAGACACCATCGGCAAGCTTTCCGCCAAAAACAGTTAAAATACGAGGCAGCCAGACGCTAGTCAATGACTCCATTATCATTAAGTCACCCAAGCTCTGGGGCCCGCCTCCAGCGCAAACACCAAATCTCCATGTCGCGGTCACGAGTCTGTACGCTGGTAGTGAGGCCAAAAAAGCCCAGCTGTTCGATACCTACGAGACTGTATTCGGTATTCGTTCTTTGACGTTCGATCCGAATAGAGGTGTCCTTATTAACGGTGAACATGTATACCTGCAAGGAGCTAATCACCACCATGACCTAGGCGCTCTAGGGGCGGCGTACAATCATCGAGCTGCCGAAAGGCAACTTGAGATTTTGCAGGAAGTGGGCGTCAATGCCCTTCGCATGTCACACAACCCTCCAGCACCTGAGCTTCTAGACCTAGCTGATCGCATGGGATTTTTGGTTATGAACGAGATCTTTGACAGCTGGAGTGATGGGAAATCCGCATTAGATTTTCATCTAATATTCGACGACTGGAAAGAACCTGACTTGCGTGCTTTAATCCGCCGAGACCGAAATCATCCATCAGTCATTTCTTGGAGCTACGGCAATGAAGTTAAAGAACAAGTCGGTAATGACGCACTTGCTGCGAATATTTCTATTCATCTGCGAGACATTTGCCGAGAAGAGGATCCGACGAGACTCAGCACAGCAGCACTGAACCGATCGCCTCCCAGTTCACTGCTGGCCAAGACATTGGACCTAATCAGTCTGAACTATCAAGGAGAAGGCATACGGCATGGTCCAGCATATGCAAACTTGACCGGCACAAGAACGGCGCCTCAATATGCCGCATTCCACGAGGCATTTCCTGACAAGGTCATTACAAGCAGTGAATTTGGATCCTCACTTAGTCTGCGAGGATCCTTCTCTTTCCCTGTCACCCCATACGATAGTGCGCCTCTAAACGAAACAAGTGGCAGTATCCCTAATGAGTATGGCGTCAGTGCATACGAGCTATACACTGCTGGAGCTGGGTCTTCACCAGATCGAGTGTTCCATGCCCAGGATGAGCACCCGTACGTCTCTGGTGGATTCGTGTGGACAGGATGGGACTATATTGGTGAGCCTTATTTTTATAAAGGCATAAGAAGTGGTTACTGGGGTATTGTAGATCTTGCGGGCTTCAAGAAAGAGCGATTCTGGCTTTATCAATCCCGCTGGCGACCAGATCTTCCCATGGCACACATCGTCCCACACTGGAATTGGCCTGACCGGGTCGGGGAGAACACGCCCGTTCACGTCTTTTCCTCTGCAGACGAAGCGGAACTTTTCGTCAATGGCGAGTCGAAGGGTCGACGCAGCCGCGAAAGTGATCCTGGCTTTTACCGCTTCAAGTGGGACGAGATCAAGTATGAGCCTGGGGAAGTACGTGTGGTTACTTACAAAGATGGAAAAGAATGGGCAACCGACCTTGTCAAAACGACCGGTAATGCGAAGAAACTTCGATTGAAGCCCGACAGGAGCAAGGTTGTAGCAGACGACGAGGACTTGTCTTTTGTTACAATCGAGATTGTGGATGATGACGGCAATGTGGTACCTCTGGCCAATAATAAAGTCAAACTATCAGTGTCCTCTGGGCCAGGAGAAATCGTGGCTACGGATAACGGGCATCCTGCCGATTTCACTCCGTTTCCGTCATTGGAGCGGAATGCGTTCCATGGTCTTTTGCTAGCCGTAATCAGGGCCGGCGCCATTGGAAGGACCACCATAACAGCTCAAAGCGAGGGTCTAGAGTCTGCAGAGCTTTCTTTAGAATTTGTGTAATACTAAAGATCGCTTGCAATGGACATATTGAAGTCTCTAGTTGTACCTGGTACCTCTTCATAGCTCGATTGCGTGATGTTTTGAAACTTGAAGAGCTGAAGCTTTTGCTCGGTACGAAAGACGGCGTTTGTAGGTTCCAAAGCTGCCAATAACTACTTGCAATGAGACATAAAGACCAACGTTTTAGTTACGTTCTGAAGTAGGGTACTGCCATAGCAGGTCATTTGCGAAGGATCACCCATCTTTGCCGATGCCCTGGTGCATACTCAAACCCAAGCCGGGTTAGCGGTCTTGAACAATCGTAGCTTGAGTGTCAAAACGCCGAAGAGGTCAGCTAGCCATTGAGTTTGATTCGCGTCAATTTTCGTATGAGAAGTAGCTCAATTGGACTCCTAAAAACCCGACAGTCTTCTGGACAGGGTTTGCAGGTGAGAGGCATCTAGTGACTAGCTACCCCTCACTCGATCGCTTGCAAAGCACGCTATCCCCCTTGTCTACAATTTCGCAAGCACAGCATCAGCACCGCTGACACTGACCTCCTTAGGCGCCTCCTCTTTTTGAGCATAGGTAATTTTCCCATGGTCGATAATAAGTGCGTAGCGCGCCGTGCGCTCACCCAGCGTCCAGCCGAGCTTCTTACTGAAGGCCAATTCCGTATCGCTCAGGAAGAGGATGTCGTCATTCTTGATGTTGTTGGCCTTGCTCCAAGCGCTCATCACGAAGGGATCATTATAGGCGATGCAGGCCACCACATCCGCGCCTTTAGCCTTCAACTCGCCCAGCTTCTCGATGTAGCCTGGAAGGTGTCGCGCCGAGCAGCCTGGTGTAAAGGCGCCTGGCACCGCGAACACTACCACCTTCTTGTTCGCCCATTCAGCAGAGGCGTCGTAGTTTATCGGGATAACGTCGCACACCCACTTCTCGCACACCCCCACATTTCGCACACCCATAAATTGGGTCATCATGAGGTATTCATCAACTTCATAACTATAAGTCTGATTCGTCTCCTGCAACTGTGATACTATCGCCAGTTTTAATAGGTAATTCAGGCTCGCTAGATTCATCTGAGCTATCCTCAATTTCGCCAGCCTCAATTTGGGCTTTGTGAATTGCCTCAATGTTGGCAAACTTCGAATTTGGGCTCATTTGGACCTTACGCCGCTTCCGTACCATTCCAGCCTCAACTTCTGCTTCCAACATTGCAATCTTCTTCTCTGCTGTAGCCAATTGATAGTCCTTTTCATCAAATCCCTTTTGAACCTTCCGAAACAACAGTCGCTGCGTTTGCTGATCTTTATCCAACTTGCTGAATAAGCTAAGTTGATCATATAGATCAACTGTCTTCTTGGGCGTTGACCAGGCTACTATGGATGTAGCAGATGCCCAGTTTTCGTCTTTTCCACCATCAGAGGCCCTCATAGGCGTAGAATAGCCTGGCTTTGAGGGCTTGGAAGCATTCTCAAGCAGTAGAGGGCTCATGAGCGGTCGAGCTATCGAAATGGGCCATAGTCCTGTTGCTTTCCAGCCGCTTCTGATATTCTTGCTTGAAAATGCCATCTGGCGTGCTTTTCCATAGCAGGTAAGAAAGTTCCGTTTGCCTACAACTGTAGAATCGTTGTGTTGAATGAGGTATCCAAGCTCTTTTCGATAGGTCGCCTTGAGAGGCCCAAAGACTGCTTGGTCTAGAGGTTGGAGAACGTGGGATGTATGTGGCGGTAGGAAAAGGAGATATATCTTGTGTTTATAACAGAGATACATAAATTCTGTTGTTTCATGACTGCCATGACCGTCTAGGATCAATAGTCTCTGCTCAGAGGGATGATCAGGCTTAGTCAGAGGGATAAAGATGTTCTCAAGCCATTCCACAGCTGTAGAGTCTGAAGTCCAGCCATTCTCAGTTGCTGTGAACTTCCAACCACTGTAAATATCACGTTTATGGATATCAAGAGGAAACCATTGTTGTTGAACCGATTTCCCTCGATAAATAACAAGTGGAGGAAGCGCCTGACCAGTTGCAGAGACACACTCAAGCATAGTTGTCCAAGCCCGAGACCCAGGCTGTTTTTTTCGCATTGATGAGCTTTCTGATGATCCCAGTACTAAGCCATTTGATCCTCTGCCTTCTAGGATACCAGTTTCATCCATGTTATAGCGATGATGTGGTTTGATCGCCTTGATCTCTGGAAGGGCGAGTTGTTGAAACCATTGCCTGATTACATTAGTTGAGGCCCCATTGACACGCTTAGAATCGATGGCTCTAGCTCTATGAACCTTGATTGATGGATTTCTCTTAATAAAGAACTGAATCCAGTTTCTCCCAAGTGGCTGGGTAGTGCCTCTGATGTCTAGGATTCGCCGGGCAAATTCCTTGAGTTGTTGATGTGTTGGCGGCAGCCCTAACGCCGCCTGGATACGCACCCATTCAGCTAAGTGACTTTCCTGTGCTGGAGATAGCTTCTGGAAGCTAGAGAAAGCTACATTTCTTGCCTGTGAACCCTTTAATCGAGACTGGAGGGTTGATGGTGGAATTCCAGCATCATGAGCTGCCTTTCGGACACTCTGCCCACTTGCAACTGCATTGAGAGCTTGATTGACTTCTGTTTCCGTATACTGGCCCATTAAGCGTATAAGAGTAACTATTCAAAGAATTATAATAATCGCTGTAAAAGTGGTGAAGATATTAAAGAATGTTGAAGAGGGTAAAATTCTACATGAGCGATTTATGGGTGTGCGAAATGTGGGGGTGTGCGAGAAGTGGGTGTGCGACGTTACCGCATGCTGTTATCGAGTCTGTCTCAGGGCTGTAGGGTACATACCTACGCCACGTGTGTCAGCTTCTCGTTTGATCGGTCGGCAAGGGTGACTAGAAAGGTCGACGATGCTGTACACTTACGAAAACTTGGTGCCCTCAGGCAAAGAGTCGCCGACCTGGACCATGATGATAACGGCTTGTACCACTAAGGTATTGTGTAATTTGTAGAGGATCAGTGCTGTCGACAGATCTTAAGACGACAAGCAAAAGCTGGCTAACGTTAAGAAGGACAGAAAAGGAGGGGAAGCTTGAAATACCATGTCCAAGTCCCAAATGGCCTACCAGCACTCCCAGCGATTTGTCAGGGACGGTTCCAGCTCGCGTCATAGCTTGCCTCGGCTTCCCCGCCTCCAGGCATGCCCCAACAAAGATGGAGAAAAAGCAAAGATGCAGCGGGACCCACATTCCAGATGTTAGCTCTAACCTTGTTGTTGTGACATTTGAGATCGGATGAGTTGCCCAGGCCACACTAGGTTTGGGTTGCTTTGTGAAGTTGCTGACACTCATCACTGTCGAGTTGGAAATAACATCTTGTGATGTGAAAGAAAGATTTAGTTAGATGGGACTGAGATCGTTTGATTTTCAGGTGCTATGGCAGAGTCAACAGTCTGTTAGACTTTTCACAAATTTCTGTTCACTAATTTTTATTTCAGATGCCCGAGAGCATAGAGTGACATGAGCTGGAAAAAGCCATTTCTCTCGACTAAATTAAAGAAGAATCTGCGCTGAAAATCGCATCTTTGAGATGTAGGCTGGCCTTACTCCTAGTAACACACTTGGCAGTTTTTGTGCGTGCACTCAGGGCCGCCAAGAAACTTGGTTTAAAAGAGAAAAAAACTCCAACTATGTGAAATAAAACTCTACCGAGTGTGAGTAGACACTATTCACAATCATTATAAAACTGTTAACTCTTTAACAAACCTTCTTCTCATGAAAGTTCGAATTTGTGACATATACAAAGAAGCAGACTGATCATGCCTTGTGATACCACATTGCATAAGATTGTCGAATCTCGGAAGCACTCATTACTATTGGTCAATCTGAAGGCGAGTTTTACCGCGTCATTAGCTCACTTGGCTGCCTTTATATAACAGATGTGGATGTAAGCGATTGGCCAACATTTTATGCATGTTGCTATCGCCGTCAGCTGCGCCACATACATTACTGTTGCAAAGGCTTGCGAACCATTTGAGGTGCCTTATAGGCATAATCGCTGGTCTATTGGTGTGGGCGGAAGGCTGGTGTGGCTGTGAATTGCTTTGGCCCTTTTAAAGGCCAGCCTGCTCTCACCACCAGGTTGACCTTCTTCAAATTTTTAATTCATTTTGTGCTACTTGTTTTTCCAAGAACCATCAGCGGAGATCTCAACCATGTCACAACGCAAAACATGGTCGTGCAATCCTGGAAGCCCAACTGCGACAGTCTCCAGTCAAGGAACGGCAATCGGACGAGTAGGCTACCCTCCACATTATTTGAAAATTTCTTGGGATTTGCATCGATATGGGCAATATTGTATCCTGCCGTTAACATGTTTGATTTTTTTAGAGAACAGCAGAACTTGTACGCACCACAGGCTCTTACGTAGGTTGAACGTGTCCTTCCTCTGATGATTGTTGCTCAAACCCTTTAGCTCTCTGTGAGACAGTTTTCGAGAAGGAGTACCGACAGGACTTCTTCGATCATAGCCAGCACGCGAACTTCAATAGATCAGCTACAGGTGTCTCGGGCTGAAGAACAATCCACTGGGGACATTATTCGTGAGCTGGGAGAGGGTCTCGATATTGTCGAGGACAGTACCAACAGCCTAGAGGTGGTCCAGCCTGAAGGAGAACCAGATACGCTCAAGACCGAAAATTCCGATAAAGATGTTAAACTACAGGGCTTGCGGACAGCAATGCTAGAAGCTCGTGTGGAAACGATCGAAGGACAACACTTTATACCAATATCTCTTGTAAACGAGCTGTTGACGGAACAGAGAGTAAAGGAGGAACTGATGCAAAGCCTATCAGAAGCATCGAGCCATGAGCTGGATGAAATTTGCCAGCAGGTTTGCAGCCAGCCCAATCCAAACGCCGCATCATCATCGTTGAGGTTCCTCCGCGTATTTGCTATACTGGTTTTGATCGGTCGGTCGGCCGATATTCGTGAGTTTATTCGGTCCGGTATCTCAGACAAAGACCTTCCACTCTCCGAAAAGCAGCTCCAGCAAACTAGAGACGGCGAAACATCGACAGAAAGAAGGGCTATTGATCTTCCTCATTGGGACTCGGAACTGAAAGAAAAGTTTGTGCGCTACCAATGGGAAATCAATGTACCATTCTTTTCACAATCGGAATCGCCGTCCAAAATTCGATTTTACAAGCTCGATGCGAAAACCATACTTCCATTCACTAATGACAAGACCCCGGATTCGATCTATGGAGGATTCAGCGAAGTCTCGAAAGTAAAAATACATTCTTCTCACCATAACTTTATCGGCATTGTAGGTTCATCTTCGTGGTCACCATTATATGTCGGCTGACATGCCACAGTCTCCCAAATCAAACCTTGCCGTAAAACGGTTCAAAAATGACGACTCGGGGACTTTTGTTGAGGAATTAAGAGCTCTTCAAAGGTTCTACCGTCCACAGAATCGCCATCATCATCTGATTAGTCCTATAGCAACATTCCAGCGAGGCAACAAATACTTCATCATGTTCGAATGGGCGGCAGGAGGCGACCTTCGTCAATTTTGGAAAGCTAACAAACCACCTATTCGGGCCAATGCTGAACTTGATCTTTGGATGGTAAAGCAGTGCTTAGGTTTAGCTGATGCATTGGCGTCAATCCATAAGATTCATAGCAGCAAATCTCTCTACGGGCGACATGGAGACCTTAAGCCTGAAAATATCCTCTGTTTTGAGGATGCCGACTCACCTATCCGTCGCACACGGTTGGTGATATCAGATGTAGGTCTGACCAGATTCCATCACTCTGCAGAAGGACAGCACAGTGAGCAGAGACACACGCCAACATACCGAGCCCCGGAATTTGATCTCGAAAACGGAGTCACTAGTCGATCATATGACATCTGGTCTTTGGGATGTTTGTTTCTCGAATTCGTAACGTGGTATCTCACTGGATCCTCTGGTATTGATGACAAGTTCACGGAGGTCCGAACTACCGAAGGGCTTACGGACGTGCCGGATGATAACTACTTTCTTGTAAAGCGCGATTATGTAGATGACACTTTGCGAGCTGAGGTCAAGCCTTCCGTCACAAAGGTCAGTGATTGATCCCAAATCTCTCTATATATACTTCACTAACAGCCGCTGCCATAGTGGATAAACGAATTACGAAGACATCCGAATTGTGTGCCATTCTTACAGCGAATGCTCGACGTAGTAGAGACCAGAATGTTGGTTGTAGATGTGAAAAAACGCATTGAGGCCATAGATTGTGTTCGCGCTCTGACTGAAATAGCAACCTCTATGGACACCAACAGCTTGAATCAGGTGGAAAGTCCGAGGCAAAACACTTTGTCAGGAGTTTCAGCAAATAATATTATACAACCAACTAGTAGCGTGCGTTTGCGTCAATTAGTCAATTTGACATCAAGTTTGCTAACAGTAACAGATTGACTCTCAGTTAAACAGAACACGTTCTCAAATTGGCATTGGAAATCTGAGGCTGGAAATCCTTGATGAGAAATCAAAAAGGATATCAACTTTTGATACACTGAGATTGCAAATCGAACACCAACTTGGTCATAAGCTTGACTGGTCGCCACTTCCTGGCGTGAATCGATGTCCAGCTTCTGCTGAAGCACGTCTCGTTTGGAACGTGAGTTCAACATGACCAACGACTTTGAGGACCGAGTTTCTGACATAATTTTAGTATGGAGGCATGGAAGTCGCCATTTTTCTTGATCATAATCGACTCAAGCGCTACAGAGATCGAATTCACGTGTCAACCCCGGCGATTCTACCGACAATGAACGCTACAAAAAGTACCTCTAGAGGAACAAGAACAACTTTGGCGGGCTTGCAAGCATACTGGCAATATATTCGTCTGGGTGTCTCGAAGACCTTGCAATCCTGGAAAAGGAGCAACGCCACTAAGAATAACACCACAGTACTACATCCTACAGTCCGCATGACAGCCAGTACTGGGAAAGAATCATACTTCTGTATTGATAAGCACTGGACAAGTGTCAAGCAAACGAGTATGTATACCGTGCCAGGTATTGACCAATTGGAAGATGACCATCAGCTTTTCCTGGCACTTGGAAAATGCCTCGAGGGTGCCCGAGGATCTTGGATGCACCGCTGGAGCTCATGGAGAACTTGTACAGGGGTACAACTGTCCAAAGTAAGTAAGCAAGAATGACTGGGTAGGCTGGATTAAATCAACAGTGCAACTAATCTTGCGTAGTTTACCTTTCTCTTCGACAATTGCGACCTCGTCAAAGCATTCGAAAAGGGTATGAACGAAAGGGTCCAGGAGATATGCAAAGGATATGACTACTCCTGCTTGCCGGAGCTCGATCCTGATGAGCATATGCAGCTGATGGCGGAGACCATTCTTCAAGGGCTGCAAGAGCCTGAGAGAGGCCAAAACAGTCGCGCGGTTCTTGATGGCATTCCGAAACTTCAAGCCCCACCTGGCATTGATAAAAGACAGTTCAACTCTGGATGGGGCTTCTACACATCCCAGGGATACTGTCTGATGAAGATTCTACTTTGGGTTGGCGCCATCTTATCTCCTGGTGTCGCCTTCGTCATAGCCTGGCTTTGTCTGGTAAACGCTTTCGACCTGCAGAATGCGTTCGTACCTATGATGTTTTTGGCGGGTAATGTTGCTATCATTCTGGCATCTCTCCTGATGTGTGCACCTTGACCGGGTGTTCATATTTATGACAGCATTTTACACATATCCTGGGTTAGCATTAGGGCGTACAAGTGAATTCGCATTGCGGCTAGGTGGCTTATGTTGGGATAAGTAGGGATTGGTTCCTATTTCGGGTTCCTGTTTTGGAGAAAAGCCAACTACCAGATCTTGTTTACCAAAAAGGTCATTTTTCATGCCACAGTTTTATAACTTCAACTTGAAGACTCTCGCCTGTTAGCCGTCTCTCTCAAGCATAGTAGCCCTGCAAGCAACTCACTCTCATGGATCGTAATTCCTATGCCAATGGGAACACCCGAGTTGCTCACAAACCTGTCAGAAAGAAGAGGTCAAAATGATCAGATGGTTTATCCTTGTATGAAGCGATTCTCCTCGCCTCAATGATTGGCCGCTTGGCCTCGCCGCCAACGTAACACCCAGCCCAAGGCAGCAGCACCATGACCAGAACACACCGGGGGTTCAAATCGATCAGTAAAAAGGACAACCCTTCATGTTGGTCTGCACATGTTGGTTTACTCATATTATCACGCAGGCAGCCGCACATAGCCCCCACGTGACCGGCTGTGCTGGGGTCCCGGCCATACATCCATACATGTAGCTCCAACAACTCAAACTGAAGCTCGATTTCCTCAAGTCTCACCACCATGTTAACCACGCTGCCATTGACACAATCAAAATACACCCCGCACCCCCCAAACGTCCGCATCCATCTTAACACATCACATTCACAACAGTCAACATGCACGACGCCCAAGACACCGACCCCTCAAGACACTTCTACAAGGCCCCAACCCCGCCCAAACGCTCCAACATCTTCAGCGGCGGCGCCGGCTTCCTAGTCGCTCGTCCTTCCATCGGCGGTCTCGTAGTCTCCGCGAAACCTTCCGCTATCGATCTCGCCCATCTCGGCCTCCCCCGCACTCACGACACGCAACGCCCCGCCGCCCCGGCAACCGACGACGACCTCGCGACGCGCATGCTGCGTCTCGGCGCAACCTGGTGGCCCGACTGGGACACCTACGCACGCCACCTCTCCCGGATCCAGGTTGACGACGTCATCTACGACTTTCACTTCCCGCCCCAGACGCATGTGGGATATCCCTCGACTGGCGGAGTGTGGGTGGTGAAGTTGTCGCGGGACGAACTGTGGTTCGACGGGTTCGGGAGGCGGGACGAGCGGACGCGGACTTGGCCGCGGAAGCCTAAGGAGTGGGACCTCAGGATGGGCATGGCATTGGATATGGACGAGAAATGTTCGGTTATTAAGCTGTTTGGGGGCACGTTTTACGAGGATCTCGAGGGTTGTGCTGGGGAAGTCGCGAGGAGTCTGAAGGAGGGTAGGGAGATGTTTGGGCAGTATGAGGAGCTGCTGAGGACGATGGATGATGGGGAGTATGTGAAAAAGTGGCTTGCGGGTTCGCAGAAGCGAGAGCATCATTCTGATAGTGAGGATGAATACTTTTGGGACGACGGAGCTGGAAACAATAGAAATGGTCATGGTAAGGGATGCTTGGTCTCGTAATGGAAGCACCTGGTGAGGTGAAATGGTGGCATAATGCGAGATATGCCTGTACTTGAGCGATTCTAGACTTCGTTAGATTCCAAAACAACTATTCCACGAATAACGACAACATTAGGGAATATTCCGTGGGCTCATCTAAAACCATACATACACATCGAAACACACAGGCGCCGCACATTCGGGTGCACCATGTTTGATTTCTCATACTACACTAGTCAAAAACCAAGTGAATATCATCTCCCTGTCAACCCATGCTGATAAAGCGATTCTGCCTGTTTCCTCATGATCCTTTGCATCATCTACAAATTCCACCCATAGTGCAATGGGGGGTTCTTGGTATGGAGACCTTTCCTTCCTAGCAAGTTTAACGTTTAGAGATCTTTCTAAGCCGACATCCTTGAGGGGTGAATGCTCGCCAGTATAACGAGAACAAAGCTTACAGCGCTAAAGGCCCGATTGCTGAAAGCTACCCTAATGCTGGCTAGCAGTTTTTGAATCTCCGGACTAATCCTATCTGTAGTTCAGCGTGACAAAATTAGCGACGACATCACCGGGTGTAACACATTCTCTACGTCAACTTGAGAACTGTGATATGAAGATTTCCACATCTTCGTTGTCTTGTGGTGTGTAGCCAAACATCTCCAGCTAGATAGATACAGTTGAAACAACATTACAAAAAGCGTAGTGTAATATTTGGACGGACTGAGCCGCCTACGAAGTGAATAACGTAACCTGGCCAATTGGCCCAGATATCCATGCATTTTGCGAGCCTCAGCAGAAAACTACGCCATGACACACTCTACTGCGCCAGCTCCTTCAGAATCTTCTTGCTCGTCTCGTAATCCGCAGTGCCGTTCTCAGGGTCAGCATCAACCGCAGTCGCATTGCAGACCGAACCGGCGTTGTACTTCCCAGCAGGGCCGTCGACGCCAGCAAAGTCTCTCTTGCTGTTGGCCTTCAGCATGTTCTCGGCGGCCTCGGGCAGCCATCCGTTGATAAAGTCGCCGTGGGTGCAGTACGAAGAGCCGCAGGACAGCTCCAGGGGCGCGGGGCCGTCCCAGCCGTCGGGGAGCACCTTACGCAGGTCGTAGCGGATGCTGAAGCGCAGCTGGGGCATCCTCTTCATGCCTTCGGGACAGCGGTTCGCGGGCTTGAAGAACTTGGTCCAGTGGTGCACGCCGGAGTAGGTCGACTCGAGGGTGGACTCGTTGACGCAGTCGTGGAAGAGGAGGATGGTCTGGAGGTGGGCGGGGCATCCCTTGGAAGGGAACTCGGCGGCGTTTTTGCCCTCGTTGGTGCCCTGGCCGCCGTGGTCACAGAACCACTGGATGCCGGCGAGCGGCTCGACGTCGTCCTGGCTCTTGCCCTCGGCGTTGCCGACAACAGCCTTATAGTTCTGCGGGATGGCTACTTCGGCCTTCTCGATGCTGACGTAGTAGGCGCTGAAACGGAAGATGGGGGCCGGGAAGACGCTAGTTCCGTTGTTCACGTACAGAGTCGGCACCCCTGATCTGTCAGCTTGACCTCGAACATCAACTTGGATGAAGGGCTTGGGGTAACTTACAGTAAGAGGAGAAGTCATTGGGATTCTCAGCAGTAGCGCATCCGGCCTGGAGCTCCTTGGACGTGGTAGTGTTGACGGTCACGGCGTCGGATCCGAAAAAGGTGTGCATGTGGCTGGTGTACTCGCCAGGGACGACGACAGGATCGATGTTCTTGAGCATGAACTTGCCCACATTGGTTACGGTGTAAGCGCTGACTGCGCTGGCACACAGCAAAACGTTGAAAATGCCCATTTTGTGGATAGTTGGGAAGAATGACGACGGCTTGGTTTGTTTCAAGATAAAATAACGGTCTTTCAAAGAGCGTGAGTTGAATTTATGAGTATAAACAGAATAAAGGAGTGAATAGGCCCGGGCTCATAGAGACCACACCCAAGAAACGAATGAATGGCTTGACGAAGCTAGAAAAAGACTGTGATGATCTAACCACATCCTGAGTTGTAGCAGATATTGAGCTATATAATGACAACGAACTTTTCCACCCCTGAACATCGCAGGATTCGCTAATGGAGCAGCCCGCGTTGTTGAGAACGTGGGTTACTGTGAGTTAACAGCTTGCAAGGGGCCCATTGCACCATTTTTCCAAGATGGGATAATGAGGACCAACGAAAAGCGTAAAAATCAGCCTCTGCCTGCAATCAGATCTAAAGGCGATTAGAGACGTGCCGGGGATCTCCTGGTGAAACCGAGAATGCATGCGGCGGCAAGCGTTGGCGGCTCCTCTAATCTCGACAAGCTGGGCGCTTACAGGGCTTAAACGGTGAGTGCAGCTGTCGTACCCACAGTCGGGGTTCTGCCGACTAACGGATGGAGTAGATCGAAGGAAAGATTTACTCTTTGGGAATAGAAAATGAATTTAAGTGACAAGCATTGTCTGATTTTGAATGATGAAGCGGACCGAAGGGCTGATGCCATTTTGTTTCTGGAGCTCTCAATAATCCCACCGTACCTTGAAACTGATATTGCTTACCTTTGAGCGGCATCGTGAATAGAGATGACGCTGCGGCAGAAAGTTTAACCTGGTGGTCAATAGTAACCGTAGCTCACTGGTAATCAATAAAGGTGCAAGACCACTTATCAAAGTCCTGAATCCTCTCGTAGTCAACCAGGTTCCGGTCAACCAGTCTCAGGTCAAACTCGAGAGCTTCCATCGACCAGATTCAACAATGCAGATCATTCCAAACAGAAGATGGGAGCAGAACTGAACTGCTTCTTTCAATCTCAGAAGGAAAGACAAAAAGGGTCCTTCGCACGACTCTAATAAATCCCAAACACCGGCGTCAATTAAGATTATCGTTGGCCGGGATCCCCATGCCTGCCACGCACTGTAGCGGAGCTCTATCACGATGCCGCTGCGGGGGCCTCGTTCATCTAAAAACCCGAGAAACTTACCCCGGCGCCCGGTGCTGAGGGTCTGATTTTGGCGTAAGACGGCGTTGATCACTGAGGCTCACCGGAACACCCATCATCTTTGGTCTGAATTGGTGGCAGATCTGCGCCCTGGACGAACGGAGCTACCCATCTTGGGGCATGATTATACCCTGTCCTCTCTTCTCGGGGCAAAGATGCGGCGGCCATTTTCTGACCATGCCCCATTCGCTTCGTCTCTCCTGATTCTATTGTGGAGAGGTGTTTTTAGGTTCTCAGCTCATGGTCCCTTTTGGACAGGATAAGTCATCACACATTACCTTTTTCTCGACTTTCTTTACGCTATCCGGGATTTGGAGTAAACGGCAGGATCATGGGGTAGCCCGTCTGCCGGCATAAGCGTCTGATGCATATTGTGGAGTGTTCCCGTGACTTTTGTGCGATTCGGCGGAATGGAGAGGCAACGACTGGTGGACTATCGTGAGGTTTGGCCGTGAAGGAGAGGCCGACATTGCCCGTTACTGTCCAGTTTACTCGTTAGACGCTTGATTTTGAAGCCATGCATCGGGCAAAGGTGTCTTCGACTGCGGGAAAACGAAGGTTACAGAGTGCAATCATGCGCGTTTATGGGAGCGATCACCGTCAAGTGACACATTGATGACTATCTCGCGATGACGGGATGCTGCATCAAAAGATATAAATATGACTTGTAAGTATCGGTTCTCCAGCTGCTATTCATATCATAAGCTCAACTTATAGAGCAGTCCACAATCATCATCTACCTCTACTCAAACTCGAGCAACATGAAGTTTGCAACTTTTACTTTTGTCGCGGCCCTCGCCGCCGACCTCATATCAGGCAACCCTATCGCCCGAGCCAAGAAAACGCCCTACCTTTTCCTCATCGGAGACTCGACTGTCGCTGTCAACGGCGGCTGGGGCGATGGGCTCTTGTCTTATATCAAAGACCCGGCCAGAGGCGAGAACAGGGGCAAGAGCGGCTCAACGACGGTCTCGTGGAAGTCAAACGGACGCTGGAGTGCGCTTCTGAAAAGCATCAACGAGACCAAGGCCGACTACGAGCCCATCGTCACCGTGCAGTTCGGGCACAATGACCAGAAGAGCTTGACTTTGGACGAGTTCCGAGCGAACTTGATTTCGATTGCTGCCGAGCTGAAGCAGGCTGGGGCAACACCGGTATGTTCATTATGAAAACTGCTATATAAAGCCGCACGAAGCTGACTAGACAGATCTTCATCACCTCCCTCACCCGCCGCGCCTTTGAGGATGGCAAGGTTATACAGAACCTGCATGACTGGCGCGGCAAGACGATTGCGGCGGCCAAGGAGAGCGGCATCAAGTGGCTGGACCTCAACATTGCGAGCACGAACTACGTCAACGCCATCGGGCAGACGAACGCGGCGGCGTACAACTTTGCCGAGACCGACAGGACTCACCTGAACGAGGCGGGCGAGGCCGTCTTTGGGCGCATGACGCTGGACCTTCTGTTGAAGGCGCGGACCGATCTTGCTGATTATTTTGAGTCGAATGAGGAACTTAGCGAGGCTATTGCTAATGGAGAGTTTACTACCGGTGGTGTATAGGTGTTGTTTGAGGTACCTAGAAGTACCCTGGGATGATGGGTGTGTGGTGTTGGTATTCAATGAACTTGGGCGATGAGCAACCATAATCATGTTACCTCGAGCTTAAACTTGAGCGTATAGGTAGAGTCAGTTGTTGAATTGAGTGAAATGGACTTCTCAGCTCAACTGCAATTTGATGAGTCCTTGATTGATCCCCACAGATCGAGCCAGATTTTGAAAGACTTTGGGCGCGCACCCAGTGAGCGACTTGGTAATCTTTTGCGGGGATACAGATCCATGGTTAAGTTGCACAATGTGGGACACAATTCTATCAACATCTCGATGCCCGATTTGGAAGGTCGTCAATGATCTGCGGGAAGGATGTCGCGATAGACTATCGACGAAATGAGGAGGCTGGTTGTAACCCCGCATTGGCCGAAGAGAAAACTGTTGACTTTTGTCTCGCGATCTTCTTTATCTTTTCACATTGGCGATGCAGCTGTATGTATCGGTCATCATGTTGGGATACATCCTCACCACAGGCTTGGCAGCTTTCGCTGCTGGCTTTCCCCTTACATCAAACACGGGTACTCCGGCACGCAATGTCGACTCACTTGTGTGGGAGATTCTCCCAACCGGAAGCCGGCAACAGTTTCGGGGCTTATCGCCAATCTCGGCCCAAATCGCCTGGGTTTCGGGAACAAACGGCACTGTTCTTCGTACAACAGACGGCGGCACTACGTGGGCTTCCGTGGGCCCTCCTCTAAGCGCGGAAGACGCGGAGCTACAATTCCGTGACGTCCAGGCCTTCTCCGCCGAGAGAGCCGTCATCCTTTCCATTGGCGAAGGGACTGATTCGAGGGTTTACATCACGGAGGACGGCGGCATATCCTGGACCCAGACATTTGCGAACCAAGAAGCGGCGGCATTTTACAACTGTGTCGATTTTGAGGATGAAAACAGGGGCATTGCCGTTGGTGACCCTGTCGATGGCAAATTTCGTCTGATTGAGACGGTGGACGGAGGAAAATCCTGGGAGATTGTTGATCCCAGCGGCATGGCACCGGCTCTGGAGGGTGAATTCGGATTTGCGGCTAGTGGAACCTGTATATCGACGGCGGCTGGACGGTGGTACCTCGCTTCCGGCGGTGTGGATCCGGGCCGGGTATTCCGGAGCCCCGACGGACATGACTGGGAAGCTTCGGCGAGCGGAATTGCAGGCGGAGCTTCGGCCGGTGTCTTTTCTGTTATGTTCAGGGACGCATTTCACGGCATTGCGGTGGGTGGTGACTTCAATGTTGCAAATGGATCGGCGTATACCTCCTCATGGTCGGAAGATGGTGGGTTGACCTGGACTGCTTCGGAGGTGTTCCCGGGGGGATACCGGTCCGGATCATCGTGGGCTCCGGGGCTCTGTGGAGTTGCGGTCGCAGTTGGGCCGTCAGGATCGGATGTAACTGTTGACAGCGGTCGGACGTGGAAGACGTTTGACAATGGGTCTTTCGATAGTGTTGAGTGTCTTGCTGGGCGTGTTTGCTGGGCTTCAGGAGCTGGAGGGCGAGTTGGGAAGCTAACGCTGAAGTAAGGATAGACTGTTTACAATAAATAAGGTTGGTGTTTGATATTCGGAGAGCCCCTTAAAATCAGTCGATAAATGTAAACAGGGTCAGTCATTGTAAAATCCATGAACGTGACAAAGCCGTCTAATATCTCTTTTTGTCGGATCTGGAGTCCGATTTCTTGAGGTGCACATACCAATGACTATCGACCCTGACATATGTCTCTAACCCCTTTAGGCAAGGCTCAAACACTAGCGAGGATACACGCCTCCTCAGCCTGTGCTTCGCTAACACCATCTCATACAACATACGCGCAGTAATGTTAGTTGACTTGGCACGTACCTGAAACAGGTCACAGCTTGCCTCGCTAAACAGCTCGCTACCACTCGATGACACCAACATTAGTGGACACCCACTACCGAGTGGATGTAGGGGTACCTCAAGGGCCCCCGCTAGGGGAGCATCCCGCTAAACACGGGGAATTACAGATGCAGCTTGACAATCGCCATAGCGTCATCACCTGAAGCCCAAACTGTCACCAAAGCCCGTAACCTTCTGCTTTTTCCCCCCCTACCAAGTAGTAATTGGCAACTCCTGAGCGGTTCGTTGCTAAAACCCCGAACAAAGCCAACTTAACCTTAAACATCTCACCACCACCCCCCTCGACATCTTTTTTCGAACGGTGATGCCTTCAACATCTTAGCATCCTTACGCAGCTACCTAGCTGACTGACAGTGTTTCTTGTTCATCGACTGTGCCTGCCATGGCGGGAAGCCTCCACGCCTACATCACCGAGGCCTTGACGCCGGGGCGCGTCTTTGCCTCTCTCTTTGTCGTTTTCGTCACTCTTCTCGTCCTCGATCATACTTGGAAGCCCACCTATCCGAGCAACATCCCTGTCGTTGGCCACGGAAAGGGCTCCATTGCTCGCATCAAGAACTTTTGCTACTATGTCTTTCGTTACAGGGACTGGGTGATTGAGGGGTACCAGAAGGTATGTCTGACGCTGTCTGGACTCGAAAGCAGGTCGTGATTGAAAGGGGACCTGGCTCCTAACAACTTCCGCAGTATAATAAGAAGAACCGCGCCTTCATTGTCCCCGCCGCCGCAAGCAGAGCCCCAGATATTATCCTCCCTCGTTCTCTCACGAAATGGTTGCTCGAACATCCGGATTCCGTTGTCTCCGCCCACGAGGCCCATAACGATGTGTTGTACAGCGATTACAACTTCCTGGGAAAGGTCTACGCCGACGACGTCTGGCATACGCGAGTAATTCACAAGAGCCTCGCCCGCCACCTCAGTTCTTTGGTCCCGGGAATCGAAGAAGAGGTGGCTGTCGCTGTAGACGAGGCCTTTGGTACCGACACAGAGAACTGGCGCACCTTGAGCCTGTGGGAGGCATGGTTGACCATCGTCCCGCCCGTAACGAACCGCATGCTGGTCGGCGACACGATATGTCGGAATAAGGAATTTTGCAAGGCCATGGTATCATTTGTGGACCAGGTAATTCTGAACTGCTTTGCGCTGCACATGGTCCCCCAGATAATGCTGCCCATATTTGGGCCTTTGATTGCCCTGCCAAACTGGTGGCTGTGGCGCAAGGCGGCGAAGCACAGTCTGCCAGTCATTAGGAAACGACTGCACGACCTTCAGAGGAAGGAAGCGGGGGATCCAGAATACGATAGCTGGACTGCACCCGAGGACTTCATCACCTGGGACATCCGCCTTGCCAAAGCCGAGCGTAATTACTTTGAGCTCGATCCATACGTTGTTTCGAAGCGGTTACTGCCGATTCAGTTCGCTGCTATTCATACGACGGTCATCACCGGACACAGCATTGTTCTCGATTTGTTGAGTTCCGATCCGGAGAAGGGGTTCATTGAGGGTATCAGAGAGGAGGCGGCAAGGGTGCTGAAGGAGGAGGGTGGCCGCTGGACGAAGAACGGCCTATCGCGGCTCTACCGCCTCGACAGCGCAATCCGCGAGAGTCAGAGGCTGAGCAACTTCAGCTGTACACTGATGGAGCGCAAGGTGGTCGCCAAGGATGGCATCACCAACGAGCAGGAGGGTTGGCATTTGCCGAGGGGTACCTTTTTGACCGTCAATTTAGAGGGCCTTCATCACGATAGCGAGATCATTCCCAACGCGACCGAGTACGATGCCTTTCGCACGAGCAGAGAGAGGGAGGAATATGAAGCGAAACCACCGTCAGAAAGGAATCTGGATGAGGGACTGCGGTTGAAGAACCTGGGCATGGTCACAACGAGTGACGCCCATTTACCTTTCGGCCATGGTCGGCATGCCTGGTATGTCCCTTGCTGCAGCAATCAATCTGGAAAATGACTTAACATGGACATAGCCCCGGCCGCTTTTTCGTCGCCCACGAGCTGAAGATGGTGGTTGCAAATCTCCTGCTAAATTACGAGATCAAGGCCATTTCCGAACGGCCGAGGCCGCAGTGGATCGGCGTCACCGTCGTTCCCCCGGTGGACGCGAAGATTGAGATCAAGAGGAGGAAAGGTACCGTGTAAATCAATGAGCGATGACGACTTACGAATGGATTGGCGCATACGGAATAGGATACAAAACGGGCGCGCGGGTAGCGATAATTTATAAATGCTGATTCTCACAGATGTTTGGCTTATATTGTGCGTCGTAATTGTCATAAATACAATGATGATCGTCAAAGCTATCACGATGGTTCCACGGGAGAATTGATTCTCAATTTTCCGGCCGTCATCTCCCGATTTGGCTCCTAAGCTGCCAATGGCATGCATACTCGGAGGTTTTGCTGCTTGGCCGGCCGTCATCGGCCCATGTCACGGGCTGAGAAGAGCCAGTCAATTTGAACAAGGCCAAAAGTACATGGTTGGCTTTCACGACTGAAGTATAAGCTCAATGCGATCGGACCAATTAGGCATATGAATTCAATAATCCAGCCTACAATCGTTTCGTCTGCTGCCAAGCTCTGAGCCACGAAGCCACCGAGACTTCAATGGCTCTTCCATTCGGTTTCCGTCGGTTCCGAGTGCAGCTTAAAGCCATCATTCCTGGCAAATCTTGGTGTTTCTGGGCGATATCGTATAATCCGAAAAGGACGGGGAGCGGTAGTTGAATTTGCCTCGGCAACTCTAAATACTCCTCACTGCCCGGTACTACACCAGCATCGTCATATATGGGTTCAGATGCCGACCATGTTATCAGTATTCTGACCAGACTGCATCTATCCAAGTGACAGTCGCAGAATCAGACAACATGGCCGATACCGAACCCAACGCAGTCCTGGTCTCCAAGACCCCAGCAGGCATCACAACAATCACCATCAACCGCCAACACCGGCGCAACGCCATCGACGGCGCAACAGCCCGCAAACTCACCGACGCCTTCCTCGCCTTCGAAGACGACGACACTCAAAAGGTGTGTGTTTTCCACGGCGCAAACGGCGTATTCTGCGCCGGCTTCGACCTCCATGAAATTGCAAAGTACGACCCGGCCTCCACGGACTACAAGGGCCCCATCGTCGACTCAACTCACCGTGTCGAAGGCCGTAACATCGGCCCCATCGGCCCGTCACGCATGCAGATCAAGAAACCCGTCATCAGCGCCGTTTCAGGCCACGCGGTAGCCGGCGGCTTGGAACTATCGCTTCTCGGCGATATACGCGTCGCCGAAGAGGATGCCGTGTTCGGCGTCTTTTGTCGGCGCTTCGGCGTGCCGCTCGTCGACGGCGGGACTGTACGTCTGCAGGCTATCATCGGGCTCGGTAGGGCCCTCGATATGATCCTTACCGGTCGGCCTGTGGCCGCTCAGGAGGCGCTGCAGATGGGTCTTGCGAACCGCGTCGTCCCCAAGGGGAAAGCCTTGGAGGAAGCGACCAAGATTGCGACGCAGTTATTGGCCTTTCCACAGCTTTGTATGAACACCGACCGCGCGAGTTGCTATTACTCCGCGTACAACGCCTCGTCGTTCGAGGACGCGCTGAGTCACGAGTTTGATGCTGGGGTCAAGGTCATTAGCGCCGAGAGCGTCCGGGGTGCTGCGAGATTTAGTAGCGGCGTGGGACGACATGGCGTTTTTGAAGAGCCCAAGATGTGAAGGGGTAATATTTTCGCTATCCCCTGCGCCTGGTCGGAGTCACGATGTAAATTTTTCGGCGCCAGCATGTGCTTTCCGGAGTCACGATGCGCTTAGAAGCGGCCTCGGCTTCGGCGTGTACCCTGAACGCCGTACGAACTGAGCCCGCCGCCGTCTATGACGCCGATGTCGCACAGCCTTTTGGTTCGAGGATGGTGCTTGTTTTGGGAGAATCCGGGGGAGGGTGGGCTCGAACGAATCACATCTCGGTTAGCGTAGGGCGGAGAATGACATCCAATCCACATGTTGTGAAGGGCGCGCGCAGTCCCCTTCTCGTCCCAGAGGTGCCCAGAATAGGTAGGGCGCTGTAAGGCGTTCCATGGCATACGTAGTGAACTTCCTTGCATTGGTTACGTGACTCACATGATACAACTGGCGCGGCTATTTGTAATCTGACCATACCGTCAGCTTTTTCGCTTCAGGGTGCCCGCTTTCGGTTTGCTGGGCCGGGTCTAAATGCGCTGAGTTCTGATTCTCCGGGCCTTGAAGTCTGCGGGAGGGATGACTCCCTCGGCGAATGTCCAAAGTGCCGGCGACTTGTAACTCCGGGATATAGTTATACTTGGATCCGCTTCAACCTCTTCTTGGAGTTTAATTCTGAAATATCAAAATTTGACTCATTTTTCTTTTTTTTTTTTTTTCCTGAGCTACTTACTTACATCCTCTGTCGCCGTCATCACGTCGACATGTCTAACGTCGACATGTCTACATCTACCATGATCGAAAAGTCCCCATGCAGCCACACGCCAAAGCCGCCCCGGCCCAAGCTGACCTGCAATCTCAATCTCTGCTCAGGCGCCGTGATGAGGAGCATCACTAACCAGGTCTCCTCGATGGTCAAGCTACCCGGCATGGCCACAAGGCCAAAGGAATTGGACATCTCCGTCGACAACCACTACACCTCCAGAGTGTACACCTGCGGCTCCGCAATCTCCGGATCTGTCGTCATCAACCCCCGCAGAAACACCAAGTTCAACTTTGTCCAAATTCACCTCATCAGCAAGACGACTGTTACCACTGACGACGCCTACATATCGAAAAGCACATCGCAACTCCTCCTAAAGGTCTCCATGCCAGTGCCCGAATCGGTGTATCCGGAACCGAGGGTTTTCAAGATTGGAACCACTTACAAAATCCCTTTTCGCTTCGTCATTCCGTCACAATTGACGGACGGCGCGTGCGTCCACAACGTCGACTCTGACGAGATGCGCGATAGACACTTGCGGCTGCCCTCGACTTTGACGGGCTGGGAAAAGGACGACATGGCTCCGACGCTCCTCGGAGTTAAATACTTCGTCAGAGCGAGGGTCATGTATCTGCCGCAAGGGAAAGCGGAAGACGACGCGGTAGCCCTGTTGGAGGCCGAACACAGGCTTAGAGTTCTCGCGCAGTCGCCGGAGGATCCGCCGCTAAACGTTGATAAATACGACAAGCATTATAGACTAAGCCAGATCAAGTTGATGCGCAAGAGCATGTTTTCTACGCCGCTGGGGCGGATCATCGCCAACTCCACACAACCGCCCGCTATTCATTTAAGTCCCGATGGCCACGGGGCAGGTGGATCTTCCGTCCAGATTGACCTCGCGTTTGAGCCTCATGTGGGAAACATCGTTCCACCAGAGGTGACGTTGAATTCGTTGAAGATTGTTGCGCATACATGGTACTGCTCCCAGCCGATTCAGAACCTACCGAACATGGGCCCGGGTAGGATTCCTTTTAGCCTCTCTGCAAAAGTCGTCTGTGATAGTTTGGAATATGAATCGTGGAAAAAGCCAAGAACTACGAGCTCAGGAGTATTGGAGAACGAGGATAAGGAGGGGGTCAAGATTCGCCCATATACCAGTTCAGTGCGCGTGGATTTTAGGCTGCCGACGTCGGACCACGTCTTCCCACCTACCTTCCACTCTTGTCTCGTCTCGCGGACATATGCGTTGCAGGCAAACCTGACTGCTGGCGGTTGCGATTTCAGTTTGGTGCTTCCGATTCAGATTGCAATGGATGCGGGTGATCAGACACAAGGATGGGCAATACAAAATGTGGAATTGCCGGGCTGGACAGACTGAGAATTTTGGAGGCGCGTGTGATTACTTGCAAGATACCAAATTGTTTTCCGAGAGAAGGAGGGCCTGCGGCTTTTCTTTAAGTATACCTGATCACTTAATATTAATTTCAATAACCCTTTCAGAGGTTTGGTGCAGCAGCTGGGCATGTATGAAGATGAATGGTGTACTGAGAATACGCAACACACCGGAACTTGCACGTAACGCGTCAGTGGCCGTTGTTAGCAGTGTATTGTCTGGAAAGTATGTTGGTTTTTCCAGTCGGCACGTATTGGCCTTTTATGGATACAGTTTATAGAGTCGGCCGCAATGCAGTATCGCATGTGCTTAAGGTTGGCCGATACGAAGACGTAACCTAGGTGACGGAAAAGGTAGCCGTTGTTTGGCAAGGGACTCCATTGACAAAGATATATAGTTGTCATAACAAGGCGGCTTAATATGATACATGGCATATATCTGCATCACCCTTTCCAAAACTCTATCCTGCAAAATTAAGTGGAGGAAGTACCTCATTTCTGTTTTTGGAAAACCTTGAAAACAGCAATCATGTCGTCCTCGCCCAGGCCAGTCTCCGCTGCTTCTTTGTACACCGAGCGGCACAGTTCGGCATACGGTGCTCGGACATTCGCATCCTCTGTAGCTTTTACTATTAGCTGAGTGCTATTATAGCAATCCTTAATCGATGCCTGCGGTGCCCAGTCCCCGTTTACAATCTTGGCTACCTTGATTTTGGAATAAGCCGACGCCATCGGCCCCGCATCGAGCACCTGCCCGAAAGCTTCAAGGTCAAGACCCTGCGCTTTTGCCAGACTAAAAGATTCCGCGAGTGCGGCTGTCATGTTGTTCAAAAACAAGTTGGTGGCGTACTTTGTCTTGAGGCCGAAACCGATCGGACCGCAGTAAATGGCGGCGGCAGTGAGAGGCTCCACACATGGCCGGACCCGCTCCGCGATGTCGGGATCACCGGCCATCAGACCCACAAGTCGGCCCTGCTCCGCCGGGATCTTGCTCCCGCTCACCGGCATTTCAATGAAGTCGCCTCCTACTTTTTGCACTTGGTCTGCGACATATTTGCTGATATCCACTGGTACAGACGCGGTGTTGATGAGCGTTTTTCCTCGGAGCGCCGCCCTGAAGTCGTCGTTGAATATTGATGTTAATGCAGGGCCGTCAAAGAGCATTGTGAAAATTACGTCGGATTGCTCGACGACTTTTGCTGGAGTCTCGCCAGTTTTTGCGCCGGCTTCTGTCAAAGTTGGATATTTCGACGCACTTCGGTTCCAGACTGTGACGGGAAATTTGCGGGCTAGGTTCAGGGCCATGGGGGTGCCCATGACCCCGAGACCCAGGAATCCAATACGCATCTTCTAGGATTTAACTCTTTTTGAATTTAGTAAATCCAGACACACTTAAACAAGCAGTTCAAATCGGGATATTGAGGGACGCAATTGAAGCCGGGTTTGATTAAGGCTTAAAACAAAGATATCACTGAACCGTTGATACCTTTTCGACTTACTCCGACGATATGCGCCATTCAAAACAGGCGGGTGGATGCGGCACGTATATGTTGCTAGGCTCACGCCCTAGGGAGTGACGCCAAAGTGGATGTGTTTGACGGTGAACCTCGTGACCCATAATAATCTTGTCAACTGCTCCCTACGCCTTACAATGACGAGATGCGGTCTAGCTGAAAGGCGTCTAACGGAGCCTCTTACGATCAAAAAACTTCTTCTAGCTCCAGCCGGAATTTCGGAGTTTGGACGTATGAGACAGCCCCACATTTCACCGCTCTAGGGGAACAAGAGGGCCGAAGTCGCTTGTGTAGTTGAAAATCCGGTGCTCGTTGAAACTCCAGCGCATAAAAAAAATAATATTATAATTTGGTCATGTCTCGTATCCAACTTTCGATTGTAAGGACTGCTAGTATAGAGTTCTCTATGATGTTGAGTCTCAGTCTAAATTTTGGCATTGTCCTCCTCGAGGATGCCCATGTCACGTTTAAAATCCCGAAGCCAGTCTGGGTTATCGGCTGGAGTTTGATTCCATGGATCATCACTGAAGTGCCGGCTCGTTAGTCGTAATGTACCAAATACTAGGGGAGCGACCTAAGGAAACCTACTCTTCGAAAGAAATCCACCGCGCCTGGTGTTGAAGCTCGGCGTCCGTTGGGATGTGCCTGTTTGGGTTCCGCGGTGACGTTGTGATCTTGACAAAGCGCGTCAGTTCCAAAGCAAGACGTCTATAACAGTTTTCTTCATTGACAAAAAATGATGATCGCGTGAATTGCGCTGCTAAATCTGTTTCCGCACCAGATCCAGGACCGCTCGAAGTGAGATTTTCGGCTGGGCTATTGATCGGTTTGTCAATGTCTGATGCCGGAGAATATTGCATTGCATCATCCGCGGGACGTGAGATGCCATTGGACTCTAGCACGTTCTCATTTAAAAAGCCTTGCTTGCTGGCGTCGAAGCTTGATGCATCTGCATGCTCCAGAAGTGGAAGATCGGCGCGTTGGCGGAACGGTATGAGCCAATTGGTTGAAGCACCTATCAGGCCAAGTAGGAAGCTGGAAAATATCTTGGACGGCTTTCGGGACACTGCCTCTAGCCGCTCAACGATACTGGATGCCTCGCGCTGGAGGTCTTCGTTGGAGACGTCGGGTTCGATCATCTTTGATATGTCCACGTAGTTTTGAAGCTGCTCCTCCATGACGCACTGGTCAAAAATGTCGGCCTTGCCGTTGATGGAAAGGTAGGTTATACGGGATTTTCTTGCCATTTTGAGAGGCCTAACCCGCGCCTGTTTAACTATCGCCTCTGACGACATGAGAATATCTCGCAGCCAGGAATTTGCTGGATTCGTTGGTCGCTTCAAGTGGGAATTTGCGACAATCTCCGAGCCGAAAATGATGCAACAGCCTTCGTACAACAGCTCCGCGTTTGTAGGCATACGTCCGTTTAAACTTTGATGTTCTGTAGCAAAGTGGTTGATTTCGGTTTTTAGAAGCTCGAACGCATTGGGAGGCGTTTCTGGGACACCTTGGGTTGTTGTAAAAGGCCAGGGTGAGTACCGTTCCATATGGATTAGATCTGCAACAACCTCGTTAGTCATGACAAGCCAGAATCAACGACGACACAGAGACCTACAAGGCGCCACAGCATTCTCAAGCATATTGAGAACACGATCATCGAATCCCCAATCTCCGTGCCAGTCCTCCATTGTTCGTCCGTCTTTGAAGTGTTCCGCGAGGTGGTCAATTCGGTCGGTCCACGATCCCATCACTAAGGCGCAGAATCCACATCGTGATCTAATTTTTTCATCCTCGCGCTTCCATTCTCCCATCGGCCACCTCAAAAACTTTGCATCATGTACCAACTTCAAATGCTGCTGTAGGTGGTCTTTCCGGTAAAAGGTTCGATCTTCAGGAGCTCGCTCCTTACATGCTATGTAGTTATGCTTCTCCAAATGTTCGTCATTCGGATTAGCCTCTCCACAAAACACGCACAAGAGATTCCCGCTCGCGTCAGCAACTGTTGGGCCTGTAGGAGAGCATTCCCACCGCTCAAGGGACAAGTGCAGCGATTTTTCGTGGCGTTGCCAATTGTGTTTCGTCTTGAATGTTTCGGTGCAAAAAGTACACTGATATGTATTGGGGGCTTGTGCCAGAGGGTTCAGTCCTCTTCTTTCTGGTCGTGCAGCAGCCCCCCGTCGCCTCCTACGCTTCATCGACGCTTTGCTAAGAGGATCAACAGACCTCAGCGAAGCATGAGAGTTGTGGGAGTAGGCTGAGTTAACCGAACTTCTGCTAGACTGAGACGTCCCTACGCTGCTGACTGAAGATGCGTTATACACCGACCTCGTCGGAGCACTATCCGTCAAAGACCGGTTGGCTGCAGCATCAGGGTCGAGCGGAAGGCCATACACAGCGTGTGCAATAGCAGAAACCGATGCAGGTTCGTGCTCAGGCGGCGACACTTGCCATCGTTGGAGCGGGTTGAGCTCATCAAAGCCTTGAGCAAGACCGTTTCCCCGTGGTATGGCAATAGGAAGCGATGCTGCAGATGTTATTGCTGGCGAAGGCGGTCTCTTCGGAGGCACCTTGAACCTATTACGTCTGCGCGTGTTGGCCAACCAATTTGTAATCTGCTGTCTGTTGAGACCGGTTTGTCGCTCCAACAACTCCATGTCGGATGTCCCTGGATAAGGGTGATGGTTGTGGCTGGAGAGCCATGTTTTGAGAATTCGTATTGACTTGGAGGAGAAGCGGGTTCCGATTTTAGGCGGGGTGCTCAGGTTCGATGTTTGGGTATCTTTGTTGCCAATTTCTTCAGTGAACTTGTTGGATAAATGGCCCAAAGAGTCTCCGTCACCTAACGCTTCTGAAAAAAAGAAAAGATTGGCATCCTCGAAGGCTTCATTCAAGCCTGGTTGCTCTAATGAAATGCTGCCGTGAGTGGGGTTTCCGGTCACGGAGGGATCGAGGAGAATCCGATCCTCCCGGTATGACAAACCATTCCCGCCGTTGACAGGGCTTGTAGTATCTATAAGTTGCAAATCATGGAGAAAAGCGTCTCCATTATCAGTTCCAGACAAACTAAAATTTGAAGAATTTGTCAACTTGGCGGCGAGAAAGTCGAATTCTTGTGCAGCGGTGAGGTCGCCGACATCGCGAGTATTGGTGTCATCCGCTGTACCTAAACCCTTGTCCATTTTTGAGTGAGGTGTGTAAGTGCTTCAGGAGTTGCAGCTGGCAAATGCAGCTAACACCAACTGTATTGGTTGCAAGGATAATTGTTCAACCGACGCGATGGGAAGAAACCCGTCTCCTGTCTCAACCGCAGCGAAGCCCGAGTCGTCGGGCTATTATTGCGCCGACTAAACACACGCCCATACGCGCAGTGAGTGTTGACCCGATTTTTCTCCGCCACTTTTTGATCCGTTGTGTAACAAAGACGGGACTTGTTTTATTTACGCAGTAGGTTTAACCAAGATTTCTAGCATTCGATTTACGCATACCGACTCCGTACCAGCCGGTTCTCGCAAGGAATGGTCAAGTCTACCGCTAAAGACCCCGCTCGGGAAATAGGAAAGATGCCGAGAATCAGGGAGTTTCTTGGAGACAGTGACAGCTTAATGATACTCAGAACAGGCCCCATCAGAACAAATAATGGGTTGCCCTTGTCTGGTAGTGGAATGAATGGCATTGCTATTCATTAATCTTGCGTAGGTAGGCTAAGTCCCGGCGAGTAAGATGTGACTAAGGGAGAAAGAAGAAAAGCAGCCTTGCAGACTTTACGAGACCGCCACCACCCCTACCCTACAACTTTTGCTAAAGCTCTGTGCGGCTTTACGATTTACTGCTAGGCGGGTGACATCATGAAACATTGGTATTAACCAGAACAAAGCCAACCGTACGAGCCCTCTAACACTGGCTAGAATTGCCTTACTAAAAGCGTGCTAGTAGTTGCAACTTCAATCAGTCTCTCATCAAGCAAATACCACACCAAAAATGCGCTTGAGATGAGTATTTTCTTCGGCGAACAACATGACACATATGATCGTTTTCTGCTCCTGCTTAAAAGTCCATAACCCCACTGGTGTTCCGGTATTAAATACAGTTTCTAATCATTAACCTGGGGTAGCCTATCACTTGGTAGACAAAGCAAGTGGCGGCCTTTTTCTTGTCCACCGAGTGGCGGATATGCCGGTCCTCCGTACTTCATGGTCTTGGTCTGGCCCACGGCGCCGGAACCACACCGGCCAAGTATCCGGCTGCCGAAGACTACCACTTCGTTGCGGTGTCTTGGCTCGGCGACCGAGTGGGTGCCCGGCCCCAGCCGATAACGGAGTGCGGTTGATGGAACCAACCACCCTTGCAAGACAGCACAGATATACAAACGGTTCACCCAATGAGTCGCAATGACCTCGGACGATGTCCGAAAAGCTCGCTTTAACTGGCACATTGCGGGGGAGAATCCCCCAGCCTGTACAACGAACTTCTAGTTCTGGCAATTTCTAGTGGAGACAGTCAGGTTTGTAAAACGGCGATCTTGAATCCAGTCACCGACTTCGGAATGGTCAGCATCGGATATCCGATGTGGATAACCTTGGGTAAACCTATCGCCGGATATTTCTGCCGACAACCATCAAGTTTTATGGCAATGACATGTTTGAAAATCTTGACACAGACAACTTTTGTCTGTGACTCTGGAATGGACATGCAAAACCGCTCTGCATCTCGTCCTTGAATGTTTTCTAGGTGCTTGTCGCGGGCTTGATCATGTCAGGATACCAAGATGAGAAGCCTGAGCCAGTGGACGGGAATAGCCATGATTTAAGGTTGACGACATCGAACGCGGAAAAGAGCGCCACTATTTTACCACCCACACAAGATGTGGAGTTGAGCCGCCAAGACACCGAAGCGATTTACGCCAGATTTACGCCAAATCGAAAGAGGCTTATTACTGCAGTAGTGGCCTGCGGCGGCATTGCGTCGACAGTGTCTTCTCTGTTGCTGCTGGCAGCAATCCCGGAAATTGCTGCTGAGTTTGACAGCAGTGGAACCATCATTAACGTGAGCAATGCCGTCTATACCGTGTTTATGGGCGTCAGCACCTTATTTTGGGGCCCAATGAGCCAGGTTTATGGACGGAAGTGGGTGTGTATACACATTCATCCCTTTTGAGAGCATCTCTACTTACACACGAAACAATAGCCGTGCATTCTATCTGCTGCTGGGTTCTTTGGATTTTCTATAGGAACTGCACTGTCTCCTAACCTTGCTAGCTTCTTTGTTTTTCGCGTGTTGTCTGCTTTTACCGGAACAGCGTACCTCGTGCTAGGCTCAAGCTGCATCAGCGATATTTACAAACCAACTGAGAGAGGAACTGCTCTGGCATGGTTTTTAAATGGCACACTCATTGGACAAGCTTTCGGGCCCTTTATTGGTGGCGTCATTGTGACTTTTCACGACTGGAGGGCGTTGTTCTGGTTCCAATCTGCATTGGGAGGTCTTACCACTATTCTCGCGGTGGTTGTTCTCCCTGAGACAAGTTATCAGAAGCGATCAGTCCAACTGGCAGGCCTTGACTTGAAAACCAAAGTAACAAAGGTTTGGGGATGGACAAACCCATTCACAGTTCTTGCTCTGCTTCGAATCCCAAAGCTCTTTGTAGCGGTAGGTTCCATTCTCAGTGCCTGTTTTCTTCACCCGCATTTTACTATTTAATATTAGTCCCATGGGCGCTATGAAGTGTCTAACCAATTATACAGGCAGTCGCGGCATCGTCCCTTGTTTGGAACATGCAATCCCTACTTACACCCATCCGTTACGTCATCAACCCACGGTTCAATCTTACCTCCCCCCTGCAGTCCGGTCTCTTCTTCCTTGCTCCTGGCATTGGTTTCTTTACGGGAACGTACTTCGGTGGCCGATATGCAGACCATAATGTTAAACTCTGGATAAAACGACGAGGAAAACGACTGCCCGAGGACCGCCTTCGCAGCTCCTTTGTAGCAATGGGAATAGTCAGTCCGTGCGCAATTCTTATTTACGGATGGGCCATCGACAAGGAAAAGGGCGGCATTCCTCTACCAGTAATTTGCATGTTCATCCAAGGCTTCGCGCAGACAATCTCCTTCCCCAGTATCAACACATACTGTCTCGATGTCATGAAGGGGAGAAGTGCGGAAGTAATAGGTGGAGTTCAACTGTTTCTCTCCCCAAATTCCAAGAGACTAACTTAGCATAGCTGGCAACTACTTTTTCCGTTATGCCGTGGCGGCGGTTGGAACAGCCGTATGTCTTCCTGCGATACAGAGTATCGGTGTAGGCTGGTTCAACACCATTACTGCGTTGTTCGTTTTTGGGGCAGCTGTTGCTGTGTTTTTCGTGGTGATGATTGAATCACGGAAAGACAAGAGGTCTTCAAGCGAGGGTGTCTGAGGGAAGGAATAAAAAGGAAATGAATGAATGGGAATCATCAAACTTGAGCAGCAATGAGGAATGTGTCGCAGTACCTGAAATCGCGATCCAACGAGACCATGCCGCCTATGAAATTTGTGTTGACTGAACGATAAGAATACTAACACATCAATGAAGCTGAGAGGATTGCCCCTAAGCCATGCTATATCTTTCAGAGCACCAATAACATACAAAATAATTGTTACTGCCTAATTAGCAACATACGATGTAGATCCTTTCGCGGCTTGAATTGGACCGATCTAGTTCCACAGGCACATGCTTTTCCTCTAATAGTATCGCGCTTATAGTTTTAGATCGATGGTAATGCACTCTAAAATTGACATGCAGGCTTGGCGCATGTTGTTACGCCCTTGATTGACATGGCTGACGTCTACCCCACACACCTTGGACTAGGTTTTGTGAGAGTTGTCCCACACAGATGTGTATTAAAAAGTGACTCAGTCGATATATATGAACACAACATACGTTGAATAGTATTGAATGATTGTAAATCTTATCTCCAAGTCGCCAATTCAAGACTTTTGCAACTAGAAAGCATCAACCATGAAGATGGAGCCTCAGGAGACCTTTTCTGCCAATGGTGTCACTATTCGAAACCACCGCCCGGGCGACATGGGCTTCATCACTTCCCGTCATGGAGCGATTTATGCCAAAGAGTATGGATACGGTTACCACTTCGAGGCTATGGTTGGCAGGATTACAGCCGACTTTCTCGAAAACTTTGAACCAGCTGCAGAGCGGTGTTGGATTGCTGAGAAGGATGGGCAGTTTTTGGGTTGTATCATGCTTGTCAAAGATCGCAAGTCACCCGGACGAGCTAAGCTGAGGTGCTTCCTGGTTGAGGAGAGTGCACGAGGTCTAGGCTTGGGGACACAGCTGGTTGGACTTTGCCTCGACTTCGCAAGGGAAGTCGGATATGAGCGAATTGCGCTACGAACAGACTCTCACCTTGGTGGAGCAAGGAGACTGTACACAAAGGCAGGGTTCAAAATGGTACTTGTGGAAGAACATCAAGACTGGGGAGAAAGGAGAAGCGGAGAAGATTGGGAATTGAAGTTGTAGAATGGCCGGTTAAAATTACTTTCTACAAGAGTAAGTTTAGATTTCCCCTGTCCCCAACCTCACCTTACGTAACAAGTTCTGCCAATGTCAAGTCTCTTTTAATACCTCCCATTGCAGCGCTGATCAAAGCATCCAGATACCGCAATTGGGTAGTCAGTATGTTGCTGCCACACGCCATCGCTTAAGAGGATGCGTACTGATATTAGACGAGCGAGATTTGGTTTATGAACCAAGAGATCGGGAAAAATCATTTCATGATATAGTCAAGTTACAACATGTTGACCTCTAACTGGAATGCGGCCGTTACAAAGGGAAAGAGTCTTTGAGGAAGACCAACTACTAGATCGCAACAAACAATACAGATGGAAACACTCACTAATAGATAACTGAAGCTTTTCTATGCATGACTTTGATAGTTTGTGATTGGCGCCTTTGTTTCTTCCATGGTTAACCCCTTAATCGATACCTGCATATGTGGAAACCCTGGCTTGATGGCAAGAATCCTGACAGGTATTCTCGCTCTTGGCTTTGAATAACTCAAATCACGCAAGTTGGAATCTTCGTGTCTCTAATGCTCATCATAAAGCGCTAGGCGCTTAAGGCGCCTATCTCCCAGTGAAGATATGAATAGACGCGTCACGTGGGTGCAAGGCAACAACGAGCCGACAAGTTCTATTTTGAACAAGGAAAGATCGATAAGCGAGGTGTTATCGCCTATTGGGTTCAGTTGTTGAAACTCCTTCTTCCTTTAACTGCTGTTTTCAACCACCTGAAAACAACATCACCAACGAATGATCGGCTTTCATCCTCACTGCATGTATCAAAGAGCAAACGCGCCTGTCGATAACGATTAGCCTCACTTCTTCTTTCCATCAGATCACAATCCCTTTGGCACCCTCTCCATCTGGTTCTTCGTTCATCAGACGAGATGGTGCCTCACAACATTTCGTCTGTCCTACGCGGGTCTATCATCATTCTTTTCTCCATTTTGACCTTGATCAAAATTCCCTTTGTCACGTCAGCAACTTTTCACTTTCGAGATTCCACCCCACGCGCTGCCTTTGTGTCCCTTGTTGCTGAAAATCAGCTCAATCAGATGGTTGCTTCTGTGCGACAGCTTGAGCAACACTTCAACAACAAGTATCATTACGATTGGGTCCTCTTCAGCCAGGAAGAGCTCAGTGAGAACTTCAAAGATTCCACCTCCAACGCGACTACCGGCACAGTCACATACAACGTTATTCCCACGGAGCACTGGCAACTCCCAAACAGTGGCAATGCTGGTCGCTTTGAAGCTGGACTGGTCCACACTTAGGGAGTGGGAACCGAACAAGCGGATATTTGGAATGTTCATCACAAGCGCCGCTGGTCTGCTGGCCTCTTTGCTCGAGAGAAGCGACTTGAGGCTTTCGACTGGTTTTGGATGGTTGAGCCTGGAGTAAGTTTTGGTTGCCTCCTCCTCACCCGGTCGGGCTGACGTGACTGCTCTCCAGACCCAGTTCGTTTGTGATATCAACGTCGACGTTTTCCGATTAATGAGAGATCGCGACATTATCTACGGAGTCAATGAGATATCCTTCGAAGAAAGTTTCGGAGCCGTTTCTCTTTGGCAAACGACTCAACGATTCATAGACAAACACCCCGAGGTGGTCCGGCCTCAAGCTGATATTAGTTGGATCTTGGGTCGAACTGGCCGGGCTGGCACACCGACCATCAATATGGACAATCATCATGGTTACACGGGTGATTCTTTTGATAATGGAGACTACGAAATCTGCGAGAGCAGCGAAGATATTGAGGGCGGTGTGCACCCTGATGTTTCTCAAGAGGCTGATCCTCAGCAGTGCGAGCCATACACGGTGGCTGATTCCTACACCACTCGTCTAGATGCCAATTACAATCACTGCAACTTCGAAGCCCCTATCGAGATTGGTAATCTCAAGTACTTTCGCAGCCCGGAGCACAGTTTGTATTTCGAGCACCTCGACAATGCCGGCGATTTCTACTACAGCACCATTGGCAACGCTCCCATCCATTCACTGAGTGCCAGTATGTTCCTTCCGAGGGACAAAGTATGGCTGCTTAACGACTTGGTTTGCCAGATGGGTGGCCTTCACAGCTGTCCCCCATCTCCGCGCCAAACTCCTGACCTCGATATTTTCGATGATCGCACCCTCGTTGCTGACTTACTCGGCAGCACCCAGGTCGGCTCATACAAGGACGACAAAAGCCTCCAACTATGGCACAGGGTTTGGGACTGTTTTGTAATTGATTTTGAGCGTCAAGAGAAGATTCCTTCTCCCTGCGCCGGCTACACTACTATTGACGAACGCAACTTCAAATCGGAACAGTGGTTCCTGGAGTCATGGGTCAAGCTGTCATCGGACGAAGAAGCCTGTTCCGTTGCCGAGCTCACCTTTAGTTTGAGGGACTCATGTTCCGCAGAACCGCTTGAGCATGGCTTCTCTCATAAGTTTGCAATCAGCGAATGGCTTGAGTTTCTCATGAAGTGGTGAATGATGCGACTCATGATTAACGATGGACAAGGGACACAGGGGAGGGGCCAACAAATTGGGATTTTTTTCGTTCGCTGTACTATTTGACATACAGAGCTCCTATTAGCACGCTAGCCATCCACGATGAATGATTGATAATTCAGAATTAGTTGGCTTTGGATTTGTGGATTTGCAATTCCTTGATAGGTTGATTTCAGATGCAGGAGGCCAAGTCTGGTCTCCGAGATGTTAGACCCCGCCGTACCAGTGGAGGCCCGCTTCCTCACTCGACGCCTGCTCCGCAAGCGCTTACATACGTGTTCCTCCCAGCAGAAGGATTTACAGGACAAAGGCCTCCTGAGATCCTTCATTTCATATATTTCGGGCGACCCCTGTTTTTACCCCTTGTACTGCATTTGGTAACTATGATGTGGCGGAAAACCAATCACATCAAAAAGCCCAGCGCCAAAGGCGGCGATGAGGTACACAAACGCATGTGAGTGTGGCTGAGACAAGAGAAGCACAAGACAATATTGAAGCCACAGACCGGCGCTATTTAACTTGTAAACCTCAGCTCTTGGGGCTTCCCCGCTTCATGATCTTGGCTTGAAAAGCATAGAGACACACGCAAGGTCAAAAGACACAACGACTTTTAATACCATGGGTTCATTCAGTACTCTCGACAGCTTTCTTGAGAAGCATTCTTCGATCAAGGCGTTCTACCCATCCGACAAGGAATTCTCGTCCATTAGCCAGAAATACCTTGCAACCCCTGATGTCCCTAGCCTTATTGTTCGACCTCAATCCGCCGAGGATGTCGCGGCGTTGGTATCCCACTGCGCCGCTACCTCGACCCCGTTTGTCGTCCGGGCCGGTGGACACGACATGTCCGCCAGATCAACTGTCAATGACATTCTCCAGATAGACCTGCGTGATATCAGCCATGTCAATGTGTCCTCTGACAGAAAGTCTGCCCTCGTCGGGGGCGGGGTGTTGGGCGGGCATTTGCAAGAGGCGTTGGATAAGGACGGACTCATGACGCCGACGGGAACGATTGGGACGGTTGGATACGTCGGGTGGGCCACTTTTGGGGGATACTCTTCGTATACCCCCAGTTTGGGATTGGGGATTGATCAAATTCTCGGAGCGAAGATTGTTCTTGCGAGCGGTGAGCTTGTGGACGCTGACGAAGAGTTGCTGAGGGGCATCCGGGGTGCTGGGCCGGCTCTGGGTGTTATTACTGAGCTCGAGATTAAGGTATATCCCAAGCAAGAGGTAAGCTTTACGTTCCAAGCGTGGTAAATGAGACGTTGACAGGTGAGTAGATTCAAGCCGGCATGGTCTTGTACGAGTCCAAGGATCTGTACGCCACAATCAAGACCTTCTGGCCCAACTGGAACAAGCTCGTCCAAGAGAAGGATTTGCCAGATGAACTTTGCGTCATGCCTGCACTTCTCGAAATACCAGGCATGGGCAAAGTGTATGCCGCAGCATACGTGTGGAACGGCCCCGGATCCGAAAACTCCAATAAATGGTTCGAAGAAATCTCGTCGCTCGCCCTCGTCGGCATGCAAATGGTCGCTCCAACCAGCCCGTCCGCTTACCTTACCCAACTCACTTCGCTCGTCCCAACCATCTGCTATCCTGGCAGCTCCCAGACAGTCAGCACTAAAGGTCTTGCGTTCACAGACGAGATAATTGAGGCGTACGCCAAGCACGCTGCGAAAATTCCCGGAGGCGGGCCGCTTCTGGGCATGCACCAACTTAGAGGCAAGGCTTCAAGGTCTGGAAACCCTCCTGGTGTTTTTAGGTATCGGGGCGACCATCTAATGTTGGAGATTGTCGGGCTCAGCGCAACCACTGATGTCACCAAGGAGGGTAAAGAGTGGGCGGAGGGGATGAAGAACGCGCTCAAGGACTTGGATGGAGTCATGGAGGGTGGATACTACTCTTTGCTGCCAAAAGGAGAGGTTGGCCTCGACGTCATTTACGGTGAGCACTGGGAGACTGTCAAGAAGTTGAAAGAGAAGGTTGATCCTGGAAACGTGTTCAAGTTCCCGTTTTCCAGTTAGGTTTGGGGGTAACAATGTTATGATTGCTAAACTGCAAAGGGAGAATCAATCGATCTCATTGGTGTCAAAGAATGTGCATCTGTGTGGCTCTTCCTTCCTGCGACGATACGAGTACTTTCCCCTCCATTCCATTCCTGGTAACAACCCTTATTGATATCTTTTGCACCTAATTTGCAAGACCGGTGCGACAGACGTCATGGCTTATGTAGAACAACGGCTTAGAAAGAGAGCGAATGATCGACGGCGGCGGCTCTCTTCTTTGCCTCAGCCTCAAAATCCCGCAGAACCTCCGTTTCGTTGAGTCCTACAATAGACACCTTCTTGGATTGTAGTAGACGATACTCGATGCGTTCGATATAATTGTTGGCATTTAGATCAAATACGAGTAGGAAAGTTTCTTTCTCAAACTTGTTGGTCTCGACATTTGCGCAGTACATCCGCTCCATGTGGCATGTAATTCGACCGCGGTCGACAATGACTAGGATTGGGAGGCCTTCGAAATGGGTTTCCGAACGTTGATCGTCCGGGAAGTCATCAAAGTATTTGATAACTTCCTTCTTGCCCTTGTAAATGTGACCAGGTCTGTTGAGGCTGGTTATGAAGGTTACACGGTCGACGACCCAATCTTCTAAATCCCTAACTGAACCGATAGAAAGTTCTTCCAGAAGGATTAACATTCGTTCGTACAAGCAGGCTCGAAGAGGTTTGTCGTGAGAGTTGCCGGATAATTCGGTGGCAAGCCGGGTGAAGCCTTCGTTCAGAGACTGGGCCATTTGAGCTGCTGTGCACGATATTAGACTAGAGATGCTATTTTTAAATGGACCTGATTTGCACTTTACCTTTTTCTGTTTTCTTGGCGATATTTTTGGCCGAGTGCGGGTTGTGAGTAGAGAAGATGGATGGATTGTATTGACCCGATTTGGAGTTGATGTGGAAAGAAATATGGGTTTATTGTTGTGTGACTTGGAATGAATTACCTTGCTCTTTCCTTTTTTGGCCTTTCGGCTCTTTTTCTTTCCGTTCTTTGCTCTTTCCTTCAATGGCGTATCATTCAATTTTGCAGTTGTTTCGCCTGACCTGCATCAATTGATTTGGGTGGTTGATTTGGACAGAATATTGATAACCGTGTTGAAGGGGGTTTCTATCTCTTAAATACAGTTGGACATCCACATCAATCGTGGCAAGAGTTTTCAAGACATTATTGACGGGCGTTGACAAGGTTTTCAGGTGTCGTGGCCAGGCAGCAGTAAATTTGGAAGGCAAACGTGCAGACTTGAGCTACTTCAATTACAGAGAATCGTTTCAAAACCTCTGAAGATGATTTTTATGGGATTGTGTATTGACCTGTGTGTAATCTTAAGTTTCCCCATGTCTCCCGAAGTCTTGCACTTGAGTGTCCAGTCCCCCTTCATTCCCATAATGACCGATCAAGTGTCTGTTCAAGAAGTGTGATCGACCGTGATGAAATCTGTGTCGGCCTCTATGACAAGATTCTCCATGAGTTTCTTTCCGCCCTTGTGCGTCTTATTTTTGCCCGTGATTTCTCGATACTCAAGACGATTGAAAAGGCTTCTTTCGTTGTAATCGATGACAATTATGTGGTGAATCTCCTCGAAAGTCCCGTCTGGTTTCTTTTCTTCAATTCTCTGCATGCGGAATGTGACAGTGTGACAAGTGATGCGGCTTCGGTCGACGATGATGAAGTGGGGAACAATTCGGTCCTTCCACACAAACTCGTTCTTCTTGAAATCATGAAAATCCTTAAAAAAGCTGTCCAACTCCATGCCCCCTTCAAAGATGAAACCAGGCGTGCGAAGGCTGGCAATGACTCGTGGAGTTGGGGGTGCGAAAAAACTAAGAGCTTCTTTCATATTCATTTCTTCGATGGCGCGAAGAAATTGACGCGTTATTTGCTCCATGACAGGACGCATGGGACGGTCAGAAGAGGCGCCGCGAATCTCTGCAGCATATCGGTTCACCGAGTTGCGACTGAATTTGTTGGCGTCCATACTGTATGACTTGGGCTTGTCTGGGCGTGAAGTATTGTGAGAGTTGAGAGGTAAGGTGAAGCTGGTGTTGAGAAGAAGAAGGTAACAGGATGAGATTATGTGGAAGATGCAAGTGGGTGAGATCGAAGGAAGAGTGTAAAAATTGAACAGGTAGTTGCAGCAGAAGTACAAAAGGGAAGAGCACAACCTCGAGAAAGTTCCTTTTCGGCATCTCACCTCAGAGCGAATGCTTGGAGGTACAGAGCATCTTGTGCCTTTTGAATTCATTTTACTGGAAGGAGGCCAACGTTTAATCCTCCTACGGCACTGCTGAGCATTCTGCAGGTTAAAAGGCTTACTCTGCTCTTCTTGGCACTATCAGAAGCCAGCAACAATATGCAATGTCCACCTTAATCAAAGCAGTACCAAGCTTCCTTCATCATCCAAGGCCTGTATCATTCGGTATGTCCCCTCCGGCATCCCCAATCCAACCATCGATGCATCAGACATCCCCCTGAATCAGTGCCATGAGCTTCATGCTCTCCTTAGCAGAACCCTCGATGCTAACTTGTCCGAGACTTTCAGTTTCCATGAATCTCCATTCAACACGCCTGACCTTCATCTCTTCGTTGAGATCAAAGACGACGACCTCCCGAACTTTGAGTACATCCCCGCGAGAAACCACTGGCCAGCCCACGAAAGGCGGCACTGAGAGCTCGCCGCAGCCCATCCATCTGTAATAACTCTCGGCATAACAGGTAATTCTTCCTCGGTCGGAAATCGTGAGAACAGGGACAACTCCAATGTCGACCTGCTTGTGGATAGTTTTGAAGTACTGAATTACCTCTTCTTGGCCGTAGAGGACCTCGCCGTCCAGGGTTGCGTCGAGGGCCACGACCATGGTCACGTCCGAGGTGTACCACTTCTCAATGGCGCTGTAATCTTCATTCATGAGCACGGTTCGGAGGTGGTCGCGGGTCTTTTCTTCGAGAGCGCGACGGAGCGTGATGTGACGCGATTCGCCTGATAGCTCAGCTAGGATGCGATGGACGTTCTCCATGTTGGTCTGGGGCTTGGTCAGATGACCTATCTGCAACAAAGGAATGAACAATTACATTGTGTGATCAACTGCAAGGTGCAATAAAGCAAGGATTTTCTTTGGAAGTGGCTTTCTGTTGCAGTGTGACGAGCTTGTCGCGTCCGTTGTGAGGTATGGTGAGGTGTAAGGAAACAAGTTGAAAGAGGCAAGAGCCTTGGATGGAGGACCTCGGTTCTGGCTCTTTCCTCTTTTGAGCCATGATTTTTTTTTTTCTCACTTTCAGTTTTCCGTTGGTATGACAATGAGATTTCATGATGAGAAGTCACAATTGAGCAGGCTCATGTGGCTCTAGTAGTCAGAAGAGCACCCATTTTTCAAGGATCTCAAAAAGCATGAGATCATACACTACTTTTATTTCAATGCATAGATTGACTTGTATCACCTTGCCTTTTTGAGCAAAATCATCATGAAAACTACCCTGCAATTAATCTCATCGGAGCTCATTCATGGACCCACCAAAGGCCGTAGCAGAGCGATCGGCATCGGAGCATTCATCCCCACCGGCCACTTGCCGAGAGTGGAATAGAAAACAACGCGGCAAATGGGCATACCCCACCTCGCCGAAAGCAAAAGAGTTCACGCCGACAGACACTCACAGTGGTGGCGTGCGGTATGACGTTGCCAAAAGACCTGAACGGGGGACGCTCGATCCTCTCTCCACACAAGCAGTCCCAATTTAAACAACCTTCAGGTTTTGTCACGGATCGACTTAAGTTTTAGGTATCTTTCAACTACATCCCTCGACTTGTATGATACACAGAAAAGATGCCGAACCAGATTCCCACCAAGCAGTGGTACAAGGACGACTACCTCATCTCCACCGATCGGTCGCTCCTCCAACTTGATGCCATCAACAACGCCTTCGACTCCGAGTTGCTGTGGTGGGCGAGGCGGGTGCCAGAGCACGTGCTGCAGAGAATGATTGACAACTCGTTATGTCTCGGCGTATACAAGCTCCCCCAATCTACTGTCGAGATTGCAGGTTCGTTGCTTCCTTCTGTGTCCCGTACTCGACTACTCACATTAGCCAGGGAAGAAAGGGCCGGAGCTCGTGGGCCTTGCGAGGGTCGTCACGGATTACGTCTCATTGGCCTATCTGGCGGACGTGTACGTCTTGCAGGAGCATCAAGGGAGGGGTCTTGCACCGTGGTTGATGGAGTGCCTGAATGAGATGTTGGACGAATGGCCGGAGCTGCGGCGCTTTCTTCTCTTGACGTCGTCGCCGCAAGCGAGCAAGTTATACGAGAAGACACTGAGGACGACGGAGTGGGGCAAGTCGTACGATGGGAAGCTGTATCTGCTTGAGAGGCGAGGACCAGCCGTTCCTGATGGGCCTGAGGATGATGATAATGATGATTAAAGGGCAGGCGAAATGATCTCTTAAATGATGAGATTGGTGTTTACACCTTGACGGATGTCTTGCCATAGGCTCCACCTGCGGCCTTTCGAAGTTCGATCGCACGCTTGTAAGGGGGTGCAGTTGGCGGCTGGACAGGGTCGAGAGAAACATGGTCTTCAGGCAGCTGATAGGAAGCATCAGAATCAAATGCTGAAAGATCGCCGCACGCAATAAAGGGTGCAATCCATCTAATGTGCTTCTCGTGATCGGAGGTCTCGTCCGTCTCATCGTAGGCTTCAACCTCGACCACTTCACCAGCACCTCTCGAGGCGGAAGCAGTAGGTGCTGTATCCCAGGTTCCGAGCACAGGGTTCTGCATCAGTGCGTCGGCAATAACCGGCAACTGAGCCCTCCTCTCCTCCAACATCTTAGGTAGCTCGTGGCCTACACCGAGCGGGTTCTCCAGACTGGCATGGAAACCGGCTGGGGGCTGGAAGTTGATGCAAACGATGAAAGCCTCCACACTGCTTGCACGAGAGGATCTGGGCTTGGCGACGATGACAGTCTCAAAGAAGATCTTGAGCTGGGCATAGAGGAGGTCGACATTGCGGCCGCGGAAAATCTTGGCGACAAACTTGCCGCCGGGCTTCAGCACGCAAAGGGCGAGGTTGAGAGCGGCAAAGAGGAGTTGTGATTGAACGTAGATGTCGAGATCGTGAAGACCAGTTACATCGGGTGCACCGTCACTGATGACAAGGTCGACGGGGCTGCTCGCCTGCTTGCTCTTGGAGTTGGCATCGTATTCAGGGTCCAGAGCCTTGAGCAGCAACGGGACAGTAGCGGGATGGGTGATGTCTGCGCGGAGGGTGATGATGCCTGGCAGAGGGCTAATGGGCTGCAGGTCAATAGACACAATCTTGACATCCTTGCGGGGCTGGGGCTCCTGAGACTCTGTCTCTGTCTTCTCAGACACCTCAGATTCAGGGGTAGCAGGGAAGACGCCAAGCATCTCCTGGCGGAATTTGGCCTCACGATCTTGCCATGCTGAACGACCAAACTTCTCTCCCTTGATGAGAACACGAGAAAGCACTTGCGACCAACTTCCAGGGGCGGCACACAAATCGACAACCCTCGTCACATTGGCGAACAAGTCGAATTCTACGTGGGTATCAGTACTCAAAAATTCAAAGCCAATATTTTGGCGGGGTAAAGTGAGTCACCCACCCTCATCAAGCTGCAGCAACTTAAAAGCACTGCGTGCACGCCAGCCTTGTTCCTTGGCGAGGCGGTAGTAAGCATCACGCTTATCCTTGGAAGACTTTCCCATTGTGACGAGGGGGTGGCGTGGCTGATCTCAGATTTGGTGGGGGATATTCAGGCGAACCTTTGGAGGGGTTTTGGAGGGGTTCTCAATCCTGTGTCTCGGCAGAAAATTTGACAGCGGTGACCGGATTCTGTAGGGCTGAGATAAGGTGTGGTCAATGCACTGGGTGGGCCTCCGAACTGTCCCTGGTCGGTGTGAGTGTTTTTCCGGATCCGCCAAAAAAATTTGGGAAGAAGGAGCAGCTCAATTGCTTGGGGTGGAAAGCAGAGGTCGGAATTTTGCTGGAGAATTTCGCGGGGCATTTCTTTTCAGTCTTTCTTTCGCCCAGAAAACCACAACGTACACCGAAAAATGGAGCATCTTTCGAAGCAAAAAAGGAAACACCAGCTTTCCGATGCCAGTCAGGCACCCAAAAAGCGCCAAAAGTCTGGCGCTGTGAAGACTGCTCAGCCCAAGAAGCGCGCTGTCAGTGTTGGTTCGCTGCCATGGAAGAAGGTCGACTTGCCCGAGATGTTTGGCGATGCGGAGGGTTTCTACGGCTTGGAAGTGATTGAGGGAGTTGATGTCGTGAAGCAAGGCGATCAAGTCGAATTTGTAAGCTTCTATTCCTTCTTATATCCCTAGTGCGACGTTCATGGCTAACAAGACCAGGTCACTGCCCTTCCCACCTCGACCGAAACGGAACACGATGACGAGTTCGAAGGTTTCAGCGACTCTGAGCCTGCCGCAAAGCCCACCGACCAAAATGAGAAGACCAAGGCGGAGCCAAAGAAGGCCAAGAAGGAGAAGCCTGTGAAGGCGGATCAAAAGCCCAAGGACAACAAGAAGAAGGCTACCAATGCGACCGACGACGCTGCCGCTGCCGAACCCGCAACCGAAGAAACCGAGGGCAAAAAGAAGAAGGAGAAAAAAAAGAAGACACAGCCAAAGCCCGAGGACGCAAAGCTTGAGAGCAATGTCTTTACGGCACTGGAGGCTGCGGAGGAAGCCGAGGAGGACCTCGATATGGCTGCTTGGGTTGACCTGGGCCTCTCGCCAGCCATTGTGTCTGCCATTGCCAAGCTCAAGTTCACCAAGCCGACTTCGATTCAAGCATCCTCGATACCCGATATCCTCGCCGGCCACGATGTTATTGGTAAGGCGTCCACCGGTTCCGGTAAGACGCTGGCATTTTCGATTCCCATCGTCGAGGACTGGATTGAGAAGTTCGAGGCCAGGGGGGACAAGGAAGAAACCAACAGGGCCCCGATTGCGCTGATTCTCTCACCGACGAGAGAACTGGCTCACCAAATCACCAACCACATCAAGAACCTCTGCGCCGGACTGGACAACGGACCGTTCGTGTGCTCCGTGACGGGAGGTCTGTCAGTGTACAAGCAGCAGAGACAGCTGGCCAAGGCCGACATCGTTATCGGTACGCCTGGTCGTCTGTGGGAAGTCATCAGCACAAGCACCGAGTTGATGGCGGCTTTCAAGAAAATTCGGTACCTGGTTGTCGATGAAGCTGACAGGCTTCTGAGCGAGGGACACTTCAAGGAGGCTGGGGAGATTCTCGATGCTCTCGACAGAGAAGCAGTAGATGAAGATGACGACGATGAGGACAAGGAGCTCTCCGCCCGGCAAACGCTTGTCTTCTCTGCCACATTCCACAAGGGTCTGCAACAGAAGCTTGCTGGGAAGGGCAAATGGGGTCTCATGTCGGAGACAGAGTCCATGGAGTACCTCCTTAAGCGCCTTAACTTCCGCGAAGAGAAGCCCAAGTTCATCGACGTCAACCCCGTCGCTCAGATGGCTACAGGTTTGAAGGAGGGCATCATCGAATGTGGTGCCATGGAAAAGGTACGCCCCGACACTAACCCCATCTCACTGATTCACATACTAATTGAACCAGGATCTCTACCTCTATGCCGTTATTCTCCTGAACCCCAACCGCCGCACGCTCGTCTTCACAAACTCCATCAGCGCCGTCCGCCGCCTGACGCCCATGCTTCAGAACCTCAACATCAACGCCCTGGCTCTGCACTCGCAGATGCCGCAAAAGGCCCGTCTTCGCTCCGTCGAACGTTTCACCGCCACGAAAGAAAACACCACATCGGTTCTCATCGCCACCGACGTCGCCGCCCGTGGTCTCGATATCCCCGGCATCGACCAGGTCGTGCACTACCATGTGCCGCGCGCAGCAGACATGTACGTCCACCGATCCGGTCGTACGGCGCGTGCGCAGAGGACAGGTCTAAGCATCATCCTCTGCGGGCCAGAGGAGGTTGTCCCTACAAGACGTCTCGCGGCCAAGGTTCATGCGGAGGAGGCGAGCAAGAAGAAGTATCTCATGCGGACGATCGACATTGATCGCCGTATCGCGTCGAAGCTCAAGCCCAGAATAGACCTCGCAAAGAAGCTCGCGGACGCGACGCTGGCGAAGGAGAAGGGCAACAAGGACGACGACTGGGCGAGGGCGGCAGCCGAGGAGTTGGGTGTTGAATACGATAGCGAGGAGCTGGAGAAGGCGGGCACGTGGGGCGGCAGGGGAAGCCAGAGGAAGAAGAAGCAGAAGGAGAACCAGCAGGTCACCAAGGCTGAGATGTACGCCATGAGGGCGCAGCTGAGGGAACTGCTTTCCAGGAGAGTCAACGCCGGCGTTAGCGAAAAGTACATTACTGCTGGAAATATGGATATCGAGGAGTTGTTGAAGGGTGGACGGGGCGATTTCCTGGGCAAGGTTGACGGGCTCGATTTGGAGGACTAGATAAACATTTACTGAATAATGATACTGTTTCAAGCCATTCAATTAACAGGACGCCGGGGTCTTGCAGAGAAATCTCCACGAACTAATAGGTGAATGTCTCAATCTGACGATAGCAACGGCTACGACTACTCATTCTCATCATGTCTACAACCATGCAGTCACTTATTACGGCAAGTTGAACTATTCCGAAAACTCTCTATTGTCCTCATGTCTGATTCTGTTCTCATACTCAATTCCTCAGAGAATCAACCAAACCAGACGTCTCACTATTCAATCCTCCAATAACTGTGAGACCAGGCCATCCAAGCCCTCAAATATAAATCCAACACGAAAGCACAAAAGTCAGGCTATACCAGCCAAATCAGCAAGAAAAAATAAATAAAGAAAAACAAAAACATGCAGAGCAAAAAACAAAACAGAAATCAGTCTCATTCCTCCTCGGGGAACGGACTGGAAAAAGGATCTTTGGACGGAGACGCAAAAGGTACGTGCTTGACGAAGCCAGCTTCGGCAAGCGCCCTCAACTTGTCGAGTTGCTACCTCGATTCGGGGTCCATCGGAGCCTTGACGGGCGTCTCGGGCGCTTTGCCCTTGTCATCAGACGACGATGCCTCTGCGGCGGCGGCTTCTTGCTCTTTATACTTGGCCAGCGAGGCTGCGGAGCGCGGTTGCTTCTGCGCGACTCTGGGACGGCGTTTCTCCGTAGCTGGCTCCTTTCGCGCGGTCTTTGGGCGAGTCTGTTCGGCGACGGGCGTAGTCGTCGTGTTCGATGTTGTGGCGGGCGTAGCCGAGTTCGACGCGGTGACTGGTGCCTTTCTTGCGGTTCTGGGCCGCATGGTTCCGTCGACTTCGGTGGCGGGAACGGTGATGTAGACAGTGTGCTTCATCGCGCTCTTCAGCTTCGGTTTCCCCGTTGCGGTATCCGTCGAGCCCGATGCCTGAGGGGCGGGCGGTTGGTTGAGCGCCGTGGGCTGCGTGTTGCCGACTCTGAAACGGACGGTCTTGAGAGGAGCAATCTTCCTCTTCGAGATGACTTCTTCGCTGGCTGTGAGAGGGTTGTTCTGATCACCTGTTGAGGTGGATTGCGCCGAGTCGGTAGCAGATGCGCCTTGCGCAAAAGGGTTGGGGAGGTTTTTCGTGTCAAGGAAGGAAGTAGAAAAGGTCGAGTTTCTCCGTGTGGTAGTGGCCTTGATCTCCAGCTCCATCTTGTCGAATTCCTCATTCAGAGCCTGTGTAAGCGGGTCATCGTCGTCATTAATCTCGGTATCGCCATCCTCGTCTTTGGTGTTGGACTCGGTAGAGTCTCCCATGGCTACTTCGGGTGCGGCGGTGGGAGAGTCCCCAAACAGGGACGATAGAGAAGGTGATGATAGAATGGGTGACTTTGGGGATGGTATACGCCCGGGGAGAGCGATGGTGTCCATGGGCCCGGCGGAATTTGCAGCTGTCATGTTGATCAGCGGCATCACAACGCCGTTGCGTCGAACAGGTTCTGAGCGAGGCGTAACTGCGGTGGGAACCTTGCTCCTGAGCTGTGCATTCTCTGCTTCGAGGCGCTGGTACTCGTCCCTCAGTTTCTTGTTCTCCGCTTCGAGACGCATACCCTCTTGGTACATGCGCTGGTCTTTGCGCTTCTCATCGTGAAGAAGACGTTCGTAATTGTCAACATCGGCCTCGAGTTCCTTTACTCGCTTCTGGCAATCGCTGTCAGACTGGGTGTCCATCTTATGGTCACCTCCCTGTTGGAGAAGTCGTTGCTTCTGTTGAAAGTTCTTGACTTCGCGCTGGTAATCCTGTTCCAGCTGAATCTTGACTTGCTCGACATTTTGCTTCTCTTCTTCGAGGCCACGCTTCTGCTGGGCGCATTCTTGTAGCTGCTGGGCGACGATGCGTTTTTCCTGCTCCAACTTTTGGTTCCATTGCGCGTAGCCTTTCTTTTCATCTCCCATGGATTTTTTGACAAGGTCAAATGCCTCCTTCTCATCTTCCAAGGCGTCTCTCACCTGCTGCAGAGCCTCCTTCTCGTCCTTGAGGAAATTTTTCTGCTGCTCGATGCTCTCCTTTTCAGTCTTGATCTCTTGCTTCTCCATCTTGAGCTTCTGTTTCTCCAGCTTAATATTCTGCTGCACCTGGAGTCCGTCCACTTTGGGGAGATTTTGTCGCTCCTGTTCCAAGTTGTGCTGTAACTGGCCGAGCTCTTGTTTCTTCTCCTCCAGGGCCTGGACTTGCTGGTCGATGTTCTGTCGCTCCAGAGTAAGCGCGTGATGCTGCTGATTGTTGTTGTTCTGCTGTAATTCGAGGCTCTTCTTGAGCTCCTCGAGACCCTGGGTCTGCTGTTCAATGTTCTGGCGCTCCAAATGGAGGGCATGTTGTTGCTGGTTGCTGTTGCTCTGCTGCAGCTCCAGACTTTTCTTGAGTTCTTCGAGACCTTGCGCTTGCTGCTCAATGTTCTGTCTCTCCGCCGCCAAAGCTTGCTGCTGCTGGTTGATTCCATTTTGCTGCAGCTCGAGGCTCTTCTTGAGCTCTTCGAAACACTGAGACTCCTGTTGAATAGACTGTTTCTTTTTCTCAATATCGTCCAATGTCTCCTTCTCCTGGGCACGCAAACTCTCATCCAGGAGCTCCCTGGTGTACTTCTTCTGGTACTCCATTTGTTGTTCGTGAGCCTCGATCTCCTTCTCACGGCTCTCTAAGCTTTCGCGTTGGGCATCGTACTGCTCCTGCAGACTCTGCCGCATCTGCTCGATGGCTTCATTCTGGCCCTGCGAAGAGGCCGCCTCGGATTTCACACGCAGCCTCTGCTCCTGGCGTTCAAACTCACTTTGGAGGCGCTGTGTCTCACGGCGAATCTCGCCATCGTGCCAATCCTGTAGAAGTCGGCGTTCCTTGTTGTACTCTTCTTGGAAGAACTGAAACTTTTTCTCGCATGCACTCTCGAATTCTTCTATGAGCGCCTGGCGTTTTTTCTCGTACTCCTCATCTCGAGCCTGGCATGCGGTATCGTACATTTCTTGCAGGCGTTGTTTCATTTGGTCCTCACTCTCCTCACTCTGCGGACTTTTGACTGGCTTCTCAACAGAAGCCTTCTTTTGGATGTCGTCATACGCGCTCTGAAGGCGCTCATTCTCAACTTTCAAATACTGGTTGGCCTTCTCAAGGCTCTTAACACGGTTTGCCTTCGTGGACTGGTCTTTCAGAGCATCATACGCAATCTGAAGACGCTCGTTCTCAACTTTCAAGTCTCGGTTGGTATTCTCAAGACTCTCGATACGATTCGCCCCCGCAGGTTGGTCCTTCAGAGTATCGTACGCATGCTGAACGCGCTGGATCTGAGCTTTCAGCTCTTGATTGTTCTTCTCAAGGTCCTGGACACGCTTTGCCTCTGTGAGCTGGCTATGAAAGAGTTGCATTTGCTGCTTGATGCTTTTGTTGCTGGTTTTCGCATCCTCAAGCTGGCGGCGATACTCCACAAGCTTCTTAGTCAGAAGACTAATGTCTTCTGCTTGTTTGTCCATGCATCTACCGAACTTGTTCTCTCGCTGTTTGGCTTGGGCACGAAGCATGTTCTTCTCGGCTTCCGCTTGCTGGTATGCCCGCCTGCGGGCTGCGTCGGCCTCTTCGAGGCTGTCTTCCAAGCCCTTGATGGTGTCATCGCGCTTTGCAATCTGGGCTTGCAGCGATTTGATTGTCTGTGACTCAGGACGATACAGTGTGATTTGCTTCTCGCTCTCAGCGAGACGCTGCTCAGCATCTTTGCGTTTGCGACGTTCGTCATGGATTGCCGCGATGTACTTGTGGGCGGCTGGTGAAGACACAATCAATCGTTCACGTCTTTCTGCCTGTTCTTCGTACTCTTCTATCTCTGCGTCCCACTGCTTGATGAGGCTGGTGGTCTCTCTCTTTGCAATTTGTAGCTGAAGCTCGGTGTGCTCGCATACATCCTTTGGCTTCATACAAGCGCGTGCGAGATCGGCAGCGGTCATGACAGTCGAGGTAGATGAGTCGGTGTAACTTGTTCGAGTAGTAGCCAAAGGCTGTCGAACTGGGGTAAGGGGTTTCTGACCACGACTGATGCGGATGCAGTTTCGGAGGCGAAGGGTATAAGGATCGACCATGGGATTGTTCAAAACCTTGTTTTCAAAGTCAAAGGCAATGTTGTAAACAAGTTTGATGACAACTCCAATAGTCTTTGTGAAGAGACCAAACCCCCAATCCCAGAAGGGGAGGAGGTAGACTGTGAGGTAACGGGCGAAGCGATCCTCGATTTTCTTCGCCTTTTCGGGAGAATAGGCAAGTGATGTGGCATATGAGCCAACAAAGATATCCCAAAGGCACAGATGGACCCAGGGAAGAAGAGGGATGAGGTGAAGAACCATAAAGAAGGCCGCAAACCAGTGGATGTAGACGTCAATAGGGGGTAGGGAAAAGAAGATGGTCTCGCCGATATGGTAGCCCATCATGATCATTGCAATGAGCCAGAAGCCCTTAGCAATGTAGGTGAAGCCGTTGTTGTTCATCTTGGCTGTTTGTAGAGATGAATTGGCGATGCCAGAATGATGTTGTTTGTGAAGAATGGATAGAAAGAAGTGTGTGGATGAAGAATAGATGAAGAGAGGTTTTTGATTGTGATGAAGTAGAAGTTGTGATTGAAAGTGAAGAAGCAAAAGTCGTGGGTGTATTGAAAAATGAACGAGGGCAAGAGGCAGGGTGAAGTGAGTTGGAAGGGAAGGTACGACTTTCAGATATGGGGAAGGTGCGACTGCCACAGATGCCGACGTCGTGTACAACTTGGCTCTTCGAGGTTTACTTTCAATGCAGTGATAATAAGTTTGATCCGTAAATCCACAATATCAGATCAATTACTGTCGCTTCAGAAACCAGTAGCCAGAAGCAGGGATGAGAATTCTTGTTGTCATCAGCTTCTGGGGATGAAGCCCATCAGACTCCGGGTGTGTAGTCGTCCAGATACGCTTGAAACGGTCGAGGGAACAGGAAAATTGAGAATAAACATATGTTCTTCCGTTTCATATTGGACTCGAGCTGCGTATTATTTCAAAGGGGCAGACGACTAGATAAGTGGGAGGAAGGCGGCTGATTGTTGGAGCGGATGAGTTCATCTTACACTTCGCCGCACCTGACTTTGAGACATTTTGCCTTGAAATGAAGATTTACCGACGTCTTGAAATGGATCCTTGAATGGAATTGTTCTGTCACGACAAGGGGGTGTGGTATTTGAGGTCTTTGATAAAGAACAAGTAAGGTGAGATCTTACAGAAGTCGGGCAGTGCTTCAGCAGACCATGAAGCATCCATTGTGACAGTTTTTTCTTGATTACAAAAGGTCTTCAGTAATAGACAGAAAACAAAGCAGAAGACAATGCACACAAATATTTCTTTTCAAGCGGTGAAAGAAGATGAAGAGACCATCAGCATGCGCCTTGCAACAAACCGAACAGTTACGCTGTCATTGCAAACAGCTGCCTCCAGACAGTACCCACTGGCTATGCAAAATGCTCATATGTGCATACCCATGCCGTCTCGTTTGAGGTGAAGTTGCAGCTGCCCGCACATCTACCGAGCCTAATCGGTCCCCCACTTCAATTACCGTAGTGCCTGGTTGGCAGCCATGTGTCGCCTGGGAATCAGGACGTAAACCTACTTAGAATGCCATCAAGGCTAGATTTGATCTTTGTAAGCTTTCTATCTAATGCGGAAACTTGTATAGAAATGCCACAAGTACCTTGAAGGACATCTGGCTCAGAGCCGACTGCGATAGACTTTCTTGAAGACACAGCACCTTCAACGTCCTAATGTGAGCCTGGACATACTTTCTAATTGGTGGGCGAAAGACGAACAATTACAGCAGTCCCCTTTTCAATGAACACAACGACAGCAGTGTTTAACACTGCTTCAATGCATTGTTCTGATCTTGGCTGATTCTTTGTGTGTTGCAGCATTTACTATTCTAATCTGTTCGGGGTCAAAGACACATTGGTATGGACGTGGAATGGGCCAGATCAGTCGGGGCTTGTTGAAGGCTTCCCACTTGCGTCATTGAACTTGCTGAACAATACTTCAAAGTTTCCAACAGAGACAACCACTCTGGCCCTGTCGTGGCTGGTCCGAACTTAAGTCCATAAAATCCTCTCACCTTGGTTGATACCATGTCTTCCACACATTTCCGACACTTCTATCTCCGGTATCATATCGTTAAACCACAAAATTGTCGACACTGCAGAATTCAAAATGATGGAACTACGAAAGAAATCAACTGTCATGGTCCAAGTTAGCGCTCTCCCAAGGCCGAATTCCTTATCCACAGGGACTATCACAACTGCATCATTTTTAACGGCGGCTGAGGCAACCTTGAATCAGGAGATCCCGAGGCTTTCTACCGACGAGATGTTTGGAGAAGCGAGCCGACTAGCCAAAACGCTCAGCACATTGTCAGACAAGCCTGCAGAAAAGATGACTAGGATCTCGTTCGACACGTCCACAAAACACCACTACTTTGACTTGACCGGCCACCGCCGCAGAGTCGACGAGCGCAAACGAAAGGAGGTACGAGAACAAGAAGAAAAATTAGCCGAGGCGGAACGCCGAGAACAGACACGTCGTACGTCGATAATTGAAGCACAAGAGTTCTTGGAGGAGTTCATCCGAACAAGATGGGAGACGAACTTCTCCCACGGGCACGTCAAAATCCACTGCAACCTCACAATGGACGAGGTCAAGGACCTGGGGCACCTTGATAAAGCCAACGGTTCAAGGGCATGCCGCAAGCTCATCACTGCTCCCGTCATCCATGATGCGATTGGGTATGCGCTCTGGATGGACCTCCACGAGAAAGCAATCATGGAAGAGCTTGGGAATAAACCAGAAACCAATCTCGTCATTGAACATGAGAGACCAATCATATCCACTGCAAAGGACGACAAACGAAAATGGAGTCACTTTTCAACCCATCATGCCGAAGAAGAACCTCCCATCCGACGTACGAGGTCCATGACCCGCCGCGCGACCGTGGGTGACATTTCTGCACGGGATAAACGGTCGCGTTCAGCCTACGAAATCGTTTCGACTACCGAACGCAATAGAAGAAAGAGCGATATGCCCCTTGTCAGAGCTGATCAGGTTATGTGCATGACTTGCGGGTGTAGGGCAATGGGCAGCATCCAGCCTGAAAACGACGTCAAGGAGGAGGAAGAAGAAGAAGAAGAAGAAGAAGAAGAACAAGAGGAAGAAAAAATTGAGGAAATCACGGATAAAAAGAGACATGTCATTTCGAGAAGATTGTCCGCGAAGATGAGCAAAAAGTTGACGGCGTTTGGGGGAGGTGTCGCGAGTGGTTATGGAGGCTCTCGATTGATTGCCTAAATTACTACACATCACAGATTTTAGCATGCCGATGAAGACAGGTATTTTGGAAATGTCTAGATGAGAGAGAAGGAATCATCGATGGATAACGAGATGGGATTTTGGATGGAATTGAACAAATTGATACCACAAATGAGAAGTAAGATAGAATCCTGGTGGTGGGGATTCATGGGAACCCCGAGGCAGAATTGAAGGAGTTGAAATTCAGAGTTTGGTGCTACAGCGATGTTTAGCTGAGAAAAGCTACACAAATGTGATGTGACTCCGGATCGGGGGGTGGTGTGGGACATGCAGAGCTTATTCCAGCCTGCCTGGAGCACACAGACCCCGGCCCGGTATTCTCAATGATCTAAAAGTCATCTTTCGGTTTATATGTACAGCTAATGATTTAAGCTGTGTTGCTGTTTCTGTACAATACCCGACCTTGGTGCCCCTGTCTCAGCTCAAAAAGGCGCAATAGACTGCGAATTACTTCTCTCGTACTTTGCGCTAAATCTCCCTGCCAGCAACATGTGTCTGCGCATTAAGGTAATCGGGCATTATTACTGTTTAAGCGGCAGACTAACCCGGCTTGGCCAATGAGCTTGACCACCCTTGTTTGAACAGCTGCAGGTCCCTGTTTGTGGCGTCTGTCGGCGGCCCTACTCATATTTCGCGCCAGCATCATCACGCCATGATTGCCTTGATGGGAATTTTCCAAGAGATAACATTTGAGCAGCCTGGTGAGGTGTCATATCCAAGATCTCAATCGAATTCGCTCCCAGATGCGAAAAAGTTCGTCTGTTTATCTGTTCATCTACCATATCCGCTTCTTCACTCACCAACGCTCATCAACCTGCTGTTAAGCCAAACCGCCACCTCTCTAAGCCAGTCTGTCTTTGATTAGGCGACGCCATGCGGCTGCAGCTGAAAAATTGCGCGTAGAAGCGCCGTTTTCAATCTCTTCTTCTCCCAACGGCTGGCCAATGGCTCATCACCATCGTCGCCTTATCGAGTGGCCCGTGGGGGAGTGTCTTGCCTCTATATTGCCCCGTATTACATGGCCATGGAGCTTTCTCATCTCTTTTAAGCATATCGGGGCTAGGTAGCTGGTCAGTCTTGCACTGCAACAGGAAGTCTCAGACCATTCCGCTCATCTCAATGCTGCTTGCTTGGCGGTTGACTACCTCGAAGCCGCCCTTGCCTCAGCCTTTCAGCTGACAGGGGTGAGCTACTTGGCGCCATCGTGACAGGGGTAATGGGTGGTGCCTCATGAACTGATTGACTATCAATACCACCAAAATGTGCCTCCTTGTGATGCCCGCCTAACTCGTCTAGGCCGTGTGGAATGTGTGGTGGCTTGTTGTGAATAGGAGGTGTCTGTCTTCCCCGCGTCTGTCCCAATACTTCGATTGTTTGTCTTCAAGCCGTAGGTAAGGCTCCCCTCTTTCTCTCAGACATCATCCTTGAAAGCCCGTTCTATCTTTTTTTCCCATTCTTTCTCGGACGGCTTCTGCCATTTCCTTCATCACCCCATATCTCGCTCGCCTATCGGCTTCCATCATGACGCGAATATTGGTCCAGGTGTTGCTGTCTATATACCTCTGTGGCTTTGCTACGGCGGCCAATATCGTGTATGTCACTGACCTCTCAATCTACACTTTACTGGTAAGTTGGACTGCTATTTCTTTTACTGGTCTTGCGAATATCTTCAATCCAAGAGTATGCTGACCACACGTTCAGGCACCATGCGCCCAGTCGGCTCTGTCGTACAACATCTTCAGGCAGACTGCTTCTGCCTGCGGTGAAGCCCCCACCGACTTGCAATCATGTGTCTGCACAAAGAACAACAATGCGGTGGCTATCGCCACGTCCATAGCGAAATCGGTGAGCTACAGCTGCGGCTCGTCTGCCTCGGATGACCAGACGAGCGCAGCAGCCGTCTTCAGCCAGTACTGCCACCCGGAATCAACAATAGCACTGGCAACGCCGACGACCAATCTCGTCACCCAATACCCGACAGACATCCCCGCCTTTTCTAACCTGGTGTCTTGCGCGCAATCGGGAGTGTCATATGCCGTATACTCGATGGTGGGTTTCCCTGCGTCGAACCCCTTTGGCTGATGTTGACAAGGTTTCCAGAGATCACTGTGCCCTGAGCCAGCCAGCTTGTTGGCCCCGTGTATGTGCGTAAAGAATGATAATTCGGCCCGCGTCAGTCGTTCCATTGCCTCTCTTGTCAGGTATTCCTGCTCCAACGCGGCCGACGTGACCTCCGCCGGCGAATTTTACAATGCCTTCTGCGCCATGAACCAAGGGACCACGGCTTTTCCTCAGCCATCCCCGCCGCCTGGTGACATGACGTACTACATCACCGCTTTATCACAGTACAACTCGCTCGCTCCTTGTGCTCAGTCGGGTATGTCGAACGCAGTGTCGTCTTTTGCGAGGTCTTTCTGCCCGGATGGCCCTCAGGCGATGGCGTCGTGCATGTGTTTGAAGGACGGTGTTACGAACATGGTGGTTAATACTTTGACGTCGGATGTCAAGTACTACTGCTCTTCCACTGCGACGGAAGATGTATCGTCTGCCCTGGCTGTTCTGGACTTTTACTGTAAGGCTGCTAAGAGAGAGGTTGTTGCGACTGTCGCCGAATCAAGTGAGATCTTTCCAATCCTTACCAAGAGGCTCTTCATACTTACAAGAACTAGTTGCCCAAACGTATCCTACCGCACGAGCAGGCACAGGATCAGGAACATCTGCCCCGAGGCCAACGGGCACTGGCGCCGGTAGCGGCTCTGGTGGCAACTCCGGCGGTAATGAAGAAAAGCAAAGCAGCAGCAATATTGCCCCGATTGTGGGTGGTGTCGTCGGTGTGCTGGGCGCTCTCGCTTTCGCAGGTCTCGTCGCGCTTGTCGTCCTTCGCCGTAAGAAGAAGGCTCGGGCACAGGCCAATTCTCAAGGCCCTTTCTTGACGAATATGGGACCGCCAGGAATGAGCGGGCCACCAGAGCTGGGAGGCACCATGCTCTCTTCTCTCCCCCACAAGAGCCCTTCGATGAGCGTTGCCAAGGTCGGCTCTCCACGCTCAGATACTGTATCACCCGCTTCTGCCTACGGTAATAGCGCATATGCACCACCACCCATGGGATCCGAGCTGCCAGGGCAAGGAATGCCCCCTCCAGTTCCCGAGATCCCGGCGAACACCAACGGAAATCTACAACCTGGAGGCCATTTCATGCCCTCCGAGCTGCAAGGACAGTATGCTCAGACGGAACAGGCAGGGCAGCATTACGGCCAGAGTCTTCCTCTTCCACCTGAGCTCCAGGGAGGACAGATGGCACCTGCTGAAGCGTACGGTCAGCCCATTCATCAGATGCTGAGCGGACCTCAACCTGTGTATCAAGCGCAAGGGAACCAGCGGGCGGAGCTCCAGGGTATGGGGTGGCATTCTGGGCCCACTCCAGGGTATTCTGAGTTGGATTCAAGCCATAATCGAAGGTAACTTGCGTTGGTCGATGAACTTTTTTGGGCGGGAACATGGCGTAAGTGGTTAAAACGACTTTGGCATGGTGTAGGAGCCTAGAATTTGGCTGTTGTCTGGATATTGATAATGGGGTTTAACGATTAGTATGAAAATCAGTTCTGACAAATACTTAAAGAATAACAAATAACTTCTTACTGCAATGATTCTCCTCAAATGTACAGCGGGCCTTGTCCAGTCGGTCGCTGTTGATTTTGTGGTGTTGAAGGCATCTATGTGATTCCAATTCAACATTGCTGAGAAAGACAGCTTAGTAATAATGATTATGAATGTTGAATGTTGGGAAAGGTCAGATTAAGAGAGGAGGGCAGTGACCACTAAGCTGACCTTCCTTACCTTCACTTGCCTCACCTTCCTCACCTCACCATGAGTTCGGTGTATCTCGGTCAGTAACTCTGAATTCATCAGGTACGTACTCAAAGTCCAAGCTCTGATGAGTCAGCCGGCGCATCATCGGCGAAACAGCCAGCTCTTAGCTTGCTACTCTGTGATTGGCCAAAACTCATACTTCGCTGTCACCTGTGGAAGCAGCTTCTCAGTGTACCGGTCAGCCTTGCATTGCTCGCTCAGGCCGTCTGGTTCGAAAAACATCCTTCTGGTCGCGCTTGCCCAAAATCTTGCGATTTCTTCTCCTGTCGACGTCAACCACCCACACAACTCCTCGTCGTCGGATTCAACCTCGACACCGCCTCAACCCCAAGGTAGGCGGAGTTTGGGTGATTGTGCACTCTGAAGACGAGGCCTTTACCATTCCTTTCCTTTGTTATTGTATCATCTTGACATATTCCTGCTACAGCACTCCCGACAGGCGGGGTGCCGAACGCGCAACAGAACCATCGTCAATCGATCATTTCGGCCGCGATTCCTCTTGACACGACCGTCATTCGATGTCGATAAGCAGTCCCTGAGACACGATCATAATGGCAGCGGCCGTTGACGTGGGCTACGTAGCCAGCCACCTCGGCTTGGCTGAGTCGACTGTGTCGACCGTCACCACTGAACCCACCCCAGAGCTCGTCGCAACCCTTCTCGAGGCTGTAATTTCGAAAGCACGCGAATTCGACGAGCTCTACGCGCAAAAGCTACAGGTCGACATCGAGCTCGAGAGCGCGCATCACAGTGCCGAATCAAGATGTCAAAGCTTCAAGGCGACTGCCGACAAGGCCCTGAAGGAGGTGGAGGAGGTCCGCCAGAAGCTCCGAGAGGAAGGTTCGTGGTTCTCATCATATTCTGCTATTCTTTTAAACATTTTTTTTTTCAATACGGCCTCTCATTTGCTGACTCTGGGTTCACAGAAACGAAGCGACAAACGGTCGAGAATGAACTTCAGTCCTTAAAGTCGCGTGGATCCGACTACGATTCGGAAATCACCACTCTACGCGACCGCATCGAGTCCCTACAATCTTCCAACCGTGCGAACATGGCTCTCCTGGAGTCGCGCAACGCCCGTGATTCAGAGCTCTCCGAGGAGCTCGCCAAGCAGCACCAAAAGAACGTCCAACTCAACAAGGAAATCACCTCTCTGCAGCAACAAGTTCAGGCCGCTCAGGCCGCGGTGAGCAGCGCCAAGTACCGAGAAGAATCCCTTCAGCAACAGCTTGACCTTGCGCGACGTAACAGCGAATGGTTTGAGACCGAACTCAAGACCAAGAGCGACGAAGCCTTGAAATACCGCCGCGAAAAGGGTGCACGCATTGCTGAGCTGCAACGCCAGAACGAGGATGCCAAGTCCAACATCGAAGCCCTCAAGCGAAGCGAACAGCAGCTGCGCGACCGTCTTGACGCCGCTCAGGCCAAGGCAGAGGAGGCCCTTACAAAGGTTCAGCAGCAACAGGAAGCGTTTGCTCGCAGCGAAGAAAGCTACAAGCATGAGTTGGAGAGCAAGCAGAGGGTTGTTGAGATGACGAACCAACTTGCAGACAGCCACAAGAACCGTGTACAAACTCTGGAGGGTGAGAAGGAGGCTTTGAAGGAGAAGCAAGCCAACGAGATCCGCCGCATCCAACAGGAGCTTGAGAGGGAGAAGGAAACCTGCCGCACTCTCGAGGAGCGTGTTACTCAGCTGGAAGGCGAACTGGACGAGTTCCACGCTCGCATGGAACAGGGACCTCCCCCTGGTTCTGCGCCCCAAACACCCCGTATGAATGGATCTCTGCTTGGAAGACCGGCATCGCCCTTCGCAACCCCCGCTTCCGCACGCAGCAAGTCCGCCATTACCGCCACTCAGGCCATTGACGAACTCTACAAGGTCAAGGGACAACTGGCGGGTGAGAAGCGTCGCAATCAGCAGCTTGCTGAGGAGCTTGACAACATGATTGCGCTCCTCGAGGCCAAGACACCAGAAATTGAAGAACTCCAGAACGAGGCCGACACCCTGCGAGCCGAGATCACCAGAATGTCTGAACTCTCTCAGACAAGCTTTGAAGAGCGCGACGTCGCTAAGAAGAGCGCCAGAAAGGCAGAGAGTGCGCTGGCGAACGCCCAGGCCGAGTCCAAGATTCTTCGCACTCAGCTTCGAGACCTCAGCACGCAAATCCAGATGCTCGTTTTCAACATGCATGCTCGCGAGAAGGGTCTGGAACAGCTGACCCGGGAGGAAACTATCCGCCTGGAACAGCTCTCTCGCGGTGAGATCAGCGAGGGAGCTCTTTCCGACATGTCCGATACCCACCAGTTCATCACGCAGAAGTTTGTCGTTTTCAAGGATATTCAGGAGCTTCAAGCCAAGAACCAGGAGCTGCTACGTGTCACCCGTGAGTTGGCCGAGCAAATGGAAAGCGAGGAGGCTGTTGCTGCCAAGAACCAAGCTGTCGAGGACCACCAGTCAGTTGAGCGTCTACAACAAGAGCTCTCCAATATGATCGATGAGACCAAGTCATTGAGGACGACAATGGAGAGCTTCAAGGCTGAGCGTGACATGTTCCGCCGTCTCTTGCAACAAAAGGCAACTGCCGGGGAGCTTGCCTCTATCTTGGGCGGCTCTGAGGACGGCCAGCGCCAGCCGCTCGCTAGCATCGAGACGGAAGAAGGCGATGGCGTGTCTCCATCAGCCGCTCTCCGTGCTCTGCAAGTAGAGTTCGACACCTACCGAAACGACGAAGAGTCTGTTCGACGATCCTTGAGAGAGCAGATTGATAGACTATCCAGCGAGAAGAACACGCTCCAGGGCGAGGTTGCAAAGATTAGCAGCCAAATCACACTGGCTTCGGAGCGCTACGAGATGCTCCACTCCAACTTTGTCGCCTTGCAAAGCGAGAACAAGGAGTTGCAGAGACGCAACCAATCACTGTCTGAGGACTCTATCAAACAAGAGATCCGGACACAGCAGGTTGCGGAAGAGCTTGTGGATGCGAAGGGCCTACTCGAAAGCATCCGCAACGAGGCCGCCAACCTGAAAGCAGAGAAGAAGCTGTGGAAGGATATTCAGGATCGCCTCAATCAAGACAATGAGAACCTTGTCCAGGAAAAGACACGTCTTAACAACCTCCTGGCGACGCAACAATCGATGCAGAATGAGCGTGACATTTCTGAATCCGAGTATAGACGAAAGTCGCAGGCCAAGATCGACAGTCTGGAGCAGGAACTCACCGACACGAAGCGGAAGTTGTCGGAAGAGATGGAGGAAGGCAAGAAGCTTCAGCTCAGGAAGGAGTTCGATGCCCGCGAGGCCCAGAAGCGAATCGACGAGCTTTCCAACAGTCTCAGTCAGATTCGCGAAGAGCACGTTGCAGTTAAGACAAGTCGTGACCATCTGCAAGCTCGTGTCGATGAGCTCACAATCGAACTTCGCAACGCTGAGGAGCGCGTTGGCAGATTGCAGCCCCGACCCACGCCTCGTCCAGGATCTATGGCGCCGCCTGCTCAGACCAACGAAGACAACGAGGCCGAAGTCCGCGAGCTCATCAATGAGGTTTCCGATCTTAAGCGCGAGCTTGACATGGCCAAGATCCAGTTGGAGAATGCCAAGGAACAGACTGAGCAGTACAAGCAGCTCAGCGAACAAAATGAAGAAGCGTTGTCCGAGTTCACCACCTCCCAGGAGCAGTTTAGAGAGGAAATGGATTCTGCTCTCTCCGGCAAGGATGCCAAGATCAAAGAGCTGGAGCAGCGTGTCGAGGATCTGTCTACTGAGTTGGCAAACTCCAACAAGGAGCTGTCTCACCTTCGTGACTCTCAAGCCGAAGTTGCCCGCAAATACGAGGATGAGAAGACGATTCTGGACGAAGAAATCAAGCGTCTGAAGGAGGAAGCCGATCGCTACTCGGAGGCCGCAAAGTTCCACCAGCAGGACCTTCGCGCCCAGTCCGAAATCACTGCCAAGGCCCAGCAAGACTATGAGCAGGAGCTCGTCAAGCACGCCGAGGCCGCCAAATTGGTCCAGCAGCTGCGAACCGAGTACAACGAGCTGAAGAGCCAGACTGCGACTCTGAAGGCCGAAGCTGAATCTGCCAAGGTGGCCCTTAGCCAGAGCGAGAGTTCCTGGGAAGAGCGCCGCCAGCGGTTAGAGCAAGAGATGGCAGAGATCAAGGCGCGTCGCGATGACGTGAACGCCCAGAACAAGCTTCTCCACGAACAGCTGGAGAGCATTACATCGCAATTCTCGGCGCTCAAGCAGAACAGGGCCGCAGCGGCAGACGATGCCAGCGGCAACGCAGAGGGCGGTAACGACAGCGCTACCGATGGCCTGCGCGAACTCAACAACTACCTGAGACGAGAGAAGGAGATCCTCGAGGTTCAATACGACCTCAAGGTGCAAGAAGCAAAGCGCCTACAGCAACAACTCGAGTACTCCCAATCGCAGCTTGATGAAGCTCGCTTGAAGCTCGACCAAGAACGACGAGCACAGGCTGAGAGTGGCCAAGCTTCCATCGCCCACAAGGACTTGATGGAGAAGCTCAACGAGCTCAACCTCTACCGCGAGAGCAGTGCTACTCTTCGCAATGAGCTCGCACAAGCACGGGCTCAGATCGCCGAGAAGAACACCAAGATCGAGGAGCTGGAGGCGAAGGTTCAGCCTCTTGAGGCTAGGATTGAGGAACTCCAAACCCAAAAGGGCTTCTTGGAGGAGGAAATTAAGCAAGTACAGGAGGACCGTGACAGATGGCAAAAGCGAACCGAAGGCATCCTCACCAAGTACGGCCGCGTGGATCCTGCCGAAATGGAACAACTCAAGCAGACCATTGCCGACTTGCAAGCTGAGCGCGATGCCCTCAAGGAATCTGAAGCTCCGCTACGAGCCGAGATTGATGAGACGAAGCAGACGCTTGAGACGGAGAGGGCTAACTGGCAGAACACACGCCAGCGTATGACCGACCAATTCAAGGAACGCTCAAGGAAGATCACCGGCGAGAAGAACGAGGCCATCACTGCAAGGAACGAGGCGATCGCCGAAAAGGATGCTGCCATTGCTGAGAAGGAGCAACTCTTGCAGCAACTCACCAACGCGAACGCAGAGTTGGAGACTACGAGAGAGAATCTGCAGACTTCGACACAACAACGTACCGAGTTCGAGCAACAGATCCAGAACTTCCAACAACAGGTGCAAAGATTGCAGCAGGAAGCTCAGGCAAATGGCCAGACAAGCCAACCCGCTGTCCAGCCTGCAGCCGACTCAACTGGATCTGTGTCCAACGAGGTTGTCGCCCAGCTGGAGCAGCAACTCACAGAAATCCGGAGCCAGCTGGAGGCAGTTTCAGCGCAGAAGGCAGCCGCCGAGCAGGAGCTCCAAAATCTTCGCACACAGTTGCAGACTGCCATTAGCGAAAGAGACCAGGCCGTCCAGACTGCACAGCAGGCTGCCCAGGCGCAACCTCCGGCGCAACCTCCCGCTGAGGCACAGCCCACTCAGGCGGCCCCGACAGAAGCGGTTGCTACTAATGGCACAAGCGTCCTCTCTGACGAGGAACGTAAGGCCTTGGAAGAGAAGATTGCCGCCGCTGAGGCCAAGGCCGCTGAATACGAGCGCAAGGCCCAAGAGGTGGAACAAAACATCCAGCAAACAATCAAGGAGCGATCAGACAAGATGCGGAACGCGCTCAACGAGAAGTTACGACAGTCACGCGAGAAGTTTGAAGAGGAGTTCAAGACCAAGTTGGAGCAAGAAAAGGTCATTTGGAAGGCCGAGAACCAAGGCGCGGCCCCGAGCCAGCCTTCGGAAGAGCAGCCAGCCGTTGCGGCCACACCCGTCAAGCAAAAACAAGACCCAGATGCGGCCCCTACGACACCCATCACGGGCACGCCCGGCGGCTCAGGAGATCTGTCGCACCTTCCTGATGCTGAGATCCGGAAGTTCCTCTCGACCAACCCGACAGTGCGGAGCATCATGTCCTCTAACCTCAGAAAGAAGCTGGAGGAGCAGACCGCCAAGGTCAAGAGTGAGACTGAGACGACTCTGAAGGCCGAGTTCGAGCAGAGAATCGTCAACGCTCGTGAGGAGGGTCAGATGTTGGCTCAGAAGAAGTCTGCGCTGCAACTTAACATGAAAGATAGTCAGCTACGGTCTGCCAACGCCAAGATTGAGGTTGTATCCACAGCTGCAACCCAAACTCCTCAGAGACCAGTCGGTGAGGTATGGGAGGAGGCCAAGGTTGCCAAACCAGCTCCTGCAGCAGCACACCCGAGCCCGGCGAAGCCTGCTGCGAATACACAGCCTCGTGCCTCAATTTCCGGACCAGGCGGGGCACCAGCACAAGCTGCTGCAACCACAGCTGGTAAGTATTTTGTAATCATCCTTCAACACGAAAATGGTTCTAATAGCATTATAGCACCTAATGCCTCGGCCAACTCAGCGCAAGCGGCAGCTCCTGCCCAGAATGCTCAGGCCCAGAGTGCTCAGGCCCAGAGTGGTATTCCTCAACCAAACAGCGGAATACCTCAGCCTGGAAGTAGCCTTCCGCAAGTGAAGCGCCAAATCCCTCCTCCTTCGGAAATTAAGACGGCGGCAAACACCGCTGGCGGAAACCCATTTGCGGCAGCGGCGGCAGCAGGTGGTGCTGCCGGTCAAGCGCAGGCAAACCCCTTCTCTCAGTCGGCGCAGGCACAACAAAATCCCTTTGCCCAAGCTGCGCAAGCCCAGGCCGCACAACAAGGCCAAGGACAGCAACCGGCGACTCAGAACCAACCTGCCCAGCGCAGTGGCATTCCTCTCCCTGGACAACGGGGCGGTGCAGCTGGCCGTGGCCGTGGTGGAGCGTATGCGGCTGGCAACAGAGTGTCGAGTGGTGGGGCCGATAGAGGTGGACTGGGTGGTGGCCGTGGCGGGCGTGGTGGTAGAGGAGGACACGCCGCCGGGCCACTGAACCCGGGTGCGAATGATTTCCAGCCCGGAAACAAGAGACCCAGAGGGGACTCTGAAGCCGGTGGTGGAGCTGGCGCGAAGAGAGCACGAGGAGGCGGTCACTAAGTGGCCAGCCATGATTTACTGAGCAGATGTGGTAATAGGTGGTAGTTGCTTTTCATCTCGATGTCTGTATTGATATGGCTTGGCCGAAGGAGGTTCAAAGGCGAAGATGAACAGGGCAAACCCGCAGTTTGCCAATGTGTATAGCTACTACATACTCAAAATGGATTTCTTATGTCAACATTCACTTTCTCACCCTCCACGTCCATGGTCCCAACACTTGCCGGTTAGACCATCCTGCGAGATACTAACGAGTCATGGGATGTCATCCAGTTGCCTTGACAGCCACTTGACACTGACATTTTGATCTCATGATCCGTTGCCAAAGGGGAAGCTTCTTAGGTGTCCCCTAGGTTCTAGATCATGTCAGGAAAAGATACTCTGCCGTTCGAAAGTTTAATAAGCGGCAAAGAGGACTCACAAGATGCGCCTTGAAACAGTTTCAAGCAGCCGCCAAATCTTAATCTTCCAATTTAGTCGTAGCGAGAATTGCCGCAGACACTGGACGAACCGCCTTAGCGACTCAGGCGCGCCCAGGGGGGGTGTGTGTCTACTAGTAAAAATAAAAACTCCACCAGCGGCCCGGCCCCACACGGCGCCAACTCCGGCCCCTCCAAACCCTGCTTTTTGCAAACAAAAAAAAAACCTCGCCGCCGAATGATGAAGAAATTTTTTTGTCCAAGTCCAACGCCGTTCCCACCTGGTCCATAAACCACTTTCCGACGAATCGTTCCCAACAGTTCCAGCCAGCACTGGGTTCAAATCGCCCGGCTAGCTCAATCGGTAGAGCGTGAGACTCTTAATCTCAAGGTTGTGGGTTCGACCCCCACGTCGGGCTCAATTCCCGGCAGCGATTGAAGCTTCCAGTTCTCTTTTTGCCTTTTTCCATCTAGTTAGTGAGTGGGATGGATGCTCTTTTGTTGAATGAATCCTTAGACATTAATTATATCACATATTTTGCGTACGCTGTATGATAAAGTAGCTGTCTTCTCTTGTCTTCTATTATCATCCCTATAACATTATCTCAGGGTCTCTTGCCCTGCACCCGATGACAGTCTTGGGGTCCGGCACAAACCGACTCTTGAACATGCTTCCAGGCGCCTTGTCGCCCACTATCCTCCAGTCGTAGTTCATGATGAGATGAGCAAGCACAATCTTCATCTCGTTGCTCGCGAAGAATCGTCCCGGGCAGGCATGCATACCGTGCCCAAAGGAGAGGAACTCGGGACTCGTCGAGACAAACTGCCATCGGTTCTCCTGCCCCGGCTGCTCGCGCATGCGGAGGAACCTGTGACCGTCGAACTTGGTCGGGTTAGAGCCCCATAGAGCGGGATCGAGCGTGTTGTGCGCCGCAACGGTCAGGTGAGTGCCTTTCGGTATGTATGTGCCGTCGGAGAGGGTCACTGGGCTCTCTGCCCTGCGGTTCATGATGTCTTGTTACCCCGCTGTTGTCAGCTATCGAGTCGGTACGTACGTTTGCGCCGGGGGGGGGGGGGGGGGGAAAGAAGGGTAACTTACGTGGGCCGAGGATATGTAGACGTTGGCTTTCTTTCAAACAGCTGTCCATCAGCTTCAGCTTATACAGACTGCCCTTGCTCCAGCCTCCATCTTCCGTAAACACCCGCACGATCTCCTCCCGCAAGAGGGTGAAGTACTCCGGGTTGGAAAGCATGTCGTACATGAAGGCCGTGAGAGCGGACGAGGTCGTGTGTATAGCAGCAAATGTCAAGAATAGCTGCCCGGCAACGACGTCGAAATCCCTGCCCCGTCGCACGTCATCGATCCACGAGAGTGAATCCATGGGCTTCTCCATTCCGTCCCGCGCCTGGCGTCTCGCTGCGAGCTCTGGCTCCATGATTCTCCTCGCGTGTGCGATCTGGGAGCGGAGGAACTTGAGCATGGGCAAGAAGCGGTGGACTAGCGGACGCAGGAGGACCGGCCACGCTCGGAGGGCGCGGCCCGCGGAGAGGACTACTCCGGCAAAGTTGATGGAGACGGAAATCCATTCTTTGTTGCGGCAGAGCCGGTCTCCGAGGAGAATCTTTGCAGAGAGCCGAGCGGCGAGCTGGAGGGCTACGGGGAAGAATTTTACGTCTTGCCATTCTTTGGTTGTGGGGAGTTGCTCTTTGAGAATCAGGGAGGTCTCTTCGCATAAGCGTTCCGTTAGGTACACTGTCGTCAGATTCAATTAGCAAAGCTGCTCAGCTAAATCTCTGATAGCAGACTAGGCATACTGAGCTCCTGGTTGAGGTTTCGACGGATGGCTTCCTGGATGATGCCGTCTTTTAAGCCGTCTTGGAGGACGCTTAGGCCGGGGTACCGTGTAAGCCATTGCTACGGAGCTTGGTCAGCACTGATTTGAGGTGATGCCGAGCGTCGGTCTGTCTTAATTACATACCCGGTCTATGAAGCCTGTAAAGGTAAGTCGCTTGTCGTTGCGTATCTCCTCCGCCATGTGTGGGGGTAGCATAACCAAAGGACCAAATGGGGAGAGCACCTGGAAAGGTCGGCCGTTCGTCTGGGAAGGGATTAATCATGGTATCGCATTAAAGTCAAATCGTGAATTGTATGAAGAACGGCATACCTCTTCAAAACCATCCCGAAGGAGCTCCATCGCATCTGTGTTCCATCTCAATCTTGCTTTCTCAAACGACCATTCTCCATGTTCTTGACCAATGAGACGGAACCCTCGATACGGCCTGTCTTCTCGCCAGTACCAGCTCAACACCGCAACAGAAAGCACAACAGCCGCCCCGATGAAGGCAATATCATGATACCGTTCATGCAGTCGGTCAACAAATTTGTCCATAATGGCTGCAGTGAATGTCAGTTATGGAGATGAACATCCGCTGTTAGCTTTGCGGTCGCAGTCGAGGTTGAGTCAGCACACCCCACGAACTATTACTCCGAAGTCAAATTAGTCAATGGGATCACTGGAATCTCTAAGGTTCATCGGTCTAGGTTGAGAATCCAGCAGTGAAGGTGGGGGGGATGACGCGCTTCTTTATGTTGCCCAATCTATCCACGAAGCTACGAAGCGTTGGGCATGTGCTCTAAGAAAGTTTGGACCTCGGGGTCCGATAGAATTCCACGCATATTCGATTATCGACGAGAGCCAATTTGATTGCTGCGTCAGTCCGGTCTTTGTCGGGGTGCGACACCGCCTCGCTGGGAGTTTTGAAGAGGGTCCGCCCATTTTACCTGTGCTGACACAACTCCTCGAAAGTTAAAGTTGAGGCTAGATCAGATGGTTGCGCCCTTTCTCAATTTGCCTCACCACGCGAAGGCGAGGCATGTACTAGTAACGAGTATTATTTCCTATTTTAGTCGATTTAAGTCTTTTCTATGTACAGGCCAGCAAGTCATTCCCAATATTGTGTTCCTTCTCGCTACCAGCCTTATTTTGCCACCAAGAGACTGTCAGTTCTCTTGGTCTACTTTCGTGTTCTCCAAACAATTAAAGTTTCAATAAGGCTGCTATTCGTATGAAGTTGGTAGAGATTTACCTATATGACTCGATGGTGGTGGCCTTGTGACATCACTTGTAGAGCTAATTGATGGGCAACCTCCGAGCCGTATACCAAACATTAACCATGACAGAAGTGAATCATGTACGGATATATTAAGATGATAATGTGCTCGAGAATTGCTGTAAATGCCTTTATCTTACATGATTTTTCTCTCTCATGCCACCAATGCATGCGATATCCAAAGTCCCATTCATAGAGGCATTTCTTCAACACCTGAATCCATCATTCAGTTAGTTGGAACAAGTTCACTCGCCCTCTCATGACTCAGATTAACAGCAGCAGACAACGAACGACTCGTGATATGAATTAAAATATATTTAGAAATCTAGCATACACTTAGAATATTATTCCCCATAGCTACTGAGCTTTATCTACAGTTACCATAATGAAAATGCAGGCAGATAGGAGTCTATCCTATGCCTGCAGAGGAAATCAGTCAAAAGCGTGCTCACGATGGAAAATCTCAACAGTTCAAGTGGTAAAAAGAAGCTCAAGCGAGGCTACGAATCGGCAAATTGTTCTCAGGTTGTGTGATTACACTTTACGAGGAAGTAAAGTTACAGCACACCGCCCATTCATCAACGTGTTTTTGTTGAAACCAACTTACGCCCGCTACTGACTCTGAACCAAGTTGGGCAAAAGCACGTTGTTGTACTCCCACACAACTGTAGTGAAACCTGCAGAGAATGCGGCCCCAGTGTACCAAGTAGATCGATAGCCCTGAAGAGCTACCTGCTTCTGAATAAACCCAGCACGCAAGTCGCCCGCAGTAACTTGCGGGTGCATCTTGATAGCGAGAAATTCAGGGAGCTTACGAGCTGGGAAGACTTTTCGATGACAATCACGCTCTGGTTGTGGTCGCGCAACCACACAGCGGCATGAGCACCCGCGGCACCTCCACCGACAAAGATAACATCGCGAGAAATAATCTGGTTACCGCATGGATAGCTGAAGACCGCTGTGGCTTGAAGGAGGAAAGTGGCCGCAATATGCAGACTTGAACGCATCTTGGCTAAGAATGGATGCGTTTCTTCGTTATTTCTCCTGGGCTGATCTGGACTGTGACAATGGAGCTGCAACGTTCGATATCGGAGGCTTGCCGGAGATTTTATAACGGAAACCGGCAATCAGCCTAGGTTTTGCCTCGTACCGCGTTTGCTCGTCACTCCGTTAGTGGGTGAGCCCGTGGCAACTGCATCTGTCGCCCCTTGTGAAGACATACAAGCCAGGATTAGGAAATCTGACCATGGCATCTTGTTGGCGGTTGCAATGTGTCAGTAGTGACGTTCCATTGGACAATTCATGCTGCAAGCCGGAGTTTAGCATGAGACTAACTGAAGAACAGGATTGATCGCCGCCTGCAGTGAAATGCTTTTCGGATCTCGAATGCATCCTTCCACAAGCGTGGTGGCATTAGAAGTAGGGGCAAAAAATGGAGATTTGGCCCTTCAATCACAACTTAGGCGACGTTTTCCCCTCTGCACCCTACCTTTGTATCGAAATTAACAGACATACAATTGCACATAAGTAGCGATAACTAGTAATCAGTCAACGGGCCAAAACTGTAATGAATTCAGGACATCCTCGAGGTGGTCTGGTAATTATTGGCATTGCCTTAACGACGTCTTAGTAAATGCTATTTCTCCGTCATTGTTTGACAGTCTGTTAGAGCACACCAAAACTATTATGCGCTTACCTATCTTCAATTCTCGCTGAACGTGATACTAATCAAATATTACTGCCTTGGCTGTTACCTTGCAGTAAAGTTTCAAATGCAGTGATGAGTTGGTCCCGAGTTGACGTTGGCCTCCATCACCTGTTATCCTTCGATGCCATGTTGATCACTAATACTTGAAATTCTGGTAACTCCACCAAAATGCCATGTCCCAGTTTTGTAGTCAAAACTAGCTTGAAGTCTGTTGTGCTTCATCTGACAAACGGGCTGTACATTCTAATATCGGGTTCAGAGTTCCACAATGACCCTCGAGGCGGGTCAAGCGGACCAAGAGAAGGTTTCTGACCCCAAAACTCCACCGCGCTAGACCGGAGTTTGCAAGGTCGCTTTCAACCTCCACAACATCAATATTGCAGTGGATTATAAATGTGCCCATCGTCAAATTTTCCAACCTCAGCAGCCATAGGATTTCCTATGATCTCAACTGGGAGGGTGGCCGAGTTGGTTATGGCGCCAGGTTAAGGTCAGCTTAACATCTGTTTCCTGGTGGGGCAACCCGCGCGAGTTCGAGTCTCGTCCCTCTCAAGTTTCCTTTTGCCATCTTGCCAAAGATCTTTTTCTTACTTGGGGTTTATATTTTATCGATAGATCGGCCCAGAAAGAAATCTGCAGTGATTCTCAGATTTTGCATGGCTTCATACCCTTTTGCGTGGCTAGCCAATACCTTTGTAGTTTCGACCCTGTGCTGACTTGGAGAAAAACATACATGACTGGGCCGCTGAATGTTCATTGTCCAAGTGTGGCTCGTAACATACCTAGCAATTACTCTACAAAATTTGCCGACCTTTGTAGCCATGCTCAAGTGAGAAGTAAACCACCTAAGCTGTCTTCCTCTATTACATCTTTCCAATCAATGTCAACATTGAAATGTTGCTTAATGACACTCTGCCTAAAACTCCAAACCTTTTCCAGCGTGTCCAAGGCGCGTTGGATGTTATGAAATCTTCGTTTCTCCATCATCGCGATTAGACGACTGCGGACGACTTCAATCTGATCATCTTCATGACTTTCTCCACCTGCCATGAAAAGGGGAAACAGCAAAGCCGACTCTGGCATATCGCCAAGAGGAATTTGGGACACAACAGATATAATTTCTGCTGTCACTCTCCCAATTTTCACATCGACCTCGTCTGCATTACCGAGAACTTGCGATTCATTACTTATCGATTGATGCCGACAACAGCAGCGCATTTCTCTGTAGAGATAGATTAGCGCAGCATTACGATAGGCGGATGCAACGAGATTCAAGCCAGGAGATATGTTTGAGTCAGGTTGCCACACCAGTAGCTTTTCCTCGATACTTCGAAACGTATTGATATTAGTGGCGTTGGTGGGTTTCGAAACAAGCGTGCTGATTTGTGCGATGTACGTCAAGATCTCAATGCCGACACCCATGTAGGTGTCAATAATGCCTTTCATATCCCGCAGATAGGAAGCATCAATGAGGGGACTGGTGCCCATCGTTACACTGCCGAGGATGTCGTGATATGCAAAGTTTCGCAAGACCCAGCGTCCTTCCTGGCTTTTCTGAAAGGCGTCGGTTCCAAGGGGGCTACCACAACCAATTGCTGATTTGTGCCCCGCGGATAGAATTAGATGTTTAGCTCCAACTAGGTGCTGATACCAGGCAGCATAGTTTCCGTGACACACTTCGGACGTCAGAAGGACTAAAGCTGCCGCCACATGGGCCTCCCGGCTTGCGATATCATACGACGGGTTGGTAATGCTCTTTGCTAGCGCGGAGAGGGACCGAGACCGTGCAAGCAACGCAGTTGACGAATAGCTATCATCAAATTCCGATAGCTGATTTGCAGAGTAGGCAACCAAGGCCTCCGCAAGTGCTGGCGACTCTATGGCCATTGGCAGAAAGGCTAAGAAACTGACTCAGATATGGACTACTTCTTGATGAAGAGGGGAGTGTTTGGGAAAATCCTACCAGATGTGAACCCATTGTGCTGTTGACTAACAGTCAGATAATCCGCCAAGACGGATATGTAGTACCTCATCGCGTGTCTTTTCTTTTGTGATTCAGAACCCCCACCATCCGCGAAGTGGTTCCAGTCATGACATAAGGCTGGTGGGGGTGAACTAGAGATTGCCTCTTGCTGGGGCTGTATACTAGGTGAAGGGGTTCGACGACGAACAATTTGACGCCTGGGTTCTCGAACGCACTCAAGGTTGAGCCGGGCGCAGGATCCACATATGGGAAAGGTATTATCAATACACTTTTTGCGTCTGTACTTCTGGTTAGTCACATTCGATTTATGACAATAATGCAGAATCTCAACGGCAGTACCTCTGGCGGCATGTCAGACAGCCTGTCTTATCGTGTTTGGACCCAGCCCTTCGTTTCATTAAGGCATCACCGTGGCCCCCCATATCGGATTCTTTTAGGCTAGCACGAGTTTGGGAACAGTATGGCTGGGTTGTGTTCTCCGATATCCTATTGTGATCTGGTCCAGCGGACAGTCCGTCGAGAGCAAGTTTAATTGATAGAATGCAGGCGATAGTGTGGCTGAAACGCCCAGGGACAATGGCGTCTAGTGAATAACAATGCAAATGAGGCTCAGATTCGGCATTCCATACACCCAGAGGCAAGTAACATTTCAGAACGACGAAGCATATCTCTCCATAAAAGAGGCGACGGCATCATGTGACATGACCCCGCACCGCCCATTACGCCAAATACGCCAAATACGCCGAACACGCCGGATACGCCAATGACGCCAAATACGCCCCAAGCGTTAGACGCGGTAGACGCGATGCCTCTGCCGCTTCCTCAATGAGTGTAAGTCGAATAGATACCAAAATGAGATGGCGGGCGAGCACGCCGCATAGCGTACGAATTATGTTCTTTGAGTAAATTGAAATTTGTATAAGAATGGCTTCTACCGCTGACAGTTTCCAAGAATTCGCAATCAGCATCTTGCATTCTTGTATCAAAGAAGATTATACGACGCGAAAAGTCAGTAACGAAAAAATGTCAACTTCAACTTTCAGTCAATATTGGTTGCCGGAGAAGAAAGGATTCGACTGCCTCACTCTTCGTCAAGTTCCGTACATAAAACCTAGTTTGGGGCAAATTCTTGTCCGAATCAAAGCAGTTTCTCTTAATTGGAGAGATGGTGTCGTTGCGCTAGGTACCTATCCTTTTCCAGGTCCTGATGCTGTGGTTCCGGGAAGTGATGGTGCAGGTAAGACAAGTGCTCTTGATGCGAGACCATATTATCTGATGATGTATAGGAATTGTTGAAGAAGTTGGCGAAGGCGTTACCGAATGGAAAGTTGGGGATCGAGTCCTAGCGAATTTTACCCAAGATCATATCGCTGGTCATCTTTCATATGAAATGAGTCTTTCACAACTAGGTGGAGAGTCTCAAGGACTCCTTGGGGAGTACTTCCTCTTTCCAAAGACTGGTGTGGTCAAGATTCCGGACTATCTATCTTTTGAGGAGGCTTCTTGCCTTCCATGCGCGGCTTTGACAGCCTGGAACGCACTTTACGGTCTTGTCCCTCTTCGACCTGGTCAAGTTGTCCTTCTTCAGGGAACCGGAGGTGTTTCGACGTTCGGTCTACAGATAGCCCATGCCGCCGGTGCAGTTACTATTGTGACCTCTTCATCTGATGAGAAGCTTCTGAGAGCCAAAGAGCTCGGAGCTACCCACATCATCAATTATCAAGCCAATCCTGATTGGGCTGCTGAGGCGAAGAAACTCACTGGAGGGCGTGGAGTGGATCATATCCTAGAAGTTGGAGGAACTCTCACTCTGCAAGCCTCGTTTGATGCCATTTCGTTCAATGGCCTCATTCACAGCATCGGCCACATCACAAACCCGGATCCTCTAGGTGCGGGTAAAGACCTTCGTGGTCCAGATGCTGCCTTTCTCGCTTTAGACCGACATTGCATCCTGCGAGGAGTGGTTGTCGGGTCGAGAGAACAGTTACAGGATATGCTGGCTTGTTTTGAAGCGAAACAGATACGACCTGTTATTGACAAGGTCTTTGATTTTGAGAACACTAGGGAGGCCTATGATTACCTGTGGAGTTCCAAACACACAGGAAAGGTTGTCATTAGAGTACCTTGAATGTAAAAGAACATTGCCTCTACTGTCCTGCTGTGTTAGCAAAATAAGGTAGTTGGTCGTGGAATCATTTTGCATCAAGATTTGTTTGCATTCCGTTCTCTATTAGAGCCTTTGAAACATTTGCTTCTTCATCCACGACGTGATTATTGTCTTCTTCCTCTCCGAATAAATTCAAAAGGTGCAATGAAGAAATGAATAATGACATCAGCACATTGCCGGGGCGTCCTATCTAAAGGATTGGGTCAAATTCGGTAACGGCAATATTCAGGGTGGAGTATCGTTGTCTGGTACAGGCCAGACTTAATGATGGAAACAAAGGAGGTTTGCATTCTGAGGGGCAAAGAACAGCTTGCATAAACTGTGCTAGGACAGGTGGCTGCATGATAATGCAACATACATTACCCCGCCCTGTGACATGCACAAAGAAAGGGAATGCGCGGTCAGCTTAACATGATCGTAGCAGCAAACAAACAAAAACTCAAATTTTCTCGGAGTTGCCTTAGTTAGCTAACATGTAGAATTGACGTTTATCTACTTCAAACTTGGACAAGTCATACAGTCTGACCTCACCATGTATGAGAACGACATGTGATACTTCGATACTCGTGTTGAATAAGTGAGATGCAATATTAACAGGTCTCAAGCGATACACGACAGTTACAAGTAAACGCCCTAAGCCTTTCTAAGCTCGCCAGCAATCTCCTTCATGAGCTGCCGGATGTCAAAGTCGGTGAGTTCCTGGACGCCCAGAAGTTCATTATGATCAGTCTTAAGCTTGGGGCTGTACTCCGGAGTGGAGTTTGCATAACGAATCATGTCGCCTATAACCTGGAAAGAGATATTTCCAGCATCCCAGTTCTTTGAAGCTTCTAGAAAAGCTTTCTCCGTATCGGTTTGGGTGATCTGCCAACCTTCATGGCCTAAGGCTTCTTTGGCGAGGTCTGCCATCTCTGCTTGGCTCTTGTATGTGTTGAAGATGTAGCAAATGCGATTCTTCGTCTCTTCCGATCGTAGTAGAGAGTTTATGACGGCATCAGCAACCGAAGAAAGAAGGGTCCAGTAGAATTTGACATTGCCGTCATTCATCAGGTTGACTTTTTTGTTGGCAAGGTCAATGTTCATGAGCCCGATCCTAAGCTTCCAATCTAGGAACGCATTGTTCGAGATAGCTGTGTAGGTGATTCTACCATCTGCTGCCAGGGCTTTCAAATGTTCGTGCGCCTCGGCTTTGCCCTTGAACACTGGCAAAGATCGTGTTTTGACATTGGTGGGGTCGGCACTGAACTCAGAGGCGATGATTCGCTTCACGCCGGCGGCAGCAGCAGCTTCCATAAGTCGAATGGAAAGTCGGGCATCCAGTGTCGAGGTTGCATCAATCAAAACATCTTGGCCCTTCATCGCAGTAATCAGAGCGTTGGATGAATCGAAATCGACAACTTGTGATTTGACACCCACGGGAAGCGCATTGTTGTCATTACGGCGCAGTACGGTAATCTGAAAATTACCGTTGGATACCAGCGCGTTAAGGAGTACAGAGCCGAGGCTACCGGTAGCCTGAGAATAGTAAAGTAAGTGATCAGTCTCTTCAAATTGGTCTGTATCAACTTACACCTGCAAGAGCGACGTATTTGAAGGCCATTGTTGGAGATTAAGGGCAAAATTGAACCGAGGTAATTTCTTTTGTAAGTTGGTTGTGCTTTAAGATGATGATGTTGAAGGTAGCAGTGATTGTTTTCCTTTTTATTTTCAAAAGAAAGGGCGCAAAGCAGACACTATATACTTTCATACTGCACATGATACCGGCCCAAGGATGACCTGTCTAGGTCTCTGCAATTCTGGTACAGTAGGAGCTTTTTACCTCCGAATCCACGGCCCGTAAGTTGATTACGACAAAAGAATGCGATTTTTAATACAAACCATCATGCTCAGTTGTTATGGGAAATGATTGGGGCTTCCACAGATGTTAGCTTGCAGTGGCTGTTGTCAAATGGGGACAAAATGTGTGTCAACTCACGAAATTCTGCCGCGAGCTTTGCCTTCATCTGAAACGTGATTAGTGCTATTAGGAATGTTCTCTAAAGATTATAGAATCATGACTGAGAATATTTGTAACAACAATGCCTAAAAGCCTATATGGGTCAAATGCACGGATGCAAAATGCTTCCACGCCCAATGAGAGAGCTTATCCAGAAACTGTACAGTCGAAATTAAGTCTCGTCCCGCTAACAACATAGCATTTGGAGAAAAGGCGGATACTATTAAGCAAAGTTAAATATCCGCAAGAGGCTTGGCAGCCAAGAACGTACAGCTTATATTCCAAACGAATTGGTAATATAGTATACCGCTTGATTGCAAGCTACAATCATTTGATGCCGATTCAATTCGTGAAGGTAGTTTTCTGGATCCGAAACGATGATTAATATTAGGTGTTATTCTTGTACACTGTGAAATCCGAGAAGCTAGTGTACTATGCGTGGTTTCGTTTTTCTAATCCAGCGAACTACATCATAACAACCTGGAAAGCTAACTTCGATCTGCCAGCTCACCGTATCGAATATATACCATAGCTACCATCCAAACTTTTTAACAAATCCTTTTGTCTAACATGTACCCTATGGCCAAAGTGCTTGCCGTCAGAGGCTGGCACGACTCTGACACTTGCTCACTGACGTAAGCGTGTGATGTCCGCTCCACCTTATGAAAATGAGGTAATCGAGTTGATCAATGTTTTAGCTGCATTATTGCGAGTACGATATCAAAGGCAGCTAGATAGAGTGCCGGTGACATAACACCGGCAAATCTTTCACTATCTATAGGCTTTTTGCATCAAGTGAGATTTATCACCAGCGACAAGCGCGTTAACAATACTGGTTTGAAGGTTGCCAATTAGCAAGAAGGATAAACTCAATAGTCTATTTCATTTCAAGTCATAGAAGTAGATTTGACAACTGAGCTAGTATGCGAGAATACTAAAGATGCTTATACTCGAGCGGGCATATGAAAAAGTAGGATTACTTTGTAGCTCCATCAGAAAAAGGTCGAACAAGCTTTAATAACCAATCTAGAAAATTGCAAATAAATTAAAAATGTCTTTACTATGTCCGAGCTATAACAATTGCGATTCTGTCAGCTTTCAAAATCCAAACAAATTCAAGTTTGAGCTCTGTGATCAACTGCCATAACCACTTCAGTAGAAACATTCATGTCTCTGTTCACTAATCCCTCCATTTCATTAGTGAGATGATAGTCTGACTGCATGTCGGGTTGATAAATGTTATCTCTTGAACAGTTCTCAGGATTCCATCATTCTACTCTACTAGTAGGTATAATAAGACATCTGGCTTACTGAGGTCTTCCAGCCCATTCCTACCGTGAGGCGCCCGGCGTTTCCTATTAGCAATTCGCATCCCTCTTCAGTCCCCTGGCCAATCAGACTGATTGTTGACAACTAACATTGTGGATTCTGCTAGGTGTCTTTGCTCATCGATCTAGTTGTGGAGCAATTGTAGGACTTATTCTGTGGACCGGCCTGACTTTAAGCCTGCAGTGGTCGTGGCTCCGTGGTAGATGCGCAGCTCTGTGGGGCTTAAATAAATGGTTGTGTCCTCCTTGCCTCCTCGAGTGTTGGGTAAAACGAAAAATAGCTTACCATATTTGCTTTTGCACGTGGAAAAGCGATCAATTCTTCCTGATACCCAAATACTTCCGTCTAAAAGATTGCGAACTTTCCGAAGCCACAGACATCCAGAGAGCATCCAGAAAGGGAAAATCCTATTCAAATGATCAATGGTTCAATGCTGGCGGAAATAAATGATTCATACGGAATTGGGGGCTTGTGGCATTGCTAAAACTACTTTGAGCTCTTACATAATGTGTCGCTGTCTTTCGTTGGTACCTGCATGGCGGCCCCTGTTCCTGCAGGGTTGATTCCTGTAGGGTCACCGTCTGGGCTAAGATGCTGGCACTTTTTGCCGACAAAAGTGTGGTGGTCTTTATGTTGCCAAAATGATTTGACTCCCATTATACAAAGAAGTTGGCAACCATGACTCCGTTTCAGCCCAAAAAGCTGGAACAAATGATGAGAAAGATGGCTTGTTCTATTACTTACCGCTCAATTTCACACAGTGATAGACTATTGAGAGACCGAGCGGCACAAAATATGTGAAGAATATATGTATTCTAGTACAGATTGTACTTTGAAGTATATACTAATGATACTTTACAAGTGAAAAGTAGCGGTGTCAAAATGTCCTCGCTCGCGAGAAACGTCCAGAGTGACAAGAAAAAAAAGTGTGTGTGTCATAAATGAAAGCTCCGCAAGTCAAACCCAATTTCGCAATCCAGCCGCAGTCTCAGATATTCCGTCGTTGAGACAAGTATAGTTGATGTATGCGCCATTGCTCTGCGTGTCTTGGGGCTTCTGGATGCCTCGAATTTACTCAAGGTCTTCGACATCGAAGGCAGCACCCTCCTCGCGGCGGTAGTGACCCTTCTTGTTGTCATACTTGTTTCCCTTCTTGTTGTCCTTCTGGTAGCCGTTGTGGCCGCCCTTCTTGCCGTCATCGGAGTCGGAGTCGGAGCAGTCGCCCTTCTTGTTGCGCTTGCACTGCTTCTTCTTCTTGTTCTTCTTGTCGATGTCAGAGTCGGAGTCAGAGCAGTCACCCTTCTTGTTACGCTTGCACTGCTTCTTCTTCTTCTTCTTCTTGTCATCGTCAGAGTCGGTGCAGTAGCCCTTGTTGTTGGTGCGCTTGCACTTCTTCTTGCTGTTGCGCTCCTCAAGGGCGTTGCGGGCGACGATATCGGCGCCGGCAATGGCCTGCGTACAAATGTTAGCCCAAAAGTCCATGTCCAGGATTGTCTGGATTATCAAAACATACAGCAAAGCCCTCATTGCGGGCCTGTTCGGTGAATCGATCAGTCAGCAAGTTCAAAACAAGAACAAGTTTTTGTGTAGTCACTTACAGCGATTTCGGAAGAGCGCTATGAAAGAGTTAGATATGTCTGGATCATCTAAAAGACAGCTAAATACTTACCTCGACCAGGTCGGCCTCGAGGGGCTCAGCGATGGGCACAGCCAGGGCAGCGGCGGCAAAGAAAGCCATGCCAAGGGTGGCAACCTGTCCGAAAGTAGGAATATGCATTTTGAAAGATGTTGACTAGGGAAGTAATGTAAAGAGAAAAGGAGATAGTAGCGAGTGTAAACTGTGAAAGTGGAATTGGTAGTAGTTAAGTGTGATGTGAAGAGTGTGTGTGATGAGGAAAGAAATTGAAGCCCTGGATGAGAAAACAGGCTGTGTTTATATAATGAGGATTATTTGCTGATGAATCGTCTTTGATATACATGGTGTTGTTATGATAGACGAACACTCTCGATGAACATCCAGATAAGGAAAGGCGTCCGTCCGAAGGTTTTGGGCGCTCGGGACGGCGCCATACCTGAGCCACGTGCGAAGAGGGACCCGAAAGTTTGGCCACGGGAATGGGAATCGACAATTGACGATCTAGACAAAGCGCATACCAGGGATGTTCTCCAGCTAACAAATCCTAGTTTGTAGGCTCTTGGGTGAAAAGGGGTAACGAACACTACACTGACAAAATGTAAGGAGACGTTGACATGGGAAAAGGTTGACCCTCACCAAGTCTCTTATAATTGCCCATGGCGAAATAAGTTGTCAATCAGCTCTGTCGCATATATCATCCGCATCTTTCAAGTTATGTATTGTAAACATTCATTCGAGTATCGTTGATTGCGTACCAGCTGATGGATCAATCGCAGCTGTGCTTCTACCCCAGAAAGTTACCATCGCTCAGCTGAACGGTGTCGGACCCAAGCAACCCCAACCGTGAGCCAAGCCGCCTGAATCACCAATGCGTGAGCTAAGTATGGCGGACACGCATTACATAAAAAAAAAGTCATGAGCAACTCAAGGTGGCGTCGATCTTAGGCCCACTGTCCGCGGCTGGATTCAGTAGCAGATCTCCAGCAGCAGATAGTTAGCTCCCAGCCGGCGCGGCGCCATTCCTCGAAATTCCCGTGCTGGTTGTTTCACCACTAGCCGCCCGAAGCAAAACACACGCTTCCATCTTGAATAGCTTTGACAAATAAACAGAGAAAAAGTACAAGCGATGGGATTCTGGATAACCTATTCAGTTAACCTTAAAGATCAGAGATCTTCGTGTTTGTACTAGTTTAGCTTGGCATACGTCAACGATGCCAGAGGAACAGGTATAGCAGAGGTGCAAAGTTTTGACCACGATAACTGTTGCCACCTCACTTGATAAATGTGCCGTGATAGTATATTGCTATTTATTCACTGTTAGGATGGTCAAATTATTCGATTGATTGATTACACTTATCGTCGACTAAACAGCTGCATCTGGTTAAAGGGAACCTTGTGCTCGGGAAGAGGAATGCGGGTGGCTTAAACTACGAAGAACGTTGGCGTTTATAGAACACAAGCACATTCAAAGCCTAGACCATTGCTGCGCCTGAACCTCCAACTATTTCTGGCGATCGCTACAAGGTTTCCCCGAATATCTGGTAATTCATGATGCCTTTCGCACGCCACAAGTGCCACCGGAGTGTTTGGTCCTTAGCTCTGACATCGGAGCAAAACACAGCAAACCACGTTTTTAGGAAGCCCATAACTTATTTAAATCAAGAAATGATCGGATTTCGTATGCTGACATGGAAATTTTTGATTCAAACCGAAACCTGTTGTAACACCGACCTAATGCGAAGTTCAGGGGCCAAGACCATGCACCGACCCGTCGCTGAACGCAACGGTGTGCCAAGCATTGTCGACCAAGCCTATGTTAGAAGTTTAAATCATGTATCTTGAATACCTATCCATTAGATCTCGTTGCTTTTATCTTGCCATTTGATGTTTAACGATCGCAGCTTAACATAACATGATGAAAAAAGCCCACTGCATTTCGCTGAACCACCTGCTCGCTGTGACATATCGATCATAAAAGATTGGCGAAAGTGCTCCGACATGATGAGTAGTCTGGCGAGATTGCTCAGTCCCAGGAGAGAAGTGATTACGTCAAAGGTATTTGATAGCTACCTAGTGAATAACAAGTTGAAAGCAAAGATAGCGAAATGGGGTTGAATTTTGGTAGAACCGCATTTTAAACACATAATTCTTCGCCACCTAGTTCTCCATTGACTGGCTATATATATAAATCGAATAAAAAACAAGAAGTACGCGTGGAGGGCTACGAATGAGTCTGTGTCCAACAGGGACAGCTCACTCCTGATCGAAGATGACGCGGAAGGTAGAATCGGTCTTGGTAACTTCGGCAGAGCCACGAGTCTGCGTCGACGTAACAACGTCGTACAAACGAGCGCCGCTACCAGAGTTGAAAGTGAGCTTGATCTTGCGTTGCGAATTGCGAGCGTCCGAATTCCACCAGTTGATTCTGTATTTTCCGTTGTTCAAGTTGGTGACGCTGACCTGAAAACTCAAGTTGCCGAGGTCGACTGAGGTCTCAGGCCATGCAACGGTTTGGTCGTAGAGAGCTCTGGCAACAAGGGCGGAAGACCCATGTAGAGGCTCCTCAACAGGAGCGCGGATCTCAACAGGCCCAACTTCACGTTCGAGGACGCTGATGGCTGCACCTTGGTCGACGAGATTGACCGAAGCAGGCAGTGAAGCTGCGAGGGAAACAAGACTGAGCAGGGCGAAAACGCGCATTTTGATACTGGAAAGATAATCAGATGCTATTGATGACGACTGTTGAACCTTAATGCTCGATGAAGATTGACTTAGACTTGATCGGCATGGGCATTGTAGAAATCTTATATACTAGGTATTGTAAAGAGTCCTAAGACGTACGAAGTAGCCTCTACTATAGTACGACTTACCCCATCCATTACAAAATAGGCTGATCGACTGATTTACCCGCGCGTATAATCACGTCATCGCTTTGGTGGAGGTGTATTCATCTAATGTCTGTGGGCCACTATGCTGTAACCTGCTATATTGAGAGTATGGCGTCTCCGTCCTGTAGTCATTTTGCGTGACAAAGCGAAAGCGAACTTCTTCGGACAGGGGCAAGGCAGGGTTTCGCAGGGTATCAGCAGTTGGAGGCGTACAGTTCTCGTAGTATTGTACTTGGCGGTGTTCGGACGATTTACTCGTTCAGACGGAGTGCCCGACCGATCTTTCAAAAATGTGCATAAAAATTGACATGTAACATCGGAACTGTGCACTCTTTACTGTAGCATAGCTAGGATTATCAAGATCAGGAAATGTCAAGACGTGATGCATGGCTTTAGGGAAGAAGAAGCACGTCACCGACAAATGCATCGTGACTGAGTTATGGGTCGTTGCTCAACTACGTGTGATGTTGGCAAGAGCCATGGCTTGAATAGAACAGCATACACCGCCGTTATTGGAAAAACATTTTGTAGTGAATTGGTTTTTCTGCTCGTAAAATACAGTCATATGAGGCCGTCTTGGTCTTTAACGTCTATTTCTAGGGGTGCAGAATTTACGCAGTGTTAAGATCGTAAAGGCGTAGGTATTGTAGACTTTCCTTAGTGCCGGGCTGACGAAGCAAGCCCTTAATTATGGTAGTGGACGTGGGTTCATTAGGCGGCGCTATTACCCGCAAATTGATATCTGTAATGCGACAGTGTGGACGTTGTCTACCCGGAACGCGATGTTAGAGCTAAGGTTATCTCGTCGTGTTCCATTATTGTGACGAAATTGCTTTGACTATGTAATACCGAATGTGACCGGTCGGAGCATACTACCAGATTCAGGCCCAGAGCGGATCCGTTGAAGACGAGGGGGATCCCTACATGTCAGCAGGTTGCAGAGTCTCAAACTATGTGTTTGCACAGGGTCAATAAGCCGTTTATGACCTAACTTTATGTGGTCAGTGTTAATTTCTCTTTGACTACGTACTGGCCAGCTCTTATGATTTCCCGCCTCACTGATGTCTTCTATTACATTGAAGGCAATTGGAAGATGAAAGAAATTGTTTTTGGGTACACGACAAAACTAGCCTGCTTCTTTGCAGATCTATCAAGGACTGGCGAGGACAAGACAGCGTATGAATACAATGACGCAAAATTAAGATAGAGAAAGTTCTTCTGGGAAACAGTTGCCGTTCCGCTTCTCCATTCGCCTCATATGTCAGGAATCCTGTTCAGACCCTGCTTTTTACAGAGATAATGTGTGATACGGTATGTTGAAATAATCTAAATTGATGTCGCGTGCTATTTATCCCATGTACCCACCCAATTCACTCATCAGTCCCCCGTCTTGGCTTGACATTTACATTTAACTCATATAGTACATTGATTTTAGGAGCTTCGTGTCCGACTGGGTGTTATCCAGCTGATTGAGACTGCTCACGCATCTCCCATCGCTATATCAATCTTGGTCAATGCAGCTTTTAAATCCATTCCCGAGTCAACTTGCTTCGCCGACTTTCGCCCAACTCCTCATTACTGAAGGAGCGCCGCAACGACAAATACGACTACAGCGACGGCAACTCCCACGTTCCCTCCGGTCCTCATGGCGTTGTCCTTCTTCACTGGATCACTGGCACTGTTGTTGGAAGCTTCAGTCCATGAGGTACTCCATGTGCTCGCGAATGACGAGGACGGGTTGCTCTTGATGGCCTCGTTGTCGAATTTTTGTACAACACTTGGCTCCAAAGCAGGCCCCGGAGCTTGAGCCAAGTACAGGCTGTCGTTATCATAGTCTACACCCAGGAAAGCCGCCTGTAAGAATGCGCGACCCAGCTGCCAAAAGCCGTATTCGGTGTCAATAGACTTGCAGGGGAAGTAGTTGACCTTTTCGGTCACAAGAGGGGGCTCCAGTGTCAAATTGAGAAGCTTGAAAGGGACTTTGACGGTAATATTGGTTGCAGTCTTGTCCGCAAAGACGAATGCGAGGTAGGACGGGGAGTTGACAAAATCAGAGACCGAGCCAGGGCGACTCGAGTTCCAAAGATAAAGGCCAATGTCTTTTCGGTAGGTCAAGCCTAAGTTGTTCGCAATTCCTTCGCAAATACCTGGAGGGAGATAAATGTACGGCGAAGCCGGGTTGGGAATCACCACAGCCGAACCTGCAGCACCTACGTTTTTGGCGATTTGTTGGCCTGTTTCTGTAGGATTGACCCAGTGGCTTGCAGACGGGGACGCTGGAAAGGATGAGAAGTTGCCCTTTTCGACACCCATGACCACATCGCGAAGGAACACCAGCGGGACCCCTTCAGTTATCCCAAATGAGCCGACGGGACCGAGCACTCTGTTTTGCTCATAACCGCCCAGGATGAGCGAGCCAGAGATGTTCTGCGCCACGCTACCTAGATGTAGCCCAAAGGCCAACCGGTCGATTTTTCCCGCCGTTTTCAACTGCTGAAGAAGAGAACTTCGGTTATCGTCTTCGCGGTGGGCTGATGTCTTGATGGATCCGAGGCCTAGCAATCCGGTATTTGACATGTAGCTTGACGCATTGCCTTCATTTTGCTCTTGCCAATCGTCCGCGGCGATGATACTGGCATTCACTTTGAGGCTATCGACGCCACCAGGTCCTGTTTTCAAAGTCATGGTGTCGTAATATTCGAATCCAAAGAAACCTCCATTGAGATATACGCTGCTGAACCATGGGTCGGCATTGCCTCTATGAGACCCTGTCTTGACGGCGGTTTTCGAATCCGCGGGCTTGTACAAGCCTTTGACCTCGGGTGTAAGCAGTTGAGAGGCATCTGAGCCGCTAGGGTATACTGCCGTGTCCTGTCCGTTGACATTTACGATAACGCCCTGCCAAGGACCATCGGGGCCGATTATCGACGGGCTAACTCCGGCACCTTGGTCGGTCGTCCACTGCATATGGACTTGGGCGTTGGTACCAGCGCCCGTGGCTAGCAGCCACAAAAGATGGGCTTTACGCATGAGGTCGAGCCGTCGCAGCAAGCAGCCAGTTTAGAATCGCGTGCAGTCGAGCTTGCGAAACTCGAGATAAGGAGAGCCTGACTCTTCAAATTGGTGAAGAGTGGCGAAAATGAATGTTGGACAAGAGGGAAGAATCATTGGTGGTGTAGGGGGAAAAAAACGGACGAGAAGAGATCAGGCTAGCATAAACACTCACTTTTGGTGGTACTGCCAAATCCGGTTAGGGTGCTAATCAGTCACAGGCAGCAGAATGGACTTTGGTTGGGCCAGGTGTCTCGAATGGGCGCAAGCGAGATTGTGGGCAGGCAGAGAGATTATGTTAGGCGTTTAGAGAGCTTTCTTGTGTTACATCCACCTCGTCAAAAGAACTTTGGAGAAGAATTGTAGCTTAGCTGTCGTTTACTTTGGGGAGGCATCAAACTCAGGGGGTATTTTAGGGGTAAAAGAAATTTTAACGCAAGACTAGACAGGATACAGCCAAAAGTGACTGCTCAGGTAATGCTAGTTGACTAAGCGAACTGGGAATAATGATATGGTTGGCAAACAATGGCTGTGGTTTTGCGAACATTGTCATTTGTCCTGCAGGAAACATACATATATGGCTGTTTCAGAGCCTCCAACAAATGATACGTTGCTATCAAATACTGAGAGTTGCCGATCGGTTAAGCCAGACGCTCTGACGGCCTAGCTACATCTAATACGGCTCATCCACCCTGCATATCTAGATTGTGTGTCAAAGCGTAACCGACATTGATATTAGTATGGTCAAAAGCTACTGCCTGTGATGTTTTCCAAATTCGTGATTCAGAATACTCAGCATCCCTTTCCAGCTCTAGGCTTTTCTATTATTTGACTAAACCATTCCTTTCTCTCCCAACACTTGGAAGAATAGACCAACCTTTTTATTTGCTACTAACTTTGAAGAAAACAACGACCCGACAAAGCCTTCTTCAAAGGGCCAATTCGGATGCTGCTCTTACTCATGGTATCCTTGAGAGATTCAACCCTCATCGAGTTGAAATGACAAACACGTTGACATAAAGTGCTCAACTTGTGGAGACTTGACGATTTCAAATGTACGAAGCTGTTTAGGCTCATCGTAAAATTAACATTATGCTGCTTAAACTCATCCATCATTGCCTGATAGTATACCTATGCAGACATTAAGACTGATCAAAGAAAACCCGCGACCAAAACAGTTGTGCCAAATGCCAGAAAACCTTTCCACGACATTGCGACAGCTGCAGGTCCAGCGGACGACTTGGAGGAGTCCCCACTGGAGCCCGTGGTAAGGCTTCCGTCTGACGATAGCCCTTCTAGGCCATAGCAAGTGTAATTCTTACTGGATACCGAGGGGAGGACACTCTGTTCAGACAGGGCATTGAAGGGTCGGCAATCAATGTCTTCCTTGCTGTCCCCGGAAAGGTTAAACTCATCTAAGACCTTTGGCCGGGACTCAGGGTTGGAAGAATTGGATCGATCTTGCAAAAAAGATTCGCTGTAGGTGATTAGCAAAACTCTTTTAACAGCACGCATCTATTAACAAAGACTCACAAAAAGGCGTTAGTGACGTTGGCATCAATCTTGATAGTTCCAATATCGGCATGTGGCCAATACCAGACTTTTTTCTGTTCCCCATTAGAGGAATAGTTGTATTCGGACGTGATGTTCAATCTCGGAGTGTCTTGAATTCTCAAGCTGAAATCAACCCAGTTTTCTGCCTTGGGGGTATTGGAAAGCCACTGTAGGTCTTGATTGGACTTCAAAGTAAGAGAACCAAGCTGATCGAAAGGAAGATGTAGCTGCCCATATTTGTCCAGGTTGCTCGCAAAAGACCCTACAGACAACTTATTGAGCTCTGGCGAGAGCTGCACGCCGCCCAAGCCACCGTACGAATCGAGTTTCCCGATGGTTATCTCTCGTGCCTGAGAACCTCCAAATGTAATTGTCATGTTGCTACTGGAGGGCACACTTGCTTGAAGTGGTGAACCCCTGAGGACCAGAGATCCTGTCTCGGCGAAGCCGTAGTCGAGATGATCATAATCCTTGGTTCCCTCAATCGTGACAGCATCAACCGTGATTGGTTGTTCAAAGAAGTTTCCCAAAGACTTGAGACTTGAGACTTGAAGATAGATTTCCCTGCTTTTGGGATCGCCAAACCCTGTCACGGCCCGAACCGCGGTATGTTTCATATTTTCGAGTCCAGGGGCATTAATAATTAGGCCGCCAAGTGTGTCGAGACTGGAGATGTCAAGGTTTTTGATACTCCAAAGGCCGGAAACCGTGAACATTCCTTTTACCGTAGCTAGTTGCGGCAATGGGATGTTTTTGAGTACGTAACTCGCTCCAAAGTTTACGTTTCCATTCACGGTCGTCAGAGTATTGGAGGAAAAGGTCTCCATGTAGTCATGGCCGTCGCAAGCTGGACCCGATTCTGGGCAATGGGTTGCTATGTATCCATGAACGACTTTGACTCCGTCGAGATTAATCGCTGTTTGATTGTAGTAAATGATGACGTCTCCGAAAATCTCCGGACAGTTGCGCGCTGCCTCTGCGTCTGCGGGTGATTTGATCCGCAGAGATTCGCATCCTTGTCCCAGCACATCTATAATCCCACATATCAGATGACAATATGTTGAAAATTACTGTCAGTTGCCACTTACAATGCGCCGTTGTGAGGATGGCGAACAGCAAGGCTTTGCCAGATCGTGCAGGTCCCAACATATTGTTCAATAGCAATCATACCTGTCTCAGAAACCAGCCTACCTAAACAGACATTATCTTGGTTTTAAGTTCAATGCCGTGCTCCAGTGTTTTGTCGTTACATGGGAAACATCCTTTGTGTTGAGGGTCCAATCGACCGTGACTCTACTCGTATTACGTGGGTACGGTGCCATCGACAGGGCTAAACGAAATGACCATTTCAACTAGCGCAGCAACTAAAAGAGACCCATGGTTGTCTCTTTGGCAGCCAGTTCCTAGTGGAAAGCTGTGCTCGTTCTTGAAGAGGCGATTATGTAGCCTGAATTTAAATCGGCTGAGTAACATGTTGCCTCTTCTGACCTTCCATTGTGTCTTCATTACCAGCTAAGAGCATAGAAAGGTATTAAGCTACTACTTGGATTTCTGAAGGATGATTCTGCCAGGATCGGAGTGAAAGACTCCATTCGGTTAGACATGTCAGACGATACCGGGGCCAATTCGAGCGTACCAGCCCTATTCTGGCCCTGCGGCAACATAAATGTGGAGAAGACAGAGGAGACGCCATATCTATGGAATGTAGAATTCTCATTGGCACACGTTATCAACATCAGTTAAAGAAACCTGCACTTCGACTAGTGACTGCATCCTTCAAATGTGGATGTTTGAATATTCAACAACCAGGTCAAGACGACACATCAAACCGTCGTAACTGGTACACCTAATAATAATTATAAAGTAATTATACATGGAAATTTTTTAAAGGGGGGCAGTAATAAACCCCTTTGACATGACTTCTTGGATTCCCTTGGCCCAGACGTTAGCCATCTTAACGTAACCTCCGTCGTTGGGATGTCTAGTATCGTTAAGATCGTTAAGTGTAGGGGCGTCAGGGCTGCGCATGTCTACAAGGGCAAACTTTGCGCCAGACTGCTGAAACTGCGCTGCTAACGTGTTGTACTGCTCATTGATTTTGACGCGGCATGCATCCTGCTCCGGCACCTTGTTGGCGAGAATGGAAGTGAGAATAACAGTAGACCCAGGGCTCTGCTCGTAAATCTTGTTGATCATAGCCGTAACGTTGGCACCCGCATCAGGTACCTCTCCTCCTTTATTGCAGTTATTTGTGCCGGCGTCAACCAGTACGAGGTTTGGCTTAAGCATTGGTACAGCCTTATCGGCAGATGCTGCGATCTGGTTGATTTTGAAACCTCCAGTAGCCTCGACTGCGTTGTCGGGGAAGTTTCCATTCGCTCTTGTTCCCACAAAGGTAACAGACATTCCCTTTGCCACTAGAAGGTCTTGAAGGTCCTTGCGATAGCTATTTCCGGTAGTGGAGCCAGTACCAAAAGTGACAGAGGCGCCCAGCGCCATGATGCGTAGAGGGACAGCTGGTGCTGGTGGCGCCTGTCGAGGCACTTGGGAACTAGCGAATGCCCCAAGTGCGCTCACAACTGTAACAATAAAAACACGCATTTTCAACTTAGGAAGTCCAGACCAAGCTGGTTTGCGAAAAGAATCATAGAATGAATGTTTTAGACATGTGAAAGAAGTCGACGTCAGCCCTGATATCTTGGCTTGGGATTCAACCTTATTTATTCGTGCATGTCAGCTTCAGGCTTGGTGTCCGTGCCCCTTTGGGTTCAGCTGATTTCTGATACTCGGACGGAACCGGAAGTGGTTTCACGCATAACTGGAGTGTAACAGCCCAATACAATTTCGTATTCAATTTTATTCAAGTATGAAAATCATATAGTGGTTTGAAGCCGGAATACCTGGAACACACTACAATCGTCAGATAGTGGAGTGAAGATGGAATCAAACTGTAGCTGAGCTAGGCTACAGTTTTGGCAGTACATAACTGAGTCTAGCATCTCGAACCACTGGATTTCGGTGGCGTCGGTCGAAAGAAATGGATTTAATAGAACCTGATTCAATTGGACAGCTTCAGGATAAGTTCTTGAAGTTGGTCCTCCGGCCTAAACTCGGAGCGCAATCTGCTTGACATAATGAGATGCAATCGTAGGTCAAGATGACAAATTTCGTAGAGTAGCCGGTTCTATACTTGCCGACTTCCGTTAACGGGTAATATTACTTCTTGGAACATATAACTTTACTTTCATCACCGGACCAAATGTCATGATTATTCCATGGAGAGATTGGTATCCAAAGCCCCTGGAAAAAAACGTTGTGTTTCAGCAGTCTTGAAATTCAATAGCTTTTCTCACGTATTGAACCCTGTAGCTCGCCCCGCCAACGCCTCCTGAACGGCTCGAACACAAGGATAGCTGTAACGTGCTCAGCTGGGATAAGGCTTCGAAGTGATGCATTTTTTTCTACAACCTTTCTTAGCTTTCGCTTGCCACGGGATTGGCTAGGACATCTCAAACAATTGCAAAAAAACTAAGCTTTGCTGAATGTCAACTAATCCAGTGTTAAGTAAAATATGCCGAGATGAGACGACGATCGGACGATCATGCAGGTAGCTAACTATGTAAGGAATTGATATAGAGCCTTCTAACAACCTAAACCTGCGCCAGAGCCCATACAGTTAAAAACCAACTGTCAACTGGAGCTACCAAATTTCTTCATGTTTTGTCGTTGTTTTGGACGCACTTTAAAAAAAAGTGGGCAAGAATTTAAATACTTGAGATTTATATGTAATATAAATATCCATTTGGTCTTTACATGATGCAATAACGTCTGGAGCGTTCATTATACCCTTTCCACGATTGCATGGTTCGATTTAAGGCGTCATTATCACGGCAAACTTCTGATTGAGGCTGCAAGTCTTTCGCAACACCGTAAGTGTTAGGAAATAGATTTCGAGAAGAACATTGTAGAGATCCGACATCGCCGGCCTATTATCAAAAAACAAAGATTGAATTCAACAAAGAGTCCATGATAACATGGATAGTCGAGTATTGCCGACATACGGCCGTCTTTGCGGTTGTAGATGCTCAAACCCGTAAGGCGGGGGCAAAGAAGCCCGCCTCGAGCCCCGAGTCGGTCCACAGGCGGTTCTGGTAACTCTAGCCGGTTTTCATATGAAAGTTATCCAATCATAAGCTGACCGGAAGAAATGACGTCTATGCTAGGCTGATTGAATACCTTTCTCGTCAAATTTACGAAGCGGGGAATAGGTTCCACTAACGCCATTAACAGAACCTGTTGCGCCATTTAGATTTCGATAGTCGTCCGTTCGACCCGTAAGAAGAGATCAGAGCCCGTTGTTCCCCGGAGGAGAATAGCTCATCTATCCACCAAAGTCCACCTCCAACCTTGCTTCAACCGTGACTGAGGTTGCACCGGATGGACGCCGATGCGGAGAGCGCGGGGTAAACGGGGACGACCCCACCGGCAACAGTCCGGTTGTTGATCGGCTCATTGGTTTGTTAGCTGTCACTCCAGCCACTAATTTTCATACTGAGGTTGTCAGTAGACTACTCTCCGATCTCGCCAGTTGTAATTGGTCATGTCGAGTCATGAATCCACACACTGTACCGGACATCCGCATTTTGAGTGAATAGGACCGATTGAATAAGACGTTATTCGGGTCCTTCCTCACCGACAATGACGTTGGTTACGATAAACAGAGCTAACGGTCATGCAGAATGTAGCCTGAATTGATTTACTGTCGTGGTTTATATGTTGGATAACTCCCGTAGCAAGACCTTGCCATTTGTTTATTGTGACTCTCGTAGTGATCTCTTGAGTTCAGGTCCACACAACTCAATCTTGAGACTCATCCAAAATGAAGACAGGCGCACTCCTTGCGGCTGCCCTCAACGGCGTCGTGGTGGTTGCACAGAGCAATAGTTCCAATCCATCAGAGGTTCCCTACTATGGGCGAAGCCCACCGGTCTACCCTTCTCGTGAGTATCTCCTCGAGAACCTCGCCCAGGAGTAAGCAACTAACAACTCAAAGCAATTGGCAACGGTAGTACAAATGCTGGGTGGGCTGCCGCTTACAAACATGCAAGAGCTTTGGTATCCGATTTAACGATTGAAGAAAAAGCAAACATCACACGAGGATGGACTGGCACCTGCGTGGGTAACTCTGGCGAAGTTCAGCGATCAGGGATTCCAGCTCTTTGCTTTGCAGATGCACCCGACGGCATTCGTGGTCAAGAATTTGTCTCCGCCTTTCCGGCTGGTATCCATGTTGCTGCAACCTTTGACAAAGCTCTCTTATACAAGTACGGCAAGGCCCTCGGCGATGAGTATTACGGAAAGGGAATCAACGTTGCGCTTGGCCCAGCCGCCGGACCTCTCGGTCGTGTCGCTCGTGGTGGCCGTAACTGGGAAGGTCTTTCAAATGACCCATACCTCGCCGGAATTGGTATGGGTGCCATAACCCGAGGTATCCAGAATGCTGGAGTTATTGCTACCGCAAAACATTGGTTGCTGAACGAACAGGAGTATCGTCGCCGAATCTCAGACCTCGGTGAAGCCATCAGCTCCAACGTCGACGACCGCGCTCTGCACGAGCTCTATGTCTTCCCGTTTATGAACTCTCTCAAGGAAGGAGCCGCGTCCGTTATGTGCTCTTACCAACGAGCTAATCACTCTTACGGTTGCCAGAACTCGAAACTTCTGAATGGCATCCTTAAAACTGAGCTTGGATTTGAGGGCTTTGTTGTCAGTGACTGGCAAGGACAAATGAGCGGTGTAGCCTCCGCCAATGCTGGGCTCGATCTCGTGATGCCTGATGCAGGGTTCTGGGGTGACAAGCTTGTTGAGGCTGTCAAGAACGGTTCCGTAACAGAGGATCGACTATCGGATATGGTCACCAGGATCCTCGCCAGTTATCACTTCCTCCGCCAGGAGCACGCTTTCCCTGAACCAGCAATTCACTCAAATCTACAGAAAGCCTACCCTGTCGATGTCCAAGCCGACCACTCTCACCTGATCCGACAAATTGGCGCTGCTGGCACCGTTCTGGTTAAGAACGTCAATGGCACTTTACCCTTCAACAACCCTAAATTCTTGTCTATTTATGGCTATGATGCAACTGTCAAAGCTACCCCATGGGAGAACCCTAGTCGTTATGGAGGTGGCTATGAAGTCAACTTCGGTTGGGAAACATTCAATGGCACTCTTATTACTGGAGGTGGATCGGGTGGCAGCACGCCTCCATACGTGGTCTCGCCTTTCCAGGCCATTCAAGAGCGCATTTCCAAGAATAGGGGTATCCTGCGCTGGGACTTCTACTCCGAGAATCCTTCCCCACCTTATGTCAACTCGGAGGCCTGCCTTGTCTTCATCAACGCTTATGCCTCTGAAAGCTTCGACCGCCTGAGCTTGACGGACGAGTTCAGTGACAATCTCGTCAAAAACGTCGCTGCCAACTGCTCCAACACCGTTGTTGTTATTCATTCTGCTGGTATGTCATGTCTACGGGACTCCCACCTGTTACCCCTTTTTGAACACTAAGTGGGAACGCTTGCTAACAAACTTTAGGAATCCGTACCGTCGACGAGTGGATCGATCACCCCAACGTTACCGCCGTCCTTTTCGCTGGGCTGCCAGGTCAAGAGAGTGGCCACAGCCTTGTTGACGTTCTGTGGGGCGATGTCAACCCCTCTGGAAAGCTTCCTTACACTGTCGCTAAGCTTGAGTCTGATTACGGTGACCATCTCAACTCAAGCGCGTCAGATGACTTCTTTCCCGATAGCAATTTCACTGAGGGTCTATACATCGACTACCGCTACTTCGATGCCCAAAACATTACACCAAGATACGAGTTCGGCTACGGCCTTTCGTACACCACTTTCGAAATTGCAGATCTCACTGCTGGTACAACAACTGCTGCTGACACCGCCGAGTTCCCTGACCCAAGTATTCCAATCGTCCAAGGAGGTCACCCGTCTCTTTGGGAAGTAATTGCTGTTGCCAAGGTCTCAGTCACCAATACCGGTGCTTTGGAGGGTGCTGAGGTCCCTCAGCTGTACGTTGGCATCCCCGACGAAGGTACACCTGCCCGTCAACTTCGAGGCTTTTCACGCGTTCAGCTATCCCCTGGCCAAAAGACCTCTACCGCTTTCGAGCTCACAAGGCGTGATCTAAGTATTTGGGATGTTGAAGCTCAGCAATGGCGTCTGCTGAGGGGTACCTACACTCTCTGGGCAGGAAATTCCAGCAGAAACCTATCTCTTCAAACCACTATCGAGATCAAATAACTTATAGAATGGCGGATGCTTTGCTAAAAACCATCTGCAATACATAATTTACAATCTCAGTACCTTGCTCATCTATGCTCATTTAAGTATTTTCATGGAATCATAGACCGTAGGATTGTACTACGGTGAAATATGTGCTCAAAGCCTCCACAGTTTTAAAGACGAAATGTCACAAGACACGGCAGGCGTGAGGCAAGTGCGAGTTTCTCCTAACCGTCGTGAAAAAGTTTAGCAATACATTAGGTTATAATACTGTCCCGAAAAGACCAAATTCAAGACTGTGAGCGGTTAAATACCCCACTATCATCATTATCTGGGGTTTTGATGGAGATATTTCTATAACTGCCGTCCTTTTGCGTGAAAATGGTATCTTCGTCTTTTCAGAAAGCTGTGTATGGATTAGAAATTCAGAAAATCTCAAGCTAAATGTGGAGGGACGTGTTTGAGTTTCTATTCAGTATGCCTTTTGATTAGTTTTACATATATCCCCAAGTGGAGTGAAGACTGCCCGACCACTTCTTTGCATGTTAGTTACACTTAGTATTAATCGCCTGCAGAAAACACACACTAGAAGTTGGGAAGACTTTCAAGACAGAATAATCAGAAAATTGGGAGAAAAAGTAAACATTGCCACCTTCTACTTTGTGTGCTTTTTGCAGCAGTAAACGTATCGCGAAAGGCTGATCTATAAATCTATTTAATACAACCATTAGATCACACACTAATCACCAATGAAAATGATAGCACTGCTTCAACAAAGTGATCTCGTCAAAATAACTAGCATGGAATACTATTGATCCAATGCTTAGATAATGAAGTTGCCCTGTCCTCCTACCCCTGTTTCTAGCAGCAGCTGAGCCCCGCATTGTAACGGCATGTCCCAACCAAAGGCTAACGTGTCAGACTCAAAAACTTTCAAGACATCTACTACTTGTTTACGCCCAGGTTTTTCCAATTTGTCTAGTTGCATACTTGTTGAAATGGAAGCTTACAACTCTAACGGCCACAATGCTTTCGTTCCGGGAAATGAACCGCAAGTAGGATCCGCCGTGCCTGACTGTCGCCCAGACCATTCTTTTGTGGAAGACCTATGCCAAGCATGCTCACAAGGTCAGCTAGACGAGTTCAAAAGACTTGTCACACAATGGAAGAGCACAAGACTAGTAGCTTCAGCACCTCCAGGCCCACAGCTTTTGATAGCGACCTTGGAGCCTGTCCTTTGCTTTGCAATTCGCCAACATCAAACCCAGATCGTATCATACCTACTTGACGAAGGCATGGAGGTTAGTGTGCTTGCAGAAGTAGAAGCCGCCGACTGCAAATGCGACTCATCTATGTGGGAAGTGTTTCTTAATCATGGGTGGGACATCAACAATTCACACAGCGCGGCCGATGCGCCTGCTTTAGGGTTCGTCTCATTTTCAACTTGTCTTCTACATGTGCTCTACCTTTGACTCTGGTCCAATCATCTGCTAAACTTTGAATAGTTGGGTGTTTTATGACATTGATGTTGTCAGGTGGTTTTTAAGCCACGGCGCGGATCCCAACGCCGAGGCCCGATACGGCTGGACCCCTTGGTTGCGTGCTGTAGTGTGGGCACCCTTGGAGATAGTCAAGTTGCTGCACGAGGCGGGCGGCCGGCTGGATTTGGCTGTGCCATATGTGTGCTTCGGTCTTGCGAACCGACGCAACGCACACAAATACCCAGACCGTCTAGAGGTTTTAAGATACTTACTCGATAACGGCGCCGATATTAATGCTCGGATGTGGTCGCACAACCATTACGGACGAAGCAGCCACTTCGATTGCGGCTCGGCTTTGAACATAGCCCTGCTTGGCGGACAAGATGAAATAGCCGAGGAACTCCTCAGTCGTGGAGCCCGCACTGACATCGCAGCAGAGGAAAGATTAGCAAGTAATACTGCATTGGAGTATGCGAAGCAGGGTGCACCGCACCTGTTACCGAAGGTGGAAGATTATAGGAGGCGAGAGCTTCCTGAAGAAGCGAAGAAGGCAGACTCAAGTTCCCCTTGATGATTCAGATCCTCACTCTCCAGTCATTCTGTAGATCGGTTCTTTTGGAGAATCGATCATGTCACTGTTCATGGTCACTCGACGTTGCTGTTTCCTATGGGATGGAAGTAAACTGGATCAGGAAACCGACCATCAGGCTCAACATATTGGGAAAAGATCCCCCACCTTTTAGGCTCTTTTGCTTATCAACAGCCACATCAGCGCATGGGGGCTGGACGAAAAGCACTTCGAATGTGGTGGGGTTCTGTAGGGACTCCCTACAATACTTAGCAATCACGAGCTGTCAAGGGACTCAACAAGTTGTTGAATTGTTGCCACTCCATTTACCCGGCTGTCTCATGTCTGCCCAAGTAATTGTAAAGTGGATGAAAGTAGAAAACAGGTGCACCTCCGTAGGGTTCGCTCATCGTGACTGCAGCGCTGTTTCATTAGATAATGTAAAGTCTGATGCAGATCGTTCGTTCCCTGTCATGTACTATGTAAAACCCTTGCATTTTAAGAAACGAAAACTTTTCCGCCAAGGGAAGCCCTTGCTGCTGTGGTCTTACTCATAGGCTGGTGAACCGGTCATTTCGCAGCATGGGTGCCCAGAAGCGGCCAAATCCCGTTGCGGCAACTCTTAAGGTTATGGATGTTATGGAGCTACGTCAAGTTACCGTTCGTGGGGGTTGCTTATCTGATGAACAAACCCTGAACACTTCTATTTACTATTATACTCTGACCCACACATACTATCGGATGGCTCGGTTCTCGGCGTTTGAGCGGAGCGTATCCTTCTTGACGTGATTCCCAACGACCAACCAACTCATTCATCTTGAGGTGGGTTCTCTGAGGCCCACAATCAGAGTTGTCCTGATACGGATCCTTCACCTAACTCGGGCGTCAAAAACAAGAGGCGGCTCTAACCAAATTCCCCTGCAGATTCATTTCTTGGTTTGCTGCTACACATATCCGTACGGATATGCACAAATTAGTCATCACCAACGCTCAAACAAGGCGAAGAAGGCCATGCACACACTAAATCTGCGGCTCTTTGAGAAACTCTTATCCGTAAACGAAGCGAGCTTGACCCACAACAACTCCGCCAGAGTCCGCTGTCTGTTGGGAGCAACACGGTAAGCAAAACCCCACCACGTTGTTGGAGTTTGACTAGGATTGATTCTGAGGTCCAAAAGCGAGCCGAACGCTAGCTGAGTGTCTTGCGGTTGTAGCCCAATAAATCCTCCTAGTCCCGAAATGCTCGTAGCTTCGTCTCAATTTCACGAGCCGCGATATCGACTGTCTTATTCCCGATCTATTAGAATTAAGAATCAGGCTAAACTTAAACTCAGCCTCAAGTGATGTCGCTAAGATTCAGAATCAAAGACTCGGCCATCAGAACACCGACGTGACTCGTGCAAGACATCGCTTCAATCCTGCATGCCTTGGCGACGTCCAACCCTTGTCCTCCCTGCCATGAATGAAGCTTTCCAGGCCTTGGCGAATGATTTTGAGTCCCATCTCCGCAGAAATAAGTTGTAAATAATTTGGGCGTTGACCAATCTAATCCTTGGCCTTTTGTCCGTGAGACAGGAATCCTTGGCCCAACATCCTCGGACACAAATTCCGTCCGCAGTCGGGCTAAGATACTATCCGACAATACAAAGATGTGATTGATAAGATGGTATACAAACTTCGTAATTGGTCTTGTGCTTCCTAAGGTCCCCAAGTCGTCTCGTATGTTGTCTCGGCGTAAAATCGTGGCGACATGAATCGGAGTAGTAAACACCGAGATGTCTCACCTTTATATAGGTACCTCTTAGGGCAGGCTGTCGTAAGATTTGGCTCGCGCGTGCTTCAACCAGCTTTTTTGGCGTTCGTTTCGATCTCTCGGCCATGGCAACACCACAGGACCAGCGTCCACTACCGGATGAGAAGAATGTGAGCGTCGGTGTAGCGATCGCCACTTCAGAAGATGATACCCCCGTCCAAGTAGCTACTTCAGATGCAGACGACGACCTCAAGCCCATTCCGTGGACATACAAATGGATTGCGTTGGCATGTGTCATTGCCTTTCCAATCGGTCAGACTTGGACCAACGCAAGTCTGGGCCCTTTGAAAAATACCCTACGAAATGAACTCGGAATCACCAATGCCCAATTCGGCGTTATCTCTAGCGCTGACTCTTTCGTCAACTCGATCTTTCCTATCATCGGCGGCATGACACTGGACTGGTGGGGGCCGAACCGCATCACCATCTGTTGTACCATGATAATCTTTGTTGGCGCCACTGTCGCTGCTGTAGCTATTCATCTCGAGGCTTGGAGAGTCCTAGCTGCTGGTCATGTCTTGATGGGTTTCGGTACTGCCATCCTGGACCAAGCGCAACAAAAGGTAAGCTCGCCAAAACTGTCTCCAACTCTATATGAACCATTCTAATCTTGCTTTTCCGCAGTTTGTCTATCACTGGTTCGGTGCCGGTGGTCTCGCTTTTGCCTTCGGCCTCGAAAATGCGATATCAAGCACTGTGGGCATGGTGGCCGGAATGGTTGCCATCCCGATTCGTGATCGAACGGGATGGTACGGATGGACTTTTTGGATTCCGGCAATCTTCTGCGGTGTTTCCATGGCCATCAACATCGTTTACGTCTTCTTTGAGCGAATTTTCATCCCCAAACACCTTCGGCTGACGTCCGCCCGCGCCAAAGCCCTAGCTCAAAATCACAAACTTAACGTGAAGCGCGTGTTTTCATGGAGGTCACTGTTTGGTCTCCCCTGGCAATATCTCATGCTCCCCGGTACCCAAGTTCTTCAGAGTGGAGGCGCTAACGGCTTTGGAGTATCCGCATCTGATATCATTCGCATGAAGGGATACAGTGAAGAGACTGCTGGTTTCATGTCAACGGGACAGCGGGTGCTTAGAATTCTTGGTAGCCCTATTATTGGATGGCTGATCGACCGATACGGGCACCGTTTCCACTATGTTGCCTTGGCGCCATTGTTCTATATCATTTCCAATTCGTTGATTGGGTTTACTAACCTTCACCCTTTGGTTGCGCTGGTGTTCCAGTCAATGGCTGGCCTCATCAATGGCATGCCTCTCAATGTCTGTATTCCGCTGTTGGTGGCAGACCAAGATAAGCTGGGAACAGCTTTCGGAATTTGGAGAGCATTCAACAATTCTGGCGGTACAATTGTAAGTCTTGAATACTATTGAATCCCTATTCTTGAGTTGTAGTCGCTAACACTTTGGCAGATGGACGTTGCCTATGGTGTGCTTCAAGACGGAACCAAGGACATGGGATACAGTAAGGTTCTCAAGGTATCCACTGCCATAAAGGCATGGGGTTTTGCAGTAGGTTGCTGCTACATTATCTTGGACCACAAGAAGCTCGGGAAAGAAATGACGCTCACTCGCAACAAACGAGAAGCAATTGAAGCAGAGATTGTGGACCGGGACAGCCACCCGCTTACTAAAAGAGAGGTCAAGAAGCCATGGACTATCTACACGCTGTCTATGTTGGTGGCTATGATCGCAACAGCTTGGACGCTGTTCATCAAGTATCTTCTCTAAGCGACTGACAACTACCATATTTGGGTGAAGAGAAAAATACAGCTTCTAAACTGTATATCGGGTAATAGACTAAATGCTGCGGCCCAGCGGCGAAAAATAATGTTGAGAGATGGGGTTTGAAGGAACTTCTTAAAAGTTCTTTTTAATTCAATTTGAAATGATATAACTATTCATAATAGGCCATGAGATACCTGTAGTACACGCGTTAGCATCGGCGAGTAAGTTTCTGATTAATATAGTTTGCACGAGAAATTCAACATCGCCATACAAGAGTTTGAGCGTCTTGCATGTTTTGACCGTTTCTCATTTTACTACCGTACCTAATAACCTATACAAAATTATGTGTGGACCCTTTTCGGTCCCAAAAAGTTCTCTTTCTAAGTTTTCGAATGTTGACATGTCTCATTCTTTTTTGAATATAAAGTTTCCTAATTGTGAGAATCTCTTCGGGATTGGTGCCCTCTTGTTTCCCCAGCAAGCCATTGAGCTCAACGGACACCTCTGAGCACCGTGATTTAATGACCTCGTTCTTTGCAATTTCGTTGTTTGCGGTTTCATCTCTGAGAAGTTTCACGTGTTGCTTGGACTCTCCGTGATCCTGGGTACCAGGTAGTATTTCAGGGCAGGCTTTTCGATCAGTGAGACAGTTGTTGAGAGAAGATTCATGGTCGCCGTCCTGAAAGTGCTTGGTCTCAAAGAAGCGATTTGAAAGCCTTCTTGTCGATTTGTTCAATCTCCTCATGTTGTTGCCGTCTATACAGATGATTGCAAGCGATGAATAAGTCATGGTGATAGTTTTGAAGTGGGTGATTTGTGTGGAAGCTTTCTGAAGTCAATTTTTGAATGACGAAGCCAAACCCGATAACAAGAACGGGCCCTATAATCTGTTAAATACGGAAAAGCATGAAGTAGATCTCGCCATGTATATCTTACATAACCCTTCAGGTCGGGTTTGGGAATAAAATCAATTCATCACTGCTAAGCGACAAAGGCTCTTCCATTGGAGGCTGTGGTATCTTGCCAACTATCCGAAAGATTTCCGCCTGCCGCAGTTGGAACGTTTGGCCAACGCTCAGAGAATCGATGAGTGTTCCACAATTGACTTGAGCTAATAATAACTAAGACCAGATAGCCACTCTGCCTCTTCAAAGAATTCATTATGCAAACAATGAACAAAACCGACTCTCATGTATTGATGTCGTGCAGGGCATTGCCTCAAACTTTGACTCCACCACCAGCTATGAACTTACACCTAGCCTAAAACTTGTATCACCTTCGAATTGCACATTATTTAGACAAAAGCGACTTTGAGACTGGAGAAGCCCTGGAAGCCTTGAACCTTGGAAGACATGCTTCATACAAAACTCGTAAAATGATCAACATCGCACACCTTATAAGATAGCTATGGTCAAGATTGTATGAAGATACGTTCATCCTGAATCTTCCAGATAATAAACATTACTTGAAAAACATTAAAATTGCTCATAAAATGTTCGAACTAAACTTGCAAATATTTCAGCCAAGTAATTCCTTGAGACCTGCATACGTTAGCGCCTTTCAGCACATTAGCGCCGCATCATAGTCGACAGCTGACTAAACTGCTGAAAGAACAGATCTTTCCCCTGAATCTCACTGCATTCAAGCATTTAAAACCTTTCATCCATTGTGGTATTTAACAATCCTGACCTGGTCGTCTCATCTTTGATCCCAATATTCTGTATAAAGAACTGGGCTAAGCCATAATGTGCCCCCAAACGTCCAACCTTGACCGCGATGCAGAGCTTATCTACAACTATCACCGCATGAGCATGCCCCTCCGTCCCGCCTCCGCAATCTTTTGCCTCTGCAGCCTCGACACGCGCGTCGCCACACGTGCGGCGCAGCTTCTTCTCGACGGCTATGGGGAGTATCTCATTTACTCCGGCGGCTCTGGCAAGCTCACAGAAGGTCGGTTCTCAGAGCCTGAGGCTGAGGTATTTGCCAACATCGCTCGTAATATGGGTGTTCCAGACGACAAGATTATTGTGGAGCCTGAGTCCACCAACACTGGGGAGAACGTTCGCTTTACACATGCTTTACTCAAAAGAAGGGGATTGAAGGCGGAGAGTTTTGTGCTGGTACAGAAACCATACATGGAGCGACGGACATATGCGACATTCAAGAAGCAGTGGCCAGATGCGGAGACAGATTTCACGGTTACAAGTCCTGAACTGGACTTTGAACAGTACCCGAATGAAGAGAATCCCAAGACACTCGTCGTCAATATCATGGTTGGAGATTTAGTGAGAATTCGAGATTATCCGGCGAAGGGGTTCCAGATTGAGCAGGAGATCCCAGAGGAGATCTGGGAAGCAAACAAGAGACTCATTGCCGCAGGGTACAACGGACATTTGCCTTGAGTACAAAAATGATAGGTCATATTTATTTGTGTTATAGAGCTTTTAAGATCGAAATCAGTTTGATTCGAAAAAGCCTCTTTCCCCAAGTCTTTTAGCCAGATAGAGTTGAGGGACACATTAGGAGATGGGATTATCTGATTCTTAGACAGAGATTGGATGAGGTGTTCATTGCGCCTGACCAATTTAATCTGAATCGGTTTGAAAGTGACACCTGAATCATTGTGGACAGTTTAAATGTTTCTAGGCAACTACTGTTCCGTTCGAATTAGGTAGAGTTTGGGTGATCTTCATTCCAAGGACACCCCTTGTTTCTCTCTTCCACATGAGGTTTCAATGACCAAAACGTGCGAATCATGGCTATTCCATCAGCCCTGTCTGGTGTCTCATCCCCAGAAGTTTAGTTTGGTTTCCCTCCTATCTAAAGTCTCCGGCTGTCCGTGCATCTTACATTGGACGATTGATCATCATGCTGTGGTATCACCGACCCTTCAAATATTCTGGCACTGTTTCTTGAGCACGTTCACGGACACCACTGGCAACCGGAAGCAATAAAAAAAAGCCATTCCCTCATAGCTAATTCAGAAAAATAGCCGTGTCAACTAGTTTCTTTCCTTTGTTGCTATTCGGCATTTCGTTACATAAGTACAATGGTCCAAAATGGTCTTCTCTGTGGTGAAAAACATACCAAAGCTCAGGCAGCGCGGTCTGAAGCCACAGCCTTCGCGAAGGTCATTTGGTGGAAGGACCCAGGGCTGCGTAAGCTATACTTTTGGTGCGCCAGTTTAATGGTTCTGTCCGCTTCGACAGGCTTTGACGCGTCAGTTTTCTATATCATCAACGTGTTTATGTTGTTGCAAGGTGATCTAACAAATTCCACTTTAGAAAGCTTATGAACACTTCTCAAGTTATGGACCAGTGGCAAAAGTCCTTTGGGCATCCGAGCGGAGGCAGATTAGGCATCATAGTTGCTATTATTGACATTGGGTCTTTATGCAGCTTCTGGATGGTGTAAGTTTATACAAAGCTGGCGGCAGTTCGAGATGAGCTGAGGGGCTGACTTGTGCTAAACATCCAGGCCATGGTTCGCAGATAATTATGGCAGAAAAGTACCTATTATTATCGGATGCGTTATTGAAGTCATAGGCGCATTCATTGGAACTTTCTCCAGCAGTCAAGGGAGTACGTTGCTCTTCTTTCCCATCTCTAAAACGTACTAAAGCTGACGTGTTGCTCGTCTACCTAGTGTACATGGCCGGTCGCTTCATCCTTGGGTTTGGCAGCTCTTTCAACGGAGCCGGTTTACTCATCACAGAGATTGCACATCCACAGCATCGTGCCAAAATATCTGCCATCGTCAACTGCATGTACGGCGTCGGGTCAACAACTTGTGCATGGCTCGCACTGGCGACCATCAAAATCACAAGCGATTGGTCCTGGCGATCCTTAACCATCCTTCAAGCTTTCCCAGGACTTCTTGTTCTCTGCCTCATCCATTGTGTTCCAGAATCGCCACGATGGCTAATTGCCCACGAGCGGTACGAAGAGGCAGAACGAATGCTCGCTACATATCACGGAAACGGAGACAAGACGAATGAAACGGTCGTCTTCGAGTTTGAAGAGATGAAGCAAACCTTAGCTCTTGAATTCAAGAACAAAAAGTCGAGCAGTTATCTTGATTTCGCCAAAACCGCGGGGAATAGGTATCGAGTAGTGATATTGATCTCATTGGCGATGGTGTCCCAGTATAGTGGTACCAATCTGTTCTCGAATTACGCCAACAAAATTTACGAGGGGGCTGGTATTCGTGAACAGAAGAGCAAAGTACTGGTTTGTTTTGCTCTTCCCAAGAACTGAACACAGTGGCTAGATGAGCTGACTTCTGCGTGATAGCTCAGCGGTGGCCAGACCTTGATGTCCCTGGTTGTCTCCGTCGCATTTTCGCTGACAATCGACCGGTTCGGACGACGACCGCTCTTCCTTACAGCCACCACCGGCATGGTACTGATGTACATGGGCTGGACTATTGTCAGCTCTCAGTATGAACGGACAAAAGACTTGACGAGATTCGGATATCCCCAGATAGCTTTCATCTGGCTGTTCAGTTTCTCATACCAAATTGCTTGGACTGGTATTATGGCTGCCTACGCATTAGAGATTATGCCGTATAGTCTAAGAGCAAAAGCCGGTGTAATATCTACCATTTTTGTTAAAGGATTAATCGTCTTGGGAAGGTGAGTATCTGCAGTCTTAACCTTTTGTTATTGTATTGCAAATAAGTTGACTTGATTCTCAAGTTACACAAATCCCATCGCCTGGGACAACTTTACTATTGCAGGTCATGCATGGGTACTAGCGATGTTTTATACAGTATGTATCAAATCTGTCTAGAAATATGTTACTTTCTGACTGTTTTCTAGATCTTGGACTTTTGCTATCTGGTGTTTGTGTACTTTTTCTATCCCGAGACGAAGAACCTCACGCTCGAAGAGGTTGCTCAGGTGTTCGATGGAGATTATGCTAAGGTCGCTCGAACTGACGTTATTGATTGTTGTGAAGAGTCCGAGCAGGATAAGAAGCGAAGAACGCACGTTGGCATTCGAGATATTTAGGTTGTGATATCCATATAACATATACTAATTCCTGGTCTGGGCCAACTATTAGGCAAAGCTCTTTTATACATCAATTACTTTTAACAATCTAATGTTACTCCTCATCGGGTGTCTCGAAATCCTTCTTTGCCCCCGTTGCGATCGCATCGTCAGTGAGCACTCTGATAGCGAGTACAGCCATGCCCTTTGCACACTTGATTGCCGCAGCGTGAGCATCATCTGTTGCTGCAGCAGCCGCAAACTTGGGGTTGTGTCCGGCCACATCAGGAGATGTTGGGATGACAAACGCGCCATGAAAGCTGGGCACAAGATGAGAAACGTTACCCATATCTGTGGACGCGTTGAATGGTTTGGCTTGGTGAAGCTGAATGGTCTCTCCAATGGCTGCCATATCTTCAACATAGGTTTTGCATAGAGTATCATTGGCACGGAGATTCGCATATGTTGGTGCACTGAGCAACATGTGAGCAATAGACTAGACTTGTGGGTTATTGATTGACTTACACAATGTAGTTGATCTCACAACCAGTTGCTGCAGCGCCAGCTTCGAGGCATGCCTTGACTCTTGTCAATAGCGCATCGGCACGAGCAATTGTAGGGCTGCGGACGTTCCAGTTCATTCTGGTGTAGTCTGTGATAACGTTTGGGACTGTGCCGCCGACTTCAATCACACCGTGGATTCTCTCATCGGATTGGATCTGCTGCCGCAAAAGAGCAACATTGTTGTACGCAGCAACAGCCGCATCAAGCGCATTGAGACCCTTCCATGGCTCTCCAGCTGCGTGTGCTGGCTTTCCGCGAAACTCGACGCGGAACTTGTGGCTTGCAATTAGTTTGAACCCTGCCAAACCTGAAGATCCATCTCCTCCACTGCCGCCTTGATGGGCAGCTGTGGGATGTGCCATGATGGCAGCTGCGACATCTTCAGGAGGGTTGAATGCGCCGGCATCGATAAGCTTTGCTTTGCCACCACCACCCTCTTCGGCGGGGGTTCCCAAAATGCGCAAACGGCCGGGGATTTTCAGCTCTGACAGTGCTCGTGCGGCACCGAGAAACGCTGCTATGGATGATGTTGCGATAAGGTTATGACCGCAGGCATGGCCAATGTCTGGGAGGGCGTCATATTCAGCACAAACTACGACCTGACGACCGCCTGAGCCAATCTCGGCTTCGAAGCTGGTCTCGAGGCCATAAGTGTGTCTTTTCACTGTGAAGCCTAGTTTCTCGAGGTAGTTTGTGATTGTTTCGTGAGCAAAGAACTCCTTGTATGCCGTTTCAGGGTTTGCGTGCAGGGTCTTGTTAATGTCGTTGTGAAGTGAAGTGTCTAGTTCGTCGATGTACGAGTTGATGATGGCGCGTGCCTTCTCGAGATCGAATCCCTGCATGGCTTCTGTTGTCTGGTTGGTGGTCTGCTCGCTTGTAGAGCCGACCGGGATCTGGATGATTGACATGATGAGTTAAGAGCCAGTATCTGTAACAGCAGTAAAGTTGCGTAGAACTCAGTGTACACAAGAGAGGTTCCGGGAGCACGCTTACTCGGAGTAGATATCCTTTTCACTTGGTAAACTAATAGATAACGAACGGGAAACTCGCCACGTCGTTCGGAATCACAGTCCCCTCATGCCATCATTGACAAGAGTGTGGAGATATCTCGATGAGTAATGATGCAGGGATCATCAGACGGACAAGACCAAACTGCATCGGCAATCGGCGCTGAGGATTGCCGACCGACCAGCAAAGACGATACTGCAGAAAGATAGCCGATGGTCGGCAAAATTGCACTTTCGATTTGATAAACAATCGACCCATCATCGCCTAAATGGCGTAGAGGCGACGCCAGTCAACTAGCCCACCTCCACTTGGTTCATCTGATTAATCACTTAATTCTATCTCCTCTAATTCTCCTTGAGCACAAACTCAAAACATCTCGTCTCGTCGGCTATTTCAAGGGGAATTTGTTCCACAACGGTTATCTGCAGCAAAAGGACCCGTTCCCTGACATTGTAGGTCCCCGGACCATTCATACGAACCCACATCGAGTCTCACAGAACCCCGAACTGTGGTGAAAGGTCCCCTCCCCAGCTACTAGCCTCCACTCCAACGGCTCAGAACCTGTGACAATCACGCAGATACAGCCGATCGCGTATCAGCTTATAGGCAAACGCCAATGAGCTCTTCGCCCCTCGAAGACGAAGGGAGCTCCCCGGGCAGTAGTCTTGGTACTGATGCCGGCGATGTTGGTGCCGTAACTATCAGTTCTGTTGCCGCCGCAGGCGAAGCTGTGCAGCCGGAGGGAACCGAGGCCATCCACTCGACCACGGCATCGGCTCCGGCGTCACGTACCGGGGAGGGCCGGAGTGGGCCGCGTTCGAGGAACGGGTGCTGGACGTGCCGCACTAAGAAAGTAAAATGCGATGAGCAGAGGCCGAACTGCCATCGCTGCACGCGTCTGCGACTTCTTTGCGATTATGCACCCCGCATGAAGCTTACCAAACGAGGCAAGACGCGCAAGGATCAACTCATCTCATCCATTTCGTCGGCTGCTTCTGGGGAGGGGAGGACGCCCGGATTGCCGAGCTGGACTCAGGCGGCTGCCCGTCTGGAACAAAGCAAGGCCTTGTCGTTGTTCAACCCGTCGGCTCCGGCTACGGGTGCCTGCGCCCTGGATCTGTCGTCGGCTGACCACGAGGCAATACGCTATTTTCGGACTAGCTTTGCCAAGTTGAATCATACGAAGAACCCGGACTTTTCATTGTATTCCATCATGTTCGACATCGCGCAGACGGATTCCATGGTCATGCACGTTGTGCTCGCGCTCGGCGGACGAGAGCTTGAGTTCCGCCGCAACAAGAATGCCGAAGAGGCCAGGGGGCCCCGAACGCCCCTGCAGCATTACTCCTCGGCCTTGAGGATGATGGCTGATACCATTGGTGGCGAACAGAACGGCCAGCTTGATCTTGATTCTGTGTGCACGGCATTGTATCTTATGCTTCTGTATGAGCAGAAGTATGGTGACGGAAAGTGTCAGGGCTTATCCAATCATCTGGCCGGCGCAAGCTTGATACTGCAGCATCGCTTCAAAGACCTTCTCCTCCAACTCCCTGCCCCCTCTCCCGAGAACAACAGGAAAAGCTTAGCCTTGACAAGGCGGGACCAAGATGAGAATGGTACGCGCCTGTCGCTTTATTCGGCGCGCATGCTTGTCTGGATCGCCCTGCACGATGCATCAGCAGCATCATATGGACTCGGTGGCCAGTTGAACTGCGCCCTGCATAAGATCATGGGGGTGTTGGAAGCCAATCACGGAAATACGAGAGTGGGCATCGGGAGCAGTCCCTTCCAACCCTTGGACAGTTTTGAGAGGTTACATCGCTTCTCAAATCCGCTGTACCGGAGCATGTGGGCGGATACATACCCCCAGGCTGAACTGTTGGATGATGTCGAGAACCGCATCGTGTATGCCTTTCTCGGTGCCTGCAGCCAGCTACGATTCATGATTGCACAGCTCGCCAACCTCTCACACGAGGATGAAGAGTCTCAACAACAACGGGCTACGGCGGTAGACATTACAATCCAGCAGGTGGGCTGGAAATTTACCGAGTTGCTCGAGGTCGCAGCCGAGCTTTCCATCAGTACAGACAACTCGCACCGCCTAGTTGCCAACATCCGTGGCATCGTCCCGCATTACTACGCCGTGGTACTCGAGTTTCTCAGACTGACCAGGTTCAATGACACGCCTATGCTCTCTACTCGCCAGCGCAACGCCCTTCGCGAGATCATGAACTTGGCATTCCAGGCTTTCAAGCACGAAGGCGACGAGGCAATGACACGTATTGCATGGCCGCTTTTCATGGTCGCACTCGAGACCGACGATCTGTTGCACCGCGAGTGGGTGCTTAGTCGATTCCAGGGCATGAGCCGCTTCGGGAAGAATTTCGACCGTGCTCATACCTTTTTGAAAGAGACGGTTGAGATGCAGAATATGTTGGGGGGAAGACTCGATGTTCGCGATAGGTTCCAGTCGGGTGAAGTGGGGTTGTTTGTTATCTGAGTCTCCCCGGGAGTTGGCCGGCTTTTAGGAGCCGGCGGAGCAAGATTCTATGTGTCCAGCCTATGCCGCTCGTGACCAGATGATCACCCCCAGGAGCTTGTTTCCCCGCATTGTTGAAGGATGCTGCCAGGGTCTACGCAATACTCACGGATCGGCTATCATGTCCCCTCAGAGTTGCGTCGGCTATCGTGACTGCTATCAGTCAAATGCACAACAAGTTAAGCGGCAGATCTATCGGAAAGACTGCTTGAGATATCTCAACTAGTGTCTATCACTTCCCCGCGGAATGGAATTCCGTATGCAGATAGCGATGGCACTCATCGCTGTCTTCCCCGTTTAGGCCACACCCCATCGAGTTGGGTTGTATCACAGCCATAACTAGTATGGGTTGCTGATGAGCTTATAAGGTCTATTTCCTCGTTGTTGTTGGCATTGCAACTCAACTACAAGTCAGCTCCTTGGCTTCTACATCCCATTCTTGCGCCACTTTAACTACGCTTGCCTTTGCTGCGAGGAAAAATGTCGGAAAAGTTGGAGAAGCCACCCATCGATGATGTTGGTCAAGGAGACCAGACATTGAAGGATATTGGGGAAGGCTTCATTTCGGGCCAAGGACTCAGCCCGGAAGAAGACAAGAGACTTTTGCGCAAGATCGACCTATAGTAGGTGTCACTCTTAGGCCCTCAATTTAGTATGCATCCATTGACTTGGCAGCACAGCCTTTTGCCCGTCATGGCCATGTCGTATCTGTTCCAGTTCCTCGACAAGTCTGCCTTGAGTTACACCGCCATCATGGGTCTGCGCGATGACATGGGACTCTCTGGCGCAGAATATTCCTGGGCGACAAGCATCTACTACTTTGGGTACCTCGTCGCGTCGTACCCTGCTGGTGTTATCATGGTCCGGCTTCCTGTGGGCAAAGTGATCGCGGTTTCAGTGTAAGTAGGCCCCCAACTATGGCAAATCGTACTTCAAACTGACGACCTAGTCTTGTTTGGGGCGCCATCCTCATGCTGACGGCTGTCTGTTCCAATGGTGCTGGTCTACTGGCGAACCGCATCATGCTCGGTGTCGCTGAAGCCGCCATTGCTCCGGGTCTCAGCATCATAGTTTCCATGTGGTACAAGCGCTCCGAGCAGCCACTCCGACACGGGGCCTGGTTTCTTGGCAACACTATAGCTGGCATCTTCGGCGGGATAGTGGCCTATGCCATCGGCCATATCAACAGCATTGCTCCGTGGAAGGTATGTATGCCCCACCGAGGCATTGGTAATGAGGCTAACATTGATCCGCAGGCCGTCTTTCTCATTTTCGGAGGCATTACCACCGCATGGTCCTTCGCCATATTCTTCCTGCTCCCGGATACCCCGATGAAAGCGCGGTTTCTGAGCGAAGCCGACCGGGTCAAAGCTATCGAGCGCATCGAAGAGAACATGACGGGCATCAAGAGTGACAAGTTCAAGTGGTACCAGTGCGTTGAGGCACTGACGGACGTCAAGGCCTGGCTCCTCTTCACGATCCAAATCAGCGCCCAGATCGCCAACGGTGGCGTGCATGGTTTCGGGTCCATCGTGATCAAGGGCATGGGTTTCAGCACGCTCAACACTCTCCTTGTACAGATGCTCAGTTCCGTGTTCCAGCTTGTCTTTGTTTTGATGGCGACTGGCGGTAGCACGTACTTCCGCAATAGCCGTACATACTGGATGGCGTGGAATTTGGCGCTGTCGATAGCCGGTGCGGCCATGGTTCGACAGATTGCAGCCGAGTCGAAATGGGCAAGGTTTATGGGGTACTGTCTGACGGTCGCGTACAGCGCCAATTTCCCAATGGTCTTGTCCATGTCTTCGGGTAATTTCGGCGGGTTTACCAAGAAGACGACTGTAAATGCCATGGTAAGTGAGGTTGTTTTGAATGCCGTGCTGGCAAATAGGCTGACATATCTAGATATTTATTGCATATTGTGCCGGTAACATTATCGGACCGCAGTTGTTTTTTGAATGGGAAGCACCCTCATACAAGTCTGGATTCCTGGCCATGCTGGTTTGCTATGGTGTTGGTGTCTTGATGTGCTTTGTGCTCCGGTACTATCTCATTTGGGAGAACAAGCGGCGAGACAGTATTGGAGAAGTCCTCGACACAGGCGTCGGTGACCACGTGCCATTGAACCTACTTGATAAAACTGATAAAGAAATTCCTCAGTTCAGATATGTATATTAAGGAGAGGTGGCGGTCTTGGCTACTCCGCAGTACATGGTATCAACGCAGAGTAAGGAGTTTAGTATATCAAATTAGTTCCACACGAGAAGGGTAGCTTTAATTAAGACTCTTCTGTATAGCTAATGTCATGTGCATTATTCCAGCTCCCACACAAGCGGTTCCTCGTCTCTCATGGCCCGCCACCGGTTCGTCGCTCTCATCACGTCCTCGCAGCCTTTCAACAAAAACCCCCATTTTTCAAGGAACCTCTCAGTGACCTCCCAACCATCAGGATGCCAAGGGTCAGACCAAGCGATAATGCCTGGCTGTTCCTGGCGGTCGAAGTCGTCCTCGCAACCAACGAGATCAGCACAAAGTTCGTGGTGATCAATCGTTTCACGGTAGCGGATGGCGTTGTCGCGCATAGCACCGGAAGGGAATATGTCGATCCATGATTCGTGATATGTTGAGCGCTGCAAAGCGGTTGGAAGCAGAGTGCAGGGGATCTGTGACGGGGCCGGGAAGAGGGGTGTCGTGTCAAGGTCGGGAGTACAGTCGTTGCCAAGAAGAGAGTATAACGAGAGAATGCGGATGTTTGTGATCGTCGCGCGGAATACGTTATAGTAGACTAACGGAATAAGATGGTCTCGACAGAGGGGAAACCAGTATTGGGGCCCGTCGTAATAAAACGGGAGTTTGCTGGGAAACCCGGTCTTGGAACGTGACTTTGAGACTGGTGAACGTATACGAAAATGATTTATCTCATCTTGTGTGGAAGATTTAGGCAAATTTCTCCCTTCTTGTTCATCTTTTTTAATTGGCTTCCCGGGGGCCACCCATTGAAGAATTTGAATGCTGCGAGCCGTGCCTGATTGCTGTGTTGCCTTCCATGGAACACCCGCGTCTATTGAAACCTGGCTTTGTTGTTTCTTACTGGTCTCCAAAGCCTTCTTCCTCCCTGTTCATCTAGTTAGTTACGATATTTGGGCGTCACAACAACACGAGATACGTACGATGAGCCCGCACGTTTAGGCGGTTCTGTCTTTTGCGGCGCTCTGCCCTGTCCCGAAGCCCAGTCCAGTCATCGTCTGCGCAGTGAGCTTCGGACGAGTGAAGCATTGGAGGCAACAAATGGCCAGGTAAGCATTCCATGGCGCTATGCATGGTGGTTGGGAATTTGACCGCCCTGGAAGAGAACAGTGCTGGTGATGAGAGGTCGAGATAGGTGTGAAGCTGAAAGTGAAGTTCTTAGATGACCGCAGCTGCTTTGCAAGAAGAGGGATTTCATCAAGATTGGGAATGTGATAGATAGAAGAAGATACTAAGGTAGCCAAGGCATCATTGGTGATCACGTACTTATGTGTTCCTGCTTAGCGGATGACGGGATGATGGATTCGACCGAAGAGACCGGGGCTGTCTTTCATCTGCAGTCGGCTTACAACGCCTTGCCTATTTAGGAAATAGCTGATGTTAACCACTCATAGAGCTCAGAAAGAGTGGGGACCTGACGACGAGAACCGTGTTCGTGGTTATCATTGGCTACCTTGATTGGCTTTATATGGGTCCCCGCTGTTCAAGCCGTTCCTTTGTTTGTCCGTTAATACGATTTAAGTGTTGTCTGCTTATCAACGCTAACTAAAAACTGTTGTAGTATTAGAGAAGATATGGGTTAGATAGGTAGTAAGAATTACAATGGCGACTGTGTTTCTCGTTGAAGCTAAAGGTTAGAGTCATAAAGCCGGTTGATCATAAACAAAAACTCTTCTCACTAAATACTCAAGTTGTGTGTTAACACCGTACCTGTTCTCATTGCTATGGGGTTGTTTCTTAAACATTAAATTTAACCAAAGTCGCAAACCCAATCAAGGTCTCAAAAATTCACCATATCATAAACCTTGTTCGAGATCCCATCTACCCCTAGCTTGATCCATAGCCCGGGACTGTTTGAATCGGTGGAGGAAATCCCGTCACAGTCCCACTGCCATACTGCTGCTGATGCTGGGTGTAGGCATGCGGAGCCTGAGGTGCGTATGGGGTGCCCGGGGTTGCAGCAGGCGTGTACTGGCCATGTACTTGTGACTGTCCATTCCATTTCTGTGCTTCATGACTAGGCTGATATTGGGCAGTAGCAGACGCAGGGAAATAACCCGGGTGTCCATGAGCCGCTGTGTGAGTTGCGTAAGGCGGAGACACTGGGGTCGGCAGCGGGTTAGCGACATATTGCTGCGTTTGTTGTTGTGCTTGTGGCTGTGTATGATACATTTGGGGCGCAGTCTGGTATTGTTGCACCGGTGCAGGCGAGTACTGTTGATGCCCTGTGTGGTTCGATGTATTGTTATACGCTGGTGGGATTGGGACCGGTGCATATTGTGGCTCAGTTGTTGCCTGCTGTTGATGTACATGGCCATAGGGAACGTTTGAAACCGGTGGAGGATGTGAGGGAGGCGGGGGAACGGTCATCGGTTGATAGTGATGTGTAGGCTGATGTGTGGGTGGAGGCGGATAAGTGTATCCAGGCGCGGGTGTATGTGCCTGCTGTTGGTAGACATGGGTGGGATCGGCTTGGAAGGGTGTTCCGTTTGTATTAGTTGAGGTGGGCTGTGATGGAGGAGGCGAGAGTACTTGAGCTTGGTGTTGAGGAGCTGCGATGTGATTATGCGATGGTTGATTGGGGTAATGCTGAGCCGCCTGAGCGTGATGATAACTCAGCCCTTGTGAAGGCTGCTGCACTGGCTTTCGCGCAATTTGATGCCCTGAAGGGTGCTGGGTGTTTGCTCCCGGATGATGAATCTGTGCCCCGTGTGGATCTGCAGGATTATACGTAGGAACAGACTGAGAAGCATGCACAGGCGACTGAACCGGAGCAGTGATAGACGAGGAACCTGACTGGCTATAGGGAGCTGGGTATTCATGCGAGATAGGTTGAGGCGCTGGCTGTGACTGTGGTTGGGAGAAGCTGTCTTGCCGCTGTGCTTGGACTGTTTGATTTGTAGTGGCTGTCATAGTTTGTTCCACTTGGGTGTTGTTTATCTCCTGTGCAGTCTGTTGTTCAGTCAGATGAGACGCTGGAGAAACTTGTTCGGCATGTGAAGATGGCGTGTTTGTGTCCTTCCGGGCCGCCCCAGTTACTGAACCATATTGGACTGGGGGTTGGTAAGTTCTAGGTTCTGGCAGTTTTCCATTCGCCTGCTGTTGACCAGCATTTGGTTCTTCCGCTGGAAATGCGGCATGCGAGTGTTCACTTTGGCCTCCCTCCTCAGCATGCGACTCTTGCGGCATGGATTGCTGGGCAACAGGCTGGCTATCATCAGTGACACTATAGTAATCTCCTTGGAACGGCTGGGTGAGGGAACCCGAGGTTATAGCATTATGAGACGAAGTACCCTGTGGAAGCGATTGATCAGATACCTGCGTGGGCGTTTGTGGAGTGTGCTGCGTTGGATGCTCTTGTTGCGACATTCCGGCTACGTTTGTTTGAGACTCGGGACTCTTGCTGTTCTCGACAGCAGGGGCCGAAACAGCATTTGACTCTGGAAGGGCTTGTGCCATAGCTCGCATATCATATGAACCTTGTGAAGGTTCTGTTGCATTACTATAGCCGGTAAACTGCTGAGGCAAAGGCTGGCCGCCAGTCTGTTGCTGTAGAAAGTTTGGAGAATATCCCACGGCTGGCTGGGCAGCACTACTAGCATCATATTGCGGATACGCCTCTTGCGGAAGGACCTGACCTTGAACGGAACCAAGAGGTTGAGCCGTAGAGACTCCAGCATGGTAATAATACTGGCTCTGAGCCGGGTCGCTCACTTGTGGTGTGTGTTGTCCGGGGTAAGCCGGGGCCATCTGTTGCTGGGCTTGTTGGTATTGTGCATAATCCACCGGCGCCTTCGAATCCGAAGCGTATGCAAAAGCAGGGTTCGCAGTATAGACTGGAGGTGGCTGAGGGCTTCCGTAAGAGTACTGCGGCGGCGGCAGAGCTTGGGCTGAGCTTTGTCCAGCAGCCCATTCCTGAGGATTATAAGGCTGTATCGAGTAACCGGCCTCGGCCGCCTTCGCATCCTTAACAGCCTGAAAAACACCGGCGGCCTGGAAAGCCTTGAATGCATCCTTCTTCTTTAGATGGCTTGTGTGAGTGTGCTCAATACCCATGCCCACTCCATCGAGGGCAGCGTGGGTGACGACTTTGATCGCGGTGTCGTTCTCGACAATGGCGGAAATTCCATGTTCTGCTCCGGCATTGGCTACGGCGTCGGCACCCATGCTTCCAACTCCTAGCGTCACTACACCGATAGTGCCACTAACGGCCATGCTCCCTAGTACATCCCGTTTGCGGGTGACGTGCGTGGCACCATGCTTCTGAAGATGCTTCTCAATAATATCGCGTTTCTTGCGTGCGTTATGAATAGCAGGGGCGGCCATTGCGACGCCAATAGTAGAGACTCCGAGAGTGAAGGGGACGGCGATACCGGAGACGGCGGTCGAGGTGGAGGCGCCAGCGATGAGGCGCGTGTAATGCTCCCATTCTCGCTGCAACTCTTCGGGCGTCAGGCCGTTGCATTTCGCATCATAGGCCTTGAAATCGAACGGCATTTTTAACGGCTGGCTTCCTTGGGTTCTGGACGTAGTAAGAACAAGAACCGACGGACACGGGAAGAGAAGGAAACAAAAACCAGGTGTAGTAGCTTGGCGACATCGTGGTTTTGTGAGCTCGTTTCAAGGAAATCCCCGATAATACTTGTGGCTTCGTCCCAGCCGTGTCGGAATGGGTACGGAGCTGCTGCAGGGCGCGTTGGTATCGAAGCACCTCACATTCCGAGATGAGCCCAGATTCCTAAAGTGTACAAATGATGTACCTCAGCCGCATCGAAAAGGGTAAGGAGCCCGACAGAGGTAGCCAAGACATCCAACCATAAGGCAGACTCGAGTCAGCCCAAAATCGATGAATGCGCGCGTAGATGCAGATAAAATCGGCAGGGGTGAATCATTGGCTTGTGTCGAATGCAAAACGGGGTGTTTGACACTAGCATTGAAACTCGATTTGTTGATTGTTGTTGTCGTCGCTATCCGCCTGCTCATGGGGTTCGTCGGAGCCTGCTCATCCCTTGCAAATCTGGGCAAAAGCTTAAAAGTACATGGTAGCTTAACGAGCAAAGTGTTGACAGCTGAACTGGCTATTTTCCTTGGCATCGTATTGCTTTTTCCCCTTCCTGTCTACCTGATGTGGGATTGACTCAAACGCATTATTCAGCTGCCAGCCTGATTTACGTGGTAATGCATGGACCGCTGGCAGTGGTCGTCCAAAGAGAATAAAAGCTATTCACATCTAATAAGAATCGCCCCAAATTTGACTATGAGTACATCCTCTATTGGCTACAGCTAATCATACAATTTCTATTCTTTACACGATCGGTTTATCGGCGAAAAGGGGGGATAAGTCCCTTTAAACTTGAGAAGCCGTTTCCGACGACTCGCCTCCCTTCTCCGCCTTCTCGATCTCCTTCTTCTCGATAGTAGTCTGCTTCTCCCACATGGCGTGGTATCGGCCCTTGAGAGCCAGCAACTCGTTGTGAGTGCCACGCTCGGCGATCTTACCCTTGTGAAGAACGACAATCTGGTCGGACGTGGTGATGGTGGAGAGACGGTGCCTAATGGGTTGACATCGTTAGTGAGGTGCAAAACACAGCTAATCAGCAAATTTCTTACGCAATAGTAATTGTGGTTCGTCCAGCAGTTACGCGCTCCAAGGCGTCCTGGATCAGTCTTTCAGTGTGAGAATCCAGGGAGGCGGTGGCCTCATCCAGAAGCAGGATGCGGGCATCCTTGAGAATCGCTCGTGCAATGGCGATCTAAGGCACCAAATCATTAGCTAACCGACTTTCGTTCCCAACAGTGGAGAAAAAACATACTCTTTGACGTTCACCTCCAGACAATTTCAAACCACGTTCTCCAACCTTGGTCTCGTACCCATCAGGGAAGTTGAGAATGCGCTCGTGGATGTTGGCAGCCTTGCACGCCTCATAAACGTCGGCTTCCGAGGCCTTAGGGTTGGCGTAGAGGAGATTGTACATGATGGTGGCGTTGAACAGAACGGTGTCCTGAGGGACGACACCAATGTTCCTTCGGAGGCTGTCGAGCTTCAGGTCCTTGATGTCGTGGCCGTCGACAGTAACAGAACCCTCCTGAACATCGTAGAAACGGAAGAGAAGTTTAAGACAGGTCGACTTGCCACTACCCGACTCTCCTACGATGGCAGTCTTGGTGCCAGGTGCAACAGTGAAGCTGACGCCATCGAGGGCCAGCTCGCCCTTCTTGGTTTGGTAGGAAAACTTGACATCGTTGAAGGATACTTCACCTCTTGGAGACGGCAGGTTGACTGCATCCGGCTTTTCGACAACGCCAGACGTTTCTTTGAACTATTACTGTCAGTATGATGCCTTCAACAAAGGGCTTTGAAGGGCTTACCAGGTCAAGCATGCGCTCTGCCTCAATCAAGTTGTTCTGAAGCATGGTGTAGTAAGTGCCAAAGAAGTTGAGAGGACCCTGGAGCTGGACAAAATAGTTGATCAAGCCAACGAACTCGCCGACGGTCTGTTCCCCGATGGAAATCTTGTAAGCAGAAAGAGCGACCAACAGAGCAGTTCCAAGCGAGAAAATCGAGCTCTGCGTCAGGTTGAGGCCGTTAAGAGACCACTGCACCAAGCGCTCCGCCTTTTGATAAACAACCACATGCTCTTTGAACCTCTCTGTTTCAGGCACAACGGCGCAGTTATGCTGGACTGTCTCGTAAGCCATAATGGCATCTGTCTTGATGGCCTCCATCTCGCGCATTTTCGTAGCCATATCTCTCCTCTGTTTGCCGCGGTATTTGGCTACGTAAATGGTCAAGAAGATGTATGACCACATGATGAAAAACACAATGATGGTGTAGAAGGCGTCATACTTGATGAAGAAGTAGACGCCGGCTACAAAAATGTCGGCCACCATTGGGAATACCTGGAAGCAAAAGTTCTCCAAAAACGTGTTCATTGCCGCGCCTCTGCTTAGAGCACTGGTGACCTCACCGATCTTCTTGTTCAAATGGAACTCAAGAGACAGACCCAGGACGTGTTCAAAGGCTGCGCATGAGAGCCTTCGGAAAAGTGATTGTGAAACGGGAATCCAGAGAACTGACCGCAGGGCACCGATAGCTCCCTGATTTCCCTGGAGAGCACGGAAAACGACATAAAGGATGATTTCGGTGTAAGGAATGCCGCCATTGGAGAAAGCATCGACGAGATACCCGAGAAGCAGAGGAGCGAAGACGTTGATGGTGCGCTGAAGAACCAGTAGAAACAAGCAAAACACCACAATCGCCTGGTACAATTTAGAGTCTTTGGGCCTGAAATAAGTTAGTGGGGACGAAGCGAGTAGACAAGCATAGGTTGACTGACCAGAGATAGGGGAAGAGAACTTTGAAGCCAGCAAAGTAGTCGAGCCAGCCCGTGCCCTGGACTTGGCGTCTGGGTTGAGCCGCAGGGCCATGAGGATGGGCGGCACCATAGTTCGCGGCAGAACCGTTGCCATTCTCCAGAAGTGACTGTCGCTCCTCTGGGTCGGACCTGGGCTGGGAAGGTCTAAGTCTGTACTCCCTGAGGGTGAGGCTGATAGTCATAAAGAGAAGGACTGCGATCCTGACAAAGCCTAAAGCAGATAAGGAGTCAAGGAGTTCCTTGGATACGCGCAAGAAAGGCTGCTCAGTGAAGAAAAGAGCGGCGATGACAACTTCAAAGAGCACACCAACGACCCAAGCGTAGGCATGGCAAGCTGTCGGCACCCACGGTCCTTCGGGATCAGGCAGCAGGCCAGCCAAGAAGTAAAGCAAGACTGCGACGTATGATGCCTTTGCAATATTAGTCTACCAAGTCAAGTTTTACGAGACCCATAGTGACCTACCAGGAAAGCAGTAAAGGGGAACTGAACCTTGCCAGGTCCATCATGAGTACCACCAAAGGCATCGCGAACTGCGACAATGATGCTGGCAAACTGGGAACGAGTCAGCGTGGGCAAATCCTACACTTTCAGAGATAGTAATCATTGCTGACAAGAACAAGAGAAAGAATGAGTTGAAGGGTCCAGATGATCCGGTTGTAGAAGCGCCGGAGTGCGACGGCCTTCTCATCTGGCGCGTCCCGGCGCGGTCCGCCACGTCTCTCGCGCCAGAATTGAGCCGACTGAGCGCCTAGAAGGGCCACGAAGAGACCACATGGATAGAGGTAAAAGGCCACCTGCAGCCCCAATTGCACCCCCGCCATGATTTTAGATGCGTGGCTTGCGATTGAATTGCATGTAACGAGTCCGAAGTGGATGGTGGCGGTTTGGTGATGTTCAGTTCGGTCTGCGGATTCTCCGACGAATCGCGTGGTTCAGTGCACGAAGTCGCCATCGCATTATGTCAGCAAGGTATTACTAATCGATTAGCGATCCTATTTAGGAATGGGAGCCAAAGCGCAAGTTTGTCACGATTATGGGCTGTATTTACTGAGTTGCTGGGGTGAACTATCACAGGTGAATATTTTTTTTTCTTCTCTTTTTTTAATATTCAAAAATTAAAAAAGCACTTATGACGGCGACATACTTGCGTGCCTCTGGTGGAGAGAGCGGCTTTCAATAGCGGTTACAAATGTCCCCTGGTACAGTAGCGCAGCACTAAACAATCCCTTAACAGCTTATTTTACAGGAACTCAGCTCGCTCAGCCAGTTAGTACCAGGTTCCTACATCATCTCAGGGCAAGATATTACAGCAGGCCCAGGAAGTCTTACACGTCACATAATACAATTAACGCATGACATCTTGTCCGTATTATTGACCTCGGGTATAGCTGCTGTGGCCACCAGTCATGAGATCAACCAATGCGTGAGATCGTTGCTCGACTTCCATAGGTTGAAGGAGTGCTACAGCCACCCCTCAAGCCGTGTTCGCGTTTCTACTGCGCCTCTATTATTGGCTTAAGTCGGTCGGGATTTTTGTCGATAACCGACCAATTGTTTGTAGGCCGTGGCTATCCGTCACCATCCTACAATTGCATCTTTCTGTCACGATTGACCTTACTTCCCTATCGTCGGTCTCTACTGAATCGCCAGCTGCTGTGGCAAAAGAAGGAAAATCTAGGCGCGACTATTCGAAGAAGTCAGCCTTGGGGGATTATTTGTCATGACAGTGCATGAGAAGGTTGAACAATGAGGCCAAAATCAAACCGCGAAATATGCCAAGAAGTGTCCGTTTCTCTAACAATTCTACCAAAGCCTCATTCTCTTTCGCCCCTGGAAACTTCGGAGAGCTTTTCAGTGGCCCTTTTCATCACCATATCCTATGTCGCGTAAAAAAGAGCGATATCTGTCATGTAATCACCAAGTCAAAAGTCCGTCTACCAGAGGATTTGCCTAACACGGGGCGTCTTGGCCCAGAAACCCCGAAGCTATTACCGGCCGACCAGCATCACTGACACTCCGTCGGTGTTTTACTACCAGGTGAGAATCAGTCAGGCGTTTACCTATCTGCACTGACATTGCACCATGTCCGTTTTAGGGATCTGCGCCGGAGTTTGGTCCGGTGTCCAGGCTATGCTGGACGTGGGTGGTGCCAATCGTAGCTCATTATGTGATAGACGGTCAACTGTGATTGGGTGCGGATAGCCACACTTCGTTTTCGCTGCAGCATCTTCAGCATGCCCAATTGAAAGCCTCTGTGGCTGGTGGCAGATACAGCTGGAAGACTAGATGCCGTGCGGCACTGCATCCTTCCGGACTTGAGGCCAAGCCAGAGGCTCAATCTCCGTTGGGAAGATTCTAGGGCTCGTGAGGCTTTCCACCTCTAGGCGGCAGAATTAACATTCGTTGTGGATTAAGAGAATTTCCATTTTGACAATGTATTTGACATACGTTAGACAGTAGGACGTTAAGAACAGAATAAAAAGGATAGAGATCATTTATCTGGTTGTGAATTTCCATGTGTCCACACCAAACGCATCAGACAAAGCTTACCATCAGCTTCAAGCATTCCGAATATCGACTCTCTTAATAATAAACCCCCATATACAATTTTTACTCTTTTAATCATCATCATCATCATCATGCCTGTGCCCAAAGGAACCAAAACCGCAGCTGCCGGCGCTGTTGCAGCCGGGTCCCTTACCACCGCCTTCATAGACCCCTCAGGTATATCACTCCTCACCTTTCTGGGCTCTTCCGCCGTAGCGGCGGTGGGAACAACCTACCACGCTGTTAGGGGCATTTCGAAGCACGCATCCCATTCTATGGAAGAGAGCCGCCAACGAAAAGCGGAGAGTCAGGCACTCGCGATGAGAATGACGCCCCATCAACACATCCGATTCCAGCATGACGTTGAAAATACCATCAGACGGCTTACATCCTCTCTTGAAGGCTCCGTAGTCCAGGGTATCCTGTTTATTGGACTTCCCTACATGGGCATTATATGGGCAATCAACACCGTTGAAGCCAGTGTCCAGCTCGGGCGTCTCAAGGCACTTGCCGATAGAGCGGGAGGAAAGCGAGCTTTGGCAAAGGCTGTTTCCAAGCAGAATGCCGTGCTTCAAGTCTTCGCAGGGGCCGCTATCAAGACTCTGACCATCTCTCTAACCCTGGGTCACGACTTTGAGGCCGCAATGGGAGATATCAGCGGTCGCATTGATGACGCTGAGTACAAGGGCATGCTAATGGATGCCAAAGACGGGCATAACCACCTCTTGGAGGAGCCTGTATTTAAACAGACTACGACAATTTTGGATATCCCTCAGACCGAGATGAAGGAGTTCATGGAGAAGGTAGAGGGAAATTTCAACGGGGAGGCCCAGAACTGGGCTTGGAAAGAGGAACATAGCGCCGAAGGCGTTGTTGCTGTTGGAGCTGTTGTAGCAGCTGTCAACAAGGCTGTCGATGTTGCAGTGGATGACCCTTTGCACCAGAAGGTGGAGAGAGCTGGTGGGACAACAGTTTAGTGTCAACACGCTTCTTGTGGCGGGCACTGAGGTTATATACGAGGATTTTTTATTGTTCATTGTGCGAAACGAAACTATTACTTACATATTTATAGATTTCTTATTCTCTTTAATTCTTTTCCTTTTTCCATTTCCTTCTTAGCAGACTTATTAGGGTGGTTTGGGCGGTGTGTGATACATATAGCTAGGTAGCATTGGGTTTTTAACAAGAAATAATTATGATGAGATTGATAATAGTGTGTTCTGTCATTTGCCCATAGTGACTATTGGATTGACATACAGGCCTCAAGAAGTATTTAGCCGCAGCGATTACCCTCTCTAAGGTCAAATAGACGGTTTAGCTCCTTGGTTCTTTACCTTCCGCGCGCCCATCTTCGACGGTGGCGACCTTGTTCGCCGACTTATGTAAATACCCTCCGTCAAAGACATCTTGCATACCGTCAAAGACTTCTTTCATCTCTTCTAGCGTATGCCCCTTAGTTTCTGGGAAAAGAAAGTAGATGATCCCAACAAGACAAGCCAAGATACAGCAAAATACAACATAATATTTCCAGCCAATCTTCTCCATGGCAATGGGGTTGACTTGATTGGCAAGGACAAGGCCGCTATAAGTGCACAAATAGGCAAACGAAAGACCGCGACTTCGGAGGGTGTATGGGAATATTTCCACAATATACGCGTGAAACAGAGGAGACCACGCAATGGCGTAGCTAAAGTAAGTCATGAACACAAAGGCTATCACCGCTTTCCCGATGGATGAATCGTTTGTTTTAACAAAGGTAGCGGTCAGGGAAGTCCAGATGGCGTAGAATAGCAGCATACCGCCGGTCGATATCAGAAAGAGGGTCCGGCGACCAAGGCGGTCCACCATAAGAGCCCCGGCAAACACGGATGCAAGCCAGTTCGATACGTTGAGCAGCGCATTGATCAGCGTTTGGTCTCTCGCTTGTTTGATGCCAATGGTGTTGAGGACGAGGAACAGGTAATATGAGATCAGCCCTACGCCATTCCACTGGGCAAACCAGCCGAGAATGAAGGCGATAAGGGTCCGTTTTCGGTTGGCAGGGCTCCGGAACAGCTCGAGCCATGAAATTCGCGAAATCTCGGACTCGACGGCCAGGGCTGCTTTGATCTCACCAAGTTCGAAGTCAACCAGTGCCGAGTGCTCGTCTCCTCCAGCATGATATTGGACAAGAATCCTGCGCGCCTCGTCAATTTTCCCGTGAGCAACAAGCCATCGAGGCGACTCTGGAAGGAAGTAAATGAAGAATACTTGGATAAGAGGTATCAAGCCCTGCAGAAGTGAGGGTAACCGCCAGCTCCAGTCCGATTCGAATTTGAAGGTGCTGAAGGTGCACCATGACGCAATGATGCCGCCCAAGTACTAAGGTCACAATCAATTCCTATCGGTTCTGTCTGTGAGGCTTTTTATCGGATTTTACTCACAAATGATGTGTTGTAAAGAGCAGTTATCTTGGCTCGATGCGTCGGGTATGCCAGTTCGGTGATCAAAATAGGGCTGGGTTGCGAAAGAAAGCTGGTGGTGAACCCGAGTAGAGCTCTAGAAACTACAAAAGTCGGTATGGTTTTGGCGAATGCCTGCAGCAGAGGAATTCCAATACACGCGATGGCACCAACAGCCATTGTCCGTTTTCGGCCGAACCGATCTGATACGTACGCGACGATGAAGAGGGCAACGATTTTGCCTGCTGGATAGATAGCGTTCATAAGACCAAGGATTGCGCCCTGGGGCCTGTTGAAATATTGACGCCATTGTGGAAGGGCCTGGAGACCATTCATCATAGACCCTAACTCAGTTCAGTGCCGTTTTGCTCCAAAGAGGCTTGGTTGAACTCACCGTCATAGCCAACGGCCCCGGAGGATAGGAGAGGAATTAGTAGGAGAAGATTGAGCTTCACAAGGTGCAGATTTCTCCACCAGGGTTTTAGTTGTTGCGGAAGGACCTGTGGCATCGATAAGAATCGACATTAATGTCTGTCAACCGACAAAGATAGTTGGTATTCAAGCAGTGGAGCAGAACATGACTTACTCTAGCAAGCTCGGGACCTATGGACGCTTCAGCGGCTGATTTCCCATCATTTTTGAATAGACCCATGATGTTTGAATCTTGGAGTGAACCGATCGAAGGACAAAGATGAGTGGGAAGGCTAAGAACCGACATATTACTTTGGACCAAGGTTCATTTGTCGTAATTCGGAAAAAACCTTACGCCAAAAGTGAACTTCAATTATACTTTGACCCAAAGACAAGCCAATGTAGCAAACAGGCTTCTATGCGTCAATGACCTCTTGTAGCTAGCGTCGTCCCATATCTAATGGTCCCCCCCAAACCATGGGGCGGGCAAATAGCTTGATGTCATTATTTCTACGACGCGGGGTCACCACCAACGGTAGCAAAGGCGGCACCCTCCAATTGGAATTGGGCGATGAGTATATGTAGGCTTAGCCCCTGAAATCAAACACCGGTAGGGTTAGTTCCGGCATGTAACTGTACCATGGCGTTTTGTTTGCCCAGCTGGGAGGAGTTCGTATTGATTACGGACTTTTTTGTAAAATTAAATGCGCGGCCCAACCATCGTCGCCGCATTTGGCCGCCTACAGAACTTCAAAAACATGCCATAATGCTGAGCCAATGAGACCTTTCTCATCTAGTAGTCTGACTTGCCGAATGCAACAGGCAAGCAGCAGGATCTCGAGTAGGACTGAGATTTGGCAAGAACTTGTCTAGTCGGAGGACTGAATCATAACGCTAGAGTCAGTCCCATGGACGATGCACTCATGGGTGTCATAACCCTGGCTTCCCAATACAGCCTCTTACAGAGTAGGAAGAGTAGTTCTATACTCCTTACCTGCAGGGAAAAGTGCCGATTGCGGGGAATATCGCAATATTGACCCCCGGATAGTTGAAGTCTTGTTGACTACGACAGATCCAAAGCGTTATGGATCGCCCCGCATAATCCGGGGAAGTGCATCATCTCGGAAGGATGCACAGATTGGGCTTCAAGCAAATTGGCAAAGACACCATAGTAAATATTGAACTTACCAGCCTTCGCCTGAGACGACGATATAAAGATGCGGCCATACGACGACACAAGAAACGCACATTAAAAGGGTTCCTGATATAGACAGCCTGTCTTTTATTTGCTGCGAGACTTTAGTTCCCATCATGGCCGTTATTACTTCCCCCGCCAACCCATGCGTTGTCTCTTCATTCACAAATCCATCAGTTTTCGGTGCAGAAATCCTCGCCATCAATGCGGCACCCGTCAGCAACTTTACCCTTTCCTTACCCAGTGTAGATATTGGGGTTTCAAACCCGCCCACGGTTGAGTTTTGTAATGTTACTGTCACATACACGCATCCAGGGCAGAATGACAAAATCAATGTCGAAACTTGGCTACCTCTTCAAAATTGGAACGGAAAGCTCCAATCTGTTGGGGGCGGTGGCTGGGTAGCTGGCCGAGGCTTTCTGTCGCAAATCCGAATGCTAGGTCCCATAGCTGAAGGCTATATCACAACGAGTACGGATGCAGGGCAAGACGGCTGGAGCGGCTTGGATGCCTGGGTTCTCCTGAGCCAGGGGAACATCAATCTTCATGCGTTGCAAAATCTGGGTCTCGTTTCTTTGAATGATACTGTAAGTCTTATCTTTTCTTGTTTCAGTAGCTGTCCTAAATTTTGCAAGACATACCCTCTAACCTTCAATTTTTGCTCTGCCCGAGATTCGTCTATTAGCGGCGTCATCTAACATGTTTCCCTAGGCTTTCATTGCCAAGTCGCTGTCTTCAGACTACTACGGACGCGCGCCTTCCTATTCTTACTGGAACGGGTGCTCCCAAGGTGGCCGACAAGGTATCGCTCTAGCACAAAGATTCCCAACAGCATATGATGGTATCTTTGCAAACGCGCCAGCTATTCATTGGGCTGAGCTCATAGCCAGTTCCCTTTGGCCTGTCGCATTCATGCAATTTACGAATCAGTACCCCAAGGGTTGCGAGCTTACACAACTGACATCTTTGGCTAAAACTGTGTGTGACGAGCTCGATGGGGTTAGAGATGGGCTAATTGGTGACCCCGAAGCCTGCAGAGAGGCTTTCAACCCGGAATCCTACATTGGGACTTCAGTTTTCTGCGACGAGACTGGATCGGAGATACAAATCACTTCCACCGCCGCCTCAGTTGCAAGTGCTATTTGGGACGGGCCAAAGTTCTCTGATGGACGGTTTATCTGGTACGGGTTCGACATCGGGACTGACATCACACCTCTCGCCCAATCCATATGCTCAGACGATGGAAAGTGTTATGCGACTGCAACACCTTCTATCAGCACTTCGATCCGGTATTTTGTAGACAAGGATGTGTCAAGCAACGTCACAATGGTGTCCCACGAGGACTTTGATCATCTATACCGCACTATAAAAAACCTTTTTGCTTCCAATCTGCAGACAGGCGATCCCGATGTTACTGAATTTCGAAATGCAGGGGGTAAAATACTTACTTATCATGGCCTGGTGAGCATTTCCGAAGTTATATCACAGTTTATAGTACTAATATGTGCGCCATTACAGATGGACGAAGCCATCCCATCTCAGGGAACTCTACATTACTACAAGATGGTGAACGAAACTCTTGGTGGCATTCAAGACTGTTACAGGTATTTCCGTGTTCCTGGTTTGCGACATTGCTGGGGTGGCATCGCCAGCGAACCAGCTTTAATGTTCAACCAGCTAGTGAGTTGGGTTGAAGAAAGCAAAGAGCCTACCCACTCCAAGGTCACATTTGCCGCCTCTGAAAATAGTACCAGTGAGGGTATAATCTGCGCTTGGCCACAGAAACCTGTCCTATCTCCTACATGCAACTTTTCCTCGGCAACCGAAGATTGTTGGTCATGCTCAATTTGACGAGGCTTTCTGTCTGGGTTTGAAGTGCCATTCATATTTGGAAAGGTTTCTGCCAATCTAGCTCAGAGGATCTACCTCCAATTTACTATTGAGTGTGTCTCAAACTATACAAAGAAAGCCCGTGAGAATACACTGCAAGCATATGAAAACAACTGTGACACACTAATTTTGGTCTCTAAATGCTTTCCAAAAATAAAATCACTGTGTTGAGTACTTACTGCAAGGTAACCTTTGCAACCCAGGCGTCATACATTTACTTTTAGAGAGCGAAAATATTGGCCGTTTTCTTTCTCTTTTCTTTTGAGGAATATCGGCAACATATTACTCGAATAGGAATGTGAACAAGTTAAGTCTGCCCTTGTCATCTACAACATGTGAGAAACATTTAGTTGAACGAGATCAGTGCTACTCCGTTCGCTTAGCGTCTAATATCAGGATTCGAGCGGTTATTTACAGAACAGGCATTTCTACATGTCTTAGTAAAGACCTAGCAGACGATTATCGGCGGCCTTTGTCAGTTTTGGGACAGCTTGGACTGGGGGTCGGACCCCAGCTCTGAATCAGGTAAGTCGAGTCATAGTGTGCCAACACCCAAGGGGCAGTTTGTTTCTTCCTGCCCACCTTCTTGATTGGACCAGTGGTTGCCCTTGTAACTCCGGTGCTTTCTTTCGGCTCGTTTGCTGTTGAGGCTATGTAACGAGCATTGGAGCCATTTCTCTTGCAGGCTGATGCAAAGAAAGACAGGGTGAGGGGGCCCAAAAACATGGGGTAAGCTTTATTGAGAATAGTTGAGGCCTTCCTTATCTCCCCACATAGTTTCAATGGGTCGCAGAACATGTACAGATACAAGCCAAGGCTATTGTTGACATGCTGCATACTCCATCCTGCAGCGTCGCTATTCGCTTGCCCACTGCTCTCTTCCGAATACGTTAGTTTCCCAATTCACACATATAAGAGGGCAGGATGACTGGCAACCAAACATTCGTTGTATAGAGCCATATTCATTGCTTTGGTATTCATCTTACTTTCCACACAAGCCAAAGAACCAATACCCCATCATGAACCCGTCGTTCAATTGTTCTGACATGGAAGAGGCGGTCGCGGCTGTTAAGAATGGCCAGGCAAACTGCGACACAGCCGCCACTGTTTTGTTGTCGAAGCTTGACTTGGAGGAGCGCCTTTGGCTTCTCGATGGCGATGAGCCTTTTTGGCCTGGTCTGTACGCAATGACAACAAAGGGATTTTGTCACACACCTTGCATCATGGGAGAGATCCCCCGCCTGAAAATACCAGGCGTTCGATTCTCTGACGGTCCTCGAGGCTGCATCATGGGCAACGCCACAGCTTTTCCGGTGGCGATGGCCCGAGCCGCAAGTTGGGATGTATCTTTGGAGGAACGGGTTGGCAGGGCCATTGGTCTTGAATGTAAGGCTTTGGGAGCAAATCAGTTTGGAGGCATTTGCGTCAACCTCCCAAGGCACCCAAGCTGGGGCCGCATTCAAGAGACATATGGAGAAGACCCAATCTTATTGGGAACAATGGGTGCAGCCATTGCCAGAGGCGTACAGGAGAATATCATGGGCTGTGTGAAGCACTTTGCGCTAAACTCGATGGAAAACGCTCGATTCAAGGTTGATGTGCAGGTCGATGAGGATGTTCTTCATGAGGTCTACCTACCGCAATTTCGCCACATAGTAGAGCAAGGCATAGCTTCGGTCATGTCAGCCTATAATTCTGTACGAGGAGAGTTCGCTGGTCAGAACAAGGAGCTTCTTACAGATATCCTTCGCACTCGGTGGGGATTCAAGGGATTTGTGGTTGAAGACTTCATTTTCGGTTTTCGAGATGTAGCCCTCTCGCTCAAAAGTGGGCTCGATCTTGAAGCACCTTTCCGCCAACAACGTGCAGAGCATCTCAAAGCCTGCCTCGAGGACGGCAAAGTTCACGAGAAAGATGTCAACCGGGCCGCTCACGCTATACTGCGGAGCCTAATCAACAATGAAGTCCTCCGAGGACACAGCAATCCGGCGAAGGATGTTGTGTTCTGCAAAGACCATCGAAACCTGGCTCGGGAGTCGGCAGCCAAGTCCATGGTGTTGTTAAAGAACGATTCAATCAATGGCAAACCTATCTTACCGTTGCCGGCAGACCTAGCCTCTGTGGCTTTGGTTGGTTGGCGCGCTGACTCCACGAACACTGGAGACAAGGGGTCCTCCAACGTCCGCTGTCCTGAAGTCATCACGCCTTACCAAGGCATCAAGGAGGCATTTCCGCAAGCAAAGATCATAATTGAGAGCTCAAATGAGATTTCTGACGTCACGAATGCCGCCGCTTCTGCTGATGTTGTACTTGTGGTTGTGGGATACGACTTTCGCGACGAGGTTGAATACACCGCGCCGGCTTTCAATGCAACCCCAGGCCTGAGCCATGTTATTCCTCCAGACGATGGCTCAGAAGAAGCCAAGTCCGTGATCTCAAGGCTGGTGAAGCCAATGCCAAAGCAGGAGGATCGCGGCAAAGACAATTACGGATTTGGCACAGGTGGCGACCGAAGAAGTTTGAGACTGCGGCCCAAGGACGTTGAGGTTATAAAAGCAGCAGTGAAGGCTAACCCGCGGACCATTGTTTCAATTGTTGCCGGTGGAACCGTCATAATCGATGAGTGGGACCATTTACCAGCAGCCATTCTCTTTAGTTGGTATTCTGGATGCGAGGGCGGTCGTGCGCTGCCCGATCTCCTCCTTGGTAATGTGAACTTCAGCGGCCGACTTCCATTTTCCATTCCCAAGAGTGAAGATCATCTACCAGCATTTGACAATGACGCAGAATCAGTCAAGTACGATCGGTGGTTTGGACAACGGCTTCTTGACCGCCTACAAGTTGAAGCTGCGTACCCTTTCGGCTTCGGGCTATCATATACAACTTTTTCACTCACCAACTTGGAAACCCACAGAGTAGAAGCAGACAGTGAACAGTTTCTGGTGCGATTTGAAGTTGCCAACACCGGGGAAAGAGCCGGCAGGTTCATAGCCCAGGTGTACGGCGTTGTTGATGTCCCAGAGTGGCCAAAGCGGAGCTTACTTGGCTACGACGTAATTGAGCTTCAGCATGGCGAGAAGAAATCAGCGGACGTCTTGGTGTCAACAAGGCCTCTGCAAAGATGGATGAGCGGCACTTGGAAGACGGTTGCAGAGTCGGTGCAAATTGAGGTTGGGTCATTCTCAGGTGACAAGGATAGCATCACATCTTCATTCATGTTACGCTAGAAATGCGGTGTTTCCCGCTGAACATCAACCGCGACTGGGGCAAGAGCTTAAGATAAGCTCTCTTGATTTCGTGTGAGCCCCAATGAAGAGTAGTTATTTTAGCCAATGGAATTGTCATCTTCAGGTCCATTATTTTGATCCCAACATACTAATCATAAGCAGTAATGGGCCTCGTACCACCTAGTGAGAGGTAGAGCCATGTAAGTCAATTAGCCTGACTCGTCTCTTGAACCTTACTACTCCGCCTCACAATATCACAGCAAACATCCTCTCTTCTCACGAACTTTGAAGAATTAGTCATTGGCCACCTCACAAGTTATACAAAGTCGAAGCTTGCACTTGGCAATTATCGAAGCAAAGTATATGAGCATCTGAATTGATTATTACTTAAAATCAAAAGTTGTAACTAAATTCGCTCAAATTCTTCGATAGGTCTGTCCCCTACTTGGATTTGGCAGGTCCGAAACAATACTCACATAATATTTTGAAGCCATTTCGTTCCAGAGTTCAATTACCAGTAGCCGTCTCAGTCTCCTAAATTCTCCAAATTGCTCCTTCATTTCTCTTACGTTGCAGGACACACAAGTTGATATGTATTTGCAACCATAGATTATTGTGAATGGTTAACTTTGTTTTGCTCAACAACCCTCTGAGTTGCGGTGGTTGTCTTATGAAACCGCCACGGCTTGATCTTTCTCTCAAAAAGTTCATCCAGCTCGGCCGCGGAACGACTGTGAAAATCTTTATCAGTTACACGCTTTGAAGTAAGGATGTGAAGTTAACCGACTTTTTTGTTTCTGGAATTAAAAACCACATGGCGGCGGTGAACGGTAGCCCGAGTCCTGCATACAGCCAACTGGCTTTCAAGCCCCAGTTCCACTGATGAGCATTAAGCATATACGGCGTCAGAAAACCGAAGAGAATACCCGCCAAAGAACATGATCCAGCTGCAAAACCAGCCGTGTAGGGACGAAGTCTCTGGGACGAAATCTCGCCGATAAAGCCCCAGCCAGTGGCTCCATTGGCAACCAATCCGATGTCTGGCCATACACGTGTCAGTTTAAAAGAACTAATAAGATACTGCCAGTTAAGTGGTGAACTTACTCCAAATACAAACAAAGAGAACCAAGAGGTAGCTGGTGGCGTTGGAACTTGGTACAACGCCCAGAATACCAACGACAACAGTACACAGCCAGCAAATAGTGGTCCCGCTACAAGCCAGGATGCGGCGGCCAATGCCGTCGGCTAGGGCGATGATAATAATACTGAAGGCAATATTGATACTCGAAGTGATGCAAGTGACTTTGAATGGGTCTTCGAATCCGACTTGTTGGAAAAAGTAGGTGCTGTAACTAAAAAAGACACCAAGTCCAATGAAGTGCTGTGCCATGAGCGTCCAGAGGGAAACTATGGTACGCTTGCCATCACTACCCCTGAAGATGGCCGTCCAGCTTTCTTGTCGTTGCTCGACAGCCAGCTGGCGCTCGTGTTTGACGGTGAGGACCAGGAGGTTGTACTGGTGGTCCACATCGTAGCCAGGGACCCCCCTATATAGTCGCTTGAGAGATTTCTTTGCCCTTTCTTCTTTGTCCCTTGAGGCACACCAGGCCGGTGATTCCGGAATCAGGAGGTAGATAATAATCATGATGCCGAGCTGAGAGAACTGGGTGTATATAGGAGTTAGGTAGTCTTCAGGCTTCTGCGAATGCAAAACCTGGAGTGCAACCGGAGCGAAGAACTGACCAAGTGTAAACCAAAAGCTGTAGCACATGAGGAATGCACCTCGAACGCGAATCGGCGCCACCTCCGATATATAAGTAGGGATCGTTGATTGTAGACAACCGACGCCGAGCCCTCCAAATATCTTCGATACTAGCCAGACCTGCCAATTTTGGGCGACGCATTCAAGGATAACACTGATGGTGAGCAACAACCAATAGTAATACATTGAAGCTTTTCGACCAAACCTGTCGGAAAGGAAGGGCAAAGTAATCATGCCAGTGAGTTGTCCGACAGAAGCAAGGATGTTCCAAAGACTAAGAACAGAGGAGGCAAGGACAACGTCGCCATCCGAGGTTGTCTGGGTGCCGAACTTTTTCACAAAACCTTTGTTGGCAATGATGTTCCCGACCATTCTACAACCCGAAGTGTTAGAAACAATGACGGAAAAGGTTTGAAGCGTTCTTATTAACCCACCCCACCTGATATCCATCAGTAGCAGCGCTGAAAGTGACAGCAAAGCAGATGAGGCAGACAAATTTGAGCTGCTTAACGGTCTGCCACGGTGTCAACTCTTCATATCCAGTGACGCCTTGGCCTTTGGCCTCGGCTTCAATAGATATTTCTTTTGTTGTCCGAGCGGCTTCGTTGCCTGCTTCGTCATGGTCCGTTGATTGGACAACTAATTTCTCTGGCTGGGGTGGCGATGCCATCGAGAACCACAAGGCGGTGCACTTTATAGCTAATCAAGATAAGGTGACGAGAGATAGCGTTAAAAGAGGGGTTGGCAAAGACAGCAGCAGTTTCTTCTGGTCGGATTGGAAAATGCTTGATTCAAGCGTACAGGACTGAAAGACGACCATTGCTGGTACTCGCTGATGTATTTAAATACATGCATCTCGCTAAATCCAATCTGGGGTTAACAAGGCTGCAACGTTTGACCCCGGATTTAACCACCGATGCCGCCACATGCGGGGAAAACAAAAGCTGCAAATGAGTAGGATTTCCGCTTCACCGACTGAGGAGATCGTATACGGGCATTTGGCGCGTTGCCAGTGGTTGACTTGTTACCGAGGTAGCATGCGGACATTTGATGCGGTGACCAAGCAGACGGGCCCTACGATCTAGACGTATCAGTGCCTACTTTCCATCTTTCAGGTTCGGCAGATCTGATTTGGGAAGGACTTGGCTAGCTGTGTCATACATCCTGGTGTAGCATCTCGAAAGCTCGTCTGCAAGGTGACCCTCATCAGAAATGCCTAGTTGGTACGGCTATACAGTTAAACGAAAACTAAACCATCTAATATTGATCTCGTTCATATTTGAACCGAAGCAATCCATGACTTGTATAGTGACTTAATCCTTTGCAGGAATACTTGCTCTTTCCGACCTGACAAGTGGAATCATTTCCGTAAAATGCTCCGTCATTGCATTAGCATGGCTCGGAAAATCCGGGGTCTCTTATGTACCATTTCGTAATTCAATTAGCAGCGAGGTTTACAGAATCACTTCTGTGACGGTAGATGAGCAGTGGTTGAGGATTACGGCGGCTCGTACTTAATACGCACTTATTATGTAAGTCAATACTACATAAGTTCCGAGGGGAATGCTGTGAAAGGTTAACCAATGTCGGCGTTCTTGGCATACAGACAACTAACTACAATGGGAAACTCAAATCAGACGTATGCATGTAGACAGGGGGTGCAAGAAGGTCACCACAAGCTTCAACCGGTAATAGAACATGAATTGAATCCCTAGAAACAGAGCCCATGCCTATGTCGGCACATCAGTATACCAATGACATACATTACTGAACGAGGTACAAACTGGTACCCAAGTTTTGTGACTTTTCACTCAAGACCACGTCCGTCTTTGTACTTTGAGGCGTCTATTCCATTCCCCCATGTCCTCCTGTCTAAACAGCTGATCCCACTTCATTGAAATATATTTTAAATATAGACCTTGCAATTACTTCAACAGTCTTCAAGCAAGCTTTGCCTGATCGCTTCTATAATAGAACTTTGAACTAATAAGCGGACAGCTAAGTTCCAGATACTTAAGTTTCAAGAGCATCAGACCATCATGGTTCTAGAAAGCACAGGGATAAGGGGCTGGATCAAGTAGATATGTTCTATTCGATATCCAGTAGCTATGTTCACTCGAAGATATGAGCAATTTCACACGCATGATTTTCGGTCTGTATGCTCAGGAAAATTTGGTCATAAGCTGTTCTCTGGAATATAGACCTTTGCACGCACAATAATGGTAAATTTTATGGGATAGAAAAAGTATGACTGATTTTCCATCTCTTTTTGTTCTAAGTATCTACAAAGGCCGATGCCGAGTTCTTCAAAGTTTTTGGGGTAAGATGACTCCATCTTCTCTGTTCTGATCAGCACTTTGGAGACGAAATATTGCTGCGTCTCGATGTCCCCGTCTTCCCGGCGGACTTGAAATTTGTAGGGGTGCCGTTTCCAGGGCTGAAAGGTGGCGGCAGTTTTGTTGAAACGTCAAGGAAGCCGTCAAGTGCTTGTACCAAAGCCTAGGCCTGAATGGTGATGCTCGACCGAGAGGGTGCTGATGGAACAGGGAGGGTAGCAAGGGCCTTGATGTTGGTGGCGTTGGTGTCTAGCATTCCAAAAAATCACTTAGTTAATGCGCAATTCAGCTTCTGGACCGAAGGAAGTTCATAGTACGGTGCATGTCTCAAACTACTCTACTATAGGCACTGGTCTCGGTCCACGATGCCCCGAGGATTATAGCACGGTTCATTAGATGTAGTGCAGAAATTAGCACAAATCAGCATCGTATTTTTTACGAAGGAAAGCCAAGCTAATGACCATTTCTACGAACACCAAAGTACTGCAGGTGTCGTCCTTGGGCTAGTATTTGCGGCCTTTGTTACGTGATGTCAGAATCAGCTTCAATAAAGCCACATTTCAAAATATGTCCTGGATGGATTGTTTTATAGGAAAGGTTGTTCAATGTGGCATAGAGAGTCTGAATCACGCTGGTATTCCGTACTACTTAATGGTTATGAATGCCTACCTTTGTATCTACTTTTTTGACTGCCTCTCCAACTCAACTATTTTTACTTATAAAACTTTATGAGTTATCTCCTCTTCTAAACATTCTTGAAATTCTGTCCGATCCCGAGTCACACTTGTCTTTATCAAGCTCCATATGAAACAGCCAGTTTTTAACAATGGTGTTTTGGCTTGGGGACGTGGGTCTCTAGTTTTGTACGCACTTACTTTCAAATATCTTAAAATTGAGCGTAACCGACTGACCCAATAGCTACAGATCTCGTACTGTCTTGGCCGCCCTCTTTCTCGCATATGTCAACGGCGTCTCCGCGTCTGAACAAGTCCAGTCTGTGATCTGTGACGGCGCGGACTCTACGGGGCCTTGGAGAATCGACCCTGAATGCATCGACCCCAAGTACAACGTGCCAGTCATTGATACAGTGGTCGATTTATCACACCCTGTCATTCATCGGCGAGTTTCTGGGCATTTCAACGATACAGAGGTGGATTTCAACTTGTATTTCCCCCCCGAAGCCCAGTGGCAAGGTCGTTTTTTTAGTTATGTTTATCCGACCCAAAACTCCACTGCATCTGATGAGCGCATCGCCTTTGCTGTCGGCAGCGGTGCCTATCTCATTCAGGCTACTGGAACACAAGGATACCGAGCCGATGCAGCCATAGCCAAATTCTCCCGGTCCATCTTGAAAGAGTACTACCAGAAAGTGCCAGAACGGGTATACGGCTACATCTACGGTGGCAGCGGCGGCTCATATCAAACTGTTGGCGCAATTGAGAACACTGTTGGTATATGGCATGGCGCCGTCCCCATCGTGATGGCTGCGCCAGTTTCAATCCCCAACAGCCTCACCATTCTCAGCCTTGCCAGTTCTATCCTCAAAAGCAAGTCGCTAAAAATACCTGCTGCCATCCGTACCGGCGCCAAGGATCTCAGTACCATTGCTGTTGCTGCTCATCTGACCGAGGTTGAAACGGCAATTTTGAGGGAAGCCACTCTCCTTGGGGTGCCATTGGAGGCTTGGGAGGATTTTACCGGCCTTTCAGGATCAAAGACTCTTGAAATATTCATAGGTACCGTGAAGGACCTTGATCCTTCTTATGCTGAAGATTATTGGACCAAACAAGGCTACCTGGGGACAGCGAACACAACTTTGGCTAACATCCTGCGAAAAGCCTTTCTCAACCACACTACAACTATTACGAATGTCATCAAAGATTCTAACGGTAACCGAATCGCCCTCCTCCTAGATAGTCTGCCCAGCGACATAGGTGATTTCACTGGCCTCGAGTTTAATGTTTACAGCCGAAATGGCACGCTCGCCCCTGGTCCACTGGCTGGAACTCTGAACCCGAGTACCAAAACTTTCACATTGGCCAAGGAAAATGCTGCATTGGTGCTGAATAATCTCAGCATTGGGGTTCGAATGCGTATCGATAACAGCTGGTTTGTGGCCTTACAAACGTACCATCGCCACCAAGTGCCAACCAGAGCTGGATTTCACGGTTTCGACCAGTACAGAAACAGTGATGGAAACCCCAAATATCCCCAGCGAGATATACAAATTGCGCCGTTGTTGGCAAGTTCAACGGCCGGCGGCGGTACACACACAGGCAACATTACCGGAAAGGTTATGGTGGTAGATAATCTCCTCGACAGTGGAGCATTTCCTTGGCATGCGGATTGGTACAAGACCCAAGTGCAGTCTTCGCTTGGGGACCGCTTCGATGAAAACTTTCGCGTGTATTTCAATGAGCGCGCAAACCACTTTTTCGAACCAGTTCCTGATCATCTTCGAGATTTTATTGTAGATTTCAATGGAATTTACGAGCACGCCTTACGGAGTCTAAGCAAGTGGGTTGAAGAAGGAACGCTTCCACCCCCATCGACAACATATTCGGTCAAGGACAGCCAGATCATTGCTCCCCCTTTGGCGAGTGAGAGGCTCGGAATACAGCCTGCTGTCGCCTTGACAGCAGAGAACCAAACAGCTCAGAAGGGTGCCATTGTCACTTTTCATGTAAGGGCTGAGGCACCACCAGGGGCCGGCAAGATTGTACTGGTGGAGTGGGATTTCCTCGGCAATGGGAATTTTGTGGCTTCACCCTTTGGACAGCCAAGCGAGATCATCGACTTGAAAGCTACTTATGTATTTGAGAAAGCTGGTGACTACTTAGCTGTGGTGAGAATAACTTCTCAGCGTGAAGGTGACCCAACATCCGCTTTTGCCCAGGCAAGAAACCTGGGAAGGGTTCCCATTTTTATAAAATAATAAATCTGAGTATTTTATCAACTAAATCCATGTTATTACTCAAGGCTATCAAATCATGGCCAGTGTACTAGTTCAACAGAGGGATTCCCCGCGAACAGCGCTGTCTTATTGTGAATACTTAAAACATGATGCACAGATTGCACTCAATGTTTTCTAGTGTCTTGCCGTGAATATTGCGCCAAGAGCGGCAATTTCCACAGGATCGAGCAGCTACTGCAGCGCCTTTCAATGGCATATGATATACAAAGAAAAACCACTTACTTCAGCTACCTATTCTACCTTCAAATGTTGAAACATTGATCTAACGCTTTTAAGATCTTCAGTCACCTACAATATCCTTGGTTCAAAGAGGCAACGAGGCCTTTTTTCAGAAAACAGGCAAATTCATCAAGTGGACTCCTGTCACTCAAGCCCACTGCTTTACCCTCTTTCACGGTTGAATCATAGCGTTCTGGCTGTCCATGAAGACATCCATACGCGGCGAACATTTAGGTTAGGTGATATAGGACTCGTGGGTTTGCATAATGATGCAATAATAACACGACACCACTGTATGGCATATGGAGTGCCTACACCCTACAAAACCGTGCATCTTATTATAGGTACCAACTAAACTATACTTCTTTCTCGAACGAGCGACATTGTTAACCTAGGCTAATTTCAAGATGGACTATTAGTCACACTCGAGTGTCCGATGAAAACATTTTCAAAGGCTTGCGAAAGCTTTACTGGGCAATTTCTCCGTCAATACCCAGATTTTATAGAAGCTAACTCCCATTTAAGAAAGTTTTAACTATAAATATTCGTTCGCTTCAAATCTAGTAGGCTCTTAAGTCTAGCCGTATCGCACAGGTCATGCTACGATGCCGATAACAGCAATAAACTTTGCGCAAGTGCCCATAAGCGAACAAGACCCTTTTCAAACTAAATTATTCATAACCAAGAACCCTGAAGACCGCTGGACAGTTGCCAGCAGATGTGTCTAGATGCGGCAAACTGCCGAGAGTGCCTAGGAAGGCTGCCTCACCAGTCAACTCTATTCCATGCGGTCTGGATCAGACGACAGTGTGGGGCAAATTTCACAAATCTTAATAGAGTAGTAAATATATGTATGAACGCAATTATATTATTGGGTGCTGAAAACTCTTCTTGTAGCCTTGTGAAAGAAGCTTAGTAAACTAAGGCAGGTATAGTCATGTAGTGAATGGCAGGTCGTGCTAATCACAAGTCTTGATTGTTTGTCAGCGTTATCGCAGTTTCTGGACGAAAGAATGCCATAAGGCCCCTGTCTTCATGATTTCAGCGTCAATACTGAAGTATTTAAGCCTTGTTTGACCCATCGATCTTGGTGTAGGCTGCCATTTTTAATTGCTCTCGCCCGCATCATCACCATTCCACTCCCACTGTCGTTTCCAAAGTCTTCAACCGTCAACATGAAGTTCCAAGCCACTGCCCTCTGTTTCGCTACCATGATTCTCTCGGTGTAAGTAGGCATTCATACTACATTAACTCGCGCTCAGCTGCTGACCTTCGTACAAAGTCAGGCCCAGTTCATCCGGGGTAACCGCTTTCAATGCGCCGCGGTGAATAACAACGATGGGAAATATGAGCCGTCGGGCTTTGTGACGTCGCGTTGGACGCAAGATACTTGTAACGGCATGGGGATTATTGATCCAGGTAGCAAGCTGCTCGGCAACAGGAAGTGCTGCTCTACGACGGATGACTTCGGCAAGTTTCAATCCAAGTGCCTGGCGCAGAAGCTACCTGATGGTTTTGGCAACAACATTATTCGTAGACCTCAGCCTTGTTAATTTCTCGAGAGGTGTTTGAATATTCTACCATGATTTGTCGGTTCATATTGTGGCCCCCTGACAAATTGCTCGACCTGCTAGGTGTGAAGCTTCAACGCTGAAGTTGTATCTCTTTCCGTTGCTCGTTTCTTAAGTGAAAAAAAGGATGAATATTGTGACGGATGAAATAATTCATATAAAATTTAAACATCATAATTTATGATTCTTAAGAGATATCGAATACAGCTCGAATTGGTGATTTGGCAGGAGTTTTACTGATTTAAGGGTCTCGCTACTAATTTGAATCCGATTCCATTTTCAAGATCCACCGGCGACTGGAACTGCCACCATGATCATACCAGCTTCCGCAAGGAATCAACTTGGTGCCGAAGTTGGGAGCTTAGCTAAAATGTAAACTCCCGTGGAGAGTACCTATGCTTTATAAGCGAAGTGGGACATATAAATCGCTACTATTCGCTTCATACCCCTGGGTAGACAAATCAACCGTCTTCAGCCTATATAGTACTTTCCCCACAGCCTTGATACAAGATAAACCTTGCTAGAGTACAAGGTTGCCAGAATTACTTTCCTCTAGCCCGTTGACAGAAACTCGGCATGAAAAGGCATACGCACAGTGGCATTGATTGTGGACGTCGGCCTCGGGCTAGTTACCGCTAGCGTAGTCGTCGGCCCCGTCACCCCCAGGCCGAACACTCTAAATCCCTTATCTGAGCTTCGGAAGCTTTTCCATGATCACAAATTAAACATGCTCTCATCAGCTCTATTCCGGTAGCGGGCTTCCCACTGACCTGGGCACAGAAAATTACGTTAAACCATATTGAATTACTACTCGGTCTTCTGTGGTCTGCTTAGTTATTAAAAGATGTAATTTCAGGTGTTAGGTAGGCAGAACTACCTAAGTACGTTTATGGCTGCATGTAGAATAGATGACATGAAAAGGCCCCCTTTATCCGACTGCAACATCAGCGTGACAAGTTCAGGATCAGTGGGCTCTTATCCTTCCGTTTCTATCCCATCGACTGCGGTATGGCAACAGGTGCAAGCTATCTTATTAAAGAGGCCATATTTCTCCAAAAACTGAATAACACACTGCTCGCCATACGAACGAAAGTTACAGTATCCGTTTCTGATTGCTCAGTTCTCTCCGGCTATGTTTGTCTTGCCATGCCGCAATCCATGGGTTATATTTCACACCCAAACTGCGATTCTTTTTTATCGAATTTGGCCATGGTTCGACTGACATGGTAACTAGACAGACGATACTATTAGCCTGTATGCGAAGAGCCTCTTTGAATATGCTTGTACACATGCTATGGCACTGAAACATTCAAATTTTGTTTTCTGCAGAGCCATTTTCCACGCTTGATGTCTCTTTTATTGAAAGACATCAGCCAACATTAAACTTCAGTTATAGATTCGTTTGAATGGTCAGATTCTGGCTCAAAAGCGTCTTTTATATCTGCAAAGGGGCTTGATTCTCACCAAGAAGCTAGCCGAATTTGCTGACAGATGTCTAACCTGCCACGGAAAGTTTCACGCATGAAAGTGTTGGCAAGGAACGATAATTTTCCAGTCACTGAAGAGTGATTTCGTTGGTATTGCTTTATTTTATCTCGCTATTAAAATTGACGAGTACATCCGTAATCAATTCCAGCATCAACATTGATCTATTAAGATGGGCTTGATTCATAAGAAAGGTACCTTCATAGACTTATTTAAGTGTTATTATGGACGGAATCAGCAATGGTGTGTCCAAGGCGGAAGTCGGCATGATTCCATTTTAGACAGGCTGGCAGCGGTCATCTGGGCGAAGCCGAAGACCTTGTCTGAAACCTATTACCTTGGCAAAAACCCATAATAGTTTACTACAATAGGCATCCAAAAGTGTAGGCAATGCGGCTAGGCCTCTGGTTTCAAAGACAAAACAAGCTTAACCCTCATTAAAGATGATCAACTGGCTACTGACGAAATTTAGCTAATTGTTACCCTCCAGCAAGAGTGGAAGAAATCCTTTGTATATGTTTGAACTTACGTCGGTCGACCAGATTTATTACGAACATATGGTTTGGAGAAACAAGACCTGCCAAGATGTTAAAGTCCAGGCCATGCGATAAAATCCATTTAGGCACTCTCAAGATCAGTTCATGCGGCTGAGAAGCCTTCCCTTGGCTCCTAAGTGAGACAAGGAAAAGCCAATCGCGGAATGTGTTAGGCCTAGAAAGCAATTTAAGGTCAGCCCACGGGGCTGAGTATCAGCTGGCTACTTGCCTGGCTCAACAGGGAACCTTTGAGTTACCCCTTGGTAGGCGGTCAGCAAGGGAGACGAAGTAAGGGGTATATGCCCCGCTACTCACACGACGGCGATTATAGAAGGAAGATTGATATAGCTGATATATATTACGGCTTTCCCTAGTGCCAAGTTCTTCACTACTGGTGTCTGTTGATACTGAACCCCTACCATCAGCGGCTGAGAGATACAAGCGTAGTCACTATCCAGCTATGGCCATAAGGTTGGTTCCTTGCATTTATGTTTTTGCATGTTTCTTATTCATACATGCTGCTGCAAATAAGAGCGGGGTTTGTTATACAGCGTTGGGTCAATTAGCATGATTGACCTTATAAGCGTTAGCATAAATTGAGGTCCTTATAACATTCCAAACTCCTTCACGTAGCCCAACCTCCTACCCAGTAACTCGTTTTATGCTGTTGTCAACACTGTCATTAATGCGCTGAAGTCCTGGAGAAAGCGAAATGCGTCTTCAAACTTTTCACTTCGCTCTTCTGGGGCTCTGGTCGTCCGCCCTGGTTGACGCAGCTTGCAACCACGACAACTGTCTTCGAGCGTTCATTAAAAGAAGCTCCAGCGTTGTGGACTTTTGCAGCACCATTGCTTCAGCGCCTCTACCAAGCGTTTATCCCACCTTCATACCCAGGGCTTGTACTGGAGATGTCGCCAGCAGAGTCACGTCGGCATGCCAATGTATTGCATCTCAGACCTCGACCACTACATCGTCAACGCTGAGCTCTGTCTCGATCACCCCATCCCCTTCAACCACCTCTTCCACTTCTTCCACCTCTTCGGCATCTCCATCGTCAACGACCGCACAGCCAAGCTGCACTCCATCTCTTATTTTGGATGGTGTGTCTGAGTCTAGCTTCAATGCGGCGGGTGCTCCCTTCTCGGTCAACATCTCCTGTACTCAGCTTGATACCGAGAATGTTGCTGTCTACTCTAACCTTGCCGAGACTCAAAACTTCAATGTATCACCACAAGCCATCTCTTTCCCAGGATTCAGCGGTGGCAGCGTGCTCCTGTCAATCTTCGCTCTGGATAACGCAGGAAACCCGATAATCAAGTCCTTTCAGCTTGCACTTGGGAGCGTCTCTATGCCTGTATTGGTACTCGGAGTGGACGGGAATCCTGTCTCGGGTGCCAGCATCACCGCAAACGCAACCACGTATCCTGGCGTTGGTCAATCCTGCATCACTGATAACCAGGGCCAATGCACGTTCAAAAATCTTCCATCTACGACGATAGGGCTAGTCGCCAGAGCAGGCGACAATTCCATCGCGGTCAATGGCTTGGCAGCATCTTCTGGACTTGTGACTCTGAGACTGATGCCCTACGTCGATCCTGATGCCGATGCTAGCTTCGACATTGATAATGGTACATCGGGTTGGTCCGGGGGCATTACAAAGATCACCAAGGTGAAGCGTGACGCTCAGCTCTCTGTTTCGACGAACGGCCGTTATAATCTCCAATCCGCCGCCAAGAGTTTTCCTGTCCGTCCCTTCACCACGAACGCATACATCAAGTACAAATTTATCACCTCTGAAGTCCCCGGTGGTTATTTCGGGTAAGTTCTCGGTGTTTATTGTTCATTTGAGCAGTTTCATCCTGACAGTGCGACCTACAGCTCCCAGTATAACGACTACTATTCCATCACAATCCGTTCGAATACGGGAGCATTCGTTACAGTCACCAACAGCATGAACGCTCTTGGTCTCGGCGCCTTTGACTCAAGCGGAGCTACAGATTGGTTTACTCTGTCGTTGCCTGTTCCTAGCAATACCGACTCGGTACGATATGATGTCGGGGTCTCTAATGTTGCTGACAACCTCCTTGATTCTCAAGTCGTCGTTGAGAAAGTGGGAGACCTGCAGTGCGAAAACTGTGGCGACTGTAGCACTTGCCCAACAGATCCTATGTGTCAGCCATCCTGCACAAATCCGCCGATAAAATCTTGCAGTTTCTACCGCAACTGCGCACAATCTCAGCTGGGCTGCAATGCTGGCGAGTATCCTCTGGCGTATGGAGAAAAGAACTGCCTTAAGATATCCAGCAATGTGGAATTGTTCTCATCTGCGGGGCAGGACTGGGTATGGAACACAATGCACTGTCTGCAAGTCAAGATGGTGCCCGTCCTCCAGCCCTGCACCGCATCATGTGCTTCCTTCAGTGCTGCGGCTTTTGCGTCGCATACGGGGTGCTATCTGGAAAATGGAATCTGTTCATTGCCATGCCTGGATTTGGTCCTCCTCTTCGCTAGCGTGGGGACTGACCTTTTCACAAAGGAGAGCTTAGTCCAAGCAGTCCAAGTCGGCGCAGGGTGCCTGGAGAACATCAGGGAAACGCTGCAAGGCTGCGGCGGAACTGTTTCCCAGGTTGTCATTGAAGTCATTCTGGCCCTTCTATTTAAGATCTGATTTCTGCGTCATTTTCTTCTAGATGTTGGGGCTACGTTGCCCTTATGGTGTATTAATTAATTGGATGGATTCTCAACACAAGTTTGATAATGAACACGGGTGTTGTTCGGCCAAGCCAATCGTTAAGTTTATTAGGCAACCCTTTACCATGTATCTGAGACTCAGTCGCAAGCCTACATGTGTATAGTATAGTCTTATTTATACATCAGTCGCAACCGAATCAAACCTCTAACCTCGATCATGTGAACATCCCAATATCTTTTCTACTGGAGGATGGTTGAAGATGTTTCAATTGAGCTTAGTGAGACCTTGAGACTTGTTCTGTTCTGTATGCATCTGGGTTGCTCACTACAAAGACGTAAAACCTGTTACCCCAGTTTGAGTGTGGAATTGGAAGTCTTTATGTCTCTATTAGCTTTGAAGACTTTCTTGAGACATTGTTGAGACTTGGCCAAGCTCTATTACAATTATGGTCGGAAAGCAATCAGTTTTTTGACTTTGATGGCTCATGCATATAGGGTTTATAAGAGGACTACATACCACGCGAAATACACGAGAGAAATATGATAGAAGATATAATGCTCTGTAACAACAGTAGCCTTTCTGATTCTGCACCGACAGTCTGCACGGCAACTTTCCCAGACCTTGTGCCTGAACCTTTGCCCCACTTTACCGTCAAACTGCTACACTAGAAGCGCTGTGGCCACAGCAAGTGTCTATGACGACATCCCTGCACAGGGACACCAGCATCATCTCTGCATCCGTGAGACCTTGCCGGTGCGAACTGACAATCATCCCAACCGCCATGCCACCAGGTCTTTTCAGGTACATGATAAGGAATCCATTCATTCATGTCTTAAGGAAACCAAGATCAACTTTTCCTCGTCAGCAGGTCGTGCGATTTCTTGCAATGAAGCGGACGGCGACCGCCGCGAGCCTCACATCAGGGGCCCGCGGTACCAAGAAGCCACGTCCGGCAGTTCCTGAATATCATCTTACATTTTCAGTAAAGGGTGAAGATGGAACCATCGTGTGGCCGGCGCCGCAAGATAAGATGGATGCCGCGAGGAACTTCATCCGCGAATGGTGAGCTCACTTTCACTCTTACACTCACACCAAGGCTCATCTTACTCACGTGTGCCTTACTCTCACCAGCGTCGCGGCCGGCAAGCCAACACTAATAGTCCCTGATAAAGATGCAGACGGCCTCACTTCCGGTGTCATTCTTCATCGGACTCTTGTCCTGCTCGGCCTCGATCCCAGTCTCATATCAGCATACCTCCCTTCAAAGGGAACCAACATCCACGACCCTTCGTCCCGTGAAGGGATGTCAGCTCACAAACCGTCATACATATTCGTTTTAGATCAAGGATCGCGCTCTTCACCGCCCCTGATTGACGCACCACACCGCGGTATAGTCATAGATCATCATCACGCCCTCGAGAATGACCATCCCAAGGACTCACTCCACGTCACGGCATGCGACTCTCCTCCCGTGGCAACCAGCTCCTTACTTACCTACCTCATCTGCCGGGACCTGCACGACGGAGTCGAAGAAGCATGCGATTGGCTCTGCGTGATGGGAACACACGGAGACCTCGGCAACACATTGAAATGGGAACCCCCGTTCCCGGATATGAAGCCGACATTTAAAAAGTACACCAAGAAAGCCCTCAACGACGCGGTCTCCCTTATTAATGCTCCGCGGAGGACTTCCAAGTACGACGTGCCCGGCGCGTGGGCCGCCCTCCTCGCATCAAACTCCCCCAAAGAACTTCTCTCCAACCGGACTTTACTGGCCGCGAGGGCGGAGGTCAACGCAGAAGTAGAACGATGCACCCATACACCGCCAAAGTTCTCATCCGACGGCCGGGTGGCCGTGTTCCGGATCAACTCGCAGGCGCAGGTTCATCCCGTGATTGCCACGCGCTGGGCAGGCCATTTGTCGTCGTCGAAGCTTGAAGTGGTGCTAGTTGCCAACGAGGGGTATCTCCCAGACATGGTGAACTTTTCGTGCCGCATACCACGTTCTGCCCGCGCCAAAGACCCGCCGGTCAACATCATAGAGGTGCTTAAGGGCGTTGCCGCGAGTGCGGAAGATCCGACGCTAAGAGAGAGATTAGGGACCTCGTTCGCTAGGGGTCACAAGGAGGCGAGCGGGGGCATCGTGCCAAAGGCCGAGTTTGAGGAGTTGATGGCGGCTATGGAAGTTGGGAAGAAGGTTGAGCGCGAATCACCAAAGAAAGCAAAGGAAAAGCCGGGACAGGCGAATACTTTGTTGAATTACTTTGGGAAAGGCTAGCCCCGTGTCTCACATACTTACTGTCGAAGACACCCCTCCGACATCAAACAATGGAAACAAGGCTGGTGACCACTCAGACGACTTCACAAGACACGATGAATAGATGTCGTTGATGATGATGGTACTATTGTTCTTATCAAGCATGCCAACCCCCCAAAACGGTAGTCCAGATCTAAACAACTTAAGGAAACATGCCCCTTGGAGAGAACGACTCGAGGAAATCAGGCCTGGCCGGCCTCAAAATCAACTTGCTAATGCCGTCGTAAAAGGTCGTCCGCGGCTCGTCCTCCTGGATCGAGTAAGGGTTATTCCAATGCGTCGACCCGTCGCCCTCGGTGTTGAAGTGTCTCCTGATGGCCAGGTTCCAGCTGAAACTGCTCATGACGGGCCCCGTGAAGAAGCTCGAGCGCGAGAGCACCTCGTAGTCCAGCACGCCCTGCTGGTCCCACGTCAGGTTCTGCATGACAGTCTCCATCTCTGGGCTGTTGAGGAGGTTGATCTTGCTGACGACGGTGATGCCCGCCCTATCCATGGCCTTCTCGGCGAACCGCGAAATGTCCCGCCGCTCGCCCGTCGCCACGTAGATGACGCGGAGGCCGAGCGCCCCGCAGATCTCAATGTGCGAGTCCGTCTGTTCGTCGAAGCCGCCGTACATGCCGCCGGTCCACCCGCTGCGCACCGCGTCGTCTTCCGTGCGCAGGTGCACCCCGCAGTACGCGCTGCGGTGCAGCTCCTCGCGGGGATCCAGCGCGGCCTCCAGCCCGTACCGTTCATACATGGCCCACACCGCCTCGGCGGCCAGCTCCCTGAGGGCCGGAGAGATGCGCACGAGGCCGCCGAGTGCTTTGCGGAGCTCGGGCTTCGACTCCATGTCGAAGTTGAGGAAGCAGGCGATGGTCGGGATAAGAGTCGGCAGCCCCTTGACATAATCGTCTTGTGTCTCGAGCCAGCCGTTCAGGTTTTTGATGAAGGCGAGCTCGTTCCTGTCCGCGTCCTTGTCGGAGCGGGCGTTCATGAGGCCGTATTCGTTCTTGAGAGTAGCCGTGATTGGCGCGTCGTCGGCCGTGGGATAGATCGTGAGCTGCGGGCAGTACTTCTCCAGGTTCTCCAGCAGCCAATCCTTGTCGAACAGGTTACCGTATTCGTGGTAGCCGTTGTCCTCGTTCATCCAGTCGAGGTTCGCGTCCGTCCGCTTGACGTACGCCGGCATGATGATGGGCGTGCCGAAAAGCATGGCCGCATAGAGGAAGTCGAGGATCGTGCCTCGAACGTTGCCGAGACCGCCGCGTGAATGCCGCATGTGCAAGACAATGTCATCGCGCCACTTGGTTTTGTTGCAAAAATGCGCGATGCGGCTCCCGTCGAACTCGCCGCCGAGTTGAGTGTCGAGCCACGCATCCTTGAACTCGGCTGGATTCCAGACCTTGGGTTTGTAGTGGCCCGCCGGCCCTGTGATGAACTTGCCCGTCGCGACGCGCTGTATGTCGCCGCCCGCCGCCTCCCAGTTTTCAAAAGATGTGACGGACCCGTGCCGCGCAGTGAGTACGATGAGCCATATCGCCATGAGGGCCAGCCCATATGGAGCGAATCTGGCAAGCTTCGAGACGGCCATTGTTCCCGAATATTGTTGCCTATCGGAGGGGGTAGTAGAATAGAATTGATTTCACAATCAGCGACCTGGGGGGTCCGGGAAACGGGTGATCGCTGAGTATAAACGTTCCCGGCCCCTAGGTCTCTGGGAAGGGAGGGCGACTCTTCAGCGCCACCCGCTGAGGTTGATCCCTTGATCCGTTGCGCCCTGTAACTTATATCATCCCTAAGTGCCGATACTAAGAAAAATGGGCTAGCTCATTCCAGCCGAGCATGGTCTCCGCCAAAAAAACACGCCTGAGCGAAATAATAAATTCCTCGCAGGAAAATAACAGCTATATTATTACGACGCGGCGGTGGATGAGGCGGCGCGTCACCCTGATTGCGAGTGCTATCCCTTGTCACTGGGAGTCAGGAGCGGAATGAGCTCGTCAGGGGCTTCGTCTTCGCTATATTGCATGATAAAAGGGGCATCTGAGGCTGTTCTGAGCTGCATCATCAGTCACTGCAAAGTCCGTTTTCAGTTGCTCTTGATGCGCCAACGGCACCGTCGAGTTGGCGGCGCGGGTTTTGTTAGCGGGGAACTTTTGATTCTCAGCGGAGCAGAATTCTGGGAATTTCAGTAATCGAGATTATACTGCTCGATGGTTAATAAAGTGACAATTGTGTTCGTCGATGATGACCGGTCGTTGATACGGAGCACCGGAGCCGGTCAGTGGGGCTAATGCGGCAGGCGGCGCCGTAATAGTGGCGACAGGTCAGCCGTTAATCTTCTGTTTTGCTGCTTTTGGGCCGTCGGTTTGCCAAATTATGTGGATGAATTACCACGTGCGCTCTCAACGGGAAAGAGTATGTGCAGAACGATTGGAGTTGAATACTACATACACATTCCTAAGATTCAACCAGCACAATTAGGCCTATCCTGTAGTCAACAGTTAAGACAGGCGATATGTAGCCTCAAAAGAGAATTGAATAGACACTACTACAAGTGTCGCCCCATATGTCCACCTCGAACCCGCCTCCAATCCGTACATCTCAGTCCTCGTGCAACTCTGTTTTGAGGCACTCAAAGCTTTGTAGTAAATGTGTGCTAAATCCTCTGTCGTCAACAAGCGAACTTATTCACTGTCCCACGGAGTCGCCCTTCCAGGATGGGATAACGGCTAGGATGCGAGAAAAGCCACACCCGCCCATATTCGCCTTGTCCAGATACTCCCCTGAGACTTTATACATCATGTCTGCAAAAAAGTTCATTGCCCCCATTGAAGAGCCACCCACATCATTACCTAAATCACAGAGCAGTCAAAAGAAGAAACCACAAGTTTCTTTTTCCTCGACCCTGAAACGAAATAGTCAATTCACCACGATCAAGAGTAAACCTCTTATTTCTCGCCGTCACCTAGCAACACCACAACTGAACTGTCCAACTACATGCCGCATTTCAACTCTCAAAGGAAGATCATCTACATCAACACCAAATCAATCCACGACATCTAAAAAATCCAAACGCCAAACGCCAAACGCCAAACGCCAAACATCGCACTCGCACTCGCACAAAACTATCCCGCCCCACATATCCAGGGGGCGGGGGGGCCCGCAGATCAGGATCGTCCGCATGGGGGTGGTGGGGGCCCGTACCAAACCATGCTCATCGCCAACGCTACAACTAATTATACTGCGTACACGCTGCTTGCGTCCAGGGCGTTTGGTTCCTCGAAAGATGACGGGGACGCCAAAAACGCCCCCACTCCCAAATACAGCCTACAAGCCAGCCCAGTCCAGCGCTACTGCGTGAACCCGGACGCGTTTGTTGATCTTTGCTTCGGGTTAGAGGATTAAATTTGGACCTGCTGCCTGCAAGTTCGTCATCAACAGCTCATTAAAGCCCTGGCTGAATTAACCCAAAGGTCGTAAAAAGATTCACAGTGACAATATCAACATCACAAGACACAAGAACGTATTGCGGGTCGTGCAATGCACGATGTGGTATCAAATTGAAGATGGGTATACCTGTACGGGTGCTAATGATACAGCTTGAAAAGAAAAGAAAAAAAGTATGCTAGATATGTACCAGCTGTGTCCTATGTGATGCGTCATAACGCCTGTTCCTTGATATTCTTTTTCCGTAATTCCGTTATCTTACGCCGTTTGTTATGCCGTTACTGCTGTCTTGCGCTGGGTGATGCGATGTCCCCAATCGCGTATTTTCTTGGCAAAACTCCTCTTTACAATGACGGGGTTGGTCGCTTCCTTGAGAGCGTCCAGGTCGTCAGTCTCGACAACAACGTTGTCAGCCGTCACCGATTCTCCTCCCATCTTGGTCTGTCTTCGGTGCATAAAGGCCGCCCCGGTCGAGAGTGCTCTCCTCGGAATTACGGGACCCAGCTGGCTCATAACCTGCTGCTGAGCGGCGGGCTGCGTTCTCATCTGGCCCATCTCGCTAGTCGTCACCGGGAAAGTCGACGCTCGCGCGCGTTCACAAACGGCACTGCTCGTGCGGGAGTGGACGGGACGGATGGTGGCCGTCGCGGGGGTTGAAGCCGTAGCGGCCCAGCCCTGGCCGTGGCGAAGAGAGACCCAGACGGAGGTGATGGTAATTAGGATTCTCGTCGCCTCGTCGACGGGATGTGTCTCCCTTTCCGTGCTGGAGAGAGCGGTCTGCGGGGACGAGGGCTCGTTGTCGCCGCTGAGGTCCGTGCTAAACGGACGCGTAGGAGGGTAGCGACCAGCCGACTGCGAAACAGTCGTGTAGCTGTCGAGGATCTCGAGGTTGGATGGCGTCAGGGTTGCCATGACCGGGTGTCTTCGCAGCTGGGGATCGAGGATGCTAAAGGTAAACTTGTACTCTGCCGGTGCCGCAGGGGGGTTGGTCGCGGCGGCGCAGGTCGCAGTGGACAGTGGTCTCGCGGGCCTCTTCGCCCATCTCGCCGTCGTGGTGTGGCCTGTCTCGTCGACATGCACAAAGTCATACGACCCGTTGCTGGTGGGAATGGCCGTCCACACGGAGCCGTCGCTCAACACGATTTCGGCCTCGTCAGCGGAATCCCTCCTCTCGCCTTCCCTACGCTCCTTGAGTGGTGTAATAACAGCGACTAGGTCTCGCTTGTCAAGGTCCTTCTCGTCGTCGTCCGAATCGTCGGCAGGGGTGTCGTAGTCCTCGCTCTTGGCCAGGATGAGGCCGTTCATGCCTAGTTGGCCCTTTACTCTAAACATTTTAGGAAATCGTCGCGCCAGGCGGGGAACAATGACCGTTCCGGCAATCATGCTTGAAGGAAGAACGTCGATGGCCGGCATCGGTCGCTTGTCGTTAGATAGTTGTTGTAATTGAAGCAAGAGGCGCGGCCGTATTTGCACAAAGCGTCGTTGTTTTGTGCGAAGCTTCGGTGGGGGGTACGCCAGGAGGTAGTTGGTGCATTGCCTCGCAGCTCGTCTTGACCTCTTCGACCTCTTGACGGTGCTGCTGTCGCTCACTTCCGATACCAGACTACCCTCATCCTCGCTGATGCCGTCCAAACTAGCATTGGTCTCCTCGCCCACTACGGTGGGTTGCTCTTCAAAGCGTACCGAAAGATCCTTGCGCGGAAAGTACTCCGAGACAGGTCGGTTACGGCGTACGCTGGGTCGTGGTGATGGCGAGGGGCCTTGGAGAGACAGGCGGCGGATGGCTCGTGGTGGAAGGGCGCTGGGCTCTTCTGCAGGTGTCATCGCTCGAGGAAGGGGGGAAGCTCCCAGTGAAGATCGCAGGAGAATTCGTCTCCGCGCAGGTTGGGGACCGTTTGCCGGTTGCTTGTTGGAGTACTCATGCCCATGCAGGCTGGCGCCAGAATGGAGGAACATTGTGATTCCTAACTCGAACTTGTCGCAATTGGTGAAGAACTCATAGACGCGAAATAGTCAAGAACAATTTGACTGGCAGGATTCAGGAACGCTGCAAGCTTTAGTATGCTCCCCGCGTTTTTTCACAATCGAGTGGCAGGGTCACACGCTAGCAGGGTGGTGTCGTCGTGGGTCGGCTCTTTGCTATTTGAAGATGTAAGGATGTTGGTTGGGAGCGTCGTATTAACCGGGCGGGCTCTCCACTTGTAAATGGTCAGGAGGGGTGATGCAGCTCGCTTCTGCTCTGAGGAACCCACGTTACGTCAAGGTGGTTTAATACCGCAGGTTGCTACACCGTCAATGAGTATGCCTTGTCGTGTGAACGATTCAAACAAATGGTCGACACGGTGACAGGGCAAACGGTTGCGGCGAAGGCGTTGCTAAAGCCGGCAGGGAACAAAGGACAAGCGAAAAAATAGGGATGGTGAGACGGGTATGCAGAGGGCTTTAGTAGGAAATGAGCGTCCTACGAGAAATAATAGCCTAGTGGTCAGCCCAAAGAACTCTTCTCCGTTGCGGCTCATTGAGCTACGCTTTATTACATGGGGGGGAGGCTTTGACGGGCTTGACAGGCTTGACTCGTAAGCGGTCAGTGGCCCGAGGACCCAGTAATTCGGTGTCCGTGGGCGCGGGATGGGCTGAGCTGAGGTGATGAAAGTGAAGAAAAGCAGAGATGGCTTACTGGAAAGCTGGTAAACTGCGGGATCAGGTCCAATAGGATGTGAGGTCGAGGAGATGGGTGATGTGGGAACCGGGGGGTTTGTATTTGCAGAAGAAGCGGTGTTGGATCTGTCTGCAGATGCGTTGCAGAACACAGATAGCTGGTCGAGCTGGACAAGCTGGATGGAGCAGGTCGGGAATTCTTCACCGCAACGAGTTGGACGATATTCGAACGGCAAAACGGACGATGGACGAGTGATTTGGGGCCTGGATGTCTGTCGTCGGTAGCAGTGGTGGTGATGTATGGCTGTGCGGTTATGCGGAATGCAGGTGAGTCTATCTATTCCTTGGGCTGGCGAGGAGTCGGAAACTGGGAACGATGGTGGAAATGGGAAATGTCGTGAAAGAAGAATGGCCGCCAGGGTCCAGATAGAGGTAGATGTAAGTTTAAGAGAAGGAGAGAGCAAAGCAAGGGCGCCGGATGCTTCGAAGGGGGGGTGGGTGTATGTCCAGGCGACGGCACTTTTTTGGTGGTGTCAAAAGGCTGGCTGTAAGGTACTACGTATAAGAGGTACCTTCGACAGACCAAACAAAATAAGCGAAGGACGAAGCTTCAGTCGATTTGTTTTGGGGGGGTGTGCGTTGAACTGATGGAGGGACGGAGCCGGAAGGGAAGAAAAAGGATGGATGGAGAGGGTCCCTCTTCTTTTTCTTTTTGATCTTTTTTTTTTTGCCTGAACCGGGCGCCGCAAATATCGTGTCGGTACTGAGTGAGTACCGACTGGAGACAGAGGTGGTGTGTGTGTGTGTGCTCGTGCCCGTCTAGTGGTACTCTGAAAGACGGAGAGGGGGGATTCCCTGTTTTTGGAGGGCGATTCGGAGAACAGGCAAACCCGGACTGCGGGAGCAATGGTCGCCGTTTGATACGTACTGCCGGTTCTTTGTACGCGTGGCGTCCCCAGTACGCTGGTTGTGCCTTGTTGAAGTGTGTTTTGGGTCTTGTTTCTCGGATCTCGCGAATTGAGAAAAGAAAAGGAGCTACCTCTGGGGCAGATTCAGGCGAACCAGTCTGCCAAAGAAAAGGAGAGGAAGAGAAGGAAGATGGATCGTATGAACCGGCGATGCGAGGAAGAGAAGAGAGAGAGAGAGAAGGGGAACGAAGAAGAGAGAGGTAGTCGAGGTGGGAGGTGATACGTATTATTTGGTGGGAGATAGGCGACGGACCAGGTACCGTCTCTGGCTATGCTGGTCCTGGATCTCTGATTCTCCCAGAATGGAAGTGACGACGAGAAGGAAGGAGGTACGACTGTTAGTGGGGGGGCAACTGGGGGAAAGGTGAGGGAAGGGGAGTAGGGGGGCAGCCTAGGCTGAAGGGAAAGCACAATGTATTACTATGTAGGCAAGCACAATGTAGGGAGGCAGGCAATAGGCGGGGAAAGCTGTGCTGTGCTATGCTAGTGCTGTGATGCTGTGTTGTGCTATGCAAGCTACCTTATGCAGGCTGTCCTACCAATGCGTTGGTGTGCAGCAGTCTGCAGAACAGTCTAAAGCTAAAACTACCACTAAATATTGCTTACTCTTATTTACGGTGCAGGTAGATAGCAGCCTGTCTTTGCCCCCGTGTTTGTGTTGGCGGTGCCCGTCAGTACCTTAATGAAAGGTGCGTCTGGCACCTGCGCCGTAGTGGGTTCGACGAGGTAAATTATCAGCGTCTGGGTGCTGTGTGCTGTAGTGGACCCAGCACGCATTCACACAATGTGAAATGGGTGGAATTGGTAGTCTTGAGGTAAGGGGTGCGACAAAGATGGTACGTACCTCGGACAAGGCGAAGGTACGTATCCACTACCTCGAAGCGGAAACCCAGGGGAAGAATCGTGGAATTGCTGGGGCAGGAGCAGGTTGGTATTGGAGTCCGTAGCGAATGCCATGTTAGTACACCACGCTACGTATCCGTACTTGCCCTGATTAATATACAAACTCCGTTTAGAAAGGCATCAAGGACAAAAACATGGAACGTCCGCGAGACGGATTTTCTAGGTGGAGAAGTAGCCTACAACAAGAATAAAAGTCTCTTCTTTCCTATTATCCCACTGAGGTGGCACCGCTAGCATGGAGAAGGCCAAGGCTAAAAAGTAGACACTCTTCTAGCGCTATACATATTATGGAGAGCGTAGGTAATACACTACTCGACACTACTACCGCCTATACTAGAGTATCCACGTCGTCTCACTCCGCTCACGCTAGAGCACCCTTTTTTAGGTGCCTCTTCGTCTCCTTGCTCTTGGCCCAGATCGGCCGGATTTCAGACTGTCTTGCCCGTCAACGCCGCCAAGGTTTTGCTCTTTTTTTTTTTTTTTTTTATCTTCCTCTTATGTTACCATCACTCCGGCGGGATTCATATCGTCATCTAACCGTCCATCTTGATCTTGCCATCGTACCACCAGACCAGTGCTGCAGCACTATGCCATGAGTGTGCCGTGCGTTGCCTGTTTTCCAGATTATGCCGCGGCATATCGTATTATGTCATTTGCTGCCCACAGCCCACTGCTCACTCTCACAACTCAAACCATGAGGACAACGGCTTTGACCAGGCACCGCTGTCAATCTCCACTTTGTCTCCCTGTCGGCTCGTCGGCGAACTGCGAGGCCCCAGATCAGATGGATGGGGGTCACGGTCCAGAGCTGCCCTTACCCAGTCCACTTACATATTTGTACACTAGCAGTACTACGTGGTATGGACGTATGCATAGTGCAGACGATGCCTGGCCTGCCTGCGTCTTCTTCCACGCATTTCTTCTCAGCATAGGCTGGAACCACACGTTTGGCCTGCAGTACCCGTGTGTCTTCATTCTGCGTCCTGACCTCTTGCGGTGTGCATGTTTTTTTTTCCCCTCTCATTGCGCTCCACATGTAATATCCTGCTGCGGTCTGTTCTTGATCTAGCCTTCAAGCCGTGCGGCGCTGTGCAGGCGGGAGGAATACATGACTTTGCTTGGCGGTGCCACGGACGCCCAGAACGACGACAAATTGGTTTGAGGCGGCTCGAAATGGACCGGTGGTTAGTTAACTCGTTGCCCGCTGTTCGGTCGTGTCCCAAGCTTCTTCTCCTGATCTACGGGAGGTTTGCGATTTTTCTCGCTTTCGAAATTCTGCTGCCCCGGTAAAACACGGCTACCGAGAGAGTGTGCTACCCGGCGAATCGAATGGGAGGCTTGGATCTCATGATCGTCTCGTTTTCTCAATCTCTCCAGCCGGGAATGACCATGGTCGAGGGTTGCTATATTCAGCCTTTAGGCTCACCGGCGACGTCCTTCCCTCTCCAGCCGTTCTGGACGGGAGGGATATCCCGAATGCATCTGGCTATGAACCCGCGAGCTGGCAAACTGCTTAGCAGGGGAGTGCCTTGCTATTCGCCGATACAATTTGACGTAGCAAAACATCACGGCGATCGGTAGGCTTTCTGTTTCTCAATGTTCTCTCGTCGTTTTTTCTTTTTTTTTTCTTTTTCAAAAAAAGAATCATTACTACTACCGCTGATCTTCGTTGTCCCTTCTCAAATCCTGCTGGTCACCGCCTGCAATCCGTCAGGCCACTTTTTGGCTGCTCCAGTAACGCAAAACCACCTCACAAAACCATGGCAGACAGAGAGGCTGGTGTCAGTCAGATGCTCAGACGCGATCCAGATCACTGGAGCCCGTCAGTCAACCATCTGAGCCCTGTACACTCACTGTATGGTATGTACGCCGCAGGCATGGTGTGCCCCACGGATCGGAAACTAGGCAATAGACACTCTGACTGCAGCCCGCGTGGCTGTGTGTGGTGCGGTTGAACCGTACTCGGATTGGCCAACGGGTCGCTCGGGGTTCCTTGTAAGCTTCGACGAGGGTGGGTGGTGCAAGCCACGGCCACTACCCTGGCCTAGCTACCGCGGTAGAGGGACATATTCGCTTAAGGAAGCCCGTATGGCTCCTCAGCGCCAGCGGCTGGGCTGCTGTGTGGTGCTGATGGCAGCAGACAGGACAGAGAGCCATGCATGCTTTTTGCGTAGCTTGTTTGTTCTTTCGTCTTTACTGGAAGTGGCTTGCTCCCTCCAAAAGCCCAATCAAGTAGCCCAAGGCTGTTTTTTTGCATTTTATGGTTGATAGCTGGTGATGGATGGCTTATCTTGGCTGCTGAGGGCTGCTTGGTGGCTTGCAGCCCCCCAGAGTCGACTTAAGCACTGCCCAAAACTGAGGTCATTCGGTAGCGTTTGCCAGCAACCACATGCTCCCCCCCATCTAAGATGGCTAAGATGGTCCTTGATCGTGGTGGTGCGCAAGGCTCTCTCTCTCTCTCCTCTAATGCGGGCGCCGGGGTGAGAGAACCATCACAGAGAAAACGGCGGGAGCTGGCATTCCAGTCGTACTCGCCGCGTGAGACGTCTCGAGCCCGGTAGCTTTCCCCTAGATCAGACCGTCCAGTGATAGGCGCCCGCAACTAATGCAGCGGGTAAACTCAAAAAAAGGGCCGCCTCCCCCCCGGAGGTGCTGTGTGCTAAGCGTGACACGTCGCAGTCGATCTCTTGTCATTGTTCGAAAAAAAGCAGAACAGACAATTTCGGTGACATGTGGAAGGTTTTTTTTTTTTTTTTGTCATTCAACCCCCCATCCAGCGCTTGTTTCGGGCTGCAGTAGACAATGGCTATGTAAGATGCCGCCCCCTTGGTTGACCAACCAATTGACTGTGTGCTTGATGTTGGTTGTCCAGAATAGGGCATTACTTGCGGTGCCCAATTGAGATTGGCTTTTCGATAGCACTAATCGATATATATGCCTGGCCAACTTTGAACAGCCGCGATATGCCCGCGTCTTACTTACACATGTCTGTCTGAGGGAGCGGGATGTTTCCTTAGTATGCGCCGCCCAAGGTAAACCAGACGCCAAGCAAACAGTGGGTGCCTGCCCGGGTGAGGCTCACAAGACGAATGGGGTCACGATCCGTCCTGTCATGTTGCGTACCAACCATCCCACTCGATAAGCAGATCAGGGAGAACAATTGAGGGCAAATTAATTTAACGCGGCTTTGTAAATGCGTGTGTTCGCACTCGGATTCCCTTGATTGGGGGTGTGTGCTTCCGGTTGATTCATCTGCTTAATGGTGTAATACTACTACCCAAACAGCTGCGTTCCGATCGTCAAATGGTGGCGGCGGATTCCAAGACAGGAGCAGATATGCAACGGCGGTGAAGTCACTCAAGGTACGTATTGTCTTTGACCATATGGGATGGGCGTCTGGACTAGGCAGCTGTCAAGTTATCGCTTGGCAGGGTGGATGATCGAGTATGAGAACTAAGCCTTCTCATCCAAGGACAAGCTAAGGACGGAAAGGGGGTACTGTTCATGGTGATCGCGATGCAGTCAGATCAGATCAGCTTAGACCAACAATTAGATGCTCGTTTTCCCATCCGAGATGATGATTGGAATCGTACAACATTGCCATGTCCGTCGACCATCCTGCAAACACTTGATGAGTGGGTATTCTGACAGGATGCTAGCTATAGTTTCGATCAGTTGACCTGGAGCCATCGGCAGCGACGGCACACAATGTAGATATTTGCTCAAACATTTCCTTGTCCGTGTCCCCGGATAGCAAGAGTAATCCTGATCGGCAGCTTGAAGGCGCGACGTTTGCTACACTTTTCGAAGAATTCTGGATGAGGTACCAAAATGTATCGTCCACTCATAGGGCATCCAGGGCCCTTGTAGAGACACCCTCGAGAAAACAAGGTCGAGACGGAGCAGCCAATCCAATGCATGCCAGATGTGCCGAACAGACACACCCGCGAAGGATCGATCGCCGTCTGGTGACGTTTCTCGTCGGCGAAGGGGTCCCCCTCGGTTGCGAAGCTTAAACGGAGACTGGTCACGTCTCTTGCTCGTCTCAGACTCTCTTCCGATGAAGTAGACCGGGAGTACTGCGTAGTTTAGGTGTGATATGCCACAAACTACGTACGACGTAGTCGTTAAATTAGGTTGGTAGGGCATAAAAGGTCGGACGGAGGGCGAGAGGGTTCGTCAGCTCCAAGGGGACCGGGGTGGGCATTTGAAACGAGAATGAATTTTGTCGCAGCATGGCCGGGAACCTGGTATGGCGACAGTTGGCGTCAGCTGGTGATTTTGTTTTCAATCAAGCGGCAACCAGTCGTCCACAATATGCAAGTTTCATAAGCTCGTGCCATTGCGTACAAGTGTGGTAAGGATTATGCAGACGGGCAGCTGCATAATTTGGAATGGGCCGAGGTGTGGCCCTTCTCCACTATAGGTTTGTGGGAAAGGTGAGCATTGGCAGTGATCATAGGAAAGAAGCGAGGAGAGTCACCCTGTAGCTTCCACACGTACTACCGTAGCTGCACTACTACGCAGTGGAAACACCGATCGGTGGGAGAGAGTGAAAGAGTCGGCATGCTGCTTCTTTCCGTCCCGATGTGCCGATCGGATGTTGACAGTAACAGGTCGGCGCCGACCTTCCTTCCCAAACGGACTTTACGGCTGCATCTCACCTCACCTGACCTCGCAAATCGCACGGATAGAAGGCAGGAGATGGAAGTGTGCCTTACGTAACGCACCCAGTATCCCAAATGGGCAGCGGGCGCCCATCTCACTCACCTTCTCGCCCTCAGTCACATCTCAACCACGGTCACCAATCGTACCTGCGCATGCGTGGCATGCTTCACCCTCATTGTAGTCCTCTGTCGGCATCTCCTAAATGACAGGAATCTGGGCCATCCTCCAACCCACTCGCACTCATCCACTCATGTGCGCGCATCCCGCCAACTGCAGCGGATCTACCGGGAGTTGGCTCACTTGGTAAAAGTTGGTGGCTTACCTGCATCGTTAGCCCACTCTTGAGTTGGGGCTTCCTGGCCATGGGCATTTACCAATGGATCAGGGCGTAAGATTCATTGTTCGGGTACTCTGCTCACTCTGTAACTGATCATACTGTAATAGGAGACACAGTAAGCACAAATTATCCAATGCTTCACCTTGAATATGTGTGAGCGGTTCAGCCTCACTATCCATTCCCCTAATCACAGCCCCGCGACGACCCCGCCAGGAAGGGGCAAGGTTAAAGCGGCTGTGTCTGTAATTGAACATGTTTTTATGAGTTCCTTTAACAGCATGCCTGCCCCCAATTACTGGAACGCGATTCATCGTCTTCAGGGGGGCACAGGGCCGTAATTCAGGGGGAATACCTCCTGTAACAGCCCCTCCAATCCCCTGTTCGCACGCCCTGGAACTGCCCCAAACGGGCCATCGCCCTGCTAGTGGGCCCCCCCTAATCGACCTCGCCACGGCACACAGTCCCTATCGTGATCACAGTTGAGCGGGAGATGAAGAATGAGACGGGGAAGGGGGATATGAGGAGCATCGTCTTAATGCTAGAGGCTGGCACGGAGGGGTATCCGAGTGGTTTGTTTGTCCAATGAGGACTTTTTCTTCTTTTTTCTCCCCCTTCCTCCTTCCTCCTGCCCACCGCTAATTACGATCCTGGTAGCCAAGCCCGCAACTTCCCTTCACCGTCCCGTTGGGAATCCACTCTCTGCGGCTCTTTCCACGAAAACGAACAGATGGAGGACGCTTCCAGAAAAAAAAGAAGGAAAGAAGAAAAAAAAAAGAAGGGCTGAAAATGGGGAAACCAGGACCCAGAAAATTATCTCACAGGTGCCACTGCCCGCTGTCATCTTTAGATCGAGTCCCCGCCAACTTGCATTGGAAGCCGGCCCCCGAACTCCGGCTCACCGGACTTTTATGAAAACCGGAGGAGCAAAAAAGAAAAAAAAAAAAAAAAAAAGGAGCCCGAGGCAAGCAAAAGGACAAAATTACCTACTGAACCCCATCTCCAATTGCCCCGTGCGCCAACCTTGCTCCAATTGGCCAAGTGGCACCGCTCACCACCTTGATTTGTGATAACCTCACCACCCACAGTAACACCACCATATCGACCTCAGGGTCCATACACCAAGACCTGCACTACAACGTTAAACTCTGTTTTTCTGTCATTGGGGTGATTTGCTTAATTTTTTTTTTCTTTTCTTCTCATCTCCACTTGGGCGAGCCCGTCGGTGACATTGCACTCCGATTTGTCCGACTGCCAGGGTCTCGGCATATTCATCCCGGTCCCATCACCCATGGTAGTCTTTCGACGTCATCCAGCCATGCTGTCCCGCCATGACTCCCATCCGCGCCAGACCCTCGTTGCAGCCTTTCTAGCCTGGAAAGGTCTGCTGCTGGCCATCGCCCTGGGCAGCGCCGTAGCGCCGTCATACGATACCTCAACGACCTTGATGCTCCGGCGCAACGAGTCCGATGTATCGCTGGTCACTCGCCTGACGCGCTGGGACGCCATCTACTTCACCCAGTCCGCCCGTCGAGGGTATGTTTTCGAGCAGGAATGGGCCTTCAACGCGGGCATGCCCCTCGTCGTATCTGTCCTCGTCAAGGCCGCCCATCTTTTGGGTCTGCAGGACGACGGCCACGGCTCGCTGGAAGCAGCCTTCGGAATAGTCGTCGCCCATGTGGCACATCTCCTCGCCGTGTTAACGCTGCACGATCTGACCCTGCGGCTCTTTGACCGGAAGAGTCTGGCCTTCTTGGCTGCCCTGCTACATGTCCTCTCGCCTGCGGGTCTGTTCCTCTCTGCCCCCTACGCGGAAAGCTCCTTCGCCTTCCTCACATTCGCTGGATATCGCCTTCTAGCCTCGGCTTCGGGCTATTCACGAGGCTCGTTGGGCCGAAATGCAGCGCAAATCTCCGCAGGCGCCGTGTTTGGTATGGCCACCGCCTGCCGCTCGAACGGGCTCCTCAACGGCGTCCCGTTCGCAGCCGAGTGTTTGGTCGTCGTGCACGCTCTGCTCACCACCAGCCCTGTCACCGTCGCTAGCGTCAAGAATGCCATCGCGGCTCTGTTGGGGCCTGTAGTCGCGGGTGTCCTCGTGGCGACCGGCTCCGTCGTCCCACAGTACCTTGCCTGGGTGCGGTATTGTTCCGGCGCATCCGAAGCGCGCGCATGGTGTGAACGAACCGTGCCCAGTATCTACTCTTTTGTACAGGAACACTATTGGTAAGCCCTCTTTTTTTCTTCCTTTTTTTTTTTTTTTTTCTCTTCCTCTTTTCCTCTATCCACCCCTCCTTCAGCCCTATCTTGTCATTCTATAGTCATCTTGCAGGTACTTGGTCGGTACTTGCGGAGCTTTTTCAGTGTGATGGGAGTCATATATGGAAAGGGTTTGCTAATCAGCGGGGATACTAGGGGCGTTGGTTTCCTCCGCTATTGGACGCCTTCAAACATTCCGCTCTTTGCCCTGGCCGCTCCGGTGCTAGCCTTGCTCATCGTCTCGGGGTTGGACGTGCTCAAGAGGCCTTCGGGGTTGGAGCGGAGTCCGACGGCGGACAAGAGCGGTAAGAACCTGTCGACCAAGGAGATTATCGTCTTTTCTCTGGCCGCGACCCAGGTCCTACTTGCCGTCTTGGCCATCACCACCTACCACGTCCAAATCATCACGAGGATCGCGTCGGGACATGCCGTGTGGTACTGGTGGGTTGCCGGGTGTCTGCTGGACGACGAGAAGAGGGGCCTGGGCGTCAAGGTTGTCACTTTTTCCGTCATGTATGCTGCTATCCAGGGAGCGTTGTTTGCCTCTTTCTTGCCGCCTGCGTGAAAGATACCCCCCCTGTCCAACCTGCCGCCAGGCATGGATCTTGGATCTTGTTGTTGTTGTTGAATAAAGTTTTGGGGTTTTTCTTATGGGTTTGTAATCACAGGTAAATAGTAATCGATCCCATGATGAGTCTATCAGATGTTTTACCCGTCCATGGGATATGAGATGGCAACACACCTTTGAGTGACAGCTCCGGGAAGTATGGAACATTGAAGATTCAAAGACCCTTTTTTTCTTCGTGGATTCTTGGCGGCCTGGATGTGGCGGCGGAAACTTTAAAAACTTCGGAGCAATGAGGTGAAGTCAAAAGCTGTGGTCCACCGGCGGCATGACGGATGATGTCACGCATTGCTGGTAACCGATAGGGTATCTGTCATGTTTTATGCCAAGAAAAAACTTGATTTGCTTGCCTTTGGGATGTTTTGTTCTGGTGATTGTATGTGTTCATTGTCAGCTGGATGCCGCTGGACTTTGGGGGTTGCTTATTCATCGTGAAGAGGTGTGGTGGCGAGGGTAGACCCGGCAACAAGAGCCGTGACTCACGAGCGGCGGTGAACTTGGAAGGACTTTGTTTTCTGGGCGTAGGGTGGGCGTAGACGTATGAAGAAATGCTGGAGATGGGCGAGGGATGATGCGGATGACGGAGAAGCTTGATGCCATGTGATTATGGCTTCGAGATTGTCATCTGAGGTTTTGGAAGTTCTGCTAGTCCCGTTCAGTCTCTTCAACACACATTTCTGGAATGGCGCATGCCCTACCGTGTTATGCGAAGGCACATTTAATTTGATGTCGATATTGATTTTTCTCATTGATTGACGGTGATTTTTTGTTAAATGGTTGTTGTTAGTTGGATAGTTGTTTAAGTGATGCCCAAACACATCAGAAGCATGAATGCTACAGCTTGTAGTCTATCGCTGGAAAATATGTTGTGTTTTAAGCAATACCTGAGTGTTCCATTCAAATTTGTTCTCTAGAGCTCATGTATTTAATACCTTGAGCTGGTTCTGAGTTGATGTTGAAACCACACGTATTGGGTAGAGCCTATACTGTTCTTCACATTATTATCATATACAGACTAAGTAACTAATATTTTGGGCATTACGTAGTATCTATAACGACTATAGTAATTTCCACGCATGATAGCTGCTATGGAGAGAGCCGCTTCCGTTGAGATGATCAAGGTCTCGACGAGTCGCAACTTTCCCTGACCATCGTCGGCTTTCGTACATCTCGTATCTCAATTCATGTATCCTCAAGCTGATATGTCCAACACTTACGATTGTCTCGACTACATCTCCTGCCAAACATCACATTAAGAGCAGACTTGACAACAATAAAGGAATGGAGTGGTGGGTTGTGGTGTGCAACGGGCTTGTCTTGATTAAACGTAAAGATTACTTTACGAGATTGTTTCACCAAGGTATCAATCCAAATACAAGAAAAGTCTACAAAATATCAAACTCTAGTTTTCACAACGAGTATAATGATAACCGTAAAGACGGAAAAGCATTGTATCTGGAGTTGAAAGACTCAGAGAAGACTGGTATCAGGACCCCCATGTTTGGAAACATGAAGAAGCACTATTTCATGACGTCTTGTAGTTATACTTTTCAATGAACAACAATGCAATGTATTTGGCACTTTTTTTTCTCTCACATCGCACATGAAGAATGCATGATTATTGTGTAGAATCTAATAGATCTCTTAAGTCATAACGCAGAATCCTTCATCGGTGGTATATCATTTGCATCACATGATCCCTAAGCTGCGGGTACTGGTTGATACTGTGGTGTTTCTTTCCATGGCAACTACAGAAGCACGAACAGCCTGTCAAGATCACAACACATAACGACAACAGTTCTCGAAGAAAGCTACCTTACCAAATGGTAACCGGACAACCTCGAAGGAAACAACAACTGAAAAAGAGTTGTCGTTTGATTAGAACTACCATTTAAAAGAAGATTTTATTTAGTCTAATGCGAAGGAAGTTTTCATTCACAAAGGCCTTCTCGCATGTAATCGAGTTTAAAACAGCCATGTACTCCAAAATCTCACCTGCTAGTGTAAACAGTGGTTTGATAGCTAAGGATTCAGACACCAGCATCTAGTAGGTACTCTGAAAAGCGGGAGTAATGAATGTTGGAACGAGACACAGACCATTTCCGAATAAAACAATGTGGTTGGAAATAATTATGATAAACCTTACGGGACAATCTTTTAGTCTCGGGCTATGATTACTATTAGAAAACTCATCTACTACTTGCTTTCGATTACTGACCACAAAGCTGCCAGGAAGTATATGCGACACTCACCCTTCTAAGAGTCCCACCTCACTAGTAAATCCAGGTATTATAATATTTTGAAACGTCAGGCCTACCTTTCCTAATTCTCCTTCAGATTTGCAGTCGTTCAGTCATCTAATTTGTATGCAGCGAGTCAAATGGCGAGAATTATCATGAGATTCATTTCGTATTCAAGAACAGTTATCAAATCTTTGAATAGTAAATGCGTATTTTGGCCCCGAGACACAGTTTCTCGTTCGGCCATATACCCTGACGACGACCGGGACTATAACCACAGTTACTTTATAAATTCACATATGTTTCTTCATTACAGACCTTTCAGCTGAAAGGTTTTCGACGGAAATTGACCCCGGTCATAAATATAGCAACTAAAATTACCCTAGTCTCATTTATTTCAAATGTAGTCACTGTATTAATATTGCACTTTAAATTCCGACAGCATCTCCTTGTCTGGAAACATAATATCTTCAAATTCCTGACTTCCGACATCATATCCTAGCGCCTCCCAAGTGGTTAAATCAAAATTTGCCCGAAGCACGTTTATCCCAACCAACTCAGGTGGGATAGGTTCGCTACACTCGTTATCAACCCAACACACCTGGCTTCTGCCCCACCACGCTTCTTTTTTTAATGAAAAACGCGTGCGTCTATGGATCTCGAACTCGGGTGGCTGATCGACGAAATGGTCTCTGTCCGAAACATCCCTTCCATCGCTCAATTTAGGGAGATTCACAATAATTTGCGCGTTGCGATTCTTGAGAGTGGGCGTGATGTCTGTGAGGTCCTGTAGAACCTCCCTTTCGCAGACAATGTCCCAGCAATAGTCGCCATGGTGGTCGAGCCAGAGGGTGAATCGCTGCAAGCAAGGCAACTCCAGTAAAGCTGGCCAGATGCGCATCCACTGTTCATGTTGCCGTCTGCATCCGCTCCTCTCAAGAGTGGCAAAAGGTCTCGGTAGCTGGGGTAGATTCGGCTCCTTTGAAAGTGCAGGAATAAAAAGGGTGTTGAGAATTGACAAATGAAGGCGCAGGGTAAGACTGATGTTCGAGATGTACTTGGTGAAGGACCACTGCTTGGGATCTCGTAAACTCCATATTAAAGAGGAACCTGCAGAATTGCTGGGGAAAGAAATCGACAATACGTGATCAATAGTTTCCAAGTCGGTCATGTGCAGGCATTGACTTGGCTGAGACAAGAAGCCGATAACATCGGCGAACCTGCAAATATTATTACCCAATCCAGCCGAGTCACTAATTTAGCAACCTGAACGAGTGCGTTGTTAGCTCACATTCCCTTGGAGCATAGCAAAAGTGAAAGTAATGGCATATGTGATGCCTCTTCCGGTTTCTCTAAACCATCGAGGTAGACCTCCTCGCATTTCCAATGACAGCCCCAATATGAGTCAACCCGACGAGCCCATTGAGGGTCCTCTTTGTTAGTATCGCTTTGTGGCCGCCGCCAGGACTCGTCGTCTGGCCCTTGGCAAGGCACAGTATGTAACTGCCCCTCGTGTAGAAATATGTGCGTCTCTGTACCCAGTAACATACTGTAGATCTGGTGTCGAACTTCCACTGGGGCAGTGAAGAATGGAGACCCAGTGAGCTCCATGACTTTTTTTTTTTTAAAAAAAGAAAACAGATATTCTGATGGTTGTCGAAGATGGAAGGATTTTGCAGTGATGTTGCGCTCCGGGAAAAAGGGACTCCGTTGTGCTGGTGTAGATGGAGCGCAATGACACAAGACGCAAATAAAAGGAAGAAAGGACAGAAAGACCTCGTGGGTAGGGGCCGCCTGTACTATAAATAGGAGAGACATATTGTTGGCTGCAGTAAGTTGGCGCAGCCTGGCTCCAACGTTCGACAACTTTGGATTACAGTCACACCAACAAGCATAAGAAACCATGCAACCAGTCTGTCTCATTGGTCACTTCTTGGGCAGCTTGCATGACAACACAACAACAGAGTCATCCAGGTCATATGATTTAGCCGTAGAATTCTTTCCACCCACGAAACTACTACGGAGACCGCCAATACTCAAGGTTGCTTCATGCTACATCATGCGACGTCAATGATATCGGAAAGCGAAGATCGCAATAAGCCTGGCAAGGTCGTTTTGAAAGGAAAAGCGGTACCTGACTACATCTCTTCTTATAGCTTATTGAAGGCTTGACTGATGTCAGGTCAAAATAAATTCAGCAAGGTAGAAATTACCCGATATAACAGTCCCTCGCCGAGAGTCTGAACAAAACTGATGTGATTCTATGTATTTATGAGCCAGACATGAACGAGTAGATTTTGTTCCTTTGTACATTGGTCAATGTAAGAACTCAAACCATAGACTACTTGATCATGTTCTAATGTTACCAGGCCACCTCTATATCATCTCTACATTAGATGGCAGTGAAACCAGATGTATGGCAAACGCTAAACACCGATCTCATGAATCACACCCTCTTCGTCCACATAGTGGTTCAAATTCCATAGCTTCAGTGCAATACCTAGTATTGCAATTGAATCTGTTGGGAAACGTTAACCATACCAATGTTTAGTGAGAATGTATAACTGATGGGCAAAGAAACAGGCGGCATGATAGAAAGTCCTCGGGAGCTGAGCTTGTGTCTTCCAGAACGTACCAGAGTTTCTTTCAACATTGATGGACGGCTCTTTAGCCATTTCTACAACGCATTTCCAATTATAGCAGCTGGGAATCTTTTGCTTAAGTCCGTCCGGAATCACTACGTCCTCAAGCTGCCCTCCTTGGTTTGTGTGTGTTGCCTGTTTTTACGTGAGATGGGATTAGTGACTTCCACGCCAGACAAATGTTGATATTCTTACCTCATGAAGAAAGGTGCTTCCTATGGTTTTCAACCTATCCATTGGAGAAGCATCCTTGACGTTGGCACGGAACTCGTCGGACTTGACCTTTTCTACCAGGTCTTTATCAATTTGGAGCCAGCCCCCATTTGCTGTATGGCTTATGAACCATGTGCAAACATCTGTCGATGATGCAACGTCCATAACAGTTTTCCAATTGACTTTACTGAGGTCATCGCCGTTGATGAGGGCTTGATGAAATACCTTATGATCCTTGAGGACCGAGTCCCTTGTCATCATTTTAGATGCTGCTACGCCTGAACCTGCCGTGAAGGTTGTATCGTAGCAATCCTTCACCTTTTTATACACCCTGGGGAGCACCGGCCATGGATTCGGCGTTTGTCGGGCTGTATCTCTTGCCAGTCCACTTTTTGGAGCAACTTGAAATCTGTCCTTATTGCAGAATATCTCCTGCACAGTGTCAGGCGTGTACGTTTTGGCTCCTTTCAATGATCTATGAAAATCAGGAAAACAATTCTTTATGGCTGACTTACCCAGTTACGATTGCTGTTCAGTGCCCTCCAAGCTTCGGATATCGGTTGAAGATCACTCGGCGTGCGGGAAAACATCGAAATGTTCTCGAAAGTGGCTAGATATCAATCGCGTATCAGCATCATACAGAGAAACAGTAAAACCTGCAATAAACATACACTTTGCAGAATCAAACCGTGTTTGGAAACCATCTCTGTCGCCTAATATAATCTTGCTCATCATCTGTACCCAGCGGTCACTAGCATGGTCTTTCATCACTCTGGCCGCATTCTCAGCAAGCGTGAGGGCCTCTAAAACGGAGTCCGTGATGTGGCCTCGAATTTCGTTGCCATCATAAGTGTCTATTAACTCTCAGTTTATTTGACTTGTGAACTGCTGTATCTCATGTAAAGGGACTGCTTACTGCAAGAATTATGGATGCTCCACATAGGCGGCTCAGCTAGGGAAATCGCCAGCAAGGACATGATAGTGAAATAAACAGGCTTCATTTCTATTGAGTATGGAATAAATGGACAGAGGATAGAGTATAAAGCGACAGTTGAGGTAGGAGTGAGCGATTGTATTGGCAGATTTCCATCTTACTGATGACTTGACAATAATGCAGCTCGCATTATGTCTTATATATATCTTCTTGACCAGCAAAATAATTGCCTGCTTGGATGGGGAACACGTCTATTTTCCTCTCTCTCTCCCAGTCAGACTACAGACACTCCAACCTTCTTGCAGCCCCCATCATCTTGGGGGTCAGAAAGAATGTGGCAATAGAAGACGTATTGGTAAATTGTATGATCAGATACGCAGTTTTCTAAGCATTAAAATATGTGGCCACCGAGCTGAGACGTTCCATTAGTTATCACCAACCCTGAGCTGCCATAGGTTGATGCCAAAAGCGCTCGAGTCAAGGCTTCACCTGACCCCCAGATGCAATGAGCCGTTTTCAAGATTCGACAACTTCCATCTTTAGGGCCTGGGGCCGTTGGTCGTTTTTGTTTCAATCGCAGGGAGCTGATCAAGCCAACAAGCCCCCAGCAATAAACCTATCACCGGTGTGTGGCACTATGCAAACCAACTGGGGCGGCTTCTCATGGGGGTTCTGTTGGTTCGAAGCCAGTGTGCGCGTTGTTACGACGCCAATGGTCCAATCCAATGCCATGCCACGGTCCATCTTCGCAAGTTGTGCCATAAATGCTTCCAATTTCAGCCTTAGCTTTGGTAAAGTATGTTGCATGGACAGATGCCCCCATCTGTCAAGCGCCAGGCAACCCCCATACGGCGCAGTATGCCCGTTCCAACCAACGCGGGGGCAGAGCAATTAGCCGTCGACGGGCTACCTCTTGGCCTTGTCAGTTTGCATGCATCTGCGCCGCAGGTAAGCTGGAAAATATTACATTTTCGTACTTTTCAACATATGATTGTTTTTCAATACGATTCTCTTCACGAGACCTTCCTCAGGGAGTCTTGGGGTCGGCATACAGTATCGGATGATGCCTCCAAGTGAGGTGCTGATATTGGTGATTCTATTTATGTATGAAATTTTCAGACCACCGTCCATGAATAAAAACAAGAGTCTATATAATATCTTACTTTATTTAAGACCTGATTGAAACCTTGGCTTAACAACTTTCTCGTGTATCGCTCAGTATCTTTTTACAGTTGTCTCAATTTCACAGTGCATAACCCGACATTTGCCATGATGGTCCATTTAGTAAAGATTTCCCGCAATTCTGGAACTTACATAACACTTTTATCATCACTCCTCTTACACCAGGCCACTGCGCTCCCTACCATTACACCCGCGGTCGAAGTTGGCGCTGTTGTCCCTACCGCAACCGGCGAGATAGGAGTCAATCTCGTTAGCATTCTCCCACCTGCGTCTCAGTTGTAAGTGTCTGACCCTTACACATGAACAAAGCCTCCATATCCCTAATTCGAACAACAATGTAGCCAAGGCACCATCACTCCAGATATTGATCGCGGCACGATCAAGACCATCACAACAGGACCCACCTCACAGCCTGTAACCACCACCCGAGAAGCCTTCTTCTCGGCGACAACGAATGCTGCAGGGGACATCGACATTAGTATCATCAACCCGGCGCTGAGGTCCTTCCTTGAAAATGCCGCTGAAGAAGTCCCGGCATGCGGCCTCAAACGCCGCGCCTACTGCGGCGCAAGAGCCTTTGTGGACCACTTCGAGACGCACTTTGACAAATCCGTTCAGGTGATACAGGACCTGGAGGAAGCCATCATTGAAGGGGCCCCCAAGCATCCTATAAAGATCGAAGTAGAGAAAGCAATCGACTTGACAAATGCCGAGGGTGAAGCCGAAGCCGTTCCGGACGTGGCCTTCAGCATCATGACGGAAGTTGAAGTTAGCGCCGTCGAGGCCGGTGCGCCCGCAGCCATCGGTGCTCTCGGAATTGGATTCCTTGCCTACGCTTTTCATGTCTATGGTACTGCAAAGACTGCGGGAACCCCCAAGCCGGCGATTACCGGGATCCATGTTCCTTCAAATTCTCTCAAGGCAGTCAAGCAGACCAAACGGCCGACGAAGACGGCCACGTATTCCACTGCATCTTCCACGAGTACACAAGCATGTCCTGCCGAAACGGACAAGATAGTATGTCATTATGAGCCTCACATAACAGCGATCATAGCATAACTAACTGAACTAGCTGACGTGTGGTGGTTACCCGGAAGAACAAGACTGTGATATGCTATCTCCCGTGCCGAACGGAGAGATGCCCAGTTGTAAGTCTGTAAGTCACAAGAAATCATCTATTGTTATTAACATTGGCTTCGAAATTAACTATGCTTCTCCAGGGGCAATACGAAGGATGCGAATGCGTGCCGCCTGCCGAGTTCAAGGGTGTCATTGTCTCCAATGAGGAAAGGCAGGCTATGATTGACATGAATAACGTTTTCAATTCACTACCAAAAGAATTTCCAAAACTTCCAAAGTATGGGGAGTGTTCCTCAAAGATAGAAAACATGGACCTCAAAATCCTCAAAACGTAAGCAACTTACTTGAACGCCCCCTGATTCAGCCCGTCTTTAGCTGCGTTCTTATGGGCTAAGGTAACTGACACATGTCTCTGCCCACGTAGCCTCGTCGATGAATTCTGCACCGAGAACTACAAGCTCGACAAAGACGCAGCTCGCTACTACACTTCTGCAGACGCCTACAGCACAGCGTTCAACCGCTACATGTTTACTCTGGACTGGAAGAAATCTGGAGACCAAAAATGCACGAACCAATGCAGGCAGATATTCGGCGACGGCTTCACCACCTCGTGTACGTACATCGATGTCTTTCTCTTTAGGGTCCCCCGCTTACTATCTTCCAGGTTCTCACAACTCGCATACGATGGCTCACAATGGCACCCTATCCCTTGATTGTGGCACGGCCAGCTTCGAGATCTTCAACCCAGAAACTGCATCCAGCGACCTGACCTGTCAAGACTCTGCCACCGTGATCCCATACAACGTGTTTTCGGGGTTCGACGGCATTATATACAAGGAGTTCTGCGAAAGATGGACCCCGACGTCCCTCATGCGCATGGTCGTCGACTCCAAAGGAACCTCAAAGATCCCACACCCACAACTCGGAAAGCGCACGCCGCCGGCCAAGCAAGAAGATTGGCTCGAATACCACTTCGACCTACGGTTCAAGCCCGAGGTCGGCGCCCAAGCGAACAAGGAGTGCAGGGTAGGCTGCAAGGACGCGTTTGCCGTGTTTCCGGCGTCAAAATGCGGCCGGCAGGGAAGCAAGGGCAACTCGATGGCCACCTACGCCGAGTACGACGTCGGGTGTGGAAAGTTCAGTTACCAGATCTCCAAGCCCACGCCGCTGACCCTCCAGGAGCGGCACTGTTTCCGCGCCGACGAGTTTGGCGAGCACAAGGATATCAACCCCGGTTTTCAGAGTAAGTATATCATGGGTGCGTGCGTCGGGACGGCGTTGAAGGAGAATGTGATACGCAAAGACAATCCAAGCAGCTTCATCCACTCTGGCACGGTGACCAACGGAGCGCCGTATCAGTATAATATTTACTGGGAGGAGGGATGCATATTGGAGACCGGGGCGGAAAGTGTTAGCCCTGCGCAACCTCTGGGGCCAACTCACGAAGCCACGTGCGCAAATTTGCTCCGGGACAACTTTAAAAAGTGCAACAACGGAGGTGTTGGTGGTAGGATTCAAGCAGGGTGTCTAGTTTATGAATTCAAGGCCGAGAAGAGGGCGCCCTAAGATTGATGTAACCATATGGTTCTCGTCTAGTTTTGGCGACTGTAGGATAGTTGTTATCAAGAGTGGCGTTAAGGAAGACCATGAGAAAAGAAGCCAGGCTGGTTCATGGTAGAAGGTGGTCAAAAATGTATACTGATACTATAAAAATATCTGTCCAAACTCCCAGTAGTCTCTAGAATTTAATAAATAACTTGGTCAAGCATAGTGAAGGTTACAGTTAGTTCCATGGCAGCTAACTAGCGGGATGTGCTGGATCCTTCTCGTAGGTGGCTCACTGTTCTGACAAGTTTGAAGCATTCCAATTTGACCATCAGCTCGTATCGAACGCCTGTATTTCAATAATGGTGGACATCACTGCAAAGGGCAGTCTCCATTGACACAAATAGAGAGCGATGGGTCATACACATTCATACTAACGCCGCTATTCTAACCAAAGTCTAAGTACATGAGTGCCTGATACAGGCTGGGTATTCCATCTAGGTCTATATCATTAGCAAGGGGCAGGATTTCAGCATCCGCCGCCCTTTATTATCATTAAAGCCGGCAAAGGCCTGCATTTCAAACATCCAAGTCAAGGAAATCATAAAACCACGCTTTTAGTCACTGTCCTCGTCGCGGCCAGGCCAGACAAGCTTCCTCCGAATGACAGCTCTCACGCAGCAAAAGCCGACGAACAGCCAGACGGCAACGAGAAGAACAGTAAAAACCGTAGCCAGCCACATTAAACCCTCACTTCCGAACGCCTCGCCTATGCGGATGGTGGCGATGGTGAAGCCGACGTTCGGGAAGACGAAACTCCACCAGCTGAGATGGAACGAGTGGTCTGGCATGCCGAACAAAGTCGACAGGCATGCAGAGCAGAAGAACCAGAAGGACAGGCCCCAGAGGAAGACAGCGGTGAAGAGGGCGACTGCGCGGACCGCAAATGCCACGGTCCCTGGGTTCTCCATTTCGGTGAGGTATGCTGCCGTGCGCAAGGATTCCGAGACGAGAGAGCCTTCCGAAGCGATGAGACGCGGCACGTCGGCGGCCATTGAAACCAGTGCGGCGGCCGTGAAGCTTGGTGGGCCGACAGCGATGAACATTCCCGGTCTTTGGACGGGTAGGCCGATTGTCATGAGACGAGAGAGGTAGGTTGCGTACATGAAGGTGGACACAAGAAATCCGAGACCCTGAGCGGCGAGGCCAGCGCCGAGCATGGCGAAAGCTTGGTCTGGCGGTTGTGAGCGACACATGGAACCGGCGAGAGTGCCCGTCAGCATTACGGGGAATATGGGAAGGATCCAGACGGGGGTCATGTTATTCAGCGATAACCGACGGCGACCGGTAAAGAGGAGGTGATACATCCCCACGGAGACAAAGAACGTGACAACCAGGTAGACCCAGAAGCACACGCGTAGCGCGACTATAAGCCACGGCCCGCATTTTGGGACACCGTAATGTTGGATGTTGGAGAGAGCAGCAGCGAGAGACAGAAAAAAGGTGGGGATAAAGAGAGACTCGGAGGGGTGGGTGATGGCTTTTGCTGGGGCCTTGCGGAAGAAGGAGAATCGAAGGCAGAGAGTAAGGGTGATGAGGAAGATGAGTACGATGTCGAGGAGAAAGACGATCAGGCCTATTGTGTCGAGACCGCGGAAACGGTGGGGCGTTTCGGCGAGAAGGAGGGCTATGCCGCCCGTTGACATGCTGGAGTGGGTCAGCCGGGTCGGGGATCGGACGGGACGAGGTGGGACGGGTAAGGGGACTTACGTGAGGGTGTACCATGCAAAAGTGAAATGGTGAATGCGTTCACGGAGGGAGACCTTTTCGAGTATGGTGTTGGTCCGGCTTCGGGTGCGGGAGAGAGTCGCCATGAGAGCGTTCTGGGGAGGGCCATCTGACTCTTGGCCCTGGTCTCCGGACCGGATTGAGGGTTTGGATATGTCTGACGATGATGGTTAGTCGTCGCGAATAATGAGATGGAGTGAGCAATACTCACTTGCTTCTTCGTCTACAACAGCCATGATAATGAACCTGTTATTGAGCGATCGAATGTTTTGAGTTGCATCTACCGATGGATGAGATTGATGGTTTTTTGTTGAAGTTTCGACAGATGGTGAGGTTACCATCAGCAATCGACGTCACAGCATCTGCACCTGTTCGGGATGAGCCCTGTATTAAATTTACTTGGATTGCGGCAGAAAACAGGCTGAGTCAGCGATTGGACTGTGGTGCCAAGGTGCGGGTCACGCCAACGAGCCGGTATTTGAGTGACAGGCCAGGGGTATCGTATGATTGCGTGTAATTCTTGATGATGGGAACGTGGTCTGGCCTTTGGGCATTGCGCGACGAATTGCCTCACAAGAAGTAAAAACTCTGATCGGCAGACCCGATTGACGCCGGACACGGCGCGGCGTGGCGTTGTAGGCTCGGCGCCGAACGTTCGGGACAGATTTGCCACCATGTCAAGTTGACGATTCTTGGCGGGTGAGATTACTGTTGGCCATCCTCCATGGATGAGAAGTCAAGTATGGGGTTTAGATAATACTGGTAGAGTTAGAGTTGGAAAATGATGTTGGAGCAACGGCTGACTGTCAGGCTTGCAGAAGGGGTCGCTTCATCCATGGGTGCTGCGTTGCTAAAGTCACCCAAACATTTACAATAAATGATGATGGATTTCATTTGATTGACAATCTACATCAGAGTCTCCCATATGAAGTGGCAGCTTCTAGCAACAGAGCCAAAAGCCACTAGCTGAGACGATGGCTGCTGTCACTGCTTAAAATTTGGGGAAAAACACCCGGCATTTGTCAAAGACACGATAAAGTACCGGACGTGCGGGACCCTTTTGGACCCTGGGTTCCGCGACATAGCGGTAAGGTGGGAATCCTTCCCGGAGATTTCATGCGAGGGCTTTTGGGATGGAACTTTCCAGGCCTTGGGGCTACCTTACATCGCAGGCAGATGCGAGACAACGCGGCCGTGAGGCCTTTCGAACGAAGATGGATCGTGATATCGAAACACGGGCTGCTTCTGGTCATTCATTCATCCAAGACGACACAGCTCTGAGACTGGTGGTGGTTGCGGATGATTGCGTATTTGGCGTCCGCCTTCGGCGAGCCGATGGGGAAAGGATGCCGGAAAACGAGCACTGGCCATGTCGATAAACATGACCATGTCCTTGTCTGTCTGCAGACACTCTATCTGCAAATGTGCAGTGGCCGCAGCGGGAACCCTCGGCCGGTTCCCCGCCCGTGGACAGTGGTCCGGCGACTGGCGACTGGCGACTGATCGGAGGATTGGCAGGCAAGGGCAGTTTTCTGGTGAAGCATGGTAAATGCGCTAAACGAGAAGCTCTCTAATGTGGAAGGATTAGTAATGGAATGCAGGTAGCCGTGGCGTTGGTAGCGGATTGGAAGTTGAAGGCTAAAAGCTAGGATGGGAGGCTGTAGTGGCCACGCCGTCAAAAAGGTGGTTGGTTCGAGTCGCAACGTGCTGGGAAGACAAGATACGACATGTTCTGCCGATCATGGAACGCTGGAAGAAGGCGTTCGCACCGGGGGGGCCATCGTTTGGGACGCAGATGCTGTGAGACGCGAGCAAACTGGTCAGTTGAACTATTGCATTGTTGTCTCGTTGGCGGGTTTGTGCAGATGATATGCTGTGTGTGGAGACAACATCAGCACCTTTTTTTTTTTTACTGGTATGGATGATGTTCTTGGGTATATCGGGTCGGGATATGGAGTGGTATGCGTGTGGTGCAGTGGGTGGATACGGAGATGATGACTCTTCTCTTAATGGTGGTGGATGTTGGTGATGAAAACTTCATGATGCTTGCTGCAGTTGGTGGGTTGGAGTGTGATGAGCCTGCGGGTGTATGTATGCTTGCTTATTTGGGGGAGAAGCTGGCCTGGAAGCTCAATAGCCTGGGTAAGTTCTTTAGAGGTAGCTTGGCAGCTGCGAGACATGAAACTATACAAAGAGTGTACATGGAGAACGGTCAAAAAAAGAAGAAGAAAAAACATAGCACATGTGGTGGGAAGAAACGAGCACACACTGATGCTAGGATGCAGCTGCTACTGTAGACAACTACTGAAAAAAGGAAGTCGAAAGGTGATGGAGAGTGGGGAACTCTTTCTCTCTTTCTCTCTTTCTCACTCTCTCAAAAAGGAAGCAACGATGCTGATGCCACCTGGGAAAGGGTAGCCGCTAAGGTAGGCAAAGGCGAGGCAAGGCAAGGCTGCTAAGCATGCGTAAACTGCTTCGCACCTTCACTTACCTAGGTTCCAGTGGTTCCTTACCTAAGGCACCTTTCCCTTTAACCATCTGACCACAGCTCGCTAAGCTTACCCACTTAATGCCACTGAAGCAGCAGTACCTAGCGCATACTACGTGACTACCTACACTAAACCACAGAACTGCGAGTAGCTGTATCCGTACTGGGCGGGTGGCGGGCTGCTTAAGCTTAGCGCGCAGTGCATCAGCATCAGCATCAGGGCAGGCAGCCGAAAGTGGATACGTACTCGTCTCCGCAGATGTACTTTGTTGCTAAAATTGGCTGCAACGGTACAAATGGCCCACAGCTACCTACTACTACCTAGGTAGTAGAACCTGACCTCACCTCTGGGAGGGGACCTCTAAGCACACACTCCTCTGCCGTGGTGGCCAGCCTTTCCCAGCAAAGGTGAATCCCAGGCTGCTCTCTGCTGCATCATCACTCTCTGTGTCTCCTGTCTCTCTCTCCCCCCATCCCATCTGGTGGTGGTATGTGTCCCCCGCGACCTGGTGGTATTTGACTGCGGACCCGTTCAACAACATCTTTTCTTTTCTCCTCTTGTTGCATCATTCCCCCACCGCCGCCGCCGCCCATCTACTGCCCCATCGTGAGGCAGAGGGGGATTTGAACCTCTACTTGTATTCATCGGTTCATTTTTATCCCCATTGACCAACATTCGGCAGGCCTAAACACCACCCCCCTCCATTCTCAACCTACCTTGAGGTCATCCTACCGTCGCGCAGCCGCAGCCGCAGCCGCAGCCGCCGCATCAACGACCGACCGACCACCCCGCGACCGCCAACACCATCTTCCCCCCAGCCCATATATCTCAATAAGGACTCAGCTGGTGTGGGAAGCGGGAGCTTAAGCTTGATCGATCCACCGTCTGTGCAACCGCGATCTCTTTCCGTCACCCGACCCCCTCCTCCTCCGTTCCACGTCCATCACGAGATCGATTCGCTGCCCTCTTCGCCGGAAGAGGAATATACAACATGGACGAAACTCCCGGCCCTCAACTCTCCAATCATGCCGCCACTCTGGCCGCTGCATCGACTGCTCACTTTCTCTCGAGTCATTTCGCCTCCGTCGATACCATATCCCGCTCCAACTCTCCCGGCCCACCCTATACCAAGTCTGACGAGGATGACAAGAAGCGTTACCGCCCGCGTACCTTTAGCTACTTCAACCACCTGCCCTTCCCCGTCGAGGAGGAGTCGCAACGTGATGCCGCGCTAGCTGGCATTCTAAAGCAGCTATACATCTCCATCAAGGCCGAGGATTTCAGCCCTGGTGCCCTTCACTGGACGAGAGAGCTACAGGGATGGCTGAACCTCAAGTTCGAGATGACGCGGGAGCTTCGAGCTACATTGGCCAAGCTCTACTACCACCTCTGTTTGGCTCCTGGCCTTGATCCCAGTACCGCCGACCGCTTCCTTCGCATGGTCGTTGTTCTGACCAGGTGCGCCCTCCCGTTTTCTCCCCCGTTGGCGACGTCGTCGTCAGCCTTCCTGGTTCCCCATCCCCGCCGCTGCTGACTATTTGTCCCAGGAAATACCACTACCTAAAGCCCGTCGATGACCTCTTGCTCGATTGGCGTCCTCTCTGGAGGGAAATCAAGGCCTTGGTGCTGCCCTCAGAGGTCGCTTCACACCAAACGAACCGCCGCCGATCCCAGAAGCAGCTGTGGAAGCTCTGCCTCCACGCTCAGACTTACTTCGATCCCAAAGACCGCAAGGAAATGCTCGATGAATTCCTCCCATACTTCAGCACCTCAGATGTGTCAAACGCCTACATTGTCGTCGGAGCCATCAACGCCCTGCTGCCCACCGATGCCGCACCCGAGAACGTTCCCTGCTCCCAGCCGCAGTCCTTCATGCCCACACTCTTTCACCTCTGGTCGTTGATCGCGCGGTCCAAGAGCTTCGACATCTTCTTCATTGATCTCTACTCGCGCATGGCAAGGGACTTCTTGCAGTCTTCCCATACTCCCTTCGATGCCCACGGCATCTTCAGCCAAGAACAGTCCGAATGGATATTCACGGCCATCCTACGGTTGACGGAGATTCCTGTTGGCCAATCCAATTCGCCCTACTCGACGCTGGATTATTCATCTGGTCTCGGGCTGTATCTCGAGAAGGACAAGAAGAAGTACCCAACGGCGTACATGATTGCAAGGTGGATTGTTTACTCTCTCTCACCCAAGTGCTTGGAGCAGGAGAGTTCTATCCTCGCAAGCCTGGAGGGTCTATTGGAGGCAATCGACACCTTCTACCACCCGTCGAATGCTGGCTCTTGGACGACATTCCTCGGCCAATTCACCGTTTATCTTACCGACATCTTCGTTTCTCGCTGGAACCGGGAAAAGAGCGGCGAGCTTGACACACCCGAGGATCGCAAGATTACACCAGCCTTGAAGAAGCGCTTCGTGACTGCGCTGAAAGAGGTGACGTACATGGGGTTGTTTTCCAAAAGCAATAGGGTCGCCCACTACTACTATGCCTCGCTTCAGGGCCTGGCTTATTTGGAGCCAAACCTCATCCTGCCGGGCGCCCTGCAGCGATTCTACCCTAGTTTGCAAGGACTGGTTGAAGTCCACCGAACAACGTCTAGTTTGAACGGTCTACAAATGATCGCCAATGTCATGTCCAAGACCAAGGGCTTCCGATGCCACATTACCGCCCTGCTTGCCCTGGCACTTCCGGGCATTGACGCCAACGATCTTGGTAAGACACAATACACTTTAAACTTCATCCAGAGCGTAGCCTATAGTATCCCCATGGTACCCTTGGTCAAGGATAACGACTCGGTGCACGACACCAGCTTGGCAATGCAGTGGGTCCAAGGCGAGATGGAGCGCATGGAGCGCGAGGGTCAAGACATCAAACTAGACTACGAAACCGAGCTCACCGACGAGGATGAAGCCAACATTCTCCGTTCTTCAACAGCAGGCCTCGGCGAGTTCGTCATTGCTCTTCTTGGCAAGGTCTTCACCCTGTTGGAGAACCTGCCGGATGCTTCTCACATCAGAGGTGGAACACCGGAGGACAACGTCATCAATGCCTTGCCTGCTGCGTTGTCTCCCCTCTTTGCGTCGTTATCGCCAGAGCTTTTCGACACGGCTCTGGAGAAGCTCTCGTCATTTGTCTCAACACACGTCGTCCATCAGGCGAGGGATGCGATGGCTTGGATCCTTAATGCTCTGTGCAAAGTTAATCCCGAGAAAACGCTCAAAGTTTTCATTCCCATGCTTATTGTCAACATCCGCAATGAAATTGACTACAACCATGCCGCTTCAGACCGAAGCAGCGGTACAGACTACCTTCCCAGAGATCGTGCTCTTGTGTGGCACGTGAGCATGCTCGGAATGGCGGTTGTACATGTGGGTAACGAGGTCCTGAAATACCAGACTGAGCTCCATGACATTGCCAAGTACATGCAAGAAAAGTGTCGAGGACTTCCAACAATCCATATTTCTAATTACATCCACCATCTTCTGCTGAACCTGACACACACCTATCCCATCGACAGCGCCTTGTATGAGCCCGACATCATCAAGCGAGGGCTCGATGTGGATGACTGGGGCAAAACCACATCCCCGGCCGACTTGACGATCAAGTGGCACCGTCCCTCTGCGGGCGAAGTCCAATTTGCTGTTGAGCTCTTTGACTCGCAAACCAAGGCCGCCGCGAAGAAGCTGGATTCCCTTATGAGCGAGAACCCTCCCGTAAGTCGCAAGGGAAAGAATAAAGAATGGTCCGACGAAGTTTCCAGGCTCTTGCAGCAGATTCGATTGGTCATATCCGGTGTTGCCACCCTGTTCGACCCTCACCGGGCGTCTGGAGAGAGTCCGACTCAAGATATGCCTGGGGAAGATCAAGATGGCGATACCGCAATGGACGACGATGATCCTCTCGCTGAAGCTGCTGAAGATGAGGAGACGCGGCCTCAGTACCGTTACGATGCCGGCTATCTCCTGACGGTAGAGGACCCAGCGTACCACAAGCTCCATGAGTTGAGAGAGGATGTAGGCCAGCTTCTGTGCCGAACCCACGACTTCCTTAACGGGAACCAGCAGGATGATGTTGCCTGCTTCACTGCGCTCTACGCCGCCTACCGAACTTGGATTACTGATGTCGGCATTGAGCGTTCGGCCCACCCCCTGGAGAGACATCTCCGCTTGTATAAGTCGGATATTTCTGCCTTCAAGATCAGTGGCCTTCGTAAAGTTTATCCCCGCCCACTTTTGATCAAGCGAGCAGACGCGTATCAATTATTGCGTGTTAAACACAATGCTTCAGCCAGACAAAAGAGCGACCTCGACAAGCGGCTTTTGCTGAATTTGGCCCAATCATCTGTATCTTCTTATGCCGATGTCAGGCGTGTAGCCCAGAGCGCCTTAGATTCTTCCTTGAAGGCCTTGATTGGAGGCCGGCCCCTCGTCATTCCTGTGCTCATTGAGAGACTCCGCGTTGCCCTTGATGAAGTTGATCACGATCGTATCAAGGGTGCCATGTACACTCTGTTCTTCACGAGCCTGCTCAAGACCATTGTAAAGGACTGGAGGTTCGCTCCGCAAGCCCTCCGGCTCTACTTAAAGGCCGGCACTATTGATAAGCCGAGTATCCAGCAACTTGGCGCCACCGCACTCTTCCCCTTGCTGGATTTCGGAAAGCCATTTGAGCGGATGATCATTGTCAACCAGGATCTGGTGGAGCAGATCCGCCCATCGGAAGACTGCTCCCATTCTATTGACAGCCGCCATAATTTCATCGTTCAGCGGCGAGAACGTGTCGAGAAAAAGAAGGCCGCCTTGGGTCTAGAACTCACGGAAATTGCCAAGGGCTCTCATTGGAAGATCGCTTCACGCTGCGTCATCTTCGCAACGAACCTTTGCTTGAGATTTGACACCCTGGCGCCACCTGAGTTCATTACACTTGTCACACAAGGGACAAACGATACTCACCCTGGCCTCAGAGCTAGTTACATGTCGGCATTCACTTCTGTATTCGAGGCTGTCGAGATGCGCGCGGCATACGATCATGACTACCGCAATTATCTGCTTGAGAAGGAAAAGGACCGCAACAAGCTGACAATTGAGGTGACAAAGGGCGATGCCGCCTTCACTCAGAAGTACCTGGATGCATTTGCCACCACTGAGAACGCCGAATACATGGTCGACTCGGATCACCCTGGTTGGCTTGTATGGGGCAAGAAGTTCCTTGCCTCCCGTGCCCAGCCTCTCCCCTTTACGGACTACGACGAACGGGAGTCGGCCGTTCGGGAGCAGATTGGCAAGATGCTTACACGCGACTGGCTGAAGACGTGTTTTGATTACCTCAAGCAAGAGCCGCGTGATGCGAACGCTGACCGATTCCGAATGGGCAATGTGTACATGCTCATGCACGTGTTTGACCTGATGCACTACGGAGGAACCGCCATCACGCTTGATGATGTCAAGGAAATGACCACTGAAGTATACGGGGACGGCAGTGACAAGCATCAGCACCGAGCGACGTCCGAAATCCTCGCGGCGCTGATGGCTGGCTCCAGTGACGACCCACCCGAGTTTAGAAACAATGTGTGGGGGTTCGCTGCGCAGCTTATGCTCAAGATCCTGAACGAGGACTTGACGCCGGAGAACCTTCAGTACTGGGTCTCCTGCCTTCATCTTACCGTGGATCCAAAGGACCCCCGTCGCTCACACGAGCTGGTTGATACCCTAAGCTCCTTTAGGTTGGATATGTCATCCAACGCCGCCTTCAAGGAGTCAAGCAAGGTACAGGTTCTCGAGTTTATCATTACTGACTCTGGATGGCACTTCCGCCATGAGAAGCCGATTCTGGAAGACTTCCTGGCACACATTGACCACCCCTACAAAACCGTACGTGAGGCTATGGGTAGAGTCATTGCTACCATCTACCGTACTCGGTACCACGAGTCATTTGAGAACGTCGACCGTCTGCTAGAGGCCAACAAGGAGGCCTCTTCTCTCGGTATCCGTCCTTACCAGCCCACCAAGGAGTTTTCGGCAACCATTCTCGAAATCTTCAACCGTCTTGAGAAGTGGCGCCACGAGCGCACACCAGGCCAGCAAACGCCGTCTTCTTACACTTCCGGGTCGAAGACGGTACTCACTTGGTTGGACAGCACACTGTCATCGCAGGAGTGCACGCAGCTCATGCCGTTCTTCCCCGAACCCTTCATGGAGCAGCTCCTTCACATGATGGACGTCAAGGAAGATCCTGAATTGATGCGTCTCGCTTACCACGTATACCGCCACCTGCCTAACATCCCCTTCCGCGTAGGAGAGGATGGTCCGTTTATCGACGCGTTGGTCCGGATCGGCAAGTCTGCTGTGAGCTGGCACCAGCGTCTGCGGTCCATGGTCAACATGCAGGTGATTTACTTCCGCCGCTTATTCCTCATCGAGAAGAAGCAGAGAGATATCTTGTTCAACGCCGTGAGCGACATGCTGGCCGATCCCCAGCTTGAGGTGCGCTCTTGCGCATCCGCCACCCTGGCCGGCATGATCAGATGTTCCCCGAAGCGGATCCGTGACCCTACCATTCAGCTATTGAAGAAACGATATGAGGACGAACTCCGCCTGAATCCGATGCCTAAGCGCAAGCTCCCGGGCACCGAGACGCCCGTAGACACCACCAAGCAGATCGTTCGTCGTCATGCTGCTGTTCTTGGGTTGGGTGCGCTCATTGAGGCGTTCCCGTACGCCACTCCGCCGCCGTCCTGGATGCCCGAGGTTCTCCAGATCCTCGCGACTCGGGCTGCCAGCGATCCGGGTGTAGTTGGTAAGGCCACCAAGGCGATTCTCTCCGACTTCAAGAAGACGAGACAAGACAGCTGGAGTGTCGACCAAAAGGTATGCATTGCAAAGTAATCTCTAGCTACTGTGAATTTGACTGACTCGGCGTAGTATTTCACTCAAGACCAGCTCGAAGACTTGGAGGGCGTGCTTTGGAAGAGCTATTTTGCGTAAACGAACAAACACCTGCAGTACGAGTAATTCCTGGACAGAAGAAAAGATGTAGAGGTCATATTTGATGGAGGGGTGCCAAGCATTATCAGAGCAGTGCTTCTCAGGCCTCATGTGCGTGTAAAACGGGTTTGGTCATAGATGTATGGGTATGGACGGCATTGGGTCGCTATGATACCCACTGGGAATTGCGTGGTCCTGATAAGAGAGGATCAACGAGAGAATTGTAGGGTAAAACAGTGTGTATTAGTGAGCTAGTCCGTAGCTCATACCAAATCATTTTTGTCTTTGTTGCCTGACTTTCCCTTTTCACACAATACTTTCCGTTCTCAGCAAGACATGAATAACTGCAACGTAAAAAGGGTCAGCATATGGGACTTGATGCGGATCACACGGGTGATTCTGTTGCTTATTTCGGAGGTTAATGTCGAGAGGGCGAACTCTATTCCAAGGACCGTCACCTCCAACCCGGCGTTCTGGAACGTCGTTAGCACCTTGAACAGTGGCTAGAATATTTATTTTTTAGTATGTATATATATATTAAATAACTAGTAAACAGCTCGCTACTATAGCTAGTTGGCTACTTTGGCTGGGAGAGTCCCTGAAGTGATTTTCTTCCTTCTCTATACCAGAAGAGGTCTAAGCACACCATACTAAAGACAGACAAGATCAAGCTCTTGCTCCCGCCTCCGAAACAAGAATTTAACCCGAGGGTCCGGTACTAACGCCATTCCCGACGCGACAGGCTGAGGTTTATATCCTTCAGATAGTTTCCAATCATATTTTAGTAAAAAGTGAATCAACGCAATTTTGAGTTCGTTTGCAGCAAAGAAACGACCAGGGCAGGAATGGTTACCAAAACCAAATCCAGTGTGTTTCGTGGCCGTATTCACAAGATGAGCATATTTTTCCTGTTCCGTGCCACGAAGATGAAGGAACCGATATCCATCATATTTTTCAGGTTCTTCATACCAGTTGGTATCCCACATATGCGTGTTATTGACTATAATTCTCTGACCCTTACGAATCACAAAGCCATCAGAAAGCCTGATATTCTCAGTAGCAAGACGGCGAAAGTTTGCTATTCGAGGTATGGTTAGCATTCGGATAGTTATGCTGGCGTTTTAAACATTTTGCAGAAACTCACATAGCATTACAGGCTTCAATCGCTGTGACTCCTTGATGACGCTATCCAGAAGCTTCAAGTTGGGCAGCGCGGTTTTGGTTAAGCCGTCGGCCCTTAATACGCTGATCAGTTCCTCGCGGAGAGGCTTGAAGAGTTCCGGGTGGCAAGCCAAGTCTATCATCGTCTGCTGAAGAAGATCATTTGTGGTGTGAATCGCTGCCAGAGCAAGTGTGATTTGCTGGCTAGCGGGGTCGTACTTCTCCTTGAAGACCAACCCAAACCACTCAATGGCGTCGTCGAACTGAATGCTCGTGTCTCCCTGGGCTAGAGCATCATTCTTTTTCGCCTCCCGTCGCTCTAGGTGAGGTTTTAAAACCTGACGAGTGTGTGATAGAAGGCCCCGAACTTTCCAACAAGAAGGCAGGAACCAATGAACAATTGGACGAAACCATTTTGGGTAACGCCCAAGTTGTTTTCCCGCTGCGAACGCAGTGGCAGTATAATTTGCAGAGGCTTTAAGCCATGCATCGTCTCGACAAAGATCTTCTCCCATGAAGACTCTGGTGGACAGACGATTTACAATATGAATGAACGACTCTCCTGGGACTATCTCATGCCATTCTGTTAACTAAAGTTAGAGGTCTTATGATCCTTTAAAAGATTTCGTGTATTCTACGTTACCAGTTGTTTCCGTTATGATCTCTCGGAGAGTAAGTGCCATTTCCTTGGAAAGTGGTTTCGTAATCTTGTCTATGCGCACCAAACGGTTATTTTGGACTCTCACGAATACGTAAGACATACACATACTAAGGGCTCTCGTCAAGTACTTCGTAATCATTAGGGGATGGTTTTCGTTCGCCATGAATGGCTCGAACCCAGGAATACTCCCATTGTTATCCTGCACAAATCAGTTTCAGAGCAAGAAGTCGGCACACAGAGACAATCACCTCATTCAGAGGAGTCAAAATGTCGAGGCGCGGGTCATTTCTAAGCTCATCCAGATACTCAGGAGGCAAAACCACGACATTGCCCCACTCTGAGAATAACTTATAAGGATTCTGTCCGAATTTCTGTCTCGCACGAATCATGAGATCTTTAGAATTCTGAACAAAGTCAGCCATACGCCGTCGATTACCAATGTCGAAGTTTATAGCCGGATTTATTTCAGGAATCTTTACGCCACGCCTGTCGAAACCGTAGAAAATCAGCATGAAAAGAAGACCCATAACGAAATATTTGACTGGGTCATCAGCTGGAAATGTGGTTGGAAGAAGAGTATTTGGAACTAAGTCCAAAAGCGTTCGAGAAGACATTGCAGCGACGTGTAGTTTTACTTTGGATGAGTGAGTACGATTGATATCCCAGGATTATTCTTTGTCTTCGGTGCCTCTATTTATAAGAATGATGACTTGCTGGCATTCGACGTTTGGCAGTATCATTCAGGTTGTCCTCATGAGTTACCTTGCTTCAGGCGAAAATTGCCTAAAGAGGATGTACAGTCCGTTGCACTGACAGCGTCCAAAAATCGAGTTTTTACCCCCCTAGGGTGGGGTTAATGCAAACCCATGCTAAACTCCGTTTTTTTCGCTGGGAAAATTACAACGGTCGCATTCAGCTGCATTTAGCCACCGTATCGTCAAATCTACTCATTTCAACGCGTCAGTATGGCGCCACGTCTCTCAAAACTCCAGCTGAGGAAAGTTAACCTACTTCTTCCCTCTGTTATTCAAACCGACGAAGAAATCGCAGAGGCGGTTGGCTGTAGCCAACGAACGATTCGACGATGGCGTCGTCGATTCGACATAACTGGCGAGGTAGAACAATACCCTCGAAGGCGTGAAAGCCAGCAGAAGATGGAAATACAGCATCGGAACGAACTTCTCGAATTATTAAAGTATCGTAACGACCTCCTATTCGAAGAGATGCAAGAATTCCTATACGAACAGTTCAACCTCGAAGTCAGCAAATCAACGTTGAGCCGCCACCTCCACGCAGCTGGCTGGACGAGAAAGAAAGCCCACATAATTGCTTCACAACGAAACCCAGAATTACGGTACGATTGGTTATATCGTATACGTCGATACCACCCAGAACAATTAATATTCGTAGACGAATCAGGCGTTGATAAAAACACTGGAAGAAGAAGGACGGGTTGGGCGCCTAAGGGTCTGACGCCAACGCGGTCAGTTCCCCTCGAGCGAGGTCAACGGATACAACTGCTGCCAGCACTCGCAATTGACGGTATCGTAGACTTGCTGGTATATACTGGATCGACGAATGGCGAGGGCTTCTCTGCGTGGATACAGCAACTTCTACTGCCAAAGTGTGGAATATTCCCTGGGCCTAAGTCAGTGATTATAATGGATAATGCTTCTTTTCACCGGCAAGGGGATATACGGCAAGCGTGTGAGGCCGCTGGCGTACGCCTCGAATTCCTCCCGCCGTACTCACCTGACTTTAACCCCATCGAGGAGTATTTTGGCGACCTCAAAAAGCATGTAAAAAAGACATTCCGTACGTGGAATACTAACGAACTAGACGAGCGTGATTTTGCTGAGTTTCTCCGCGACTGCGCGCTTGAGGTTGGGCAACGTCTCCCACAGATAGCTGGGCACTTCCGTAACTCATATATCAACTTCGACGGCACACAGGATATCTTCTGTGACGCTATGACGAGTAGCGATATGTATATTGAGGCAGGAGGAGAGTTGAATCCACCTCTTGTAGTAAATAGTTGTTGAACTTGTAGTAGGAGAAGTAGGAGAAGAAAAACATGAATAATGCCTGTATTTACAACCTCAAGTCAGGCCTATAGTGAAATAAATCGTATCCGTGGCGTATCAAAGTGCTCTGCTACCTACCTAACGGTCTTTGGGTTGATCCTCCCGGGTGTTGCAGGGCAGCTCACATCCACAAGCAAAGCTTTCCGCTAGCAGTAGTCGCTGCTATTTATCCTAGTTTAACCTCCTCTTCCTCTTGGGTATAAGGCGACGATATATAGTCTGAGACTTCGATCGGATTTTGTTCGGTATTAGGAGGAAGGATTGGTGGCGGCGGCGAGGAGACGAAGAGGTCTAATTCTAGTTTCTGGTTAGTTGACGCCGTCACTTCCGTCAATATTACTCACCACCTCGACCAAACTCAATATCGCCAGTTGGCAGCGGTGAGGAGATCCTACCCGCTGGAACGCTTATTTCGCCTACTTTACTAGCGCTTCGTTCGATATTGCCTGTTTCTCCGAATCGCTCGTCAAAAAGTCGGTTATACACTTCGTCTTCAACCTCACGGTCAACTGCTGGCTTTTTCGTTGCCTGTACGAGTGATTGTACAGCGGCGAGAGGTTCGCTCTGTTGGAGGTAAAATTGCTGTGTTGTAGTGAAAAGTTTGATCGATTTTCTCACTGCTGCGGTAAGTTGTGGTGAAAACCCTACCTCCTTGAACCAGCTGTCTGGGTAATCACGAATAACGCGGAGACTGACTATTGAAGCCTTTAACGGAGTAAATTTCACTTCGTCAATACCCAACTTCTTGCCGTTCACAGCTAGAAACCACGAAACGAACTCATCAACTTGGCGTGTTGCTTTTGAGGGCGAATCAGGAACAACTGGCGACGAAGAACGAATCGGAGCCTCTACTTGCCGACGGGCAGAGTAATCACCTGACTGCGGTTGAAATTGAGGCTCAAGATCCCAATATTGGGGCGGCATCGTTGGCGGCGGCAACTTTGGCCAATATTGCGTTGGGCCGCCTGGCGGAGGTAGGCCATAGAAGTTGACTACTGCGCTATTATTATTGGCAGTATTTGCTGGGTCTTGTGTGTCTGAAAGCCCTCTATTAGCAGACTTTTCACCTAGGCTATTTTGGCCTCCTCGATTTGCTGATTTATCGGGCTTTTTCATATCGCGTTGTTCACGCTGAACAAGATCAACAATTAGGCGGGCAGGCGGGTTTGATATTGATACGCCTTCCTCGCCCTTCTGAATAGCTTCTTGCCACTTCTCGAAATCAAATACGGTCAGTTTATAGTGTTTTCTTGCGTTGACCCAGCACCAGTTAACTGTTGGATCAGCTGACGAGGTATTCTGACAGGTTGCTGAATCGTTACACTGATTATGGCGAAGAAGGTCTCGAAATAACTTCCTCTTTCGATCGCCTTCTGTTTCAATCGCTTGAAGCATCGTATTTGTTACAGTCTGACGTTGACTAAGTCGAGACGGTCGCCCTCGTGGTGATCCTACGCCTTCTAGCTCTCCTACTGCGGCTACAGTAGGAGTGACAGAGTAGGCCAGTTCAACATCGACAAGAACCTCACCAAGGCGACTATTCTCGATAATTTGCTTCGAAATATCATACCATGGAACAACCGGCCAGTTGCCACTGTCAACAGCGAATTCTTCGCGGTATACAATAGTTACTGCTTTTAATCCTATTCTTCTCCAGGCGATTTTCGTGGTAATCCAGCTCTTCTCGATATTATATTGTGCCCTTAAACGGGCGTCGATTCGCTTCGCCAAATCCCTCTCGATTTTCGACCACTGGATAATCAACTTATGACCAACTTCGCTCTCCTCGTCAAATATCCACTTGTATATAGTCTCAGGAAGCTTTGGCGGCGAGCGACCGCCTGAGAAGAGAGGAGTATACGTAACAGTTAAATTGATTGACTGTGGTTGCGTTCGTCGAGGAGTTGGGGTATCAGGTAAAGGCCGTCGACCAGGCCTTGCCGGCGTAACAGCAAAAGGATCCTCATCGAGGTTGAGGTTATATTGAAGTCGCTGGCCCGGCGTTGACTGCCCAATAGCTTGGTGTTCATAGTGGCCTGCCGGTTGGGTTTCCTCGACTTCGTCAACTTCGAGGTTTTGTTGAGTTATTCCTGTCTCTGTTTCTGCTAACTGAGCAACCCTCTGGGCTGGGGAAGGGATCACCACTACCCGACGGCGTCGAGGTGGCTTAACTGGGGTCTTCGCTGGCTCTGACGCCTGCGCCCTCGCCCTCGCCCTCGTACGTACGATAACTACCCTCGACGGCGAGCCGGTTGTTGTATTCGTCTCTAGGGCTTTTGCTGTTTTCAATCGCTTTCGCTTCGCCGGCCCAGTGGTATTATCAATTGAGGGGGCCCGAGCCCGCCGAGGAGGCATCACGAAAAGCTTTTCACGAGATATTGTAATTTACAGAGATTTCACTACGTGGGCCCCACGAAAGTGGCCCAATTGGGCTACAGTGGCCAGTTTACACCAGTTGGGCCAGTTGGGCCAGTTTGACCCCTGTTGTGATAGTTTACTGATTTTCGGGGTTAATAGGCTAAAATCCGATTTTTGGACGCTGCCAGCGAAACGGACTGTATAAGCGATTTTTCCGTTGGCGACCAGAATGGAAACTTACAACTTTGGAAAAAAGCCAGTACTTTCGTTTTGTCCATGCCCACTGTTCAGCAGAAATGGTTGAGGAATGAAACTCTCGTTGCATTATTACTACGAGAGAACAGGCATTTGCCCTCTGGAAGGCTGAACTAAACGTCATCTCCGCAAAGTGTATCTCTCACTAGATGGAGACGGGTTGTTGCTATGGTCCCGACCGGGTTGTGATAGCTCCTCTCGGAGACTTTTCTTCTTCTACGGAGTTTTTCGGCCTAGAGTTGGGCCGTTTCCGTGCGCAATAGAAAAGGTACCGCGGTCAAAGGCTTGAGATTGCATATTTCGAGTTTCGACCCAACAACAGACATCCCTCCCTGCAACCCGAACGGCACTCTAAGCCCCATTTCCATAGTGATCTGTGTTGCATGTGCTCCTGTGTGTGACCCACGATACCCGCGATGTCCGATTTGTCTCCATTTTCTCCGCCTACGCGATGTAACTCCTTTGGGCGGACTTTGCAATGTGAATGATTTTGCAGCAGGCCGTGTTATACGGTCCCATTCTAGGAATAAGTATTAATATGAGTGTTGTTATCGACCAATTTTTCTTTACATCAGATACCGCACTCTGCACGCCATTCATTCAATCCGTCTATTCACTGAGCAACTAATTTACAATCAAAATGTCCGGCTCTCTTTCGTCAGTCGCACCCTGGTCACTGTCTGGTAAGACAGCTATCGTAACAGGGGGATCACGCGGAATTGGCCAAGCCATCGCTATTCACCTGGCACGGAAAGGCCTTACAAAGTTGGCTATTACCTATGCCACCAACTCCCAAGCGGCACAGGCAACTCTAGATCAGTGTCAGGAGCTAGGAGTGAAAGAGACTGTTGCCATTCAAGCAGACGCTCTTGATCCCCTTTTCGGCACAAAGGTCTTGTCATCCGCGCTCGAAGGCCTATCCACAACCACCATCGACATACTTGTCAACAACGCTATCTTGAGCGACCCCTCTAAAGTCGAGCCAATCAGAGAAACAACACTGCCTGTTTTTCTTGAGCTTATGCAGGCAAACGTTTACGCGCCGATTTCCCTTACAGCCGCTGTCATCCCACACTTGCCATCATATGGAGGTCGCGTAGTCAACATCTCGAGCGTTTTGGCATATCAATCGAACCCGGACCCGACCATGACGTACGGAGCTACCAAAGCTACCTTGCAGAGTTATACGCGATCGCTTGCTGACAGCTTCGGCAAATCGACCAAGGCTACCTTCAACAGTGTTATTGTAGGTTTGACAGCCACCGACACGATTAAGGCTAGTAAACACCTCATGCCACCGGGTTATCTGGACCAACAGATTCGAGACACAACTGCGGCGGACAGGATCGGCGTTCCCGAAGACATCGCATACATCGTCGGCTTCCTGTCTAGTGAAGAGGCCCGCTGGGTCAACGGCGCTGCAATTAGCGCAAATGGAGGACACAAGCTTGTTATGCCTGCGCTGGGTTAGATAAATCCTTGATTTTAAGTGCAACCCGCACCAAGTCATTGTGTCCGTTTGAATGGAATCCTTGCAATGTTTGAGATCACTAATCTAGAGTAGCTGCCGAATCATAGGTCAACGTCAATATAAAGCCCGAAATCAACCATTACACCTTCGGGTTCCATCATCCACAAGCCATATGTAATCGTCATGCTGTTATTAATACTGAACAGTCAGAAGTGAATGCTTCTCTGGGTGGCGACGTCGATAGCTGTATTACAGTAATGGCAGCCATAGTCACCGCAAGGCAAGCCAGCGGCGAAGACGTCTTGGTGGCATTTGTGTCTATTCCTCCTGAAATGGGACGGATGACAGGATATGAGAACCAAGATGAGAATGATAAGTACTGGATGAATCAGGGATTATTTAGACGCATCAAAAGTCAACTTAATTTGGACCTTTCACCCCACATGATTCCTACTGCATTACTCGCCATGAGGAATCTCCCGCAAACAGCATCAGGCAAACTCGATCGCAAAAACCTACAACAACTAGCGACTGAATATCTTTCATCCCCAGAGTTACAGGGAGTCTATGCAACTGCTAGAAGGCCGAATGTCATACAGACGCAGACACTGACATGTGATGAGCTAACTTAGAATACGCACTGGGGGCGCAGACGCCTGACAACATGTTGAGCCCATCACAAAAGGTTCCTCGGTTACTATGGGCAAAGGTACTTAAAGTCGAGGCAGAATCTATTGACCCTGACGAAAATTTCTTTAGCATTGGCGGTGACAGCATTCTTGCTATGCGCCTGATCGCTGCCGGTCTCGAAGAGAGCATCCGGCTGCCCGTCTTGACGATTATGAGATTTCCTGTATTATCTCACATGGCAGCTGAGCTTGACCGAGAAATCGGCATCGTGCTACTCAGGACGTCTCCGACTTGGAAGCTCCCAACATAAGCCAGAGCAGCAAAGCCAATTATTCATCCAGCGACATTAATTCCATTGATGCTTTGGTATGCCCCCAACCTCCAAATATGCGCAATGAATTTCCTGCAACGAGCTTCCAGGAGGCAGTGCTGTCTTTTAACACGGCAGCTTCTCGAGGTTTCCTCAATTATTTCGTCCTGAGCCTTGACTCTCGACTTGACAGCACCCGTCTTGAGACAGCCTGTCGTTCTCTGTTGATGCAACACCCGGTTCTACGGTCATCTTTCTTTCATACAGAAAATCGCCTTCTCCAAAATATTCGTCCGCTTGAAGCGGTACAACTACAGAAGCACGATATCGGTCCCAGAGAAGCATCTGAACCGGTGATGACAATGGACGCTGATATCGCTAATTTGATCGAAAATGGCCGAAGGACGCCGCTGGCATGAGGTGACTGCCTGACAAAGGCTTTCATCGTCCGTCACCGAGCTACATCTGCCTTAAAACTCATCTTCCGCCTTTCCAATGCGTTATACGACGGTATGTACCTCTCGAAACTTTGGGAGCATTTACAACGATAGCCATTGTCCAGATGCCAGGACCTGCGACCAAGACTATGACTTCGTAGAATTTGCCTCTTACATAACAGCGGATGTATCAGAAGCCGCGCAGAAGTTCTGGTATACACTTCTGCTTGCCTCTGATATCACCCGGGTCGCCTTTCAAGCCCATCAGCCGGAGCAGGGTAGCCTACCACAGCCGCCCTCGTCAAGCTTAGGTCTGATGGAAGGTCGAAAGGTTTCCACTATAGCTTTCCGTTATGTCGATATGCCTTGCGTCACGCCTGCCTCGGTGCTTAAGGCCTCTTGGGCAGTCGTTCTCGCGGTTAGATCCCGCCCGACCTCTCGTGATATCGTTTTCGGACACGTGGTGTCTTGCCGGGAACCCGAACCCCGTCGATGCAAGATTCGGCCGGGGCGTTTCTGGACTGTATTCCCGTTCGGGTTAACACGACAGGCTTCGCCGTTAGTGCATCTTATACTGGTATGGAACCCATGGTTCAACAGCTTGCCCAGCAGGTCCAGAAACAACATATCGCCGGTCTATCGGACCACACTGTTGGGCTTAGCCATCTCGTCCGGTCAGGGTGTATTAGATGGAAGCAGGAACGCTTCTCATCAGTCGTTCAGTACCAGAACCTACCCGCTTCCGACGCTACAGCTGTATCCTCTATTCAATACGGCCCACTTGAGGGGACGAGCATTGAAATCAATGGCCGATCCGGAGCATACGCTGACGTGTGGGTTACTGCGTCGCCTACTGATGCTAAGACAATCGAGCTGGAACTACACGGGTGATTCTGTTACTTATTTCGAAGGTTAATGTCGAGAGGGCAAACTCTATTTTAAGGACCGTCACCTCCAACCCGGCGTTCTGGAACGTCGTCGGCACCTTGAACAGTGGCCCTCCTCCGCCCAGCCCGCCCTCTGATCGCTGGGCTGGCGGGGAATATAGGCCAGAGGTGACAGGGAACGGTTCCTCGCCAACGCCGTTGTCAACGTTTCAAAAGCCCACGTTCAGACGTCCTGAGACGTGCCCGACGGCGTGGCTTGCTTGTAATTATGGGGGATAACTGACTCGGTTCTTTTTTCGGGGGACCGGCGGTGACGGGTGCTTCCATTTGGGGGTCCACTGACCTAACTAATCTACGCCTTGTGTCGAATTGGCTTTTTCTGGGCGAAGAGATGCGGTATGAGGGTCGTGGTAATATAAAAGGGGGATGAACTGACGTTTTTTCTTGGATGTCGAGTTCGTCTTATTTATCAGTTGATTCTTGTTTCTTCACTGCCAAGCGTTGATCGCCTTTTTGTTCTCTTGGTATAATTTATCTATCTCATACGCCATTTTTTATTCACAAGTCACTTCAAAATGAAGGTCACGCTCACTGCATTCACTTTCTTCTTCACCTTGGCCCTCTGCCAAAAGTCCACGTTCCTCTGCAGGGACGTGAGCAACAAGGTGATTGAGGACGGCGGCATCTGTTCCGGCTCCGGAGGCAAGCCTCTTGGCAAAGGCGTAAGTTTTGTGTCCCTTCGTTTTTTGCTGGTTGGTGGGGGGAAAATGGGTGCTGATGAATTGGGTAGATTTGCTGTATTGCAAAGTCGGATGCTCTTGCCAGGAGCAAGTTTGATATTGCGTGCGACGATAAGTTGGGTACGACGCAGGATACTGGTGAGGCTTGCGAGGCGTGAGATGGGGAAGTTGAGGATTTGAATATGCGGTAGCTATGTTATGAATATATACCTGTTGAATTGTTCATATTTTACATTTGCTTGTTGTTATGTGTGATGTGGATGAGTTTGCTGGCTTGCGGGGTGGAAGGGGTGGCTTATGTTAGTTTTTCAAGTTTCTTGAATATTAAAGTTGGCAAAAAAACAACCGTAAAAAAAGTCAACCTCTTGTGTTATCTAAGGCTTAGACGATGCATCTACTATCTTACTCTCTAGCATCGCTGCGCCACATCCGCATCGCGTCCGCATAAGGCATCAATCTCCCGTCTCAGGCAAGAAATCGGCTATAACGGCTTCGAGCTACCAGCAACCTCGCGCTAAGCTTTGAAGAGTCCCGTCTTTCTCGCAAATCATTTCTCCCCCACCACGGCTTATTTCCATGTTTACCGGTGCTTTGCGATAACGCACGTCTGGCCCCATACATATTTGGTGCGAACGCCGCTAGTCAGGGCCGAAATGGATCGTACAGTCTCCGGGTAAGGCAGTAAATGCCGTGTCAGGCATTCTTTCAGCGGGCAGTGTAAGAGATCGTGAGGTTGTGAGCTGAACTAGCGCTATACTGCTGCCTTTCAGAATCGTTCACTCAGGTGTTTTCAATTTTGAGCATTAGTAGTATTCATAGTGATCAGATTATAAAGTGAAGGACAAATCTTTCAGGAGGTGGAAGTAAAAGACCCTGTCTGCTCATCAACCCTCAGTTCAATTTGCATGTCAACGATCACGACTGGTGAACAGTTTTGCTCGTCAATTGGAGCCTACAAGTTTTCACGGGCTCAAATTCGGCACCACGCCGATTTACGTTTATCCCGATATCAACTTTTAACTTCTCTCACTTGACATTTTATCAGAACCGTGCCAACATGGCCAATACCACTCCTTACTTGATAGCCGTTCTCGTGATATTTATCATTTTATCCCTGCCGACATTTTTCATTCTCTGGCGACATGGAAAACGAGGATCCGCATATCTAGGATGGGGTTACCTCCTCCTGTTTTGCAGTCTCAAGGTTATCAGTTCCGGCTTGGGGTTGGCCGACAGCCAAAGCCCTGGTTCGATCGTTGTGTCCAGCATTGGATTATCACCTCTCCTTCTATCACTGGCTGGTATACTCCATGAAGCGTACGTATGGTCGAACTCACCATCCCTACGACCCCGTTCAACTACAGAATTAACGGTCACGCAGAAGATTTTACCACGGCATTCCAGAGAACCGCCACTCCAGCCACAGAGAAAAACGGCTTACTACCCTTCACCATTCGCTGACAATGCTCGGAGTGGTTCTTGTTGCGATCGGTATGTCGAAGCTCGCGGGCAATACCTCGGAGGATGTGGTCGCTCAAGGCTGGAAGCTCGCCAAGGTGGGCGGCGTCATTCTTTTCCTAAGCTGGCTATCCCTAGCGGCCGCAACAACTCTATCGGCCTTTGCGGGCTACCTTCGCATTGACAGCCATCCCCAAAAGAACGTCAGTCGACTGCTGCTAATCGGCGTGCTCGTTTCACTTCCGTTAGTCGGTGTCAGAGTGATTGCGACTCTGGCATATCTGGTAACGCAGGAGCGATCTCTCAGCGCAGTGACAGGCTCAATCGGCGTGAGGATTGGGCTTTATCTATTTGAGGAGGTCGCTGCTACGTTGATTCTCATCTTTGCTGGCATTTGTACGAGGGATGTTCGGAAACTACCCGAAGACGCCGAGGTGCTTGATGCAAGTGTGTTGAGAGAGGCAGTAGACGTGGGACAGTCCTTTCAACGGAAATAAATCAGTCTGTTTTCTTGGCAGCTAACGGTGATTGCTGGTTTATTTCTGGGCGATTGTGAATAGTCTTATCAGTACCCACGTTAGTAGTTGTGTGGTCGAGCCTGAGACGGTGCCTTTGTTAGCACTAAACAGAGGCCAAAAATCCGAAGTTTTTCCAGTAGAAACCCTTAATTTCAATTTAAAGGAACATTACTGTATCCTTGCCACTAGCCCATTTACCCAATCTGCGCCAAATCATTCCGAACCAAGACCCGACAGGTAGCCAATCTAGGACGGCAAAACATCTCGTGATAAGGGACAGGCCTAATCCTTTCAAATTGTATCCTTCTATTTGCGGCCAATCGCTATTCATAATCATGGGACAGGCTCGGAGGTCACACACAAAGTCCAGGAACGGGTGCCAAGAGTGCAAGAGGAAGAAGATCAAGGTAGGTGTCCAAGAGCCATCACTCTACACCCCTCTTCCGAACTCAGCTCTGATGTTAGCGACATGAAGTGTGACGAACGGACTCCCTGTAGCCGTTGCGCCAGATTATCATTGGCCTGCAGTCTGGTCAGAGGCCTTATGGATCCTGCCGACAATCTACCCCGACCTTCAGCTTCAGAGACTTACGGGAGCAATAACTTCCCAGTCGCTTCAGACACTTACGTTGCCTCGGACTTTGTACTCTTCAACCATTTCATCACATCTACCTCCCTCTGTTTATCTCTTAGGAGCCAAAATGAGGCGATATTCCCATGGAAGACAGCTCTTCCAACCCTGGCGCCGATGTACCCGTACCTCTTGCATGAAGTGCTAGCTGTAGCTGCTATTCATCTGCATCACCTCCATCCAGACGACCCAGCAAACTACCTGCGCATTGCCTGTGACCATCAAGCAAAGGCCTTGAGGCAGTTCCGCGACGCTTTATCACCGCAACACGCAGAACATCAAGCTCACGCTTTGTTCGCCTGTTCAGCCCTCATGTCGAACTACTATTTCGCTGCGTTCGACGACCCGGCCTCTCTTCTTTTCAACCAGGACCCTTCGGGCCCTCCTGCATGGATTCTTCCTATTCGTGGCTGTAGTACTCTCGTGCGTCAGTTGAAGAATCGCATGTTTGACAACTCCTCATGGACCGCACTAATCGGGTCTCTGTCATCTTGGTCTGACACGGCTCCCTCACACGAAATGTTGGAATCCGATCGAGAGATACAATCACTGGAGTCGAGGCTTGATGAACTATCTCCATGTGAAGGACAGCTATCTCTGTACAATGAAGACTTTCAACTTTTAAAGAGATGTTTTCGAATATCTAAGAAGGCGGAAGATGGTTCTTCCAAAATTGCGGCCATGATTTTTGCGGCCACCGTATCTGACGAGTTCTTGCATGATATGTCTGAACGCAAACGCCCAGAAGCACTAGCCATCATGGCATTCTGGTGTGTTCTGCTTAGCCGATTGGACCCGAAGTGTTGGCTTAGAAATGAGTCTGTGCCCCAAACAATTTTGAGTGTCATAGAATCACATCTTTCCGCCGATTACTTGGAATGCATACAATGGGCTGTGCGACAGATCAGGTCTTCATCTACCAAGGTCACATGATTCACTGGGCATCAATACACAAAACAATAGACAAGACAGCTGAGTGTCAACTGATTATACCCTTAAATAGGTGGTTTCATATTGGATGCTTCTTGTACATCCATCTTCTGATGTTTCGAGGTTTGTACTCTCGTAACTTAAGGCTCTAGCATGAATGAAAACGAGCAGTACAAGAAGGTTCTCCTTCACCCAAAGTACATCCAAGCGTGTCAGAATGCCTAGAGAAGTTACAAGGGACGACTTCAAGGCTGGAGCCTAAATGAGAGGACGCATCAAGGTTGCTTTTGCGATTGTAAACCTGCGGCTGAAGTTGTAGAATTTGGGAAATAAACAAAGTGACGACTTCATGCATCATTCCCCTCCTGTTCCAAAATGAATCAGAATTTCGGATTTCAGTTGCCTTGGCCATTTTCGGTGACTCTGCGCTCAGCGTACTAGAGCCTTGAATGTTGAGCAAACAGTAAGTTGTGTGTTCACCAGCATGCACCGAAAGTCAGCCCAAGGCTGATAATTTCGCCTTCATCTACTCATCACTGATTCAAGTCAATGCAATGAACCAAGTGTTATGAGCAAAAAATACAGGAAATATTGAGGGAACCGCGAAAGGTAAGGATGCCATCGGATCTTTAAGTGGTCTCCGAAAAGCATCTTCAAGGGCGATATCAACTACGCGTACTGAGGGGAATTGTGGATTGTATCCCTGTTTTATTAGCAAGGCGGCTCTGCTGGGCGCAATCGTATCTTCTGCGCCAAGTGCATTATCGCGCCAGATTTTAAGTGTGTCGCTGTGCTATCTCGGCCAACTCCCGAAAACCAAGAAGTCTTGGGGTCTTGGATAACTTGGCCCGCCATCTTGGCCCGCCGCGCTCCTCAACCCGCCAGCTTCAAATCCACAACAACCTTGCAATAATCACTATTATTTGCTTACATTACCGAAACAGCTTGTCGCCTCTCTTCTCGTTGCCCGAGTCTTCCCGATCTGTATCAAGGCCAAGGAGCGTCGATCGGCTGCCGTCTGCCGGCTGGGCCAATCCGAAGATGGTATCGCTCCCGGCGGCTCTATGACAAGCATGCCGAGTCCGCCAAGCCCGCACGTCAACCTCATCACGGAGACTTCATCGCAAAAGGCACGTACAAAGTGATGAGTCCGGGACAAGCTCCAGGTCATGCTCTCGGATGATAGTTCTAATGCAAACCTCAATAACCCCACTCGATGATCTGTGGGCATCGCTGAGCGGGGTTTGTGTGAAAGGATCCTAAACGTGGCGGTTCGGATACAGTTCTGGAAGAACTGAGGCAAAAGCTTGCTCCAGATGCTGACTGTGGAGTGATTTAGTCTGGAGGCGGGGTCTGGGGAAATAACTTTCACAGGTGGATTGACATGGAGAAACGGGAAAAGAGCTTGTGGTCATGTCGTGCTCGTGGAGAAGGGCAGTAGTTGGTGTTTTCTCCATGATTCCTTTTCCTATAAGAAGCAACAGCGCTTCTCTTTTTGGCGGTGGTTTCTGTCTTCTTAACACAGCTTTCGACTCTTGTTTCAGTTCCATTCCACGCCGGCTCAGAACAGCGCAAAGTAATGGCCGCCGAAGACAAACCTTCTGCTCAGCCGAGCGGTAACGCCCCCTTCTCTAACACCACAGAGAAGCAGACTGCCGAGCAGGTCAACCAGGAACCGTCAATTGTCGAGGCCAACTATGGAGAAGGGAAGGGAGAGTTGCTCCCTTCTCCCGAAGAGCAAATCGATGCTTTAGGTATCCCTAATTGGAGAGAACTGGAGAAGCAAGTTGTCAAGCGCCTAGATATGACCTTGATGCCATGCCTCTGGGTTCTCTACCTCTTCAACTATTTGGATCGCGCCTCCATTGCGTGAGTTTTTTGCCTTCAAGTTGTCCAAACTCCACCGAATGTGATGTTAACAGATAAAATTTCAGACAAGCTCGTCTCAGCACTTTGGATGAGGATCTCGGCCTAGAAGGTTACCAATTTGGCACTGCTGTTTCAATCCTCAGCGTGGGGTTAGTATATCTTCACCCACTCCATATTCGGGAACTCCCTCTTAACATGTTATACAGTTATGTCCTAGGCCAAATTCCTTCCAACATGATCATCGGAAAGGTGCGACCCAGTTTGTATCTGTGCTGCATGGCCTTGGTGTGGTCCGGCGTATCAGCTGCTACGTGCGGCGTGAACAATTATCAAGGTCTCATCGCAGTGAGATTCTTTCTTGGTGTGGTTGAAGCACCCCTGTTTCCAGGCGTAAGTATTTAAACAGATCAGAGTTGTTTGCCGAGCTAATCGGTTGGTGATAACAGGCAATTTATGTCATGTCCTGCTGGTATACGCGCAAGGAAATGGCTCTCCGATGCGCGCTTCTTTACACAGGACAGACTCTCGCTTTCTGTACAGCGGGTCTCATTGCTGCAGCTGTCTTTGGAACACTGGAGGGGTCTTATGGCCTGGCTGGATGGCAGTGGTTGTTCATTGTGTTGGCCTGCACAGGTGCAGGTCTTGCCATGATTGCTCTCTTTATCCTTCCCGACTACCCTGACTCCACCACCGGTAGTGCTCGTTGGTCCATGACTGAAGATATGCGCAAAGTCGCTGCGGCCCGCATCTTGGCCGACCGTGTGTCCACCGCCGAGGCCAAGGCTGGTGTCTGGGAAGGATTGAAGATGAGCGTCTTCGACTACAAGATGTGGCTGCTCGTTGGCATGAACATTGGTATCTCTGCGGCGTATGGGTTTTCCAATTTCTTCCCGTCCATCGTTCGTGGTTTTGGGTACAACAACACCATAACTCTTGTCCTGACAGCGCCTCCTTACATCTTTGCCGCCATCGGATCTTTGGTAAATGCCTGGCATTCTGACAAGACGAAGGAGCGAGGATACCACTTTGCGGGACCCATCGCTTTCGGTTGTATCGGCTACATCATCTGCTTGGCTACTGAGAATCGCAACGCACGCTATGGTGCCTCCTTCATCTATGTTGGAGGCATGTACTTTGCCAATCCTCTCATCAGCACCTGGACCTCCAACACTATGGGCAGAACGCCTGAGAAGCGTGCAATCTCTGTTGCGCTAGTCAATGTTCTCGGCCAGATCGGCAATCTCATTGCTCCTTACTTCTTCGAAGATTCAGACGAGCCACGCTACCGTCTGGCTTTCATCATGATGATGGTGATGGGCTTAATTGCCTGTGCCAGCGCTATGGGGCTGAAGTTCTACCTTTATCAATCAAACAAGAAGTTGTACCGCACAGCAGTCCGCAATGGAACGGTATACCAGCCGTACGTTATGTAAAGAACGTCGACTGGCTCTTCTGCAGAATCTGCACTTAGGGGGTTTACATAAGTGCGATCAAAGATAATCAAGCTCTTGAAGTCTGGGAGACAAATTTAATGAAAGCATGTATCAAGACCAAAACTCATTCATCGTTAGACAAGTCTTCCAATAATTGAGTCTCTTGATTGCGAGCTACCTTAGGATATGTTATGCTAGAACCTAGAGCGACATCTCACCAATAGCGGCACTTTTTGCCAAATAAGGTAAACTTTCTGCTCATCCATCCAGTCCTGAGAACCATCAATGAGTTCAAGGTCAAATTCCCAAAGCAGCTTTGCCATAACAATCCGCAGTTCTGCGTAGGCCATGCTGAAAGTAATTGTCAATTAGCAGATTTTTAGTCGTAGATGCTGGGTATTTACCTTTTGCCAATGCAATTTCTGGGGCCAAAAGAGAACGGTTGACTTGCAGGCTTGTCGTCTGCATTGAATTCGGCACTGCTGTCCATCCAGCGCTCGGGGATAAACTCGCCGGACCTTGTCCAGTTGACCTTCGAATGGCCGGCTGAAAGCTGATGAACTCCTACCGCCGTCTGCCACAAAAGACATGTCAGCATTTCCGTTGGACTTAAATGTAGCTTATGGAAGTTTGAGGGCACATACACCTCCAGGAACCCATTTCCCATCGATCTCCTCTCCAGCACCGGGAACAAAACGCGGCAGAGCACTGGGGCTTGGAGGATAGATCCGCAATGCTTCTTCGATAACCGCTTTCAGATAGCGTAGCTCGCCTGTCGAAGAGATTGTTATTTCTTCTTCTTTGGAAAAAGCATTTCGGATCTCTTGTGTCAATTTGATGTGTTTGTCAGAGTTGCTGCACAAAAGGTATGTGATACCAGAAAGTGCGGTCGAGGTGGTACCGCTGCCTGCGACAATAAAAGCAGAAGCCATTCTGACAAGGTCCGCGTTGCTCAAGTCAGCCTGCGGGTTTTCTAGAATGTAGCTCATGAAGTCCTTCTTGTTCTCTGTTTGCTGAAGCCTCTTCTTGACCTTTGCAGCTGCCAATTCGCCGTGCTTTTTCAAGGCTGCTTTCTGCGCTTTCGGGGCAAGCCACTCCAGCCATCCCTCGAGGCCATAGTGAATGGCAAATTGATACCGCACAATGCTCTTTGCTCGGGTCCCGATGACTTGTAACCACGGCTGAGACGCATCATCAAGACAACCGGCAGCCTGACCGAAGGCCAAATCACTGATAATGTCGAATGCAGCCAAGCTGAACCACTTTCCCAAATCCTGCGGAGCTCCGCTCCGGCTTGATGATCGAAGTTGATTCACCAACTTGCTCGCGTAAAGCTGTAGAATCTCTTCTTGTTCTTTTAACGCCCGGTCGCTAAAGGCTGGTAAAACTGCCTTGCGAAGTCGAGCATGTGGCTCCTGGTCAGCCGTCACGATTCCGCCATTGCGAACCGCTGGGTTAGTAACGCTTGGTCCCGCGATTCCGCGTCCATCGAAGCACTTGACGAATTCAGGTGAACGTTGGCCATATATCTTCTTCCACGCGGAGGAGCTGGTGTATGAGAGTTCATCTGGCGCAATTCTTACAATTGGACCATAACTGTCGTGCAGTTGGCGGATCTTCCAGGCTAGGTTGCCTTTGAGATTGACAAGGTTCCATGGAAGTCGACTGGCCGCCCATAATCGAGGGCCAGGATAATGCCTCAGAGGGTGGAAAAAGATGTTGTATATCGCGCTTCCTGCGCTGTAAAGCACGACCTGGGAAGGTTTAGCTAGCGTTGTTCTTAGGCATACAATGACATACGAAAACAATAAGCAACTGTAAAACGCTTCCTGCACTAGAAGTGCCAAGCGCGGCCAAACGTGATAGAGTCATAGTTTCCGGTCGCTGGCTAGGATAGAAAATGACAAACAAAAAGCATTCTTACACTTGGCAGCGCCAAGAATCACAACTCGAAACATTTTTATGTTTGCTCTTAAACCTTGAAATTCACGTTACACGAGTCATTGTCGTTGTGTTGAACACCAGTAGCTGGTCCACTCTCAAAAACGTGCATAGCTGTGAGTTTTTGATTCACTGTTGTAGAAGACAAATCCTTGTTGCGGGTCCAGAAAAGATTGTGATGTAGTACTTGGAAAGATTGTCAAGCCAACGTGTCGGCTATGGCATCCTTCATAGTTGATTAAGTCTATGGATTATATATCATCACCATCGTCATCAAAGAAGTGTATTACTCTGGGTGCAAATGTGGTGTTGCCAGTCGCATTTCCGCCATATTCGAGGTATCCAGCCGCATCCACGAATGGAACGCCTGTGATGTCTTGGTAATCTCCCATGACCCAGACACTCTGCATGCCCATCACCATGTGCTGCAGAATATGACAGTGAATCTGCGATACCTGTTAGCTTGTAACTTGCTTTTGGAAAATTAAAATGATGCATACCATCCAGACGCCCGCGTCCTCTACACGCAAGCGCCAGGCTCTCCAGCCGGCGTTGGCACCTGACGTTGTCTTTTCGCCATATCGGTACAGGTTCGTCGTATCTCGGCGTACAGGGTTGTAGTTCTCCAGCTTTTTCTCATTCTCCGTGGCGTTATACGTTCCATTGCCACTTCCAATGTCCCAATAATGACCCCCGTGGGCATGGAAGGGATGGAAATCCACGCCACCATTGCCGTTGACAAGGGAACCAGTATTGTGGAGAACAATCTCGAGCACCTTCTCAATTGTTAGTCGATGATCATGGGAAAAGTGAATTAGTTAGTAAAAGTCTTTACCTCGCCCAATTTTGCTGGCCAAGTGAGTGTTGTCGGGTCCCAGCCATTGTTGTTAACCGCCGCGGTATAATTAGGAATTGCAGCGGGACCATTCTCATAGATATTGATGAGGTATGGCTTGTCCCCTGCGTACGGCGACGATGTTTCGTTCCATTCAAGGCCATTCATCTGCCAGATGATTGACTGTGAAGTGAGCTGTCTACTATCGATGTGTACGCGACGGGTCACCTCGCTTGCTTTGGGGAAGTTGTTAGGCTTCAAAGGCTCCAAAGCATACTCAGCCCAACTGTATGTTTCGTTGGAGAACTTTAAAGGCGGGCCAGTAGGTGCCTCGGTGATCTGCGGCTTTGCCTTGGAGTAGCGAAGAATACCATAACCGTGATAGACTTTTGGGCGGTCCTTGGTCTCAAATTGGATCAGGAAGTCAGTTGTTCCGCCCAGCTCCTCTTCGCTTTTGGCCTTGAAAATTACATCAAAGCGTTGACCTGTAGAAACTTGCATGAACCTTTCTGAGTGCGGCTTGGTATATGAGCCATCTGCGGCAATGATGGTAAAGTTCTCGTGGTTGACTATGCCCATTTGTACGAGTGAGATGGCGGTAGCACCAATGAAGCGCAAGCGATAAGTCTTTCCCGGCTCGACATCAATCACCGGAAGTTTACAGTCTCCTTTGCCTCCTGTCTCACCAATAGAGACACCGACACCATTGATGAGAACTGCGTTGGTTTCGCCTGACCAAACGAATGGTGTAGCGGTCAAGCCCTTCTCGATTTGGTGATCGGTTTTGTTGAAATAGTCCGAAAAAGAGATGATTCGCTCTTCATCGTAGGCGTATGGAGGCTGAGCTTTATCTTCAACGATCAAAGGCCCAGATGCTGTCATGGCCTGAAAGCCAACGTGCGAGTGGTAGAAGTATGTGCCGGCCTCTGATTTCAAAGGATAGACTTCGTAGTCAAAAAACCGCCCTGCTGGAATCGGCCATTGACTGGCTGCTGGCGTGCCATCCGAAAAGGGCGCCATTCGCATGCTAAGACCGTGCCAGTGCATTGTCGTGTTGTATTCCTCCATGTCGTTGTATACCCTAATCCAACTCCTTCTTCCTGGCCTAAGCCTCAGAGTTGGCCCGTGAAGACTTCCATTGACAACTGCTGACATGCGCGTCTGGCAGCCAATTGAAATATTCTCATAGGTCACCCTCAAGACGTGGTCCGGGGTGAACGCAGCGCCATGCTCATGTGTTCCTCCATAATGGCCTGGAGCACCGTGTCCAGAAGTACGTGGTGCCCAAGCTCCGACTTGCGTCAGTGAGACGACAAAACAAAGAACAGAAACGAATGACAGCATGATGATTGACGCGTTGAGAGATTTAGGATGAAGGAGGGGGCTTCAAACAAATATATCCAAGCTCACGAGCCCCTCATCTAATGTTTAACAGTGTTTGTCTCATCACAGTCTATACTACTTGCGCCCGCTGGCATTCTTTCCGCACAGCATCAGTACGAATCCGAGCGCTCCACTTCTTCCCCTTCATTCCAACTAATAAAGTTACCGTTACACTTACCACAAAGGGAATGCGATGTTGCTAGTCACATTGCGATTGTCGGGGGGTGGTTTTGTTTGGTTCTGCGACCCCAAAGTCTATTCGCCTTCAGTTAGGATTGAAAACGAATAGTGTTATTGAAGTGGGGTAATGAATGTTCAGTTGCCGACAATAGACTTCTCATCATCCCTGTACTGACTGAAAATTGGAATTAACTGTCCTTGTTTCTTTGATGTAAGAACTTAGCCTTCCGTTTACAGGGTTATGCTCCAGGCCGAACTCGTGTCCGGACTTCCCGAGTCTGTCGCCAAGATCTTTTTATTATATGGAGCCGTTCCACTCAATTGGTTCGAGCATCATGCTGATGGGTTCGGGGAGTCTGCCAGCGCGTTCATCTTGAAATCGGCTATTGTTGAGTTATTATATCGGAGTGTATCGCAATGATCAAAATACCAATGTTCTTTGGTCAAGAAATGGATTTTTGTTTATGCGATGACTTTTCAAATGCGTCCCCCCAATCAACAGCTCGCTTTTTTGATGACTTTGCCCAAGCCTACCTAAACTGAACTGAGCATCGAACCTGGCCCAGTGGATGTTTTTAACTTGTTAAGGTTTGGACTGCATTAAAGTAACCCCACAACTCGGCATTGTGCCTTTTGAAAACTCCGTTAAGTCTCCAAAGTCAACGGAGGTGATTGTATTTCAGAGTAGAACCCTTTCCAAAGTATTCCGCACTAAATCTTATCCAATCTAACTAGCCTAAGCAGTAGGTCGCCAACTCCAGACGAACAAAGCCGTGTGCAGCCACATCTCAACGTCCGACATGAGATCCTGTAAACGCACAAGGAAAGGCGTTGAAGAATTTCAAATGGCGACTCATTATCTAAGAAGGCTGACAATAGTGAATAAAGTGTAGAGTTGGACTACTTTTGAATGCAGGTGGATGGCTTCGAGCGACCACCATATGTGAAAGGACTCCGTCCAAAGGCTAACCAACCTAGGATCAGGTACATTTTATGTATTGCGTAAATCCTTTTGTTATCTCAAGATCCGGCGTACCTTTTGATTTATTTTCATTTTTACCTTTTTCTGGCTAACCAAAGGGTATCACTCACTATATTTTCATGATGTTGGAGCTCAGGTAACCATCTGCACATGGCTCGTAAGAGAAGTGTTGACTTTACCATTTCAATGCGGGGCGTAAGTTCTCCAAACGAGCAGAATGTCTGTCCAACCGAAGAGATGCCCAAATGCACTCCGACAGCTCCGCATAGCTATTAATTTGTACTACTGTACATTAGTGAACGAATTTCTGCAACCTTCTATGATTGGGTGCGACAGATCGTGCGGTCAGCTGACCACCGATCGTCAAGCATTGGTCGTTTACGTCAATGCCATGTCCTCCACTGGGTAGTGCTGGTTGCTGTGAACAGGGTTCCCGCAGTTTGTGGCAACATGAATGTACGTTGAAGGCTTAAAAGAAATCGAAATTGCTAAACTTCGGTGCTTCCGGGGCTGTCAGAAACCGATTATCCATATTATTTATAAAATTTAACATTTAAGCAACCACTAAACACCCTTGAGCCTTAAGTAAGCACACTAAGCAGTCATGGTATATGAGGTGTTTGAAATCACTCAAATATAATCATTCTTAATATACCATCGTCACTATTGGTTTTCTGCAACAGATCCTCAACGTTCCGCGGCAGTGAAGGCATCCTCTGCCGGAGGGATTAGACAGCTCTCGAATCAACGTCGCGAGATTATATACTGTTGTTTTGCTAACTCTTCGGTCAACTGATGCATGGATCGAAAACTTCTATGTTCTATACATAGACATCGTGATCCTGGTCAGGGTACTTCAAATGATCGGCACAATTTTCAGTTCGCACAACAATTGTAACCATTGAAGGGCGATCCTTCGGTTATTTTTACCAGTGGACAAGTCCGTCTCCTTCATCGAATTCTGCAGAGTCATGCCCCCCACGTCAAGTTAAATATAAGTATATTTTTCCTAAAGTGTTCAATCTTAACAACACGTCTACCTCGCTACCGCTAACACATGAACTATTATAAGTGCCTTCTTAAAACATGATCTAATCATTTATTCCTATAGTACTGGTTGAATTGTCGCTGGAACTAGGATGAGCTGCTGAGCTGCTGCGGTGCCTCAGCCCGGCCCCATGGGGCATAGGTCACAGCAGACAAGGGGCCTTCGTGGAGCACTCACATTAATCCACAAATTAAGGTTGACAAGGCTGTGGAACGGCTATCATCCCAGCATTTTGAGGGTTCTTCAGGTGGGAAATTGCTACCTGATCATAAGAGGAAAAAATAAAGAAGAAAAAAAAACGAAATGGGATCTCGCACTACATGTGCCAGATCTGCTCTGCCATTAGTCGACTGATGCCCCCCATATTTTGATCCCTGAGCACAACAAAGGGTGTGTGAAATTTCTTCCGGCAAATTTAGGTTCACAATCTTCTCCCTACTCGGAATTCCACGGGGACAAGGCCTGTTCAGCGTATCTAAATTAAAATTGAATCACACTAACTTTGCCTCCAATGAGCATCGTAGTCACAATTGTTTTCATTTTCTTACCCTGATATGATAACCATATAACATGACATTATTAAAGTCATGGGGGTGGGAAACTCCTCACAGACGGTTTTCAGGGCTTCGCTCCAGGTCACACTCTTAAAATAGGGCAGTATGTAGTGATACTGACAATGAGAAAATAGCTGTTCATTGTAGATTGCATTATCTAGGGCGCAAGTTTTCATTATAGGGCTTTATACCTTTAAGTAAGGGAGCTTGATTGCAAATGTTGATACAAAGGTGAACATGAAGTTAACTGATACATGTTACTTCTCACACGGAAGAGTAAAAAGATATAAACCTAGTCGGGCAGTTAACAAGAATGGCTCACTTGAACTTGATGTTTTTGAGTGATGTGTAGCAGTGTCAGGTGTTCGGACCACCTCAACGTGGGTTGGCAGAGCGTCAGCCGATACCTTCATCATGACCGATTATTGAGGGTAAGCCCTCGGTCTCTCTGCTACATAGCCAGCCTCGTGATTTTAATAATATAATCTCAGGAAATGATCTATCAGATTAACAACACTAATGCTCAGGTTTCATGCGATCGCTTGCTTTAGGAAACATGTGTGTTGCAAATGTGTTTCCATATTCTGTATTGAACAATCTTGGGGCATATCAATTGAATTACAGTAGGATTGACGGCTATCTGGATTTCCAAGTAAACTGCACGCCTCCATAGCGCTGGCGTGCGGTATTTAGTTATCCTTCTGTTTGTAAGGTAGGTTAGGCATACAAGCCACTGTGAAATTGACTTATTCCAGGATTCATATGTCGATCGTCGTTGATGCATCTGTTCTATCCTAAATCCCATTCAAATTTTGTATATATCCGCCTTGCAGAAAGGCATCGTCAGTGAGAAGAATCCAGTCAGTGGCTGCTAGCCTCCCCAATTGACCGTGATGACCCCCATAAGATGTTGCTTACAAGCTGCAGAAGATCTTGGAATGCAGATGGATTTAGTCATTTTGACACAGATAAGTTGAGGACTGTCTTTTATTTCACATAAGCTTACAGCGTTATGTTGTATAAGACCTTGTCGTAGAAGCAAGCCGAGTCGTTAGCGCACTGTGATATCGGTAACGAAATGGTTTCTAGCCTCGCCATTGGAAACAATGATAAAGAAATGCTTCCATCTTGCATAAGGTAAGGGCACGGAGAGTGGTTCTTACATTTATCACCCAATCAACCAAGCAAGCGCCGTACAGTCGGCCCGTAATAATCCACCTACTATTACGCATCTACCTGCATATCAACCATGCGATCTTGACCGACAAATGTCACCATTTCATTTAGTGCTTACAAACAGAGAGGGGGTTGATCTTGGCTTTACGGATGGTTATATATGGGATAAGTGTAGCCTCCTCAACTATGGCGGCTTTTACCTTGCCTTCAAACGTTCATTGAAAATGGCTGCAACCATAGCGAACAATCATGATGCGGCCAATGCCAAACCCCTCCTTCTAATGACTGCCTTTCCTGGTGAGGGTCATACGAATCCACTTCTCAACGTCGCGGCCCACCTTGTCAGGGTTGGCTACGACATAGTGTTCATGGCGCCATCAATCTTCCAGCAAAAGGTTGAACAAACCGGCGCCGAATATCTTTACATCGACAATCCTATCACTGAGTCCGTACTTCAAGCGTTTCATGATGCATCATATTTACCACAAGGCCCCGAGAGGTTAGCTGGTCAATACAAGGCGATATTTCTGGAGATGCAGCCGGTACGGACACAAAACACTGAGAATGCCCTCGTCATGTTGCAAGCCCGCGACCCTAGTCGCCAGATCATGTTCATGGAGGGTGTATTTAACTCTTCACTCTGGGCCTTTAGACACGGGCGACCCCTTCCCAAGGGACTTAATGTTTTGCCGAAATCAATTGGTTTTGGTGTTGCACCTGTGTTGGTCGAGAGTCAGGACACTGGGCCGATTTCCCTCGGCTTGTTCCCCGACTCCACTGAGTCCGGACGTCAAAGAAACAAGATTCTTTACGACCTTGTGGAGAAAGGACCTATGAAGCTCCTAGCGGATGGATGGCGCGAGACGCTCAAAAAGTGTGGGTGCACGAACATCCCAAACGACACAATGTTCAGATCGTGCTACACCGCCCACGACTTTGCCTTACAACTTTGCTCGCCTAGCCTTGACTATACATTGTCAGATCTACCACCTTCTCTGGAGTTTGTAGGTGTCCTTCCTCGCAGGCCTGTGACGTCCGATTTCCAGTACCCTTCATGGTGGCCTGAAGTGGAAAAGAGGCATGAGTATAATTACCGCCATGTCCTCTTTGTGTCACAGGGCACCCTCAATCCAGTCTGGACTGATCTAATCATTCCAACTCTGCAAGCTTTCGCTCGCAAACCCGATGTTTTGGTTATTGCAACGTTAGGGGCTCGCGGCCAGCATCTTCCCCAAGAGGTCACCATTCCTCCCAACGCTAGAGTTGTGGATTACCTTCCCTACGATACAATACTAGAATATTCGGATGTTTTCATTTCCAATGCGGGATACGGAACACTCACTCATGCTGTCGGCAATGGAGTGCCTGTACTGCTCGCGGGTGAGAACGAAGAGAAGCTTGAGGTGACAATGCGGGCGATATATGCAGGGGTTGGGCTCAGCTTAGGCACACAGACACCTACAGCAGAGCAAGTGAGGAAGGGCGTCGAGCAGATTTTGCAAGATAACAGCTACAGAAAGACTGCAATGAAGCTAAAGATAGAAAACGATGGTATGAATGCACTAGCAACCATAGAAGCAAAGGTAAAGGATCTCACACATTAAACGAGTAGTATACCATCATGTTCGCCTGAGATTCTTTACTGCCAGAAGCTTTAGCATACAGAATTGCATTTTCATAGGGAAATTATTATCGATCCACTTGTCAGAATTTGCCCGTCCGCTTTTTTTTCGCTACTACGTAGTCAGCAGTATTCATAACTTCTACTATTTTATAAGGCGAATCAGAATGGTTAGTGAGCTCAAGAAACAATATGTGCTAATGTAATTGTGTTCCCTGCTTTCAACTTTAGCATTCACTATTCAGTTACTCCGAATAGGCTCTTTCGCAATGCTATATTCAATTGTCACTTTCGAATGTGCAATGTATCTTCAATCCTGATGTCAATTAAAAAAGTATTCTAAGGTGTATTTGTTGGTCTAGGGGCGCGCCTCACGTTGTCAGGTTGAAAGGGTATTGGAGGGAGGCAAGAAGAGTCCTGGTGTTCAAATATCGTTGTGGCGACCAACTTCAACACATTTATGATGACAGCCCGCTTATTTCTTGATGTTAAGAAGGGATTTTGATGGAATAGTGGAGCTACTACCATTAAAAGATAAGAAACCGTCTTTGTGTATTTCATCAACTACTGGCTAGCAACAGGTAAATGTCAGCCTAATTTCCTTCCTAATTCCGCCAAACGCAGCACTATAGTACTCATATAATGAGATTGTTACAATGAAGGTATCATTTTGGCTCAAATTTCGGATGTAATTGACCTGTTGCCAGTCAGTAGTGGATGAAATAATCTGAGAGCCTTCTTGTTCCTATGGTCGCTGGCTCCACTGAGAGCATTACCCTTCAGCTCAAATAACTTCTTCATGACTGTATTTCAGCCATCACCAGGTGTGGAATCATCAGTCTTGGTATACAACGGGGCTGCTTCCATGACGCGCAGCATATCTCGACCGGGGGAACAGCATCGTATCCATGCTGTTCCTTGTTGAAACTTGGCCTTCCTTTGCACCTGGTCACTGGACATATCCGGTCTCAGTGATATGTTTTTTCAACACCAAGTCAACAAAACTTACCCTGTGACTAACTCCTGCGTCTGCAACAGTTATCTTGAACTTGTCGCGTTTCAACTGATGACATTGTCAGCATCAGGTTAACAAAGTATTGTCTGCTTACGATTGAACGAACTTGTACGGAGTACTGGCCCGGATAATGGAAGTCGAGATATTCTTTCAGTTGAATAGAATTGACCTGATTTGCAGATACGATGGCGTTTTTGCTGCCGTCCTGGTTGTTTTGCCATTGAACTTTGGCAGGTGACCGTATTGTTCTAGACATGTTGTCCAAATAAAAAGCCACGTTTTATGCCGGTGCCAGGAGTGTTTTCTATTTGTAGACCGAAGATGATCGTCGGTAAGCTCTTAGAGATTGTTTTTCGAACAATGCAAAGTTGACGAGTTTCAATCTGTTTTTAGTGCAAACAATATCTCATGTGCTCGAAAGTTTATTTGGTAGTAGGCGGCGTATATAGAACATAAATTATAACTTGTGAAGGCAATATTACATCGCCACTCCATGTAGGGCAGCAAATTGTCTTAAAGATCAATAATAAAATGGAGGGCTGTGGTTAGGCTTTGGTCGGTGTGACAAGGGCTCTCTTCCTGCTTCGTCAGTTGGCTATCAAACCCAGCTGCTTAGGCTCTCGTCTATTTGCCTCACTGCATGAAAAATGATTATTTTGAGCTTATCGTTCTGATTGGATGATGTTGAGCAAAGTGGAAGCAAGGAGCCTTTGTAATTTGCGAACCACGCGGCCCAGTCATCCTTTTGGTGGTCATTGTCATGCAAATGTGCGTTGTCGGCGCAAGTCTGGTGTCACCACAGCCATTAAGAAGCATCGGTTGATGCATCACCGGGTGGCTGAATGCTATGGGTGCAGGTCGGCTGTACCACCCACGTAATGCATTGGTCGCCTCGCATATCGGGTTGGTGTGTGAATGGATGCCAAGATGTTTGAATTCGCACTGCCACAGGCTAGAAAGTAACGATCCTAATACCAGTTCCCAGTCTCAACATTTGGCGCTCAGAGTCATAGAAGAATCCCAAGGTTGTTAGCCCCAAACTGTCCTTTGTATTGAAGACATCTAATTCTTTGCTTTCCTGGTAAGATTTGATAGAGCAGACGTCTAGATAAGATAAAATATTCTGTCGTTCCTGTGCGCATGTAACTTGTTCCAGTCAATTGGCAACATCAGGTCGGAGCTATGCTCTGCGACAGAAATTGGGATTTTCGAATGAAGGTCGATAAAAGGCAAGCAAAAACCGATGTGTTCTTCATGATTATTAAAATGCAGTAGTCAGCCTTAATTCTGCCCACATCTACGGAGTTGTTCACGTTATGTGAACTGCAAAAAGGTATGGTGAGCTAGCCCTCAAGAGATATTTAACCTGACCAATCATGTCTTCTTTTGATCAGACTGCGCCTTCGCCTATTTCTTGGTCCCCTTGCTCGTTGCCTCATCGGTTCTGCCTGATCGAAGCGTCAACATCCCTATGCTGCCCTGCAGCCTCGAATTGTCGTGTTGGTGCCAGGGCGGATGACAAGGCTTTCCCAAAACAGCTGAGATTGGGCGACCAAAGTATCAGTACAGACAAGGCCAGCTAATCATGAAAGACAACACTACTCCCTATCTGTAAAACTCGACTTGAAAGAAAACGTATAACAATGTCCGGCCGCCCAGTCCCTAGGCTGCCATCTTTTGTTCTACCCGGTTTCTCCATTTCACCGATCTTGTCGCACCATAATGTGCCGTTTTGCTGTCTCATAAAACTTTTGTTGCCTGACCAAACTCTTTTTCAGTTGGCTCATACTTATCCTTTGGTGATTTCACCGGTTCACCACATCGAATCGTTGTGCGCCATAGACCTTCGCCTTAGATCAGCCTTTTCATACAACTTTTTATCACAGGGCTTTCCTCTATTGTACGATGACTAGTAAGCTTTGTGTGGATTGATATGAAGTTCCACGCTCACTATGCCCGTATTAGCTGTAGCAAGACGGCTGGCGATGGAGCCTCATCCTGTCCCTGGCATCCCCCAAGGTCTGATTGGGAAGTCCAAGAAGCTCATCTTGGATGATGAGAATCGGGTTCAGAAGGTATACGACAAAGGAGAGTCTTTTCGTCTTCAAAAGGATAAAGAACGCCGGAAACGCGAATCCAAGTATAACCAGTTATCACGAGTGGATGATAAAAGTGACTGCGAAAGTCTCACCGACGCCATTGCCGAACAGCTGGACCAGGCGAAAGTTTCGTATCCTCTTAATCCAGACAAAAGTTTCATCCCCCAACCCGACTTTGACAGAATATTTACTTTTGAGTGCGTCCTCAGAATTGTCTCCACCTTGAATTGTTTGAGTTATCATACAAACAAGCACCAACTAGCTGGAGAAATTTATCACGGCAATGACTCAAGTGGTCCTTCCGTCAAGTTGCTGGCAGTTCTTATCGGCTTGGACAAGGTTGATGATTTCGCTCAACACATGTTAGTAGATGGCATGAGAGACAGCTGCTTACCGCTGCGAAAAGACACAGCGGATGGGAAACAAATTCTTACTTGCCAAAAGCACGGAAACCATAAAACAATCAATAGCTATCGCCGCTCAGACTGTCGAGAAAGATTTTTACATTGGGCTTACTCCGTTACCGCTCCATTGATCAAGTGGGAATCATCGCGTCACTCACATTATGTGCTCGATACGGGAGACATACTTCCCATGGACATTATCGACAAGGTGGACGAGGGTGATAGTACATCAAGCCAAACGGAGACAGCCCCTAAGTCCAGCAGCGGAAATACCTATGGGGGCTTCAGTGAAGTTTATAAAGTCAAGATTCATGACGGGCACTGGGATTTTGGTGATCATGGGGTAAGGATTCAATTAGTCTCGTTGGTGAATGTGGAGGCTAACCCTAAGGTGAATAGATTCGTCATCCTCAAGGATTCTTCGCATTAAAAAAGCTTACATCACACAAACGTAACAACTTCAACTTAGAGCTGTCTTCACTCTTATTTACCGGTAACAATTACCAGAAAAAGCACCTGATTCAGCTGCTGGCAACTTTCGAAGTGGTTAATCTTGCTTCCAGTGAGCTTACGACCTACTACTTTCTATTCGACTGGGCCGAAGGCAGTCTTACTAAGTTTTGGCAAAACAACCCGACCCTAGTACGAAATAAGGAGCATTGTCTTTGGATGTCAAAACAATTTTATGAAATTTCTGAAGCACTTCAATGTGTTCATAATGATCGTGCTCCAACCTTGCGTTATTTAGAAGATAGACAGTCTAATGAAGCGCTCTACGGAAGACATGGGGATATCAAACCGGGTAAGAACCATTCAATAAAAACTTCTTATTAGCGTAATGGATTACTGACATTCAATCAGACAATTTCCTGTGGTTTAAAGATGCTAGTAGCTCCCCAGGGCTACTTGTCCTATCGGACTTCGGACTGGGAAGACTACATACACAAGTATCGCGTTCTGCGCAGGATCCTAAATATTTGGAGAGATCTGCTTCTTACCGCAGCCCCGAGTTCGACTTACAGACGGGCCTAGTGTCCCCTAGATCCGACATATTCAGTCTAGGGTGCGTTTTCTTGGAATATGTTACCTGGTTCCTCCTTGGGTTCGATGTTGTCGAACAAGAATTCCCGGAGAAACGAATGGAGATCGACATATACACTTTTAAATCGGACACCTTCTTCTCGATCAGGAACCATAGGCCATACCTGAAAGCCGCAGTATCCGAATGGATTCAGCAACTTCAAAATTCTGCAGATTGCTCATGGTATTTATTCGACCTTCTTGATGTGATAAAACACAAGATGCTTGACCCCAACTCCTCTACGAGAATGCCGGCGAATCAGTTAACAAAGCGAATGAATGAGTTGTGGAGGGCATGTGAAGATGATCCTGATTACTACCTGAAGCCACGGCATTGAGTTGGTATATTATGAGTGGTACAATAAATGTCCCATGTACGTTATGTAACATAGTTCACAGTTCTAAGGGTTTAGAGAAGAGTTAAAGTTGCTTTCATTGCTTCGGAATCTGGCCCGCATTCAATAGCCTAAGGAGGTAATAACCATGCAATTATTTGTGCAATGGCTTAAACTCCTGTACATCGAGATTGTCCCCTTCATTCAATTTCTGTAGTGTAGCCTGACTTTTTCTTCGAGTTTCGCCATATCCGTCTGTTTGAACGTTTCATTAGCTTTTAACCATAGCTCTCGTGTTTGCTGGATTATACGCACCTCCTTCATTTGGTGGGGAAGTAGGAGGATGTATCGGTTCCATTTCACCTAAAACTACAGGTTAGACCGTGGTAGTAAGGTAGGCTGCACATCTTGCAGCGTATATATACATTCAATACCTTTACCTCATAATTTCCTTCGCCACAAATCTCGTTGAGTGATGACTGAAGTTTGAGGGGGTCATTGTACTTAGATCGCATCACGTGTGGAAACTTCTGTGCTGCTTGCGCTTTCGTATCCGCCATTGTTCATGTCCTTTGGTACTGATCAAAACGCTTACTAAGATTTCAATGACTTCTCAAATGATGTGAGGTGATACATATAGCCAAATGCACTGGTGATTTGAAGACTCGGTAGCACTGCGTTGTTCACTGCGTTTTGACAGTAGTGTTGTAGTTGTTTGCGATCCCACAATGGAGCGGTGCTCAGGATGCGAAAAAGAGGGGCAGGTGGACGGACGGGGAAGGAGCCCCGGAAGATGGGATGAGCTGGATAAGCCAGAGCCTCAAAAATTGAATGACATAGGCCACACATGCAAGTTGATGAGTCTCTTGATTGGTGCCGGTTGTGCAGGCTACATGATGTGGATTCCAATAGTAATCGGACAGCACATGCTAGCATCGTCTGCCTCCCCGCCCTGATCATACCTAAGTATGTCGATTGACGTGCAGCGATAGATGCAAGTAATATTCTCGCAAGCCAACCAGATCCTTTGGCCTCCTGCAATGCAAGCGCCAAACCCACAAGCGGGGAAGGGCATACTCAACAAGTTATAGAGTCTGGGCATAACAAGTTTGAAAGTTGGAAAGAATTCGAGGCGGGAAAACGTATGTCTTTTTCGTGTTGTATTTGCAGCATGCTGGTCGTGTCTGTCTTTAAATATACGACTTTTCCTTCACTCTGCCCATATCAGCATTTTATACGGCCCTGTGCGAGCATTAGATCTCCACTTCGTATTCAAATTTGACAGGGCAATCACTATATTGCGAACTTGTTGCAGATCTTTGAGCATGGACCTTCCCTATGAAGCAAAAGAATGGTCTGAGGCCGATCTAGGACTCTTTGCGCCTACTGAACGAAAGACTGTGGTTTTGAGGAAACTTGAGAGCGATGAGGTGGCTGCGAATGCCCCATCTGCTGCGCGATGTATTCAAGCTAACGAATTGTACTAAACCAGGAGACGATGAAAGAAGTACTTCACACCAAGGAAGACTGGGACAAATGGTTCAACCGAGTATGCGCCCTAGGCAGTGCGTTTACTGCGCTGATACTGCCGATGCAAGATACTGACTATTTGGATTGAGGCACCAGGCGTATCTCCGTCCTGGGAGATGCTTCTCCCGGGGCTTTATGTCGTGTATGCTTGACATTTTGCCAACCTATGGTATTATGCAGTGCTAACGATAGTCTGTAGTCTATGTAGTCGAGCTGCCCCAGTCTTGGGTAAGCAAGCCCCAGCAAGATACATTTCGTTTGAGAAATCTACATGGGCTCGACTCACAAGGGAATTCCATGTCCATCGGGAAATCACCAGAGCGATTTCACGCGACGTTACCAGCTTTACATCTTTAGCGCACCATGACAAAGCATCGAAAAAGCTAAAGATAAGTAGGTATATCTTCTAAGGCTCTCATTATTTACTTTGCTAAGGCCGTGCAGGCTTCACTGTACGCATGGCTGAGACACTGCCAAATGATTTAGCAATGTCATCAACATACATCCCGAGCACGGGATCATCGTTCACAATCGTATACGGTTGCACTGACGATCACATGGAGAGAATCATAGACAGGTTACAAGCGCCAAATGAACAGCTCGGTCACCTGTTTCTAATGCCAGGGATATTCGTCGAGCTAGAGCGGGAGAGAGTCGTCGATGCCGTTGAGGATCTCCTTGACAATTTCACCTTGAAATCAGACCATCTCGAGAGCACTCCATGGGATCCAAAATCTGACGCAGATGGCAAGGAGACTCAGAAATACTTGTCGCTGTGTCTGCGGAGCCGTAACATCATAGATCACATCCAAGCCTCTAAACGCCAGCTCCTTAAAGTACTAGAAGAGATGGACGAGGTGTTGGAGGCTAACGAGCGAACACGCGACGACTCGGAGAGGGGGGGCACATCATGGAAAATTGGATTAAAGATGAAGAAGCGGATGCAGGATATTGTAAGAGAGTATGACGACAAGATCGACGAATGTAACATGGTCATTTGCAATACATCCCTTGCCATGCAGACGGTAAGCTTTCTGCATGACAAGCGACTTGTGCTGTTGCTAATCAATTGCAGGTGTGGAACCACATAGTGAGGAAGGATTCGAGCACCAATACGGAAATATCTCAAGCGAATCGAGCAATCGCCTTGGAGACAAGGCATGAAAGCGCGCAAATGAGAACAATAGCCATCCTGACGATGATTTATCTGCCTCTTTCGAGCGTAGCGGTATGTTGACTTGCCAAGATGTCCATGCTGCCAGATGTTTCTGACAAGGTTAGGCCATCTTTTCGATGGATATGTTTAACTGGGAAGCGGGCATTGGGGAGTCGGTTGTGTCCGAGCATATTTGGCTGTTCGCAGTGCTATCTGTAGGGCTAACTCTTCTTACACTTGTGGCATGGCGCTTAGGCACGAATCGGGAGAGAAGGATGAGAGAAAACAAGTACTTCAACGCACCTCGGAGGCAAAATAGTCTAGTCTAAGAAATAAAGATGAGCATACGTAATGAAAAGGTTGAATTGGATTTACGCCGTCTGCTCATGGTTGTGACCATCTGGGACATGTGATATTGTCCTTATCCCTTGAGCCCGCTTCTATCCAGTACGGAATGGCTTCCGGTACATTGCGAGCTACAAAAAGCCCCATATAGTCTTCAAAGCTTTTGAAAAAGAGAGTTCAGATTGGAGTATAACTCACACTGTCTACACATGATTGGTTGTTACACATATGCCATGTACCTACAGCCATTCACACTTGACGGGACATCCCGTTCATTACAATCTATTCGATTTATGGAGATAATGTAGTAGGCAAGAACTAGACCACGGGAGTATTAGTCTTTTACAGAAAGAGGAGCAGATACTGTACCGAAGAAAATATATCCTAATTAGGGACGGCGTTTAAACTAGGAGGAACGAGCGGTGGCCGTGATTCCCGTCAATCAAGGCCTCATTGGCCAGCCCCGTGACTTGACATCCACAGTTGCACAGTAAGCCACTGTCCAGACACGGCGGAGATGAGAGGAAGAGTGGAGAGGCTAGCGTCAGTCGCGAGGGATAGGGTTCTTTCCCGAAATCACAAAAGGGGGCAGGCATACCTAGTGATCTGAGGCGGATGACATAATGGGCCGAAGGTCTCCCAAAGGAACCGTGCACCAAGTCTATAATAGTTGTGAGACTAGTCATTTTAGGACTAGTCCCTTGGTGAATGCTACTCTGCGCTCCTTTCCCGAGCATGATGCTCGCAGCCAGAACCCACTGTTACCGTGGGTTTGGGGGGCCAAGCCGGTACTTGAAAGGGCTCTGGCGGCGATCTATTGCAGTGATCCGATCTGGAGTGCTGTGCCTCACGTGTGGGAAACAACATGACGCCAAAAACAATTTTGATATTTTGGTGTTTTAATAGCCCCGCAGCATCGCGTCCTTCATCAAACCCTCATCCTTACCCATAAGCTACTACGTAAAACAATGAATAAGGTATTGCCGTGTTACCGCATTGCCGCGTTGCCGGGAAGTTGCAGCCACGAAACATACTTTCCGAAGTACCTCGATTGGGTCGTTCCTCGTACATTTGATTAGTACGTGCGGAAGTTGCAGTGGTTTCTTTTTTTTCCCCCGTGGGTACCTTCCCTTGGGCTTGGCCCATCAAAAAGCTGACATCGGCAGGTGGGAGGGGGAACTAATGTCGGGTCCGCGGACTGGTGGCTTGGTGTTTGGGAACTGGTGGGAGCAGGGTCGCAAGGAGGACTGTGTTATGTTATGTTCCAAACTCTATCGTCCTTTCCTTTCTCGTCTTGGCTCTTCTACCAGCTATTCAGCTACTTCGCCCCCCTGTTTCTTGTAATCGATTTTTGCTATGCTTTTTGTGATGATTTTGCTAGTATCCCCCTTGGTGATCTTCTAATCGTTCATTCTTCTCTCTGTTTACTTTTTCCCCTTCGTGCCACTGACCATACCGGTTTCACTCTCCCTCGTGTTAGTGATACACGTAGGTGTACATCTACCTTCGATAACACGTTCTGTTGCACTCCTCTGAGACAAGCCACATGCGCCGGACTCAACCCCTCCCAGCCTATTTTGCAGCACTACTTCCTTTCCGCGCTGAGTCGGGTTCCAGCTTAACTCCTCCCACTACCTCCGCCTTGTAAGCTTTCCCGTTACCTTTCCATGATCTCTGGAGGCCCGTTGAACATGCATTTAACCAACCAAGACTTGTAGTCTCAAACCTCAAGTGTCTCGACGAAGCCCTCTGACGATTCTTTTCCTTCGGCCGAGGACCATAGTCGCCCACAACCATGCCCTCATCTAGCGAAGATGACCGCCGGTCCTCGATCGATGCCATCGATTTTGACGCCGAACACAAAGAGCCTCTACTACCTGGATCAGTCCCATCATCACGGAGCCGCAGGAGAGGGACAATACTTGCATGGGTCAAGGCTAGGCCTCGCGTCTTGCTAAGAGCCTTCCGTCGACAGCCGCGCTCGCTCCCTCGACTCCTCCTGCGGCATTCCTTCATCTTTGTCTTGTTAATATTCGTTATAACTCCTATTTTCTTTCCCTCTTATACGCGCCATCCGAAACACTACAAAGCTTTGCGGAGACGATGCCTGGTATCCGACAGCTTATCCGGTTGCGCAAATCCCCAGAATGAAAAAGTATTTATAGCTGTCAGCTTATACGACCCCGATGGAGGGATTGCGGGAGGAGAATGGGGCAAGAACGTGCTGGACCTGATACACATGATTGGGGAGGAGAACGTATTCCTCAGCATCTACGAGAACGACAGCGGAGAAAAGGGCTCGGCAGCACTGGAAGAATTCAAGAATAATGTGCCATGTAAACACAATATCCTCATTGAGGACTCTGTCGACTACCGCATCTTCCCCCACATTACGATGCCCGACGGCACGCAACGGCTCAAACGGCTGGCATACCTTGCAGAAATGCGGAATCGCGCACTCTACCCGCTTGACCAATTCGACCCAGAAGTTGGAGTAGTCAAATACGACAAAATACTGTTTCTCAACGACGCCATGTTTGCCCCGGTCGACGCCGCCCACCTGCTCTTCAGCACCAACACCGGCGAAGACGGACGTACTCACTATCTTTCGGCCTGCTCTATCGACTACGATTTGAATGCCTTCACCGAATACGATCTGTACGCTCAGCGAGACGCCGAGGGATACTCGAACGGCATACCAATCTTCCCCTACTTCGCCAACTCGGGCGAGGGCATCTCTCGAAAAGCCATGGTTTCGCAGACGGACGCCGTTCCCGTGAAAAGCTGCTGGGGTGGCATGGTGGCCATGCAAGCCAAGTGGATCCAGAACCTTGAGAAGAAATTGCCGAGTAAGGACTGGCAATCTGTTGCGCACCACGTCATCAATCCAGACCATCCCCACAACGTCACAGCCCCGGTGCGCTTCCGTTACGAGCCCGAAATTTACTTTGACGCCTGCGAGTGCTGCCTTTTTCTGGCAGACGTATCCACCGTCGCGGAAAGGGCTGGGGAGCTAGATACTGGCGTGTTCGTCAACCCATATGTACGCGTGGCCTACAAGAAGCGGACGCAAGTCATTGAGCGTTTTGTTCGTCACTGGGAGCGCCTCTTTGCCCTGCCTCAAAGCATCATCACATACTTTTTGCGCTTGCCGACTCCCAACCCACACCGCGAGGTGGTCGAAGGACAGCGTTTCGAGGAGGAAATCTACCAGCGCAAGGAAGGATGGAAGATGGTAGAACGGACGGGCCGCAATGGCATGTTCTGCGGCGTACGCGAGATGCAGCTCATCAAGGAGGGGCAGCGCGTCGGCAAGAACTGGGAGAACTGGCATGGCATTCCGCGGGCAGACCAGAAGCTTCACTTTCCCTTGTGATGTTTTGGATGTTGATGATTACGGCGTATTGGTTATACACGGGTTTTTCCATGTTCGGACATTATATTTGATTATTCAATTGTCCTTATAGTGCGCGGTGTTCAAGATGGGCGGGGGTCATGGAAAAAGGGGGGTGGGGGTACGGTTACGAAGTCTACTATGGCAAACCTGAGTAGATATTAGAAGATACCACTTTCGTTCATGTCAGCATTTTAATCAAACCTTTAACCTTGGCAACAGCTAGTCTAGCTGGCAACTGGCATTCTGAAGCTGCGTTAGTGGGCAGTCCCCGTTGTAGCTGGTTTGAGTGGTTTTGAAAATGCCCCTCGCAGCATCCAGCAAATGTCAAAAAGGTAAGCTTGTAAGTCCCGTGTAATTGCACCCGTCATCACTTATCTGCATTAGACACCTTTTCCCAAGGCCCCATGGCATAAATACACTCGATCCAACGATATCCATATTCCCGATAGTCCCGACTCGCAAAGAAAATAAAATAAAATAAAATAAAAAAGCAGCAAAACAGCCCTGCAGCCAACCGACCAGAACAACCCAAATACTCACGGCAACAAAAACACACAAACATCCCTGACACGCTCGCTGGGCGACAACAAAGATGGTATCTCATCAAAGGAGGAGGGGGGAAAGAAAAAGACACTAGGTGACGAGGTGGAAAGCTCCGCAGACGAAACCAATGTCTGGGTCCTTCAGGTCTCGTAAAGACGCATTGTGTGTGCAAAGATGAGAGAGAGAGAGTCTCAAGGGGCCTCGGCATCGGCGACCGGTGTGACCTTCTCCTTGGTGGTCTTGGGCTTGGTCTCCTGGAGGGGTGTTAGAGCGGACTTAAGGTGAAAGTCGTGGGATAGAGAGAGATATATATATATATATACCTTCTTGGCGGCCTTGACGGCAGCGCTGGCCTTGGTGGAGGCGGCCTTGGCAGTTGACTTGGCCTGTGGATGATCAGCATGGGGGATTCAGGAACTCCTTGGGCGACAGATTCCAAGTACGAGGTTGGTGGACGCCTTTGTCTCGAGGAAAGCTCGCAGTTGAGGAACCAGATCGAAGCGCATGTTTTGCGCATCGATACGAGAACCTCTGGGCCTGGGGTGTCTATCAACATACCTTGGTAGCAACAGTAGGCTCCTTCTTAGCGTCGGCAGCCTTCTTCTTGGTGATGCCCACTGGCTTCGCGGCCTTGGAGGTAGCAGTGCTGGTGGTGCTCTTCTTGGGCTTCGCGCCAGTGGTGGTGGTGCGCTTCGTGCGAACTGGCGCAGTGTCGACGACGGGGAAGATGCGCGGCTTGGAGTTGCCGGTTTGAGAGCGGGTTCCTTCGCGGGCCATTTTTTCGACGATTTCTGGAGTCGCGATCTTTTGATTAGCTACTGGAAAATGAAGAGAATATCGACGCGACCGTGATGATATCAGCGCGATCGCGGGAAAATAAAGTGGTTGAGTGCGCGACCGAAACACAGGTGGGAGAGGAGAGAGAGGGGATATGATGGCGCGATAAGCGGCACAGACGCGCGGGATTGGCGGGCTTACGGGATGTGAAATACGGCGACGGGAGACGCGGAGATAGCTTCTGAAGCTGTAGAGACGAGTTAATCGACTGGTAAATTACGAGGCGAAGCTTTGCGACGAAGAACCTAGCGGTGGTGAAGGTGTTGTTTTGAAAAAAGAGGGAATTGGGAGGTGACGTGGTTGGGAGGGGAGGAGGAGGAGCAGGAGGAGGAGGGCCAAAACATACACACCACAAAGGTCACAAGGGGGCGCGCCGGGGAGGAGCGGTGTCGGCACCAAAACAAAAAGGCAGGGGCAGCGGTGATTGCCTTTTCGCAGTGTTACTGTGCCGTGCCTCCCCGAAAAGAATGAAACGGAGAAATGGTGTGCGAAAGTGTGGGTGAGCAAATCAATCAGCTTTCAACGAGGGGGGAAGGAGGAGGAGGTCTGCGACGGTCTAGATGGCCCGCCTGAGAGGCCTGAAAGGGCAGCTGCCATAGTAAAGTCGGACTAACCGACCTTGCTCTTTCTGTTTCTGCAGAGGCTCCTGCTCTTGGCTCTGACGATTTCCATGCGCTGTTCCTGCCATTACATAGGGTGCCTTTCCTTCCTTCGCTGTTGTTTTCACACTTTCCCCGTGTTCTTTTCCAGTATCGGAGACGGAAAGTACGGGGACGTAGGAACAAGTCAAACGGGGCGGGGGCGGACGGACGGGCAGGAGGGAGCTCCTACCTGCCCAGATGTGCTGCCCTCATCTCTTTTCTTCCTCTTGCCAACCGATTAATTTTTCTCCAGCATTTCGGCTTGTTTCCAGGATTCTTCCTTATCCGTGACTTTTCCCTCCATTTTAGGGGTTTCCATATATCGTCCCAGCCACACCGTCTATCTTCCCTCCAAATTGGCCGGTCTGGATTTTCGGTCTTGCTACCCCGTAGGGTAAAGTAAATAAACCCCGGAACTGGCGGGTTATTCAATGGAGCCCAACGATCTCGTGTCTTTCTCGGAATGTCCCAAATGGCGGATAGGCTGACCTGATTAAGTCCAATGCCACTCGACGATTGTCCCGTCTTCCCCGTCTTTCCCATGCCCAGCTTTCTAGCGACCTTTATAGCTTTCAACAAGTCAGCACATGATGCCCCAGTTTCTAAGTTGGAACCGCATCTCGTGTGGCACCATGGAAATTAGGGCACGCGTCGCCTGGCGCCCAGTTCCTGGTAGCGGGTGTCCTCCGAACCAACGTGGTGGCACCAGTCCATGTTTGCCTCCCTCGGCGCTGTCGCCTTCATTCTTCTTCAGCGGCATCGGTCCGTCTGAGCCGTGCAGCGCAAACGTCGCGTGTGACCGCAGCCACCGCTGCGATTATTCTTTGGCTTGGTTTCTGGCCATCGATCCTTCCTGTCGATCAAAGTGGACGGGAAAATGGTTGAGTTTGCCTCCATTTGCGTCTTTAGAGGGTGCATGAGAGGCGAAAAGATAAAGGACAATTGTGAGCTCGGCAACAATTATCCCGCCAAATAAGCAGCACAGCTTCCCCACAGCATCCCGAGTCAGCCCCAGGAACCGCCATGTGCACTGTCCCTGCTGCTATTTTTGCGCTTCCAAACAACCGTTGGGCCCCACACTTGTCCCCGGATTTCGCCCCGTCTTTTGAAGCTATTCACATATCCTTGCTTACACCGAACACGACCACTAGCAATCAGAGACACTATCTTTTTCCATCTCGAACTCTTATGTATTATATCAAAGCTTTTTTGGGCAATTTAAGTGATCATCGCGCTTTGTAAGCCTAAGCAATTATTACGGCCTGTACTGTTACTCGCCGACAAATTCCCCCATCGCTCCCGGCCTAGTGCTCAATCAACTTCAACCCTGGTGATTTACATTCCATGTCATCGGCGTCCAGGACGACCCCATTCCCAGCTTCAAACATTTGAATAACTCTTTTCTTTTCTTCCGAGAACCTTTTGAGTCTGGCATCTGTCTTCTTGGTGAAGCGCACAAGTTCCTTCTCATCGGACGACAATATGCGCTCGCCTTTCTTGAAATCTCGCATACGCTGATCCAGAAGCATGTAACGTTTCTTCTTCGCCCAGAGGGTCGAGATATCGGCGCCAAACAATCTGTTGAGCACGTCCGCATCGGCGCCATCATTGAACCAAATGGTCGAGATCTCGTTCCATTTCGTCTGCACATGTGCATCAAGAATGACCCGGCTAGAATTGCAAGCGTGTTGCTCCGCTGAGCTGTGCACTGATCTCTGTCAATACGGTCTCTTCTGGTCTCTTTGCGACGTTAGACAAACTTACGTTGAATGGCCATGGTCAACATGCGCAAGTAGTCGCGCTCCAAATCAGAGTGTTGATCGTTAGCCTTCGCAATAGCCCGCTCCATCTTCTCCTCGAAACTGACAGGCCTGAAGAGATTGGCAAGTCTTCCCCACCCTTTGCTTTTGGTGAGGGTGACGCCGCTCAGGCTGGAGTCTGCTACGAGAGTGAATAACTGTGACTTTTTCTCCGTCTCCATCATTTTCTCTTCCCGGAGCACAGCCTTGCTTTTTTCGACCCAAGTGACAATGTCCTGGCTGCCGTCCGACTCGTGGTCAATGGCAGCTTGCAGCCACGCTAGAATCTCCCAGTGCCGATAAATTGCCGCCTTGACCGTCGTATTGAAGCGCTCAACGTGGTCCTCGCTTGGTGCGCACCAGAGCTTGTGGAAGTGGTGTCTTCTAAGGCCGCGGTTCGTATCTCCTTCCGACAGAATTCGCTCGGCATTATCGATAGGCTTAGTCGGGTTGGAGAGTCTAAAGATGCATTTTCTCTCCGGCATTTTCTTCAAAATCGTCAGCAAGTTGGAAAAGTTTCGACAAGATCGAACCGGACGGACAAACCTCTTGATATTTGCGCAAGAACTGCTCCATGGCCGCGACTGGAGTGCCGTCATCCATGCGGTTTACCGTATAATAATAACTTTGTAGTCCCCATCCAGAATTGGATTTACATGTGCTCTTCTGTACATTGAAGTTATAGCGCAGCATGTTTTTGAAATGAAGATTTCCCCGCTCGCTGGTGTCAGCGGAACGTAACCGGTCAAGAACCTTTTTGATTCTGCTGCTGGCCTCGTGGTATACCACTCTAGCTTCCTTGATGTCGTTCTCGTTTATGGACTTGTGGGTGAATTTTATCTGTATCGGAAGGCCTGTTAGTATTGCTCTTCTACAAGTTTATTTAAGTTGATAGGCCACCATGGTATGGCTACGCACTTTGAACCTCAACAACTTGACTTCGTCTGCACCCCGACCATGAGCTGCGGCGGGCTCTCCGGGAATGGACATGGTCCAATCCTCCAGATGCCTCCTGTTTTCCTTGAGAAGAAGGTAGTCCCATAGTGAAGCGACGCATTGCGGGACGTCCTCGGGAGCGGCGTAGTACACGCACTGCAAGGTGAAAGACAACTTTTTCGAATCCATGATGAATGCTGTTTGTGACCCTTGAAGCCTGGAGCCAAGCCGTTCGAGGATAAATGAGAGGGAACTGAGAAAGAGGTCAAGCAAAGACTGAAAAGAGGTCGGCTTTATATGGTGAGAAGTGCAACCCGGCGGCACTGGTATAATCGTGGTTGTAGGGAAGCTATGGCGGTTTGGCGGGACCTGGATTTTAGCTTTGGCCGACGACCTTTGTCGTCAGCGACAGCTCAGTGGGTAGTGGCAATATCTGTTTCTACTACTTGTCCCTCAGACGAGAAGTTTCTTGGTAAAGTTTGGTGGAATATTGGTAAAGGGCACTTGAGGATCCTCGTATCCCCAAAGTCAACCTAGTATGGACAAAATGGACGCTGAGCCAAGCTGAAGCCTTCTTGGGTACGAACCCTTGTGGCCAAGAAAACGTAGAAGTCTCTATGTTACCAGACCAAAGGCACTTCCAAATCCACCTTCAGCTTGGTGCTTTGTTTGCGTTTGAACAAGGCTCACAGTCTTGGGTACGGTGTCTGGATTTTGAAGCTATAGTAAGTGATTCTGTTGGCCTGTTACAGATGTTCTGTTAGTTCCAATTACATGCTTGTCGTTTTCACCAAGGTCTGTCTAACGGCAAACATGATTAAACCGACTTATAGTCATTGAAACGCAAATCAAACCAATATCTAAAATTTTGTCTATCCAGCCTTTCCCTCTTACACTAAGAATACACCACTCTACAAAAATTTTGTTTCCCAATCCACTCGAACATGGCTACTACAACCCGTCAGACGCTCGGCTCAGTTGCGCACGCCTCCAGCCACCCGCATACTTCCACTGGATTCCAGCACCAAGAACAGCAACGGCCTGGACAGCAATGCAGACCGTAAACGCCAACCCAACCCCAATGGCATTGACCATGGGCATGACAAAGCTTGTGCCGCCAGCGGCAAATAGACACCTCGCCAGATTCAGGCTGGCGCTTGCCGCAGCGCTTCTGTCAGGAAAGACGTCGACAAGGTATGTCATAACGAGAGACTGGGTCGAGATAGCCGTCCAGCCAGTCACGAACGTAGACGCAATAGGGACGGCAATGTGCACCCGGTCCGGAAACTGGATTGTCCATCCAAACACTGCAATGGAGGCACACTGTAGAAACGCAAACAGGGGAACCAGACGTAGACGTGCTTTCTCAATAGGAAAGTCCGAGTTGGTGCCAGCGCCCCCGAGCTGTGTTTCAAGCCGCGCCTTCACGCGCCGGTAGTCGATGTCGAGTATCTTCCCCGTTACGAGAGTTCCAAAGATGGATCCTGCGCCGTTGGCTATGAACGTCAGTCCGATTTGGGTATCTGACAGGCCGTATCTGCTCTTGAAGAGGGTGGACATGGCAGTAATGCTCATCTGCCAGACAGCGTAGTACACCGCTATGAAGATGGTAATCGGTGCCGCCGATTTGCTGAACAAGATGCGAATGGGTGCCGTCAAATCGACACGCTTTTGAACTCCCGTGTTCGCCGCTGCTTCTGCGCGATTCTGCTTCACCTTTGTGGCTCGTTGGTAAAAGACCAACGGGTACCTTTGAAGCAAGGTCGGCGGGGTGTTGCCGCCGTTTCCCACCATAGATCTCAAGGTCTCGGGCAGTAGAACAACGAGAATCAACAGGAAGGCTCCGCAGTAGATCGTGAGGAACCAGAAGATGCTTCGCCAGCCCAAAGATCCGGCTAATGCGCCACCGATAACTGGTCCTATGGCGACGGGGGCTAAAAGCCCAGCTTGAAAGATGCCCATGTAACCGCCTCGCTCCTCGCGAGTCGTTATGTCCCCAATGACGCCAGACCCAATGGCTATCGTGCTTGCGCTACCCGTACTTTGAAGACATCTCAGGACAATCAAGCCGGCGTAGGTTTTCGTCTCGGCTAGGCCGATACATGCTCCGAAAAAGACCAGGAACGTACCCATATATGCTATGCGGCGACCCTTTACGTCGGATATTGGTCCCCAGAGGCTAGGTGCTAAGCCCTGGAATATGAGGTAGGTGGTTACCGTCAAGTTGATCAGCTCAACGGAGACATTCAAGTCCTGGGCGATAGTGGACAGAGCTGGAAAGTAAATGTTGGAAGCGAAGCCAGAGACTGGGCAGTATCGTCAGCACAAGTTCCAAGATTCGGAAGAGAAAGAATAACCTACAAGTGGCTGCTGTTGATACAATAAAGACTATTAGCCCTTTTTGCCGCTTATCAAAGATGCTGTATGGTTCATCCGGGTCAGGTTGTGACGCAGTGTTAATACTTGCGTCGGCGTTGCGAGCTTCCGAGGCCATTGTGTTGTACTTTAATTGAGGAGAAATAATAACAAGATGCTTCTTTTGCTTTATTTCCTTCTCTTTTATTGCGGCGTGCAATGTGATAATGAAGTAGCAGCAGTCTCATCTCTTATAGACGTCTATGGTCTAGACCACTACTGACGTGATGGCGAAGTAGGAAACAAGGACTTCGGAGTTGAGCTCCACAATTTACGGAGTTGAGCCCCTCAGCTCCGGAGCTCTAGTGTGGCGTCGGGCCTCTCGAGGAGCAGATTAAAGAGGCGGACTTTGCGAGATTGATCGAAGGCCGTCGAAGTATTTCTTTCGTAATATTGTTTATTTTGTCGTTGATCTCTCATTTGTTTCCTGATAAGAGCACAAAATGGCGTGCATCAACCCGACAAATCGTGGAGGCGCTGCCTTTGGCAGGTGTTACGCCATTCTCAACCTCGACCTGATGTCTATTCTTATAGACAACGTCAAGGGCACGCCTGAGGGAGAATCTTTCATATCAAATTGTGTTAAATGGAACGAGGCTGTTCATCAGAGAGACCCTCGGCCGCTTACGATTTTCACCACGCTTTACTTCGCCAACGCTGCCCAACCGGAACTCAATCCATACTCTCCATTCGCCAAGATCCTGAAGGGAGTCGACACATTTGAGAAGGGCTCTGCAGCGGTCCAGATTGACGAAAGATTTCGGTTGGACGAGAAAGATATTGTGCTCCAGAAAACGAGATGGTACGCTGGCTCAGGGAATTCTTTGGAGCAGATACTGAGGGCTCAAAATATCGACACTGTGATCATAGTGAGTTTTATAACCCTGTCTGAGCGGGAATTATGGCCATGGTAGTAACTTGATAAACCAGTCCGGAGTGACACTATCAGGCGTCGTCATGAGCACCATCTATCGTTTGTTCGACCTAGACTACAACATTTACGTCATCTCAGACAACGTTGTGGACTTTGCGGGCATTGGAATGGCAGAGCTATCAGACTCATTGAAGGGAACTCTCATGGGAAACATGAGAGTGAAGGTCATAAACATCGAGGAGGCTTTGCAAATGCTAGAAAGGTCTTGATTCTCGGCATTTCGCCTACGGATTGCCTGAATATTGCAGGTGTTGCCCACAAGAGCAATGCATATCTCTACTAGCAATACCGATGCAACCTGTCATCAATTCAATCTCTGAAGGAATTAGCCTCCATGAGTGCAGCTAGTGACTGCATACATCATTGTTCCATACTCATCGAGGTCTTCCAACCACAGATCAACCCGATCCCGTTGCCTCTCAATGTCTGACTCTCCAAAGTCTTGGGGCATAGGCCACAGTTCATCAATGCGGAGACCTCCATCATTCCATGTAGCCAAGTGGACGTTGTACTTGATCTCCCAGTCATGCCGTTCTCTTGCTACCCACAATGACTTACTTCCTGGGGCGAGCAGTCCACGAAGCTCAATAGCAAGATGGCTCGGAAGCCCATCATGCCTCAGTAAGGCACTGTCAAGCATACACATGGTGAAAAGTGTTCTGCGCTTCGCCTCGGCAACTATCCAGGCCTCCCACCTTGGCCGAGCCCCTTGCTGTTCTGCTGCACACGTAAGACCGTTTCGCGAGGCTGCGCATGCAAGCTCTTGTGCGTTCATCATCGCTTGACGAAGGAACGGGTCATAGTCTCGGCCGAGTCGAAAAAAGATGACCATGGCGTATATAAGATATGCTTGAAAGGCTGCGAGCAACGAAAAGTCATCAAACTCATCCTTTTTCTCGTACAGTTTGGTCATTTCTCTCTGCAACACTTCAGCGGCAACACCCGCGCTTCCAGGAAGAGGCCGATCGCATATTTTTATCACAGACAGACATGTTGAGAGCGGCAAGCTTGAAGGTGAGCTCAGCTGTGACCAGTGAATGAACGGCGGTATTCGGGTGCCGTGAACTGATGCGTTTGCGTAAGATTTTAGTATCCGATGAATAAATGCCGCAATGTTGGGGCTGTATTCCTTGACTTTCTGTCCTGGCAAGGGGACAAAATTGTTTAACCACCGGTTCGCGATGTCATCGGGGTTAATGGGGCATATCAAGTCCAAGTTGGAAAAGTCAAGCTGGTCTGCAGTCTGGCCTGGTTCCGAAATTGGAGGAAGTGGCACATGCCTAGGTAGACCGTTGCTAATCTCAATAGTTGAAGATGAGTAACCGGCGGTCGAAAGGATAGAAGCATCGTTCGATGCATCATAGGCAGGTGATGGAAGGTTGCTTGGCGTGTCCGCCGTAGTTCCTAGCCCAGGCCGCACATCTCCGGAGCCGTCCGTAGGTTGAGGGGAAGACTGGTATTGTGGGTATGTGCATGACAGGCCTCGCTGTTCACAGCGAGTACAGCATTCCGCTTTCCGATCACACTTGGCTTTAGCGGCGGCGCATTGATGGCAGGCTTTCTGTCGTGAGGTTGAATATCTCGTGGGCCGCATGATTGGGGGTCCGTCATGTCCGAATGTCGAGTTTGCTACGAGAGCCGGGCCGGTTCCTTCTGGGTCTGCCGCCCTTTGCCGGGGGGACGCTTGTCTACGTAACGAAATGAGGTCACGGCTAGAACGTGAAGCAATAGACCAATTCGAACGACCCCGCAAACTCTCGAGTCCTAGCGTCTGCGGGGGAAAATGGGTTTACGTAATATGTTTGGGGAAATACGGCAAGTTGGAGCCATATGATGGGGCGCTCGTAACACGGACAACTGCCCGGCCGCGGCTCGATGGGTGCTTGGCCTGGGGAAGATGTGGGTGCTAAAGGCTTGATGGGATCAGACATGGTTAACCGCTGCCTTCAAAGAACCTGATTTGGGGTCGTATACTGAGACAACAGGTTGGTTGCGAGACAGGGAGGGAAGCAAAGGGACCAGTTCACACTGCGCGGGGGAAGAAGTGTCAAATGATGAACAGTGTTTTTATCATTACAATAATTCGGATGTCTTCTAGCAGTTCTATGTAGTACCTGCTTACCACATTCTTTCCCAGCATCTTCGGACAAAGGGCATCTCAGCAAGCCTTGCCCTCTCCACCTCCTCGATGCCGCCCTCCTCCCAATGTCTGCACTCGGCGTCTACCTCGGCCTTTCCGCTGAGTAGATCAGCTTCCTTGGGCTGGACGAATCTCGTCCTCTTGAGTACTTTCCAGACAACAAAAGTGAAAATGCCAAAGATGAATCCAAAGTAGGAAGTGATGAAGCCACGAACGCTAAAGGGGTGGAAGTTGTCGAAGCCGACAAAGATCAGGGCCAAAAAGCCAAGAGCCATGGCGAGGCAGGGAAAGTAAGGAGTCAAGGGGGCCACATAGGGCAAGGTAGAAGGAGGGAAGTTCTGGGCGACGCGGGCGCGGTAGAAGCCCATGTAGGTAATGAGCATGAAAGTGTATGTCATGATCAGGGCGGTGGTGGTCAGGTCAACGAACCAGAAGAAGACCTCCACGGCGGCGTTGGAAGAAACGAGGAAGGTGATGCAAGAGATCAAGGTAACCGTGAGGACACAGTAAATAGGGACACCAGCGGCGGTGCACTTCTGGAGGAACTTGGGGGCCTGGCCATCGCGAGCAAGACCGTACAAGGTTCTGGAGCAGGAGTAGAGATAGGCATTACCGCAAGACCTTCAGAAACAATTAGTACCAGAAAGAGCCTAATTATAGCAGTGATAAAACTTACCAGCCGGAAAGCAGGATAAAGGCATTGATAATGTCAGGGAGGGCCTTGATGTGCAAGTTCTTGATGCCAACAACCCAGGGGCTGGCACCGGCACCAGGCTCACCATTCTCGATGGCGCCAAGCAAGCCAGGATCGCGGGAGCTGCAGATGATGCCAACGCACAAAACACCGATAACGTAGAAGCCAACAAGGCGGTAAAAGATGAGCTTGGCGACGCGAGGAATAGTGCGGCGGGGGTTCTGGATTTCACCAGCTGCGAGAGCGATCATGTCGGGGCCAGCAATGGTGAAGGCGGCGTAGATGACAACCTTCCACCAACCCAAGAATCGCCCTGTAGCACCTTCGACAAAGTAGGAGTGGATGTAGTTGCCGTTGCCCCAGTTGCGGAAGCCATATGCATCGTTCAGAGGGTTACCGCCGGACATGGTGACGAGAGTGATGAAGCAGAGGCCGATCAAGAGGACAACCTTGGTCGAAGCCATGATGAATTCGGATTCTCCATAGTATTTGACAGCAATCAGATTCACAGCGACACATGAAACCATGGCAACCGCGATCCAGGCAGCAGGGTTGATGTCGGCGTTCCAATATTGAATGACGGTTGCGACGGCGCTGTATTCTGTACACACAAGCATGAGACCAGCGAAGAAATAGGTCCAACCCATGGCGAATCCAAGAGCAGGGTCAACAAAGCGAGAGGCGAGTTCGAAGATGGAGCCACGGATGGGCAGGTATGCGCACATCTCGGCGACTGATAGGTTAAGAGGCCAGATGAAAAGGAGACCCCAAAACGTGTAACCAAGGACGAGGGAGAGCGGGCCAGCTTTCGAAAGGACACCGCCGATACCGACCTGTGAAGGTTAGTTCAACTTTCTTGAGAAGAGACAACGTAAAGAACATACCCAAAGACCGGTTCCGATGGAGCCTCCAATGGCCATAAGCTGAACATGACGAGGGCTCAAGCCACGGACGGTTTCACCATACTGTTGTGCGACGGCCGCTCCATTGCCAGAGACGACCTGACCGAGTTTGTTGCTGTTGGTGCTGTCGGCGCGGGAGAGTCCGACGTTCTTTTCTCCCATGTCGGCAGCCATGGTGGTGATGATGGCTAATGTTTGGTGTTCTTCAAGTCTGGAGTCCGATCCCCAAGAACGAGTGTAGCGAGAACAAAGCTTCGGACTCAGATGCAGGGTCGGCAAATATTTTGCTCACAACGCCTATCAGACCGTTGGAAGATGAAAGACAAGAGCTGTCAAGAGCCAGGATGGGATTGAAGAGAGAAGGGCTTCTATTTCTATCAGAATGTCAGAGGAGTCCATGACCCTAGCCGGTGCTACCTTGCCTCTCGTCCGTGGTTCCATGCTTTTCCCTCCTCGGCTAGTAGGACGCCAACCTTCATCTGACGTCTCCCGGTTCCTGGGATGTGAAAGCAAAGGGCACTACTAAAACGCCGTATGTAACCACGTAACTTACTCGAGCTGTGATAGACAAGACCAACCGTCGACTGGGGCCCCCATCAAATAGGGGCCCCGCAGAGATAAGCAAAGCGCTGGGGAATGGGTTAACGCTTAGCTGGGGCGATCAGTGGTGGGCGCGGGGTGGGAAACCCTGGTCGGAGCAACGTCAGAGCGGACGGTACCGACGATAACGGAGGGCCATAGTCATCCTTTCCAGCGAGCTCATAGGTCACTTCACCCAATGTAGTTTGCTGACTATTCCTCGTAGTCCCACTGTAAAGATACCGGTGAGGTTTGAGATGCATAGCGACGGAGAAAATCACCTCAAGCTTTAGAGTAAGACAATCATGAGGAGTAGTTACCGATGATAGGTAACCATTGTTTCGTGAGCGCTGGCTATACATGGTATAGCGACAAGGGCAGAAGGAAAAAAAAAAAAAAAAAAGGTCTCCGATTGAAGAGCCCATTGCTGATGATTGGAGAAATCCAACCATGGTCAGCTCCTGAGTCCAATTGCGGTAATACGAGAACTTCGCTCTCAAATCAAGCCTCTATGCCGTGGCCGCCATAAGCTCTCTGGGGCTTGGCGATGGGTCGAGAACGATCCGACGTCGGCTTTATTGACTGGAGAAACACCATTATCCGATAGACGTCGTTGGTGCCCCATGTTCCTTGGTCCCTCTAGAAAGATGTGAGAGGCGAAAATGGAACATCTTGGCTGCCACACTACCGCTAATACACCGCGCGTGCTGTGCCGACGGCCACGCCGAAAAGGTGTGTAGCGTCGCCATCTGCTTGCCGGTATTAGCAGACAGTGGTTCGCGGGAACGAGCCTGAATGCCTTTGCACCGCTCAAGGGGAGGGTGGAATGATTTGCTGTGGCATCTAGGGAGGCTGCACAGGAAGCGGGTAGAACCCCGACCAGCCCAACCTAGTACGGTTTGGCGGGAGTGTCGGGACTGACTCGCTCACTGTAAGCTGTATATTGTATGGCGTTCAGTCGCTCAGGACCCTGCCCATGGCTAAGGCAGTTCCTTAGATCGAGGAACGGTTGAAAGACCTCGCCGTAAGCCTCGATACATTCTGCCAATGAAGACGAGCCCCGCGTTTTCAGAACGGTGGCAATCAGACGACAGTGGAGTGGTTTCAGACACATAGTGCCCTGTCATCCGGGGGACCGATATCACAGGCAAACATGAGCCAGCCCTCTTTTTTTTCAGCGTTAGTTTTATTACGGGTCATGCTCGTGCACTAAGAGGCCAGATAGGACCCAGCCCGAGAGAGTGGGTTAGAGGGAAGATAATGACAGACCGGAACGCAGATGGTAGATCGTGAAAGCCGGGAGACCCTTTGGGGTAGCGGCGCACGTGGATATGCGGGTGCCACGAGGTTCCAGTAGTTACAAGATGCCAATGCTCAATAACACGTCAAGGTTTGAGGGTCTTGGGATGAGATAAGAGACTGGTAAGAGAATCGAAAGCTATATACTGGATTGATTTGACTTGCCCTGATGTCTCCCAAAGGGCGTCATTGGCAGCTTTGAGCAAAATGGGACCAGTCACTCGCCCAAAAGACGTGATACCGGTTGAAAACCCCTGGCAGTAAGGCAGGCAGGCCCGGCCTTGAACGCGAAATGGCGGACCGGGAATCCGTCCCGGTCACATCTAACATGAGCCGGCATACCGGCCGGGAATCAACACCAACCTCCACATGCTCGGACCTAATCACCTAGAATGACACTACTGAACTTCATCCTAAATTTCGAACCAACCGCAATTGAAACATTGTGAGAATGGGTAGAAAAATAAAAAGAAGCATTGGGGCCCGAAGCGGACTCCACCAAAGTTCCATCAATGCATATGATCTCGAAAGTCTACTACCTTACTACCGATCATCTACTGCTTCCACTACTTCTAATCGTAATCTGTCCACAACAGATACCGTTTCGTAACATCAAAGTCTCCAGTCATCCTCTCTATCTGCACGTATATGTTTGCTTTCCAGCGTCACGTTGAAGGGGCGGCCTCAACTACTCGTCTCATACTCCCTCTCCCTCTCTCTCCGACTTGCCGACCGGCAGAATGCCAAATTGCAGGGTATCATGGTAAGAAAATTGCAATCTAGGCATCGGTTGCCGTAACCGTAACTGTGATAGCGGCCTTTTCTTTTCCCTTGGAGGTCGTCACAGTCTCGATAATGGTCTCCGGCTCGTCATCATCATCCTCTTCCTCTCTGCCCGACTCCAACAGCCGTCGGGTACCTCGCCGCCATCGCCCCTTCAACCAACGCCGTCAGCTTTTCGTGCCATTCACTGTCGTCTTAGGTGTGCCCTGTGCGCGAGGAGTACGGTCGCCGCTGCTCCGCGTGCCGTTTGTGGGAATGTAAAAGTCGTAGCGGTTAGGGAAAAGGATAATGTTGGCCAGCCGCAGCAGTTCTGTTTCCGCCTCCGTCTTGGACTTGTTTCGCGTCCCTTCCTCATCGTCAACATCCATTGCATCTGCGTTTAGGTCACGGGTCTTGGGCGATGCGCCAGCAGGCTCGACGTCGTATGGCGCCAGGCCCATGGCTCGTAGGCCATCGACTCCACCGTAGTCCTCGACTTCCTTAGCACCGGGACGGTCCTGGTGTGAGGCCTCACTTCCCAGGCCGCCCAGCGTGTCGAAATCCGGTCCCGGCTGTCCGGTTTGGAAGGCTTTGCGCTGACGAGCGAGGAAGAGAGCATTGGTTTGAGTCAATGGACATACGGGGGTGTAGGTAAGCAGGGAGAGCTCATTGGACTCGTCTTGCAAGGATGGAGGGACGCCGAGCTTTGTTCCGCCGGTAATTATGGAATAGGCCTGATCACAGTGCCAGATAACATAGTCACCCGCTTGAAGACTAGGCAGAGAGACCAGGCTCCTGCGGAGATGTAGATGCGGGTGCCACCTCTCAGTGATGCGTTGGGCATGACCGGGAACGGCGCCATGGATGATGGTATTGGGCTCCGGGTCGAGGGACCAATTTGACGCGTCGAGATACGCGGCCCATTGATCAGCCTTGCCGCCATCCGGTTGCTCTGGCGGGCCCCGTTTTGGTGAGAAGAATGGACGCAGTAGGAAATATGCAGCTACGAGCTTGGGCGAAGGCAACACGCGCACCATGCCCTGCTCGACTTCGGTGAGTGCCAGAATACCCTGGAACATACGGAACACGCTGCAGGCACCGGCGCCGTTGTATAAATCCGTCGTCGCCCCGACGCGGCCGGCCGGGTCCCAGGGCTCATATGATTCCCAATCTCCGCGGAATACGGCCTCGTAGGTGCCCCCGCGGCCATAGCCGTCCGGCTCCCAGCGTTCCAAGCTGCCGCTATCGATTTGTGCGATGACAGTCGCCGATGCACTGGCGCTCAGTGAATCGGCAGCTGAGTTGCCGTTCTTCTGGCCGACGGCACCTAGATTGTCGTTGTGGATGCGCAGGCGATCGGCGTAGCTCACGGGCGCCCGCGTGATGTGTAAATCATCGGTCGACTCCCAGAAGGACATGGCAAACTTCTGCGCGCGTAGCATGTTAGGGTGAGCGCGGGCGCGAACTTGAACAGGCGTCCAAAACAGATCAATGCAGGTTGGGTCGTGCAATGCTGGCGGCTTGAACTCGCGGTTCTTGTCGAGATACTCGCGTGTCTCCTGCACCCAGTTCTGGGCATCATTGGAAGACACAACTCCGCGGATTACGGCGACGCCATAGCGTCTGAGCCGATGAGCGAAGGCTTCGACACGGACAGGATCATTGATGTCGGCGAAATTTATGGACGGAATGAGCTCAGAACCACGGTCTTGGATATCAGCAATCTCAGTTTTGAGGGCGGCGAGAAGGCGTTGCCAAGAGGCCTCGACAGCAGCCTCATGACCCGCAATCAATCGCTTCTTCACGCCGGCAAACCGTGAAGGCAGCGGAATAGGCTCGGCGCCATAGAAAGAAACGACGGGTGGCTCCATATTCTTTGGAAAGACTTTGCGACTTGCGGTAGCAGCAGTAGCAGAAGTTCCAGGTGGAGTTAAGGTTGACGAGCGCGTCGTCGCGGCAGAAGTAATAGCCGTTGTGGCCGCAGACGCAGATGAAGGGGATGTAAGAACTGTTGGGGGAGACACGGAGATGGCCCGGGATACGGCAACAGGAGACGGCGGGGTCGTCTTAAGAATCCTAGCAGAAGTTCTGCGCGTAGACCTTGGGGTACCTGAAAGGCCGGAGAGAATACTAGAAGAAGAACCGCCCCTGCGGCCCCTCTTCCCCGGAGTCGATTTAGGAGACTTGACAGAAGATGGTGCAGCGGGAACTGGTGTCGTGCTGGTCAGACTCGTGTTGTTACTGGTTGTCTCGGTCAGGGTCGCTGTGATCCCAGCATCTCCAACTCCAACTACTCCCCCAATTTCTTGTCCTCCTCCTCCTCCTCCTCCTCCTCCTCCTCCTCCTCCTCCTCCTTTCCCACCCTCTCCATCTGCGGGGGGCGCCTCAGTGGGGCCAGCGGCCCAGCGGGCCAAGATCATCCGAGCTGCCGTTGCCCAGAGGTGAGGGCTAATTAACTGGGAGCCAGTAATGTTTGGTTGAGCGCGTGAGTGTTATCCTATATCCGTGTGTGGTGTCTAGGGATACGCACACATCACGCGCGTATAGTTTTGTTGTATCGATGCGTGAGAGTGATGCAAGTCGGGCGTGTCCAAATGTCGATACCCTAGCACTGCTAGACTGTACCTCCCTTCCAATGACAAGATGGATGTCAACTCTGTCAATGATCGCTGCAGTCAGCTAACGGTTGCAACTAACAAGAGCTAGCTGCTGCCGAAAGATGGCCTGGACTGGTTTCTCCAAATGAATGGTGCTGCTAACGGTAATCGGATCAAGTGCTCCTCGAATCGAATTCGGTTGGCGTGGGGTTGCTGAGCTGAGAAAATAAAATAAAATGAAAAAATCAATCCAATCCTAGTCCTAGCCCGAAGGCGACCGAAGGCGCAAACCCAGTCTCTAATAATGCTCTCTTATACGTTTCAACCCGTCTCGTGATGGCGCAAACACACCACTTCAGCCAGACTCTTCAACAGTTGCGACTCTCGAGTGGTGGGAAAAGCCAGCCCTGTAAGCCTATGAACCACGAAAGCGAAGACTGCGACGGTGTCGGGGATTGCGGCGGCGCAGGAACAGGTCTAGCCCAAGGCAGTCCTTCGGGAGATTTCTCTTGATAGTACCAGTTCCAAATTGAGTGAGAAATGGAACCTCGTGACCTTCCCAAACAGGGTAGACAGGTAGCGGCGGACACAAGATACCGAGAATGAGAGCTGATAATTCGGCTTGTAAGAATAATAGTGAGTTGGCTGAGAAAAAAGAGTGAGGTGGCTAGTGTTGTCGTGGCTGAAAGTTGTTGACAAACAGCAAAACCTTTTCCAACCAGAACAATCCGCCCGGTGTGTACACTTTGGGGCATCATGAAGCCTTTATCCTTTAAGACAAGTTCTCGCAGGCACGAACGCGCAGGGCAGAATGTGTCCACAATTTCTCCATCGGCATGCCATCCCATGATTCCCATCCAACAGCACCCAGGCCCTTGTGTCAGCGTGGCCAAAAGTACGGACCCAGGGCCGATACCTTGGGCATGCCGTTCTGGTTCTGGCCAAAGAGCCCTGGAGTTCGAGGCTGGAGCTGGGGAGCGAGAGGGTCCGTCGACTCCGTCTGCGACGAGATAGATTGCTTCTCATTGCACCATCTCCAAATCTCCGGGTCAAAAAGGACCAAGCCTAGAGGGGCGACACGGACCACACGGGTCAGCAACTCACATTGTGTCTCCATGAAAGAAGCCCGCCAGAGCCGTGAGTGCTGCCCGCCGGGCCGTCAACCCGCGCCGCGGCTAATATGCGGAATCTCGCTCTGCACGCGGACTGGCCAGAGCCCAGAACATTAGGAGACCATTAAGTGAAAATCTTCGGCCAGAGAGGCCGCTGATTCCTGCGCCCACATGCACATCCCTGTCTTCCCACCCCCCTTCCCCCCTGGCTGTCTTGTGAGCCCACCATCGACGCATCGGTACAAGTCTGCTGAGGCCCTGGGGCAGCACTAAGCCGTTGTGGCCCCCCCATGCCGTGGGAAACACTGGGCGATGAGCCGTGAGAAACTTGGGTCACGACGGGATTGATGTAGGACCAGTCGGCTTTGGCTCATTCCCTCTGGAGGCAATTCTGTTTCCCATCTTTTCCCACTGGCTAATGCTCGGAAGTTTGCCGATCATTCCCAGCGTTTTTGCCCTTTGGCCACAGCAACACCCATGCCAGGGCGTCGTGCCGTGTCAATATTAACCCTGAACTTCGGTATGCATTGCACCGCAGTCCAAAGGTGGTGATGAGGCTGGCTCCTGATTCGGAAATCGAATCGAAGTCGAGCCAGACTGGACACACACTGTACCTGGTGCGGATTGCATCGCATGTGACTGTGGTAGGACAAACAAGAAAGAAAAACTCTGTTCCATTACAGAAAATTGAGCAATATTAACACCAGGTCAATATTACCATCGGTGTTATGTTTTCTAAGCGCAGACACGATTGGCATCGACATCACGGCAGAAGCAGATCCGAAGAGCTAGTTTGACTGAGAAACTTAGAGAGCACGAACATCTTGGCTGCAGCCTGAGTAGTGAGCAAAAACAGACCAATCTGGCAACTCCAGATAACCATCTTAGATACACAGTGTTTGGGCAGGCTTCGGTTGGTATGGACAATCTGGCTCGAAGCGGGCCGGGTGAGAAGGCCTCACAGGAAATGGGTAGAACGTTCCCGATGGCGACAGCGATAGCGACATAATCTGACTAGCTCTTTGCAATGACACCCGCTGACAATACAGAAGTACGCGGGACGGCATGCTCCTTGTGTCGTATCAGAACAGCAATGCGGACTTTTGCCTTCAGCTCCTGTTTCATTGCCAGTGTTTCGTGCGGCGACACACACCACCTGTTCGTGGCTTGGATTGCTCGGGGTTACTCGTCCAATCCAGCCAACCCATCCCGCGAAAAGGCTCCGTAACCAGCTCCCCAATACGGGTAGTGGCCCCCTACCTTCGGCTTCGCTTATGCGGGGGCTTCATCCGGCTGGCCGGTCAGCGTTCTTCACGGCAAGAGTCTCCCGCCAGGCCAGTAATTGAGCAGCTTGTTCGGGCCTAGGCCTAATGTTCAGCTGTTTCTCGGCGATTGGCTCGTCGCGAAGGCATTTCTTCCTCAGGAGACATATCTACAATTCGAACGTAAGCTCAATCGAGCGAGAATCATGGAGAGGATCTTCAAGCATATCTGATTTTCCGTGAACCTAGGCATTGGTCATTCGGGACGGATACCGCCCAATATAACTTAACGTGACTATATGCGACGAGCCAAGCGCTCTGAAACTTCATGTTCCTCCAGCTTCAGCAGCTTCATTGACTCAGAGGTAGTATACCACCCTGCAACTCAACTTCCGAGTAATGAAAAGGTAGGCTCGCTGCTGCTTGCTCACTGGTAGCATTTGCTCAGTGTGGCATTAATGAACTGACCGTTTTAATCAATGCCTTGCGTGACCTAGTTGTTCTCGGATGCGTCCTATCGCCAATCCCTAACATTGAACCTTTGGGTTCTTGTAGTTGCTGCGGGCAAAAGCATCTCCATTTTTCCCCCTCCAATTTTGCCTTCTTCTATTCCACCTTTTAACATCTTCGGTGCAGGGCTTACGAAGTGGTTCGGGCGAAACATTAACTGCTGCGAAGACCTCAAAGGATGAGTGGGGATCGATAAATAAACAAACAACCGCCCTCGCCATGTGCCTTTTCTTAGTGGCTCGTTGAGCCTTGATGCTTAAATGCCCCTTGCGCTACTGTCACGGTGTGTTCTTTCAGTCCAACCTGGGGTAAATATGAGCCCGCCACGTCTATCCAAAGTGTTAATAGACTTCCGTTTGAAACATTCCCCGTTGACTCGGTGGCAGGGACCACTAGGGTCCTGGTAATCCGCGGGGGATTAGACTTTCAATTTCGGCCACCATCCTCGGTAACGTCATTAGGATCAACCCGCCTGTCGAGCCATTCTGCTACAAACTCTGATTTCTTTTGTAATTTAAAGTTGTTAATCGTCTGTTTGTTGGACTCGGGCTGCCATGATGGAGACTGCTTACATGCCGAAACTCCACGACCGGGGTGACCCAACGTCGTTTTCTACACTGAATACACCTTCATTCGGCTGATATACCCGCCGCGACAGTCAGGGTTATCCCATAAAGCCGAATAAACTCATCTCAAAGGCCATGGCGCTGGTTTCAGACGGCAAGATGCAACCATCTTTACACCTTGAGTGCGCCCTGTTCAACGTCGTAGTGCTAAATGGAATAGACTTTCTGACACTTCCCGGATCGTCTATTGATTGTCGCAGCTTGACCGAACTTTCCGCAGGACGTGTCCAAATATGGGTGTCAACTTTCCATACATATCAACTGAGTGTCGAGATTGTTCAATGGGGAAATGGTTGTCCTATTCTATCATCTTTAATTCCGTACTTTTTTGGCACTACTGGCTAGTTAATCGTTGTGGCAGCACACCGGCCATTTTTAATTTGACCTTCCAATGGTTGTTGTGGTTCTCGCGTCTATTCAGTTCAGTCTCTCTTTACTGCATAGCCGCTTCTTTGGCCAATTTCGTACACAGGAGCAATGATGAATCGTTCAGGCGAACGCCCCGTTTCGGCCGACCTCGCGGGCAGCATTTATCTCATCACTTCCGACGGCAAGACGCTGAAGCTGCCCATGCCCAGCAAGTCGCCCCATGATCCGCTCAACTGGCCTTTACGGAAGCGGGTCGTTGCCCTAGCCGTCATTATGCTCTATTCGATTGTGTCCATGATGGAGACACAGGCTGTCAGTCTAATGTATCGTCCACTTGCTGCCGAGTTCAATGCTAGTGTGAGTAGTTGACGTTGACGAGCCTGCGATGCTGAGCCGGACTAATACCTCACAGCAACCAGACAAATACCCCTTGAACACTCTTGTGTCGACACCCAGTACCATTTTCCTTGGCCTTGGTGCCTTTCTCTGGATTCCCCTCTCAGTTGCCTTGGGCAGGCGTCCCGTCTTTCTTCTGGCATCGTGCTGCGTGACTCTCGCCACAATCCTGGCCGCCAACGCATCCGGCTTCTATTCACTGCTCGGAGCACTCAGTCTCCAAGGATTTTCAGCTGGATTAAGCTTGAGTGCAGTATGTTCCCCTTATTCATGTGGCTCTGGCTGGTTCATACTGACTGAACATAGGCGATGCTCATGGTTATTGATCTTACATTCATTGACGAGCGGCCGAATGCTCTGGGGTTCTTTTGGAGCATAGGTTGTGGTGCTGGCCTCATTTTACTGACTATTGTCCCCAGCCTTGCTGCTTCGGGATGGCGAAACTTCTACTCGGTGTGGATTGCGCCTTGTCTCGGTATCTTCATCTGCATCTTCTTCTTCTTCCCTGAAACCTATTTCGTCCGGCCAGCAGTGGCTTTTGATGGCCACGTTCTATTACAGGGTGGCTCTGAGAAAGTCAGAATGTACGACGACTGGAATCAGGTTCCCGGCGGAAGGACCACGCCTGAAGACGAGCTCGAAGCAGCTCGCGAGTCCACATGGGCATATATCATCAGACGATGGGGGGTTCGCAAAGGCGGAGCAGGTTTCAGGGAAATGTGGAATTGCTACCTCCAGACGCTACTCTGTGCGATCAACCCTCTAGTCTTTTGGGTCGCCATCCTCAACGCCCTAAACTTTGGTGCCATGATCTTTATTGGCGAGACATACGCGCTCGTCATGTCACAACCCCCGTACAGCCTCCCGGAGCGCGTCATCTCGCTAGTAAACCCTGTTTCGGCCATTGGATCAATCCTTGCATGGCCTGTTACGACCATCCTGACTTCCCGTGTCGCTCGCCGTTTGACCCTCCGTAACGGTGGTATCCGAGATGCCGAGCACTACCTGATCGCCTTTCTCCCAGCGGTTCTGACTGGCGCTGGGAGTGCCTTCTTGTACGGAATTACCGTGCACTACAGCTGGAGTCACGTATGGATATTCGTTTCCTATCTCCTCAATGCGTTCAGCGCAGCTGCGTACGGTATCGCATCTACACTCTGGGTGACCGAGGCTTTCCCTCTCTGGGCCGCACCGGCCATGATTATCGTAGGAGGAGCGGGGTACATGTTGAGCTTCGCAACGAGCTACGCTGTCACTCCGTGGATAAAGTCGCAGGGCTATCTCGGTGCGAGTTTTGAGCTCGGGGCGATCCTACTAATTGTGGGCGGTATCGCCGTGCCGCTTGCGTTTTGGGGTAAAAGCCTACGGCAATATATCCACGGTTTATGGGGCGTATCTCAGGCTGGGGCTCTTCGTCCACAGTAGCTGCGGGTTGGTACAAAAGTTATTTCCCCTGAGCTGTTGGTGTGTGTGCCAGCTGGCAGGAGGCTGAGGTGCAGTGCTTCTGTGGGTCTATGTTCTTACCCTGCAAACTGATAGACCGAACAAACTCGACCATCAATAGTAATCATATCATTCTAGTGCTCAGGTTATATGGTTTGGTGATGAATGGCGCTCAGTGCGACCATCTGCGGCACCGAGGGAAACCCGGGGTTCTCCTAGGTCCTCATCGGGTGTGGTATGATGATCGGAGGTAGAGAGTAGCCCAATGGCAGTCCACTCATCTCCAAAGAGATTTCCGGTCATGCTCAAGTATGCATCCGCGCGGAACTTTGACACATTGCAAGATGGGAGAAGCACTCTAGATGGTCCATCGCTGACGGACTCATTCTGAACCATCTGGGCTGTTTCATTTGACAGATGAGGTTGGTCCTGAATAGAGGCCATCATCCCCATGGATCCGGCGCCCAAAGCATTCAGGCCTGGTCTAATATTTCCAGGATTAAGCTCAAACTCCGTCAACTGGCCTTCGTGAGAGCAATGTAATGGGGACGTTTCAATATTGTCCCCAGTATGCTGGCTATAGTCAAGGTCTTGAGACATCCCGTGATCAAGTAGTCCGGGGTTTTGGCGAATAAGCATTACTATCTCCTGATCGTGTTCGAATGACTCGCCAGAGCAATAGCTGCCAAATAAGGATCTAATAGTGACGTTATCCTTGACCCAGTCGGAAATATTGACCGTACAAGGCCAAATATCTCTCGGCTGGAACGCACGAACAAGGTCGCACAGCTCTTGATAAGACGAGTGGCGGGCGTATGGGAACGTGATGGTCTTGGGCAACTGTTTTGAACAACTTGCTCCTTTGTTGGGTAAGGTTTGCCTATTTCTTTGTTCCTTCTGTGCAATCGACTGAAAGACGTCGACAATGGCTGCCATGTTCTTTTCATCCACAGATCCTATATCCAAGTCCAAAGACAAGTTTCGCCCCGTTTGGACACCATTTTGAAGAAATTTCCTGATTGTTGATTTGCGAGGTTGAGAAATTTCTGTCTTTTCCTCCAAAAGCGCCAACACGGCATAAATGTCGTCCGGTGAGAGGACATCGAGCTCCGCGTCTCGTTCTAAGTCGTCACCGCCACCGCCGACGCCGGCTTCTGTAATCTCACCCCCATCAGCGAGATGAGCAACAATGGGCTGTATGGAGACGACATTGGGGCTTCGGGCGACAGAGCAAAGGTTGGCCCTCTCGCAACTGTGGAGTCGGACATGCTCGTCCCGTGTCAGGCAACCCGGGTGATGCGTGTTGCCACAAATGTAACCGACCAATGCCGGCGCCTCTTGGCAGAGATGAACTGTGGAATTGAAGCGGTCGTTGGAAAATTTGGGAGCCAGAGCTGAAAAAATTTGCATCTTGTAGTCGTCGACGTGAATCCTAGATTTCAGCGCCTTGGACAAGGCAATCCAAACCTGTTCGTAGCCGTAGGTCCATGTTTGGATGTGAAAAATAGTGTTGTCTGGATAAAGAGCGACCTTGCGCAGTAGCTCAGAAAGACCATCAGCTTTTGTCTGGAACGGGACGTTTTGGATGAAGGATGTGTCGAGGTAAATCCTGTCCAAGGTCTTGATACCGCTGGCATATTCGATTATAGCCGGGTTCCTGACCAGCGCATTGACAAACCAAGGCTCGCTCCGAATGTCGCCCGTGTAGAGTATAGCGCAGTTTGAGTCCTCGATCAGAAACATTACAGAGCCTGGACAATGATTCGCATCAAGGAGTGTAACCTGGATGAGATTTCCAGGCGCAAGCTCAAGTGTGGTAGGCGAATCCAGGGGTAAGGGCCGGAGGAGCTTCTTGAGATGCTTGTACGTTTGCACGCGGGCCTCGAGGATGCGCCTGGCATAAATGATGCGACAAGGGTAACGCTCGAGACGGAGAAGTATCTCCCGCGTGGCTGCGGAGCAGTAGACGAAAGGAGAACGCAAACCTTCAAGCCCCGCAAGGTGGTCGCTGTGAACATGGCTCAGAAAACATGCGAGTGGTGGACGCCGGTTGACATGTTTCCGGAAAAAGTCAACTATTCACAAATTAGTATAACCACGAATGAACAAGTATTTATCATTATCGTTTTTTTTAACGCATCGATGTCAACACACAGCAGAAGAAAACATCACAGTGATGACATTTCTCAGTTATGAACTTACTGCGAATGTCGGGAAACTCTGCGACAAGCCCGTTGAAGGTTGACATTTGGAAGAGCTGTCATATTTCGAAACACTTGAAGTTCAGGTAGTGAATCTGAGGTCCAAAGGTGATGCTCTGTGACAGGGTAGTTTGTGAGTAAATGTCAAAACAAGGAAGAAAGCCTAGAGCTCGGTGCCGGCTCCCAATAGGTTCACGGGTACCCGTGCGTGTAAAATTTCACGGGTACCCGTGGAAATGACTAAGCAACTCTGATATGGGGCTCATGAGCCAATGAGAGGCACGGCCTGCATCAAACTTATCCGGAAAGTTTACGACTTTACTACGATGCACTCTTCGGGCTTACTACCAGCGTATAACGCCTCCTGCTCTGCCTTATCTTGCTCGACTCGTTTCCAGACTTCGCTCATACCTCTCTCACTGTTTTTAAAGGGGTTTTGTCCATCTTCCGCAATAATCAGCTCATCGACCCGTTTGTGTTCAGCCCTATCCCAGTCCAGATAAGCCATCATCTCCTCCTTCGTCTAATCCCTTGACCCGTGTAAGGTAGTGCAGCGTCCTTTCATCTGCTTATAGTCAAGACACTACTTATAACACTTTTTGTCATAACGTAGCGGAAGTCCCATTGCCCTTCGATACTCCTGGTTTGTTTTGACACTCCCACGAGGTTAAGCACCGTACCAGGCGCTTCTTGCTGCATAGTACCGTCCGTATATCGCCTAAGGTGAATCGTATCCTGGCAGCGAAGGTGAATGCGAATGCGTAAATGGTGATAATACCCGAGGTAGTGATATACTAGTCTCTACTACTATAGCAATAGTCGGTTGAACCAACTCTAGTACGTCCTGCACGGCGTTTGAAGGAGGTTCTTGTGTATCTATCGTCGTCCCGGTAAATATCGCAGTTGATACTGTAGCTGGATCTGGAGTAGGTGTCGGTTCAGGCAATAAATGCGTGTATCGCAGAGGGCACGCCTTTGAAGTCATAGTATGGCTAACTGTATGACACCTACTGCATTTGCTTGGGGCCCGTGAAGCAACTTCAACAACTTCGAACCCGCTAGGCTCTCGTCTAGTGCTTGATTTGGGAATACTGGGATTCTCTAATTGCAACCTAGGCTCTATGCGCTGGCGAGGCTCCAGCAATAGCTGCGGCGCTCCATCACGCCTCAAATGCCAATATGCATAGAAGTACTCACGTAGAAGAACAAGATTCTGTTCTTATAAAGTCTTTAATTTGTATAAGCATAGGAGACTATATACTCGAGAAAACGTCCCCGTACAGGCTGTGGAAGGATTTATGTCTTTCTTCGTAAGCAGCTTCCGTTGCTCTTCTACTTTGCGCAAGGCTTCATGCGATACCCAGCCAAGCACTGCGCCGTACATTGACCCTGAAAGCTCAACTAGTATCCGTATTTGCTATTTAACTTGATTTGACTTTAGATCCGATAGCTGATTTAGTAAAGCATGCTTCATTGCTCGCCAAGCTTCAAAAAGGTCTAATGTAGATCGTTTCAAGTGCGATTTAAGTAGTGCATAAATACCCTCAACTCGCGAAGTAGCCACATTGCCAAAATAGGTATGCTGATCGACCTAGGCTTTCACTAGCTTCTCCTTATATGGTTTCAACCAAACGGACGTAACATAGCCGACTTCTTCGAGATGGTCCAGAAGATAGCGTTCCTCAAACTGGGAAACGCGCTCCTCAAAAACCACCTCAGATGGCGAGCTGATAATCGAATGCCAGGAGTTATAGAATTCTTCCCAGCTCTGAGTTGAAGGTTTGAGCGCTGCAGGATTGTTGACTGTCTTTGGCTTAGTAGAGTCAAAAGCTAGATTACAATATTGAAGAACGGCCTTGTTCGCATGCCAGAGGCAAAGCAAAGATGCAGAAGAGGGGAAGATGGTTGCAACAGCGTTAATGCATGCTAAGCAGCGATCTGTGAGGATAACCGCAGGTAGGCTAGCGTTGCACTGACTATACAAGGATTTGACCCGCTCCAAAGCCCAGGTATAGTCATCTTCTGCCTCGCCGCTAAGAAATGCAAACGCAATACAGAACGACCGTTAGCAAGCATCGACGCCAACTATATCAAGAAATAGCATACCATACTTATTAGTCTTATAGGTACAGTCTAGTAACATGATGTCTGGGTAGGCTTGGAGAAGGGCTAAGGAATCTGGATAAGCGAACAAGACAGCCGTAACTCGGCCATCTAGTGCAAACTGCATGCGACTCCAGAAGCCTTCCTCATCAAGTTGATTAGCAAGTGCATAGATCGAGGTCTGCCCTTTACGAACATCTCGTTTAGCGGCTGCAATATGATTGTAGATATCCTGCTAGGTCGCTATAGAGTCTGTCGTTTGTCGTATGTATGTTCTGATGTCCCTAGGTGCGACGCTAGCGTTTGAAAGACCGGCTACCTTAGCTTAATCCTCCTCAGATAGCTTGCGATGCGTTGGGTAAGCAGACGGATGTTGGCTTGGGGGATGATTATGAGAAGAAAAACGCTTATCGGGCCGGTATCTCAAGCTCCATGTGCTCTTATCCAAAGATTCCTTAGCAAGGACGGAAAATTGACAACCAGTCCCCCTACTAGTAGTTTGCCTTTGCCGCGCTATTGATGTGCTTGGCGGATGACACGACCTATCGCATGAATATGTAATCGTCCGTCGTCCGCTTTTCTCCTTTGTTGATCTCCCGGTAGTGAATGCGTATCCCTTTGTCGCCGCCTAGTTGTTGATTGACATAAAAAGCTCATCGCGAGATTTATGATCGCTTTCAGGGGGGAGACTGTCGTCTGGGAATGTGAGTATTGAGTCTTTGAGAGCTATTTCCATTTTTAAGAATATATGACTGAAGTGCTGGATGCAAATAACGCGTGAAAGGTGTATGATACAAGACGCGTTCATTGACGTGGGCAGGTTGCTTAGTCATTTCCACGGGTACCCGTGAAATTTTACACGCACGGGTACCCGTGAAATTTTACACGCACGGGTACCCGTGAACCTATTGGGAGCCCTCGGTGCCTGGAGTCTTACATAATCTAGTAGGGATAAGAACCGTTTCGGTCGGATCCGAGATCCCGCTCCGCTTATCCGGACCGACATTACCGCCCTAAGGTTTGGATATTAGGCAACGTATTGTCATCGATTACAGCTGGATGGCAAATTTCTAATTACTGGGTAGTATAAAACGAAGACGAGACTTCATAACATGAAGTAGGAGATTTCCATTGCAAGTGAAATGCCGTCGTCATATTATACATTTGGGGAAGCAGGTCTTGAGCAATTTAAAATGTGATCAACTACCTTTAATAACATGCCGTAACATACCTATTCTAATGAGAAAGAGTATAAAAGTTGCCGTTCATATCACTGTTATGGTAAAAAAAAAAAAGGGGGGGGGTTTAACATTAGAATCTCCGAAGTGGCGAACATGGGAAAAAATCAGCAAACATCAATTATCTGTCTCCATTCCAGTAGTTACGAGTAAAAGGATATCGGCGCATGCGGTATACGCTGGTAGTAAAGCGATTTTTCTTCCAAGGGCCGTAATTTCACCATTACATGTTATAGACGAGGCTCAATGCTAGTAGGTAACTTGTTTTCTGACGCAAGCCCCGAAGGACCTTGCGAGAATAACAGGATTACGAAACGTTAAAAAACTTAGGCAACTTCAGAATGTTAGAAGTAATGTAAAGGACCTCTCCGGGACTGCAAGTTGGTCTAACATAGCAAATGTCTTGGCATCATGATAGTCTTCCTTGGAAGAATTAAACACATGCAGGAGGACACTGATACATTATTCTATCCCCTTCCTCACGCCTGTGACACTGGCTTGTACCCCGCTTGTTACCGATGTGGGCAGCCCATTCTGAGAGACGGTCGTGGCCGGGGCCTCTTTTGACTGGCTCTACGGCTCTACCGGGAGACTGCCGTAGACATTCTCCTAGTACGCCATGTACAGATAAATATGAAAGTTGTCATCAGTAAATTTCCCATGGCTCTTCTCGTACCTAACATCGGTTAATGTTTATTTTGCTACGTCCGGAGGGAAGCCAATAGGTATAGCTTCATCTGCCACCATCAGTTCCATTGAAATGCGAGATTTATCGGGTATCTGCATCCTGGGGGCTGTGGCCATGTTGTCGCCAATATCAGAAAGAAGACTGAAATGATATGCCAGCAGAATGTGCTGCCCCCACTTTAAGTATCCGGATGCATATGATATACCGACTAATCAGAGAGCCGTAATATCGTCCGTCTTCTAACTCTATTTATTGACATGAATGGTAATGTTAGCTCTATAATTGCGGTATCCATTGCTACTTCTCCCGGCCCAGCAAACATTTGGGCGTTACAAGCCGAAGGAATTTACATCTTCGAGCTTTCTATGTATGACCATAACGTAGTACTTACCAAACACACCGAGTAGAATGTGGTAATGTAAGTCCTTTGAAACACGTACCGTAAACTTATAAGTATGTCGTTTGCTACACAACGCATATCATCTCATTCTGAATTGGGTCACTCTCTGCACACTTTTTAGCCTGATTTCTGCGTGTTATTTTTTCACACTATGTATCATTAACACCTGACCCCTCAGTGAGACCAGTGTTAGTGAGTTTCCCGGCCTTGATAATGTATGTACGCGGCGTTTTGGCGTATCGCCCGGAGCTCATGCCAATTTTGCTCAATCCAGCTGTGGCCAAGACCGTGGGGTCTGCCAGGCTAAGAAGCAAGCCAAGCAGTTCCACTTTACCACCGAGAGTTATCTGAATACTATTGCTTTCGAACTGTCTGAAATAGCTAGGTCATGCCCCAGAAGCATATTCTTTTAATTGACTTTGAGTGAAAAGAGTAAACACACTAGATTCCTTCGATCCAAAACCTAGGCCTGTTTTCTACCCAAACCCCAACTCTCCTGCTACTGAGATTGACCCCGCACTGAAGTCTCGGCTAACGGCCAGAACGGGCGCTGCTGGTTTCTATACCCTCGCAAGTCGCAACCAACCGCATATGCAATGCGTGGTGATTCAAAAAAAAAGCGCACCCGGAGAAGATCAACTTATGTATCATTCGCCCGTTCAAGTAGCTGATCCGTATTTGGGAGGAAGAAGAGGTCTTGTCACTGACATGTCATGACCTGTGATGCACGAATTCTGCGCACATCCATGTACGGTGTGTCTTGATTGTTGGGTCATTGACCCGTGAGCTTTTAAAGTCTTGGATTGTCAAACAACTTGTCTTGGCGCCTAGGGAGCTTCAGTCATTTAACCTGCCGACATTCAAGGATGGCTAAATACTTGCAGACGGTGGTATGATGGAAGAAGACCTGCCTAATGAGTAAATGGCAAAGCAACCTAAACAATTGTTGAATGGATGCCAACCCTCTCGTGAGAATATTTTCGAGGTATAAATATTGAAGAAAATTCGCCTGGGTTGTTGTTAACAGCACGCTCCATTCCTACTAGTGAGCCAATCCTCCATAACGTATTCCATAAAATCCGCCACAAGCACATCCAGCTTAACTTTACTAGAGACAATGAAGGTGAGATAACCAAAATGGCTCTATTCCTTCATGGCTTACAATTTTCACAGACTGCCTATGCAACCTTCCTCCTTGCACTTTTTGCGGGTGGTGGCTTCTCAGCGCCGATCAACACTAAAACGTCTCCCAACCCTGCCTTTGAAATGAGACGAAGACAGTTTCACTTCCTCAACTGCAGCAGCCCCGCTCTCTTCGCTACATGTGCCAACTATAATACCCGATGCAACAGCGCTGGCTATGTAAGAACTGATTACCAAGCGCTTTGTGGCGAACCCAACTGCAATTGCGTATATTATGGTGGTTGTGATACAATCTGTCGGGAGGCACAGGAGGCCAAGGGGGATCCCAAGTTGGTTGAAGAAGTCAAAAGCGAGGAGATGGACCAAACGTAAAACTAGACTCTCGGTAGATGACTGTGTACATCCCGTACCGCCCTGATTTCAAATGTATGGCTTGCCGTATGTCGCAGACTCAACCCAGAATTCTTAGTTCATAACCTCTTATTCAGTCATATATTCGCTCCAATGAACTATGCTCTCTCGCCGTTGTTTTCAAGTATGTACTTACGATAATCTATTCAATTATAAAGGGAATAGCTTCTACTCGATGATTTCCACAGCCTATCGTGTATCTGCATACAGACTATCAAACAAGTGTAATGCATCAGATACAGGCAGGCTTTCTGGCCAGTTTGTTGTGACGCTTTACCTATTTCGTTATTTATTCCGACGCTTGAATCCAACATGCATAGGCGCGGCGGACCTGTATCCTTATCTTCCAGAAAATGATGTTAAATATGCCACTCCCCCTTCCCCCTCCCCCTTCTTCTTTTTTCCCCCAAATTTTCACCTGGAAGTCAGTTTACTACATCTCCCTCGCGAAACAACCTTGTTAGATTCTTCCAAAAATGTCTTGCCCTAACAACTGTGACGCTCTGCCTTCGGGAACAAAGCGCATACAGAAGTGGACATTCACAGAAACGCCAGATACTATCAAACGCCACATGCCTATCGTCGATGGCAAGTATCATGATCCAGATACATGGGAGGTTAAAGAGATTGCCCCCGGGCAACAGTGTATTGCCGGTCCACCCGTGATTGACCAATACTGGCATAACTTGATCGCCGGCCCCCATGACCAGTTCAAAGCCTTGAGAGCGAGCTTTTGCAAGGACACCACTGAGTTCTTAATTCGCCTAGGTGAATTTCTGAAGCTGGAACAGTGCAAGATTCACTCCGTCAATGCTGCTGAGTTTTCTGTCACTGTCATCATCGAAACAACACGAAAGCGACACGAAATAACCGATGCTATGATAGCCTCCCGCTTATTGAATACGTTCGATTGAGTTGGTGCTGGTCGTTATTTTCAGGTATGTCATAATTTTTTCACAAATTCATATACACGTAGTTGAATCATCAAGTTTCGTTCCAATGTCAACTAATAATATATGAAAGCTTTTGGCTCTCTGTTGATGTATAGCGAGTTTTGCTTGCGAAAAGGATCAAGAAGAAAATGAGGGCTATACACGCAGGGGTTATTGGGTAGCAGTTTTGGGGAGCAGGTTTGCGTGATTAATTAGCTTATTGACATTGACATATTGAATTCAACCAGCTAATCTCGTCCATGATTAATACCATCGTCCTAGGAAATCAAAGAGAATCGGGTGTGATACACGGAACCCTCTTGAAGCCATGGCCACGTAGGTGTTGCCGCTATAGTGTAGCTGCTGGTTTCTCATATTTTTCAAACTTTCAACATCACGTGGCAGTCGCTACATTGGGACTGCTTAGCTTTGATCTCTCATGATGCGAAGGCAAAAGGGTTACAGCACTTGAACGATGATACAGAAAATGACCAATGTAAAGAAGTCTCATGCAGTCTGTGTGAATCACAGGTAATAAAAGCCTGACTCAAGTACACTATTCTAGTTAATAAGTGACTTAATTCCGAGGCATTTTGAACATTTAGCTACTTCAGGGCTTCATAACCAACCAAGATAGTCAGCTCTCAGATGAACTTAGCGTAAGCAGCAAAGCCCCTTCGGAAGATCTCAACCAACATGCTCCAACCTCTTTAAACTTTGCTCCCAATAAAGTGTTGGTCCAAACACCCGAGCATGAACCCTGAAACAAACATGGCGCAGTGTTCTCATAGTCATAATTCTGTTGCAAGGCGGAAGCCACCAGTTGTCTCATGACACTTCATAGACTAAATGCGTAGAAGTTCTGTACAAGTGGTTCCTGTGGACTTCCAGTCTTCTGTAGAAAGAGAATACATCGTTCCTTTTCTCGGCGTGTTTCTCGATCAAAGCAAAATTTAGGTGTGCCAACAAATGAACCGAGCTGAACGGTTGGCGCCCCGAGAAGCTGAAGGCAAGGGTGCTGTTTAGTAGTCTCGGACCCTATGAACAACCCGTGATACAAAGGGGGCAACACAACGCCCCGCTTATGAACAGGAACCAACCAGACCAGCGCAACAGACAGCAATTTTATTTCTCCTTTTCAATTTTTTCTGCTCTTGAAAAACAAAAGGGAAGGTCGTTCTCCCACCCTGCAAGCTTGCCTTCTGCAGATGTGCATGGTGTTCGTCAGGCATTTTTGCCTGAGCCTGTCGGATCGCCATGGAATATTTGAGCTCTGAGAAAAGAGTAATTCGATTTATTTTTTTGGTTTCGATCAGTTAGGAAGGCATCAGCCATGTAGCTTGGCTGCTTTCGGGTTGGGTTTGATCTGGTCACATTTTTCTAGTTCTTGAAACGTTAGTAACATGGTAGATTTCAACTGCTACAAGATCTGGCAATTCTATTAAGTTGGCAACTATTTACTAGAGTTAGCCAGCGGGTATTAAAAATAGATAGCTTAATGAGACAAGGCTGCAAGCAGAAGAAAGGGGAAATGCCTTGTTGGCTCCGAATATGCTCAGTAGGCTGTGCCAGGCCCGCGAGCCTCTGGTTTCTCAACATTGATGTCTGTCCTTCTCTTAGCAGTTTTCACAACCGCATGTTTTCACAGAATGCTATGAAGGAGATCCCCAGTCTTTTTTGCAGAGACTGGCTCTCACTGTCGGCTGTGCCAATATCGTGGCCAAGGGGCGGCTGTCCAAAACAATGGGTCAAGTCATATCTGCCCCTTGCGCATTCCGGTTTGACAGCGGAAATGGACACACTTTTTAAACATGGCAGCGGTGGCCCGAGCGTAATCATACTTGGCAGACTGTATTCAAGAAGTCGGCTGTTAGCACTTGGGCAGGGATAGTGGCCTAGGCTGTGCTTCGGACAGAACGCGATTGGCCAAGAGGAGACGTGCTTAGATGCGGCAAACCAGGAATGCATCCGATGAGCGAGTCGGTTCTTCTAAAGTATTTTCTTGCTTGCTCTTTCCTGGTATTTTGTGGTTCCGTGATTACGGTGATCTTCCCGTAAACGGATATCTTGTTACCCAAAGGCAAGGAAATAGGGGCCTGGATTCTTCCTAATGCTGCACAGACTATCGATGGGGCGAATTGCGGTTGCTGTCAAGAGTCAGCAACGTCCCGGATAGCATGAACAGGCGGTTCTCAGATAATTGAGAGGAGCTGGGATAAGGTAGGGCGGAGATCATTAAGGAAACAATCACCACACCAAACCTGATAAGCATTAGACAAGGAGTTACTTTCAAGTACACACATCCTTGCGGGGCAGCAGAAGATCACATTCGATGGAATTCGATCTGCTTAGAAGCACTAAATTCGACTTAAATAAGAAATCACCAAATGTCGCCAGACCTGACAAGATTAGCCAATCTTTGACAGAGTTGGTACTCTAGCCGTGTCTCTTACTGGTACATAAAGTGAACTTGCCGCAACGGACATTTCGTATGACTCGCCGGAGCCCCTTTAGTAGGCGAAGCTTACCCAGGATCTTCTGAAGCGGAGTCTAGCGCGCGTGATGGAGAAAAGTCGTCGGCTTGTTTCATTCCTTGAAAACGTCGCAATGCACCCTAGATACCCTTGATGGTAACCGAGCGGGATGATTGTTACGTGATTCAGAAGATTGGAAGCCACAATATGAAAAGGCCTGAGGACCCAGTGACCTAATGGTAGGTAGTCAATCTATCTAATTGTTCGAATGCAAAGGCAGTCTTGAAGCACGACATTTCATTTTTCAGCCGTCGCCATTGAGATCCACCAGCTTGGGCTGTCAACAAACCGACAAGATGTCAAGTATGACACTGAACGAAGCGCAGCACAGAGCTCTTGGAGTCAATGCAGCTTTCATCATTTTCATAACCATCATAATGGGGATGCGAATGTGGGCCAGGCTTGTTATTACTAAGGCTCTCGGCGTCGATGATAGTACGTAATCGCACTCTCGAAATGTACGCTGTGATAAAAGACTGACGATCTTTTCAAAGTCATTATGGCTGTCGGAACCGTAAGTACATCGACTAATAGGCCAAAACAATAAGCTAGACTATTTAACTAACTGTTGAAGCTTGCCACCATTAGTCTTTCAATTACTGTGATGGTATCCGTTGTTCGTGGGATTGGTAAGATGAGTAAGTTTCAGGCTTCGATAATAGAAGATCAGTTCTTCTGACGAGAAGCACAGAAGCAGACATACCTTTAGAAGCTTGGGAACCTATGCTATTGGTAAGAGTTCTATCGTCTTTAGATTACACCTTTTACACAAATAGGCGAAAGACTTACATAGCTACACCTCAGTCATTATGGGTCGCGCGATTGATCTACGCTGTTGCTATGCTACTAGTCAAAGTTGCCCTCCTTCTTTTCTATTTGAGGCTCGATAATCGACCGATGATGCGAGTGGCGGTATACAGTTTGATGGTGGTGATATTTGGAATGGGTATCGCACACTTTGTCGTGTCAGTCATCGAATGCAGTCCACCTGCAGTCTTTTGGACCTCTAGAGGAGATCGTGGAGTGTATATGAGACAATGCATGACCCAAGCCATGCAGCAGGCATTTTGGGATGCTGCTGGTATCCTTGTTATTGTCACCGATATTTGTCTATGGGCTTGCCCGATCCCCATGATATGGGGTCTGCAGCTACCGAAGGTATCTACATTTGGGCTTGGTTTTCATTAATGATATACTGACAGAACATTAGCGGCAGAAATGGGTTGTGTCGGGAATTTTCGCCTTCGGCATAATATCGGTTGTCGGTAAGTATCAACCATGATCTTCCCCCAAGCTATTTCTTGTTCTGACAGGGATGCAAAATATAGCTGGATGTGTTCGCTTCTACTATGTTCGCCAACTGGCAAACGAGCCTGAGTTATACCGTCAACTTGCCGATTCACTTATTTGGTACGCGTTGGAACTTTACGTCGCTATATTTTGCGGTTGTTCCTCTGCTTTGAAAGTGTTCTGCAAAAGATACTTTCCTTCTCTTCTTGGTTCCTCAACTTCAAAAACGAAATATGCGCTCGACAGTTACGGGAATGACGGCACAAGATTAAGAACAACGAACGCGCACCCGTTGGTCAGCTTATCGAAGAATGTTACGGGCAACCATACGACAATCTCATCAACTGGGCGGAAGGGAAGATCAGAAGCGGGCGCCCCAGATTGCTACAGAAATGACAGTGAAGAGGCCATCATGTCAAGCAATCAAGGTATTCGCATGAAGACTGAGGTACAACAAGAGGTCATGAGAACATCGACCGACTCAGAGAATAAAAATTCGAGAACGGAAACGGGGGATCGTACCCATGCTTGGTCTTTTGTTAAATGACAGTTCAGATTGAATGTACAAAGCAAAATGTTTCACTCCACCAATAGTTGACGTATTTTGTACTGATGATGTTGTATGTATTCGTTCCAAAGAATGGCATCACAAAAGTTGGAGAATTTGAAAAAGTGTCATCGCAATTAATAGCAAGAAGCTATCCTAATCAACATCGTTTCCTTGCAGAAAGGAGGGACAAAGAATAAAAGGAACCTAGTCTGAGCATGACTGGAATCCCCTCTCCAGTGCCAGCTGCCATTTGATAAATTGAGATTGGATTTGAGTTATACCACTAATTTCCTTGAATTACTGCGTTTTTTGAAGGATTGCTTTGAAACATATTCTATCTGTAGGTCAACGTATATCTTAAATCAGACTTCCTTCTTATATTAAGGTCAGTTATTATGCTACCCAACTCAGATTATTCTAAGTACTATCTGGCTCTGCTGTGGAAGCTATTGAGTAACAGGATTACCTTGCTTATAACCAAAAGCATACTGTGCGCATTGAGGTAACATCACTCAGTCGCTGTTTGGCATTCTTAGATGGTTCCCATCCCGGAGGTCAGTTAGTCCAGGAGCATAAGCATTTTTGAATTGGAATATCATTTCTAAAGAAATATACTGCAAGAAACGCTTTGGTTGTACAAGTGAGATAATCGTCGTGTAAACGATATTGGGATGAAAGAATTACGAATGTCGATCTTCAATTTAGTCATTCATCTAAGATTCCCACAGCAGATAAATTTCAGGTGAAGAAAACTTTCTACAAGTTAACTTCGTCGAACAGAAGACGTGGAATGATACTAGCAGGTTGTCATGCAGAAGATATGCCAATTGTCGACGATGAAAAGTACAAAACTGGTATGCAGTGCTAGTGTGTGTCAAATACGGATTTCAAACAAACTTGTAGCCAACCAAATGTTGTCTGGAAGTACACAATTAGAGCTAAGTTTCAGGCACTCGCTTTTCAGGAACCATAAGTAATCGGTAGAGGAAGTTTGGTTTAAAGCGCTGAGTCTCTCAACGCAAACTGTACATTTGAAAAGGAAAGGCCCCAAAATAAGATGCCTGAGAGCCTCCTAGACGTTCCTTCTCTCCTAGCCTTAATGGCAACCGCCGTAATAGTGCTCTATACACACTGATGTCGTGGGAGAAGCCGTCACAGAACGCTCAGAGTAGGGATGTGTTGAGTTGAGAACTAACTGGCTGATGTTACGGGCTATGCCCGGTTGATAGCTATACCATTATCCCTACTTAAATGCAGCCAAGAAACAAGTGCACGACTTGTTGTTACGTATCCTTTTGGGCGTTCAGCTCAACGGGGTAGCACCTCTATTATTAATATGTGCTGGAGGCTGGTGTGCGGCTGCCACTGCAACCGTGTAGGCAGGGTATGACCCTTCACAGCTGACTAGTCGGGCGGGGAAGCAGCTCGTCAACTGATATGATACGATATCATACTTTCGGCTGTTTCCTAACTAACTTGTTCTGCGGATATTCAAAAGGCCATAAAGAACCCGAAGACTCGACGGATGTCCCTAAAACCCGGAAAGTCAGGTTGTTTATGCCGAGAACGACAGCTGATATACAAGCCCACTGACAACATGTCCGAAGTGAGCCTCACAGGTAAGAACTCCAAAGAAGCTACATTCATCAATTCTTGTCAAGCCAACGACAACGACTGGCACAAATGCAGAATTACATGAAGATATGTCTTCAGGAGCCTTGGCGGTTGCCATTCTCAGAGATGCTCAACTTTAACCATAACCACAGAGAAGTGCTCAAAATTGCACGGACTCGATCATTTCTTTGACCACTGTCTTGTAATTGAGGTTGTGTAAATGTAACCAGTATAAAGTGAATCCGTTCAAAGTTTTGCACATAAGGTATGACGCCAATTAATCCAGTGAGGTGACAACCAGTACTTGCACATTTTTATTAGGCGGGGGACCTCTGTGATCCTAAGTCTTAGATCTTGAAGACTTTTTCACCTTTTTCTAGGCTGTAACATGTTATCGGCTTCTGAAATCTGTACCTATCAGAATAACAGGCGACAGGCATAACTTAAGGTTACCGACATCGGGCAAGTAACACAGTGTAACATTTGTGCTCGTCAACAACCTATCCTTCTGAAATCTAGCGTTTACCTGGCTGAACACAAAGAAGGAAATGTAAGGAGGCTGCAAAAAGCAAAGTCGAGCTGCGGCTAGGCAATCTCTCGAGTTACTAAGCCCTACAGGTGATATTATGAAGGCTTCGTTATTTTGTATGGGTAAGCAAGTATAATGGACAGATCTTTGTCCAGGTTTCTGAAAAGCTCAGACAAGACGTCAGAGATTTTGAGCAGCTGCTTGATGATACGACTAAGTTTTGGTGCTCTCATGATGGGGATGGTACAATTTCAAATGTTCTGACCGCAGAGAGAGTATGGAAGGAATTTTCCATCTGAGAATGTAAAAGATAGTCGTGGAAGCGGGATGAGCAGGCTTGGTACTCAGTGCTCACCGAAGTATATTTCTTGGTGAATACCAACTGCCTCATCGCTGGTGTTTTCTATCGCGTGGCTTAGAGTGCAGCCGATACTAATCATTGCAAAAGAAGCCCTTGTAAGCTCCAGCCGAGATGATGTGAAACGGCACATACACCCTGGCAGATCAATGCCCAGGGGTTAGAGCATGGAGGGTTGCGCTTTAGCACCAACCTCGCGCGTTTATGTATCGCTAGGAAAGGAAAAGTCATTGAATATTATGCACTAGGTCATGTACCAATCTGAAAATAGCAGTAGTTGCATTCGGAAGCAACAGTAGTGAGCGAGAAATCGGATCGGGAGTTCGTCTGGCGGAACTAAAAGGTAGCCTCCAGTGGTTCCCAAACACATAAGTAGCCGTCATGCGCTGCCGGCAGATTTACAGGGGGTCACGAGCGTCGGATAAAACTGTTTCCGGCACCTCAAGGTAACCTACACTGGATAGAAATCAAACAGCTTTGTGTCATTTGCGTTAAAGTCAACCTGTTCCGAGGTTTGATACGAAGCAACCACCGGGTCGACAAGGCTTGGCTAGTCACTTCAGTAGGAAGAAGAGTGTGATCAGCAAGAGAAAAGAACACTGGCTCGGCATGCTTGGTCTCACCCTGAATAGGATTCATGGCTCGGTTTGATGCTTCTCCGACGCGTGAGGTGCTTGGCTGGGCTGTGTCTGTGTCAAAGATCTCCAGAGCCGTTTACCACACGGTCTTCAAGGTCGACTGAACATTGCGTCATGATCCAGAAAATATCACAAAACAAAAGGCGGTGGCCACAAGAAGCGTTGTGTGGCCAAGAAACGTTGTTACGGGAATTTGTCTACTCATCCCTTGAAAGTCAAAGCGTTATGTTGATGCCGCGCGGGAAGGGAGGAATCCATGGCTGCTGGCCACCCACAACGCCGATGGCGGTGATGAGAGGCTGGAAACATGAGTGAACTGTGTGGGACGGCCCCGCTTGGAGTGCTTATGAGCAGGATTTCGCGAAGGGTTGGAGACAGGGAAAGTTCAGGCGAGGTCGTATCAACCACACACGTGCTCCGTCTGACCTTCCATTTGAAGCTCCTGACGCGCTGCCAGCTCAATAGAAAAAAAGACTTTTCACGGCATTTAGCAAATAGAATTCCAGGACCCCTCTTTACCTGACTCTTGGCTGTCGGAAGAGAAGCAAATCCCGCGCCATTTGACTGTATTTGTAAAGCTGCTGGGACGGCAAAACTTTCCCTTTGCTTTGAAAACTCGTCTGATCCTTCCATCATCTCGCTTAATCTTTGCCAGAAAATCCCTCGCGTATCCTTGTCTCTCAAAAAGATTATTGTCAATTTTGGGCTCATCTTGCTGTTCATCTCGCGTCCACCTTCCCCTCCCTCGAGCTCAGCTACTTCATGTTGCTTATGATCAACACCTGAAGCTGCCTGAGATCAATTCTTGCACCGCCAAGCCTGCATCATGTGCTGTTCGTTGGTTACTGAGGCTGATCTAGATTACTATTCAGTGGGTCTTCACTCCACACACACAGAATAATGCCTGCTTGTTGTGCTTGTTTAAGCTTGTCAAGATGCTGGCTGTCTCCGTTCCTCGACAGGCGAGCTTATCAGATCGCATCAAAGATTATCATCCAGTCAATACAGTCCTCGTTAAAAGTGGCAGTGCTGAATCAGTCCGGCTCCTTGACCATCAGGTTAGAAAGTGGAGAGCTACGTCTCTTCCGGATGAGGACATAATGCTGTATAGCCAGTCAAGCTTGCAGGAGCGGACTCGGAGAAAGCTGCCTTCTGCAGAAGTGCAGAAGTATTCATATTCCTTGGCCGCCGCCTAATCGGCACGTCTTGCTCGACCTCGACAACACTTTCTCTTTTTCATCTGGCCACACATGTTCATGATGGCTTACAATTATCTGAAGCCCGATCCCCCACATCCGGACTCCCGTCCACGGGCGGTCAGCGATGCCGACACTATCGCCGCTGACGGGACCAATCCCTTTTTGACCCCATCTGGCACGACAGCTGTGCCCAGCGCGGCTCCAAGCTTCGTTCTAGAGGACCCAGACATTGCCTTGCACCCAGACCCTGGTACGGAGAGTGACTTCCGCGTCGATAGCAATCCGTTTGCCTTTTCGCCTGGTCAGCTCAACAAATTGCTTAATCCCAAGTCTCTTTCGGCATTTAGAGCACTTGGAGGTCTGCAAGGCATCGCACGAGGCATCCAAACTGATGTACGCAGTGGCCTTGGCGTGGATGAAACGGTAGTTACCTCGACAGTCACCTTCAACGAAGCCGTACACAGCTCGGCCACTCTCAACCCCAAAACAGCACTAGAATTACATCCGTCCTCACCATCGTCACCGTTCGCCGATCGTACTCGTGTATATGGTCGAAATGTCCTGCCTCCAAAGAAGGGCAAGTCAATCTGGAGGCTCATGTACATTGAGCTCAGTGAAAAAGTCATCATTCTATTAACCGTGGCTGGAATTATTTCCTTGGCGCTCGGCTTATACGAGACACTTGGAGTTGAAAGACCTGCCGATGCGCCTGCATCCGTTGATTGGTAAAGTTTACTCTTATTCTGTGAAATCAAGATTCCAGAACTAACCCAAGAATTATTAGGGTCGAGGGAGTGGCGATTCTTGCTGCTGTCATCATCGTCGTTATCGTCGGATCGCACAACAACTGGCAAAAAGAGAAGGCATTCGTGCGCTTGAACACCAAGAAAGATGATCGCCAGGTCAAGGTCATTCGATCTGGTAGATCTGTCATGATCAATGTCAATGAAATCCTTGTTGGAGAGGTTCTTCATCTTGAACCGGGCGACATGGTTCCTGCAGATGGAATCCTGATCGAGGGACAAGACGTAAAGTGCGACGAATCCTCAGCGACCGGAGAATCCGATGTGTTGAAGAAAACCGCCGGAGATCAGGTTATGAAGCTACTTGACTCAAAGCACGTCAATCTGGACGATCTTGACCCGTTTATTATTTCGGGCTCAAAGGTCCTTGAGGGTAAGTCATCATAGGTATAACTTGGAATGATTTGGGCTGACGAAGTTCAGGTATGGGAACCTATGTTTGCACCTCTGTCGGAGTGCATAGCAGCTTTGGCAAAATCATGATGTCTGTGCGTTACGACGTGGAGGCCACTCCTCTGCAAAAGAAGCTTGAGGGTCTGGCGGTTGCTATCGCTAAACTTGGTGGTGGTGCATCCGCCCTGATGTTTTTCATTCTTCTTTTCCGTTTCCTTGCCACTCTTCCCAATGATTTCCGCCCCCCAGCTGACAAGGCTTCGACATTTATGGATCTTCTTGTTGTTGCTATTGCTATTATTGCAGTCGCGGTGCCTGAGGGATTGCCACTAGCCGTGACACTGGCTCTGGCATTTGCAACCACCAAGCTGTTGAAGGAAAATAACCTCGTCCGTGTGCTTCGTGCCTGTGAGACCATGGGAAATGCAACAACAATCTGCTCCGACAAAACCGGTACATTGGTTAGTATTGTAACCCTTTCTATTTTTTCATATGTTGACAAGCAATTAGACAACAAACAAAATGACTGTTGTGGCTGGAACTTTTTCAGCAACCAAGTTCACCGCTCTTCCTCAGGCGCAAGACGAGAAACTTTCTGACAGAACTGTTCCCGTTACCAACTGGGCAGCAACTATTCCAAAGGCCGCCAAGGAACTTATTGTACAGTCTGTCGCAGTTAACTCTACAGCTTTTGAAGGTCAAGAGGACGGCCAATCAACATTCATTGGGTCTAAGACGGAGACTGCACTTCTTTCTCTTGCCAAAGACTACCTTGGCTTGCAATCACTCTCAGAGGCTCGCGCCAACGAACAAGTTGTGCAGATGTTACCATTTGATTCAAGCAGGAAATGCATGGCGGCAGTTATCAAACTACGGAACTCGAGCAATGGATATCGGCTTTTGGTTAAGGGTGCTTCTGAAATTTTGCTTGGCTACTGTTCGTCGCAGGCCAACCTAGAAACACTGAGCGAGGAGACACTGGATTCTACCCAGCGATCAGATTTACAAACCACCATTGACCATTATGCCAGCCGATCACTCAGAACGATTGGACTAGTGTACAAGGACTATCCTCAATGGCCCCCAGCTGGTATGCCCATGGAAGATGGTCATGTGAAGTTGGAGTCGCTTCTAGCTGTATCTGATTTGGTATTCCTCGGAATCGTCGGCATTCAAGATCCAGTTCGACCGGGTGTACCTGAAGCCGTTCGAAAGGCCAAGCATGCAGGAGTTACTGTCCGTATGGTCACCGGCGACAACATAATCACAGCAAAAGCGATTGCGACTGAATGTGGCATCTACACAGGTGACGATGGCGTTATCATGGAAGGTCCGGCTTTCCGCAAGCTCGGTGAAGGAGACATGAACGCGATACTTCCCAGGCTCCAGGTACTAGCCCGCTCATCCCCAGAGGACAAACGGATCCTCGTTACGAGGCTGAAGGCTCTTGGAGAGACGGTTGCTGTCACTGGAGACGGTACCAATGACGCCCCTGCTTTGAAGGCTGCAGATGTGGGCTTCTCGATGGGCATTTCTGGAACGGAAGTTGCTAAAGAGGCGTCGGCTATCGTCTTGATGGATGATAACTTCACCTCGATCGTGACAGCTTTGAAGTGGGGTCGTGCAGTCAATGATGCCGTTCAAAAGTTTCTGCAGGTATGCTGCTCAAATTTTCGATTTTGCTTCGCCTAAAGGATGAGCGTTGTTGCATGTCCGTATTTGATGAGAAGTGTGGCTAATTTTCTTGTCTAATACAGTTCCAAATAACGGTCAATATTACTGCTGTCCTACTGGCCTTTGTCACCGCTATGTATGACGATCATATGGAGCCAGTATTGAAAGCTGTGCAATTGCTCTGGGTTAACCTCATCATGGATACTTTTGCTGCGCTTGCACTGGCGACTGATCCACCAACCGAGAAGATCCTCGATCGACCACCTCAACCAAAGAGCGCTCCTCTTATCACCATCAATGTGAGTACCATATACATTTGTGCCTGGGAGCCAAGCTGATAGGATGCCCTCAGATGTGGAAAATAATAATTGGACAAGCGATCTTCCAGCTTGTCATTACAATCACTCTGTATTTTGCCGGCCCTGAGATACTCAAGTACGACAGGAACAACGAGGATGAGATGCTTCAGCTTGACACTATTATTTTCAACACCTTTGTTTGGATGCAAATTTTCAACGAATTCAACAACCGCCGGTTGGACAACAAGTTCAACGTACTAGAAGGTGTTCATCGTAACCAGTTTTTTATTTTCATCAATCTCTTGATGGTCGGCCTTCAAGTCGCTATTATATTCATCGGTGGCCGCGTCTTCGATATCAAGGAGGGAGGTCTTAATGGAGGCCAGTGGGCTGTTTGCATCATTGTGGCCTTTATGTCTCTTCCCTGGGGAGTTCTTGTGCGCATTTTTCCTGATGCTTGGTTCGAGATAATTGCGCTTTTTGTTGGTAAGCCTTTCGTTATTGTCTACAGGCTTTTGGGGCAGGTCTTCTCCGCAATTGGAAGTTTGTTTAAGAGGAAACAAACGACGAAGGACACAGCAAGTGATGACATCCCTGCTACTATTGTTGTTGCTCCACCAGAGGAAAAAGGGCAATAAGAGGATGACAGTGGAAAATCGGAGAAATCTCAGAAAAAGGAGAGGAATTCCGGAACAGCCTTGGATTCGTTAGTGTGTTTTCCAAGCTTTGGCAATGAAAACCTTCAAGAGGGTGGTGAATAAGGAGCATATATACCAGGGGAGCAAAATCCGAGTTTATAATGTTCAGTATCTACTTTTATAGTTATATTGGTGCGGGGGTAAGTAAAGTTTGTTTAATATTGTAGAGTCAACTGTATTGGACCATAGTTCGAGTTGTGAATGAAATTGTTTAAGTAGCTAACCAAACAGCTATTGCCATTATTAGTGTAAAAATGGTAGATTTTTGAAATTTTCTTTAAGGATCTCCAGTAGTCAAGAATTAAACTACTTCCTTTGGGTGAGGCCGCGAGCCAAGAGGGTTAAGCAATGCTGGGTACAACGGGCCACAATGCTAAAGATTCGCCAACCTTACCAGACCCAAGAAATCGAAGTAGAATTTCTGAAATTCCAAAACCTGAGAGCCACACGGTGAAAGAAATAAGCTTCCATCTTGGAGGGAACCTGGCCTTGCTTAACCAGCTTGTTCAAATCCCTGTTAATTGAAGAGTAATGTATTATATCCGTTCCTTGAGTTTCTTGAGTTCCATGGTTTGACTTTGATCCTCAATGCTCGCCGAGGGATGGTGTTGAACGACACTAACACTGAAAGAAGTGCAAACACTTTGATCTTGCACTACGCCTGTATAAGAACGAATCGTATTGTCTGCTATCGCTGCTTTACTAATTGTGTTAAATGTACATTATGGCTCGCTGTTCCTTGCGGAAACGCAATTATGGATTGATGTTTATGTTCGAATCATCACTTGAGGAGATTGACAAGAAAAACCTACACCATTATCTATACTAAAATATGACTCATCTATTTATTCATAAACAATGTCAAAGACCTGTCGACACAAGAGGCGGTATGCTGTTTTAAGCAACCAGATACAATGGCTGAAACACCCCTTCTGTGTTGGTTATTGACTAAAATGACTGTACTTATGGGTGACAGGGAGCAGGCAATGTAAATATTCTACTTTGATTTTTCTGCAAGGATATAAGGGTATCAAAGGATGGAGAAGTTTTCTTAAACGCCTATTATCATTCCGGTTCTTGCCTTACGTGAAGTTGAAATCTTATCTCAAGCTTCCTTAGATTCGCAGAGGGGGTGAGACGCCAACTAAGACAGGTACAGTGCTTGTCGATACTACTTGGAAATATGTATTATAATTATCGTGGACACCGCTACGGAGTATTTAGGTCATTGTGCCGCTTTCATATTTAAACCCTAGATAATAGAACGCTTGGAAGTCCCTCCTCAGAACGAGCTAGACATTGCTTGAACTATCATTAATAACTCCATTTTTACTTCGAAAGCTGATAATCGTGCCTGACACCTGTGTATTTTGTTTTGTGTCCTTGAGTTGCTGCTGGGTACCGGACCTTGTTGCTGTGCCCGACCACTTCCCCCAACGCCGCGAAAGTGCATTGAGAAGTGGGCGTAGTGCTGGTAAAGAAATAACAATGATTTGGGTCGCAATTTCCACTGATCCAACCAGATCTGTTGGGAGTTAGGCTATTGGAAACCTACGTCATCGAAAAGTTCAACACTTACACGTCGAGTAGTCCCAAATGGATTGCACTGTTAGGGCAAAGCGTGCAGCGCTTGTAAGCACCGTACCTATGCCAAGAAGAAAAATGCATAGCAGAGCTTTTTTATCTTTTGGTTGAAGAACTTTCATTTTTAATATTCCAAATGGCAACGCAAAGACTGGCAGAAGGTTTCTTGTTAGTGTTTATGTTTTTCTTGTATAGTCCTATACTTACCTAATAACTCTGAGCTGATGCTGACGGACCAGTTGATATACATAGGCTCGGCACTATTGGCTAAAGCGCACTCAGAATAATCGTCTGCCCTAAAAAACGAAAGAAAACAAAAAGTGTTAGATGTGTGAGACTGAGGGGTATTTCAAGGACAAGCTTACCAGTTTGAAGATATGTCAGGGCCACACCAGAACATATCCACGAAAACGGTTACAAGAAATGCACAAATAGTATACGCGGTGACAAGCTTTAAGGCGATCCGCAGTTTCTTTTCACTTTGAGGGAAAAGCTCATTATAAAAAGCCAATAGACTGAATCTCGGAAAGTAAAAGCCGGTGTCGAAAACAACTGAACTCGCGAATCTCCACTACCAATTCATTAGCAAAGAGTCAGATAGGTTAGAGTCTAACAAACCTACCTTTGCGAAGCCTGCGTCGTAATAGAAATCGATGAAGGCGCTTTTACCTATAGAAGCCGCATAGGTATCCCCAACAACAAGTGTAAGGTAAAAGAGGAGAGCGATCAAGAGGAATATTTCGGATAACCAGAACGACCATACTCTGTTCCACGTGCGTACTGCTAGTCGAGCAAACACAACTATAAAGCAGACAGCAAGTAGAATCCACTCCCCAATCTAGAAGTCTTTAGTAATTATGAAGCGATGATGTAAATCCTTAACCCACAAGAAACTCTGTACTGTCAATGCTCATATCGCCCAGTAAATGGATGTATTAGCATTATAGGAAGGCCGTTTCAGATGAGGTGCCAGGATTTGGAAGTCAAAGCCAAGTGAACGCTGAACCGGTAAAATTCAGCAATAAGGATCGTAATTTAGGCCTCTTTTGGATATACCAAGAGGGCCCATAGAACGGCTGAATAGGTTAAGGTTGAAATCTGGTTGTTTGAAAACCATCTTCAATATGACGAGGGAAGAGGGTAACGAATAAGTAGAAGTATCAGGATAATGAAAGGCGAGGTTTTAGCGTCAGTTTCCAAAGGAGGACCTAGAACAGTGTTTATCAGCAGGCTAATGTTTCTAGCGGGGAGTGGCCCCCTCCGCATTTGTCAAAGATGGCAGGCTAAGCTTTTGGTCGCTTGATTTTGATATATACTCGCCATTAGGAACGCCCGATCGAGAACAATCATACATTTCCGGAAGCTTTGTAACATAGAATTGCTAGCTGTGGGAGTGAAGAATGCTGTAAATCTAGAACAGCTGGGACCAGCAGTTAGGGTCGTGGCTAACACTAAAACCACCTCGCCGGATCCGTCACAATTTGAGTCATCGTTTTGTACCGCAACCGGCGATTCCAGCGGAGATGTGCTCCGCCGTCTTAAAAAAAAAAAGTACTATACTGAGAATCGACCGGTCTTGCGTTTGTACTATTGGCCACTCCGCTGCGGAGATCTGCGCCTCATAGAGGGCAGATCGGTAATTTCCATGGGATGCAAATGACACCGAAGATTTTGGTTTGAGGGAACCGAGTTAGCCTCATCTGAAATGGGCATTTCATCAGATCTCCACAAGGCAAATGCTTCATCGCCTTTTGAACGACCCTGGCGAACTACCAGAGCCCGACAAATGACAATTTTAAAAATCGATCAGATTAATGATCAGATTATCATTACTACATTGAAGCTTTCCCCAACCCTCTGATATTACACTAAGGTGAATTGTACTTGAAGTACTCCCCTGTCGCGGTGTCATGAGTAAGGTTTGTCTGTAAGACCTGGCCGTTTTTCAGACTACCACTCTCAGCAACACCTCCAACGGCTGTGGTTCCATTTTGTCGATGCAGCTTGTTTTCCCCAGCAAAAACGGTGAAGTTAGCAAGCGAGATTTCGTGACCTTGTTTGATCCTAGTAGTAGGGATACCGAAAAATGAAGCATTGACAGCGTTGTAGTCTATGCTAAGCTCGTAATACCCCCTGTAGTATAGGTCTTGCCACTGAAGCTCGCGATTGGCTCCTGTAAGCCAGGCCGAACCAGCATTGGCAACTGCCAGCGTAGTATTCTGGCCGACCGGGCAAGGAGAGCTGACTGCAGAACCGGCGAACTCAACACCAACGGAGCCAGAGCCAGTATTTTGGTCATACTCATGCTCGCCAAGCCAAACGAGGTCCGATACCCATGATGCGTGTGAGTCGCCAGCAAGGAAGATATTGTTACTGATGTTTTGCTCGTACAGAACCTGGAAGGTACGATTACGGTTTGCTTGATAGCCGTCCCATTGATCAACGTTGAAGGGATTTTCGGGGCCAAAGGACAGACTCTCGTTCATTCTGCTGAAAATGATTTGGTTGCCGATCACGCGCCATGCCGCCCCTCTGGTGGAACTGTCGCGGAGAGTTTTGTAAAACCACGATTCCTGACGGGGTCCCATCAGTGAGCGACTGGCGTCGTTTGAGATAGCATTAATGTAGTTGTTGTTCCAGTAGACATCCGTAATCTAGATGAGGGTAGGAAAATGTGTCAGATAGCTCTAAGCATATTAGAAGAACGTTATAGCCTTACCGCCCGGTCATACTGACGTGTGTCAAGCATGATAAGATCGAAGAGGTTGCCAAAGCTAAAGTCTCTCCAAATCCGAAGGTTGTCGTCCATGTCCACTTGCCGAATTGGCACTTGAGATGGTCAGTAAATGCTATTGCTCCAATGAGTAGGGGAGAAATACTCCACTCAAAGTAAGCCCGGACTGCGTTCATCTTGCGTTGGTCTACAGAGACACCTCCATCCATGATGAAAGACTCCTCGGTGTTATTAAGTTCGGAGGCGCCATCACGCCAGGTGTTATCAGAAACCTCTGCGTACTGTTAGCAAAAGAATAATTAGGGATGAGACTAAAAGTCCTGACCATGGTCATCCCACACCGGAATCCAGGCGAACATTTGATGGCTGGCAATCAAATCCAGGTCGGTTCTGTAAGTTGCCAGACGCTTGCGGTAGTCGTAAAGTCTTGTCAAAGTCAACAGTGATCCATATGGATATCTGTATCAAAAGCTTACGTGTAAATCTGGCGATCAGGGAGGGGAATACGATCCAGCGAATTTCCCCAGCCATACTCACCATTACCATACTCGTAGATATAGTCACCAAGATGAACGACATAGTCGACCGAATCTTTGCGCACGGGGTTGCCATACGCATTGAAGAAGCCGAACGCTGCAAAATATTAGTACTAAAACAAAGACTAGTCATGATGTATTGTAGAGCACATAGACGTACGGAAGTTGCTGCACGAGTACACAGCGATCCTAACTGGCGAGTCGACTTGGGCATCTTTCGATGGAATAGTCTTTGTGCGGCCGATAGGAGACGTATTGTTTGAATTACAAATGGCAAATTGATAGTCTGTGGTCTGTCAGAACGGCGTATTGATAAAGAGTCAGGTAGCGAACTTACAATAAACTGTATAGGGAGCAAGCTTTTTTGCCTCGACCTTCACAGTAAAGTCTACATCTGAACTGGTGTAAGCCGTACCGGAGTCTACGACATCTTCTAGCTTTTCGCTCGTGCTGATTTTCCAATCAACGCAGACTGGAGAATCGCTCTTCTTAACGTAGTCCTCGGTGCTGTGGTCGTAGAGCGGAACATAGCCGGAGACGGTCAGGTTACTTTTGTCGTTGTCCATAGTGGGAGCCGCACGTGTCCATAGGATGACGCTATCATCATATGGGTCACCGGATGCTACTCCATGGGTGAAATTGAGCTTGGCGGGATCCCAGTGAGCGTTGGCATGGGTGCGCTTAGCCACCTTTCGAATAGAGATACCTAGCGAGGCGTGGTGTTTGGACGGCGACAAGTAGTTCAAATTGCCTGTGAAGGCGGCAGATGCCGTTGCGGCAAAGGCCAGAACGCCGACAACGGACTGAAGCATGACTGCCAAGTTTCGCAGGTCCTAAGCAAAAGGGAAAGCGACGGAAACTGCTATCAGTTTCAAAGCTGGACGATGGACATTGCCCATGTTCGTTTACACACATTTATATGAACGAACTCCCAGGTACGGAGGCCAAATCTTGACCAGGATGACCTTTCGGAGATTCCATAGCCTGTCACTAAAAATGGATACCCTACACTCTGCAATCGATGCGACGAAAAAACTCAAGCTCGTGGGTAATCATATGGTCCGTGATTGGGCAATTGAATTGACAGAAGGAAAGACCTTCATGGTGTTTTTGGCTTATGACGACAACTTTCAAGGATTATAGCAGTAGCGGCAAAATTTAACCCCTCACCTTGTTGTCGGCAGTGGTTTGGGAGGTTAACTGTTCACCAGGCACGGAGGTTGAACCTTTGTAGCACAAGAGGGAGCCGCAGTCGCTAAGTAGTTTTAAACTGATTTTCTGCACGTGCCACAGGCCACATTGGTTATTGGGCGGCCTTGGCGAGGTGGAGAACCCGTTCCGGTTCCTCGGCATCGATTATACAGCGGGTTTCCTTGAAGCCTCTCTGAATGTCTGACCAAGCCCGACATAATACAATCGTTAATTACCATAAAATGTCATGAATTGATAAGAGAATTATAGACCAAGGGCTATTTCTTATCAATTACGTACTTATAAGTTTCCTGAGCTATCTGTGACTGGACTCTTACATTGCCATCTCCTCTTGCAGACGCCTTAGTTCCTCTTCTATTTCTGCGTCTTCCAAGCCATCTTGATGTGGCGCGGTGACGTGAGATGGCTCATACATCCATGAATTGTCGCTGGCAATGACCTTTGTGTCCTTACCTTCGCACGTTACACTTTTTTGCGCACCTCCCTGAAAGTTTTCCATACTAACTTTACAGGTAGCCCAAGAATTTCTATACTCAAGCCAATCAGCCTCATACATTCCAATATCGCTTTTTCTTTCCCAGTCACCAGCAAAAAAGTTCACCTCGTTAAATTCTTTCCCAATCTTTTCATCCGAAAGAAGCTTGAATATTTTCATGGCGCTTTCTTTGTCCAAGAGAGGGCGTGCCATATTGTCTATATAGGGGGGGTCGTCCAGACTGAGGCCCATCCATCCTTCGGACCATTTGAAAGATTCCCGTTGTCGGCGAGCCTCGCTTTCGAGCTCTAGATAGAGCTTCAAGTGAGTTAGATTGGGGAAATTTTGAGCAATGGTCTTCAGTTCTTGCACTGGCCAAGCGCCATCACGGTTGAGGTCGATGGACAGGGTTTCCAGATTCGGGGCTATGTTGCTTAGAGTTATGAGCTGTTCTGGTGTAAAAACCTTGCGCCGCTCATATGAGGTTTCGGGTTGCCGCCTCTCGAGGCTTTTAAGAGACTGCCCGTGGTGGCGAATGACATCGATCACGGATTGGCTTTCGCAATTACAGCTAGAAACCCATGATAAGTCCTTCAAGGTGTTCCCAGGCAGAGCAAGAATGAAATCTCGCGCCCAATGACCCCGAATAACCAACGATTTGAGCGACTTGAGAAGTGGAGGAAGTCGGATGGTGACAAGTCCTGCACCTCTGATGGTTCGCAAACCCAGCTCCTGGATGTGAGAGAAGTCCATTGCCTCGATCCAGAGGTCAAGATTTGATTTATGCTTTTGGTGGTCTGGAAGTTCTTTCCATTCGTAATACTTTGTTGCCCTATTAGACCTGTACCAGTCATGAAATTCTGTAATCCATCGTGGCATAATGAGACTGTAGAAAGATGAAGCCTTGGGCGGTTGAACCTTCATCCATTCACGGTCTTCGAAATCATATCCATCTAGATGAAGAATCTCCAGCTTGGATGGGTAGTGAGAGCCTCTGGGGAATTCAAATGGAAAGTTATATCGATCTGGCTGATCTGTACATCCCAGGAAAGTGACGCGGAGTTTAAGACTCTTTAAACTGCTGCAATTGACGAGGACATCGTGAACTTGTTGCATCGTATGCAGGGGTAGCTGCGGCTGCTCGGCCCTAAACCTGATTGATTCGGCTCCAGATACAAGAGTCTCTATATGAACTGGACACTCGTAGGTCCATGTTGGAGTCATACTGGTGGCAAGCGAATTCATCTGGAGCTTGCAGGTAATGGTAGTGTGAAAATGGCTTCAAAGGGCCACAGTGATATTTAAAAACTCAGTTGTATGATTGTAAGAATTAGGTATGAGGCATGCTTTTAGTTCAATGTGCACAGGAAAAAGTAAGAAAAGTACCTAGGTAGTCTGGCAAGTGCAGCGTAGGGAGATTACAGGGCTTTTATCGAACGATCTGCTGATTTTGAATCCAGGCACCAGCCATTAATTAGTAGATGCCTACAGCATAATGGGTGGGTTCCACAGTACCGCACATCGCAAACGTAGCCGCTGACGAATGTCTCGTTCTTGGCTGAGTGCTCCAAGCTGACTGTGAAGCACACCCGCTACGTATAATTACTGCGGCTGGATGTGTATTGATATTTTAACGGCGTGGGTCAAGCCAATATGCAATATTTTTTTCTTCATAGCAGTACAGCCATAGCTGCTGGGTTACTAACTGACATCACTTGTCTCACACTTTGGAATAAGCTTAACGTTTGCCGGCCTACTAATAACTCCAGAAATGATTAAACAATGCAACCCAGGTTTGAGCTCAGGTTGGTTCCAGACGGGCCGGTTGTGTACGATCTCAGAGTATGATTTGACCTGTTTGGCGGGATAGCTGGAGTGAAAGAACCAAATCGCGTGGTTTGAAAAGAACAAAAAAAAACAAAAAAAAAAAACATAAAAATTGGTATGGTGAGCGTTGGAACTTAAATGTTGCATATGGACACTTTGAGCTATTCTACAAGCTGTTGGCAGAACATATCGACCCGAGCGACGAGACAAATCACGCAGCAAAATAAAAACTTTCATCATTTTCCTCAGAATTATAAACGTCGCTACTAACGCCCGGGACAAACTTCAATTTACCGTTGCCCTAAGAGATAAAAATGCGCAGTACCGCTGGACTTAAATGTATCGCATCCAGGCGCAACGGACGTAATAAGGATTTTGTAACCTTTATGAAACTCGACAGCCTCTGGTATTTGGAGCGGGAGCTTTTATCTTCTCGATGAATTTATTAGGCCCTAGACCTGGGTTGCATGGAAAACGAAAGCACAGTTGGGTCAGTACACTGTTTGCTCAGTCTCTTATCAAGATGAAGCCTCAATGTCTCAATGTTAAGGATTCAGAAATGATAGATACTATATGGGGATCTCATGCTTGATTACGATCAAGTTTCCGATGCTTACACAACGCCCGCTCGCCTACTAGAGAGTAACAAAGAACCTCTTTAAGACCATCTTACTTCACCTAACAAGCCCTGTATATATTTCTTCGTCAGAAAAGTCAACCGCATTGTTGACTTACATGTGAAAAAAAAAAAAAAAAAGGCTACAGCGGATTTTTCCCCAACTGAAAAGCAGACAAGACTATCTTGAAAAACATTATATTGCTGCTAACTTCGCTTGCGACTGGCCCAGATAAGATAGGTGAGCTGGAAATCACCTGGCTTGGTAACGCGCCATAGTGGAGTCTTCGATCTTTCAGCGAGAGCTGCAAGGAATCCTTCAGTTAACCCGCTCCTACTACGTAGTAGGCAGTACAGGTTCCCTTCAGAGGAGGAACGGCCACAGAGAACTTCCAATTTTCGAGAATTTGCGTTGAGACTATCCTCTTCGCGTTCCCTTTTTCTAACTTTCCTTCCATTCCAAGTTGCAATGTGTTGGCGCTTACACGAAAGTCGAAGGGAGTCAATTTGAAATATGCATTAATAATTCCAGCAACCGTTGAACTGCCGCGTCAAAATTAATTTCGAACTTCATTGAAATGTATAGTTTCTTCCTTTTACACTTTTATCTCTCTTAGACACAATATCAATGTTTAAGCCGAAATTGTAAGGCACTAACGTGAGGGTCAAGACATGCCCAAGCCGGGCCGGGCTGCATTAGTCCGACAAAAAAAGTCGCCTGTTGGATGGGCTCATCACGCTGTTTCCAATCGCAATTTACCAAAACCATCGGCCCTGAGAGTGACCTGATTAATATTCGACAATGAACCACTTAATTGAGCCAGCTCTTGCACATGTCGAAGACATTTTGAGCGTTGAGCAAATATCGGAAGATCTTTTTAAACTTTCCCTTACGAAATGTAACAGACTCCGCCTCTTCTCGGAAGCCATAGAGCGCTTAGAGTCTAGTAGGGAAGTGGCGAGCCTCGTTATGAGGAACCTTCAAAAATGGGCACCTGACGTTGCTAAAAAGTTCTCTCGGCGCACATCGGATGTCATCCTCAATACACCGTTTCGCTTAATTTGTTCAAGTTCGATTGGCGTCCCGCTCGATAACCAGTTTGTTATTAGACAGTACCTGGCCGTCAGCTACAGTTGGCACAGTCCCGAGTGGCCCGGAACCCCTCACTCGGCTCCAGAGCCTGGTGGGATCTGGCCTATAGGCAAGCGCTTTTCGCAAGCAATCCTTCAGCTTCGGGGGAGTCCACGCGAAGGGATTTGGATGGACCAGATTTGTATCAACCAGCGTGATGAAAGCGAAAAGCAGCGGTCAATCGCATTCATGGATATTGTCTACAAGACTTGCCGAAAACTGGTAGTTCTCCTGGAGGATGTCGAACTCACCGATGATGAGGCCTTGGTATGCGAAAAGTATGCCAAGATGAAAACACCACATGCTTTCGATCAGCAGCCTCAAAACGCCCGAGAAGCTGAGCTCCTAGTTTCATTATACGACAAAATAGCGGGAGCACGATGGTGGCAGCGAGCGTGGTGCTTCCACGAGTTTGTCGTCGGGGAGCCGTGGAGCATCAAGAGACATCACGCAGTGCACAATACTGTTTTTGTTCTTGGGTTGGGCGAGAAGGTTACTCTCACGATTGAGTGGATGGCTTTGCATGCTATCTTGATTAAGGTCACCGTGCAGCTTCAGCACCACACGTTACAAAGCAAGCACCTCGACCCTATCCTCTCCGGCTTCGAAAACCGAACATCTCCACTTCTCGACAGTTATGGTGGCGGGGAAGGGTCAACGAAGGCCAGCTTCATGGCGCGGTTCAATGCTGTGGCTGAAACGAACTGCTCAATGCCTGGAGACAGATTATGTGTTTGTATCAACCTCATTGGCCTGGGTCTCGCGTACTTTCGCACAGATGAACCATCCCCAGATGAAGTTTACTTCCTATCAGTGCTGTTAGCGCTAGCGGCAGGGGAGACGATACCGTTGTCATTCTCGAATATGCAGCCTTTGATGTTAGACGGAAGACAGTCATGGTTGGCTCGTTCCATCGGTTCAGCCGACACTACAATTGGCAAGTTCACTCTTGGAAGTATAAAAGGCCTGCATTCAGTTTCTTTTGACCGGATGGAAATTGATATGGTGTTTCTGGGCCATTCAATCGAGGGATGCACGGAAGCGGAATTGCTCAAGACATACGAAATATTTCCGAATGTTATTAAGAGCACGCCACCACCTCTCAAGGCAAACATGCCTCAAAGACCTCGATTTAGGCCAGATGAAGACTTGGATAAACCTCGTCGAAACTTCCTAGCGGCTGTTGTATCTGGCGGTCTATGCTTGGCGGAGCGCCTGTGGATCCAACTCCAACGTGAGGTGGTAGATTATAACTATAACACGGGGTATTTTGCAGATTTTACTGCTAATCAGGACCTTCGACCTCAAGCTGATCAATTCTTGCTGGCTCTTGGCAAAAAAAAGCCTTTGCCTCTTGCAGATGCACAGGGATTCACAATTGATGCAGCGCTAGCTTTCATTACTTGGATAACGGATCCACGATCCATTTACTGGATTTCATCTCTTGTTGCTCGCATTACGTGCACTCGAGATGGGGGGCAGGCTTTACTTACTGGGTTCATTCTAGCAGATGATTTTGCCAAGCTAGGTGCCGAGGTGGATATGCGAGTGGCAGTCCCTGCAGACCTGCTTGATGGCAACTGTGCTTGGACTAGGGCATGGTTCCTTGTGCCAGATTTTCAGGAGAAAAGAAGTGCTTGGAGGATCGTTGGAAAAGCCTTACTTCTTGGTGAACCTGATTCTCTAAAGGAAATACAAATGTCTGAGGCCTACGAAGAATTTGACGGTACACTAAAACTATGCAAAAAGCAGACAATTGTGGGTTAACTTTTGTACTGGTATCATCAAGCAGCCTTGTCAGATAGGCACTAATCAATATCAAGGCTTACCTAAGGTACGCTTGTGTCAGTCAAGGGCCATGTAGTAGAGATTGGAATATCATGCAGTAGGTCTTTCACCAACCGTGACTTGTTCCAATGGTATCGCCGAAAAGTCAACTTATAGACTATTAGTGAGATGCCAAGTTTCATCGGTATGCAACTGTATTTCCACTGATTTTTAGAGGGTGGCTTAACATATCTCGACAAGTAATCGTTATTTACTCCTTTGACCTTTGCCAGGTGACATCTCATGACCTGCGGTTTTCATCTTGAAATCCCTATTAGATACAACGTTACTACTACTTAAATCCTTATAGTATTTTATGTTAGTACCTAAGTACACTGTGTAGGGTTTATAACTGAGAAGTTATCAAGAAAAATATCGACTGCTAGAAAATAAAAGGTATATACCGATCTATTTCAAAGTCCATATCTCTTCAAATACTGACCAGATATTGCTCATTATCAGATGAAACTCACAATCGCAGAGTATAGTTAGCTAGTACCCCACATGTCATGCATCTAGTCTTTTTGGCAGTCAATAGGATAGGCTTGGCAGCTGTATGCCTCTTCACTTGGTCTCGTACATGGGATGTGATAACCTATGAACACGTCTTACAACGAGAAATAGCATTCATGTAGTTAGAACTAGTGTGCTTTACAGGCGCCCTGGATTGTGGATTGTTGTTACTAATGAAACAATCGACATGCTTCAACTTTGTAAACCACGTTTGAGATTGGTCATGAGGGATTCGGGTTATAATATTGGCATTCACACCTGTTTTGGTTGGGCCTGAATTTATCCAAATCTCTTGTTGCGTTCAAAGCTCTTCTTGAACTGCTTTCTCATCAAATAGGTAAGGTAAGTTACGACTGTGGGTACATAGCAACCAAATTCAAAACGCTATTGTATTTGGCCGGAGCCTTTATTTGTCGGAGAGATCACCTCTACACTTTCACAAAGTAATTCCTCTCAGCCGCAGCGCTAAGATATCCCTTCTTTTTCAATGTTTGGCTCGAAATAGCACCTCCGGATCTGTCCCTTGAGCCATTTAAGGACCGCCGTTAGACCTGTATTGGTATAGGAATCCCTTCTTCGACCTCGTTGCGATGTTCTCATCCCTGTCAGTCCACAGTTTGATAGAGACGAATAAATGACGAACGTAGCCATAGAGAGATTTGAATCAACCTTCAAATCCCGTCAAAAGTCCCTATACTCGCGCCATGCATCACAGGTCTCAAGCCACCAGGTGGCACCGGGAAGTATTCTACCAATAGAAAGAGCATGAGATTGTAAGCCCCGACCTGGAAACTAGCTCCACCCACCCAATGTCTCGCCGAGGTGACTGAATCTAGCGCCCTACATAGTAGGACTGCAGTGATGGCATTTTATTATGCTTAGTCTTGAGCTAATAGCTTTCTACGCCCAACTGGCTGGAGACAATGATTGCTGGCCCCGCACGTCATGCATATGATGTTGTTAGCCACACCTAATGAGATTCATGCGGCCCGCCCCTCGAGCCTTGGGCTCTAACAGACTCTCTTTCATTGCTATTAACCACCTCGGTCTACGTATAGCATACTAACATTATATCAAAAAGATTGAAAAAAACTTTCATTGAAGCTGTGGTAAGTTAAGTGTGTCAACGTGGGGAGAAAGTAATGATTAATTGGACTTGATTTAGGTAGGCCAAACGAGTGAATTTATTTGCCACCTAATGTTGGTAAAGCAGATTCTTGACCCATTTTAATTTACCAAACGAGTGTGTATTCCACTAACACATCCCTCAACAAGGAGTTCCTAGAGCAACACGCCACAGCTTAGAAAAGCAAAACGATTCCGTAAGACGAATCATACACAAAAATGTCAATCGCAATCCCGAAGTTCCATCAACCCTTAGTACTCGCAGACGCATCTGCAAGTGTTCCAACCCCAAACGCAGCCGCCCTGGATGACTGCAGTCATCGACTTCCATCCACGGCACTTGGAGTTGGCCTCGCCCATGCACTGGGTAAGACATCTTCTATTCTCATCCCAATCTGTCTTGCAACCTCCAGCTGCCTGCCAATTCTTCTGAGCCAGAACGGTGTTGTCTGCATCAGAGCCTTTCCACTGTGGATTCTTTTCGGTGCCTTGGATGACATCGGCAACATTGTCCTCGCCAGCGGGCAATGCCGTGGCCAAAGCAATGAACAAAGAGAGAGCAAGAGCTTTAACTTGCATTGTGGTTGGTTTTTGGGTGGTTTGGTTTGGGAGACGTAGAAGTTAACGTAGTTAATAGGGATTAGGCAGTGATGAAAGACTTGAAGCTTTGCTTGATGTAAATGCTTTGATGAACTGACAATAAACGGGTTGGGCATCGTCCTATTTATATTTTTTTGGGACTGACATCCACGGAAATGTTTTTTCTCTTCTGGCTGACAATGATTGACCCGGCGTATCAGGTGCATCTGGAAATATGCCTTCTTGCCTCACCGTCCCTGCACTGGAGAGGTACGAAGTCTTCACTCCTGGAACTTGTTTGCCACTGAGCAGTATAGCAAGTACTCGATACTATACTGTCTTTTTCTCTGAACCCTAGAAGTCCCAAAGAGGCAGGTGTTTAGATTGTTCAGTAGGTTGTTGATGAGACGGCACGATTCAACTCCGTGGCTAATGTGAGGGGAGGCTTATAAGTGGGCACTATATGTAAGCGGGCTGTAAGTCCATCCGATCAGCTCAATATGAATACGCCCTATTCATGACATCGATCTACTAAGACAGTAGATCATAGTCGGATAAATACTCCTTGGCAGGGATATAAGGCCCTAAGTACAACTCAAGCCAAGCCGCTTAATTTCAGCTCCGATTAAAGTCGGCACTATGTACCCCACCGTAGTACTCGGTAACCACTATTTCCTAAGCGAGCCAAGTTACGCTATAGACATTGCTAAGTGCAGATGAACTATCTGTAAGACCTGCAGCTTAATGAAACGCTGTGTGCAGATTTAACCCTATCCTTGTTCTAAGTATTGAAACTTGTGGGTTCATGATTGACATACCTGTTGGGTCCATTGTGGACCAAAATAACGCTACCTTACCCTGGGCAGCAATGAATCATACCGAATTAATAGTTAAAAGTTGAAAATTGTGCCCGATTTAGTGGTGTTCATGATGACCAAATCTGTGCGGCTGGTGTTTGCGAAGATATATCATCTAAAGGATTGATGCTTGAGTATTTTCTGGGCACTGCATGGATAGAAATTAAACTTAAGAAGCACATATATGGTACTGTAAATCACCAAAGCGACAATCAAGCGAATCAGGAATAATCCAGTTCAACATATAATAATATTTATCCGTCCTTAGGAATTAAGCTGTGATGAATGGACGGGCTGTTTGGATACTTGCTTAGGCGGCGGAGTGCGCCAGCACGCAGCATGTGGGGTTACAGTCAGTGCAAAAACAGACATAGCAATACTCTTTGTACAAGGATACCTCATGCGGCACCCTAATCTAATCAGTCATTCCAGGCGTGTAAAAATAATTAATACTTACGCATTGCTTAAGGGTCCATGGAAGACACATCGTCAAGATTTCGTTTATAATTGAAGAAGCCCACCAGGATAAAGTCAAGTTTTAACACTTTGGATGTTCTATGTAGCAGAAAATTAGAAGTAAAAGCTGCTATTTTCCAACGGCGAACCCTTCTTAAAACTGTTTAAACTTCCGAGCGAATTTCTCTCCCTCCAAAACATTTGGACTTTGCGTTTTGTGACCCCTAGTGATGTCATTACTGTTTCTTCTGTTGTTGTTCGCCACGTTGGTGTTTCTGGTGGCCGCAGTTGCTACAACTGCGGGAAGCTTTCCATCAGGTCCGACTGCCTGGATTTTTGACTCCGTAGCATTGACCTTTGCCTGGGCAAAACCTATCTGGCGGTTTTCTAAATCAAAAACAGCATACGCTGCAGAAAGCATCGGGGCTCCAAGTGATCCCACTGGGCTGTTTTCCAGAGTTTCGAGAGGCAGCGTACACATGGTATTTCCGTTAGCGTCCGTGATAGGTTTTCCATTCCTACTCAGGACGGGAACAAATATCATGGAAAGGGGGACCTCTATCTTTGCATTTTCAAAGCCCATAATAAACTTCGCGTCTGCATTGCTGTTGCATGGTACAGCGCTGGTTCCGTCCCTGAGTGCTGTAGCACCAATGGCCTTATCAACAGCCTTAAGCACGTCGGGAGGCATTGCCATGGCGGGATTTCCGGTATCAATGAGTGATGGTGGCAATTTCCGTGAGCTCAAAGAGACGGGCTTTGAGTTCCCACCACCCGAAAACTCAACTGACGTCCATGGAATGATAAAGTCGTCAGAATTTGCGACTTCTCGGCCTACCATCTTGACCATCGTCACTGGGCCTGCCATTTTGGCAGTGTCTACACCTCCAAAAACGATGCTGCCTTCGGGTGCTCCTATATCATTGCATTAGTTCAGAAAATCACACGAGTAATACATGGTGGTACCCTCAGTTCCATAGTTTTGGGGGCAAGAACGTACTGAAATCATTAAGAAAAATGCCCATGATGTTTGACTTTGTCATGCCGATGGCTTTGAGGTGTGCCGGGAAGTTGTCGTACGGCTTGGCATTGTCAGCAAGCACCGAGGCCTCTGATGTAGTTGGGCCTACACCCAAAATAGAGATGAGTGGCGAGGGTAAGGATCCATTGTTGGCAATGCCCATTTGGTTGACGGGGACTGCTACATTGCCGATTGTCACAGTCTCCCGCATGAAAGCTCCATTGACAGCCACACCATTCTGGTAAGTTGCGAAAAAGTTTCCTAATCCACTTTTGTTGAATGACTGGGACTTTTTGTCGTCAAAAGAGCCCGTTTGGCCGCGCTCCACATCACGCGCACATCGAGCGGCTCGATCGTTACAAAGCGGGCTTCCCGTCTGAGGGACCCAAAGATCACTACTCCCAGTGTCGAGTATGGCCGTTAAATTTTGAGGGGGCGTGCCAATTCCGAGCTGCATCGACGAAATGAATGTCTCTCCAGATTTTATTCGTTGCATAGGCGCCACGACGACATTGGGTATCTGACTAAGCGTCAAGCAAGCCAGGCAAGACAAGAGAATAACCAATTGGAAAAGCATCTTTACTGCTTTGATTTGGTGTTACATCGATTTCGGGATAAGCAAAGTGATACTGAAGTGAAATAGTTTAATGGTCACAGAATATATATATATATATATATATATACATACCTTTGGCTTCCAGCAGTCCCTGAATCGGACATAGCCGGCGTATGCGTCGGTCGTCGAAACCGGAGATGCATATATTCATAACCATACAGGCACTAGTATCAGGTTCTACAAGGTTTATCTTGCCAAGGAAGCAAAAATCAAGTCTCATAAGATTTTCCGGCAGTACTAACCGACGAGACAGAGTAACTGCTACAGCGATGGTTTCGGACAAGTAAATCCAACTGCAAGGTTTTCCGCCAATGGAGCACCGCGCAAACAACTTCAACGAGTCAGGTCCCGTTACCTTTACACATTGCATCGATGCTTATTTCATAGGGAAGAAGTAAAATCCGCCCAGCAGTAAATTTATATTCCAAGGACTAAATTATCGATGTTTACTACGTTACCAAAACTAACAGCTCCAAATCCCTCAAGTGATGTTGTGATGGAATGCCAATAGAATCAATAATTTTGCAGTTGAAGTTGCAGTGACTTGCCGCTTGTGTAGATAGTACGTGTCAAAAGTAAAAAAAGATTTTCCACGGAGATTCGAGTAAGTTTTCCAGCTGTGCCGCGTTGCCGCGCTGCCGCAGAAATTGTAGTTCGCCTCCTTACGGAAGGAATGCCTTTATACGATCCATGCTCGGCAGCTATGCTAACGTTTCCTGACTGATCTAGCCTTACCTACTACAGATTGATTCTGTCGATTTTTTCCCTATTTGGTCTGGCGTGTTTCAAAATTGGGCTTTGCATGGTTGAGCATTTGACCTCAAGGCGTCGTTCGTGTCAAAACAAATGCTTGTCATTCAACCATAATTGTACTATCTGGGTATGGTCGGCCAATGACCGACAAGCCACGTATCTGTTGCCTGGTGACGTTTGATGGCACACATAGGAAAACTTATGACACTCCCTTCAACTGTCTGCTAATCTACAATTTTAATTGAACCGTCTTGTTTACGTCTAGGGAAAATATGTTAACGGATAACGTACATGATAAGCGAGTGAGACAGACAAGCGAGTGAGACAGTAAACCGCGACCGTCGCACCTTGACGCGACCGGCACCTTTTCCTCTACAATAAATCATGGAATCAGCTAGTATTGAAAGAAGGTTACAAATTGCCCTTCAAGCAATGAGAAATGACCCAAAACTTAGTGCTCGGGCCGCAGGTGCACTCTATACAGTCAGTCACGCAACATTAAGCCGGCGACTAAAGGGAATAGTCTCACGACGCGACAGCATGCCTAATTCACGGAATTTATCAGATTTAGAAGAGAAGACAATAGTTGAGTATATTCTCGACCTAGATGCGCGATCATTTCCTCCCCGGCTGAGTGGTGTGGAAGAAATGGCCAATCGACTTCTCGCAGAGCGCGACGCGCCTCCAGTTGGGAAGCGCTGGGCTTCTAATTTCGTCAAGCGACAACCACAGCTTAGGACGCGTTTCTTTCGCAAGTATGACTATAAGAGAGCTCAATGCGAAGATCCAGAGGTGATTCGTGGCTGGTTTTCGCTTGTGAAGAATACAATTGCGAAGTATGGTATTGCTGATGCTGATATCTACAACTTTGATGAGACCGGCTTTATGATGGGCGTTATTGCTTCTGGAATGGTTGTTACAAGTGCTGAAAGGCGTTCAAATACGAAGATGACACAGCCTGGCAATAGGGAATGGGTTACAGTTATCCAGGCTATTAATTCCCAAGGGGAGAGCATCCCGCCATACATCATCGTTGCAGGCCAGTATCACCTCTCAAGCTAGTATACAGAAACCTCTCTTCCGGGCGATTAGGCTATTGCAACGTCTGAAAATGGATGGACAACAAACGAGAGAGGTATTGACTGGATCAGACACTTCGACATTTATACAAAACCACGTACGTCTGGGAAATATCGCCTCCTCGTTGTTGATGGTCATGAAAGTCACCACTCCGCAGCCTTCGAGCTCTTTTGTCAAGAAAACAACATTATTACACTGTGCATGCCGGCTCACTCGTCTCATCTACTTCAACCCTTAGATGTTGGTTGTTTTCAGTAGGGTTGGGTAATACCCGCGGGTACCCGTATGGGTAGTACCCAAAACTACCCGTGGGTAGTTTGGGTAAACCCGAATTACCCACGGGCAGTCCTACTATATTTACCCGCGGGTTGAAAGGCCCGTGGGTAAAACGACCCATGGGTTACACTACCCACGGGTAATTTTGCTACCCACAAGAAACGCGGGAAATACTATAACTAAGATAGAAAGAAAATATAACTAGTTAGTTATAGGGAGAAAGAGTAAGTTACATAAAACATAGATGGCTAGAATAGATTACTACAAATATAAGAAACTAATAGAGAATAATACGATAAAGTCGGAGTGAAATCAGAGGAACAATGTATATTTAATCGCTATCCTCGTCAGGAGAGAGTTCGACAAGATCTAGCCGAGTAAGTCTCTTCCTTTTGCGACCCCCAAGCTCGGAGAAGTTTGGGAGTTCTTGGGATACAGAAGGCGTAGGTGAGTTGCTAAGTTGGGAAACTTGACTCGATAGTTTTGGCTGTTGAGAGCTAGATAAGGATGGCAGCTCCTCATCTCTATCGCTAATATCCTCCTCTTCTACTGAGACTTCGTAAGGAGGCGGGGAGGGAGCATCTCCTGTAGCAGTAATAGAGATCTTAGTAAGATCATCAGAGACCTTCAGATATCTCTAAATATCAGCTTTATCCAATAGAGAAGAGTAGTTAAAAGCTTCTCTAATAATATGCTGGCGCTCTTCAGATGCTTCAGTGATATTCGTGTCATCTGGAACTTCCTCAAGTGTGGTTTGGGAAAGCCAGGCCTCATTATTCTGGCTAATTTTGATAGTCAAAGTATCAAAAATAGTATCAGCCGAAAGGTTGAACCGAGCGTAGTGACAGATATGGCGAGCAAGGCTGAATGATCGCTCTAAGGGTATTGACGTCGGTTGAATAGATAAGAAGTCTCGAGCCATGCGACAAATACCATGGAATCTGGGATAGCTATTGTCTAGGCGGACCCAAAATTGCTGAACAGTTTCATCAGGGAACATAACTAAATATAGTTATTAGCTGTTAAGCCTAGTAAGATATAAGTCTTTATCTTACCAATATTAAAAAAGTCATTACAGATATTTCGTGCGTCTTGGGATGATGACATTTTGCCCTTATAATAGGTTAGTACAGTGAGTTGCTACAATAGATTGCTACAAATACCCTTTTCTTTGGACTGCGTGATAGTAAACTATGCAGAGTGTATCGGAGTCCTTCAGTTGCAGCTTTTTGAGTATTGGTATGGCGTTCCGAATCTTGATGGTACTGCTTTGTATATACCTTGATAAATTCTTGCTGTACTCGAGTTCGAAGTGAGGCTGAAGAAGGAAGGTATTCGAAGTAATTTGCGAATTGGAATCGCGTGTCAAAAGTACTCGAAACTGATGTCCCAGCTTCAGGGGTAAGGAGAGTTGCAATACCATATACCTTGAAGGAATCCTCTTCAATTAGCTTTTGAACGTATTTTTCCAGCTTCTCTTGGCCCTTTTTCGTAGCAGCCTGAAGGATTGATATCTAAGTAAAGTCTTTGCTAGTAACTTTATCTTTAAGTGCAGAGGCGCAAAAGTACAAGTGAACTGTTGCAACTTGTAATAAAGTAAAGGTATGACCAGGGGTAAGGTCATTTAACCGGCTGAGGATGTTTGTAAAGAGTAAAAACGGGCTGGTGATATCAAGCAGAATATCAAGAGCCTCCCAATCGGTCTCTACAAGAGAGAATTGTTCCTGTAGAGAGTGCTTTTCAACCCAAGCTGAAATCGTTGTTTTAAGCTCTCTTGCGCGGAGACACATAAGTGTAGTAGAGTTCCACCTTGTCTTAACATCGCGGAGGAGGCGTAGTGGTCGCTGGCCAATGCGAGTCGATTTCTGGAGGTCGAGAAACTCTTGCGTCTTCTTACTAGAAAGCTTAAGGGAAACTGCAAGGTCACGAATCTGGAGGTATATATGTTAATATAAAATCTTATAACTAGGTGAAGTATCTAACCTTTTGAATAACAGCTCCAAAAGGATTTTCCCTAGCAGTAGAATCTTCAGTATCAAAATCATCGTCAGAGTCCTCTTGATCTTTAGCTCGAGTAGTAGAAGGCTCAAACTCTGTAGAGGCTTCTACCATCGAAATTCGAAGAGCCTCAAAAATCGCTCGAACAACAAGGTTGAAAATATGGGCTAAACAGCGAATATGATATATCGGCTATACTATGGATGTCGACCCTTTTGCAAGTTCTTGTGCTAGGACTTTTGGCTTAAAAGAACTTGCGTTGTCTGCAGAGACTGTCTGAAATCGAATTGTCTTCTTCGTCCTCTGGCGAATATTTTCTAACAGAGTCGATAAAGCCGTTGCTTGCTTAGAGGCTGTATAACCATCTGTCATATCAATAGCACCAAGAAGAACCTGTTATAACCTCTAGTGCTTGTCGATAAAATGGCATAAAACACCAAGCAGTGAATATTTTAACCCAGGTGTACTCCAGATATCAATCATCAGAGAGACATAGCTACCAGGCGGAATTAGCTGAAGAGTGTGGTGTTGAATGCGTAAGGCCTCCTCGGATATCTAGCTTCGGAGCGTCTTTCGAGATGGGAGGTGGTAGAGAGGATTCAGGTGTGAACAGAATTGCCAGAAACTTAAGTTGTCAACAGTATTAAGCGCTAAGTTGGATCCAACAATATAGTAAACTAATGCTTGATGCTCCGAGACTGCTTTCAATTAGGTACCCTAGATTGCGATTACTACAAATGATTACTACAATAACCTGTAAAACTTACAGGCACCTGGTTTACGCCTAAACGTCGAGTCTTACAAGACTTTGCAGCAAGGTGTCGTTGCATAGCACTTGTACCAGAGTTTTTGATTGTTGGATGATTGAAAACTTGGTGACAGTGCTTGCAGACTAATTTTGGCTCCCCTGATGTCATATGGTAGCCTTGGTGAAAGTGATCCCAGAATGATACTCGGCGTTGTAAAGTCTACAAGGATTTGGCAAAGCGTTTTCGTTCAGGTTGAGGGGATTTGGACAACGGTGTGTGTTTGCCAAGGATTACCTATTGGAGATACTATGGCAGGGTTTTGAAAAACGAGAGAAAAGTCTGGAAAGTCTTAATAACAAATAAAATGATTTCCGACTGTATCTGTAAACCAGAAGGTGGAGTATTGATTGTTGGAGTCTGCGTAGAATTTACGAGCTCGAAAGCAGCAGAACAATCGGATGCAAAAGGGTCTGGCCCAAAAGGGTCAGACGCAATTGAGTTCGACATCATACGTAGTAAGAATTACCTTTGGTGTAAACAGGAAGTAGTTTGCAGGATTACTATAAGATGAATACAAACATTTGATTATGTGGCCTTACGTAAATTTCTATTTTAGGGTTTCTGACTAATACGTTTCGTACACAAATCTAAAAGCTCTGAATTCTCCTTCGACTTGTTTTTTCTCCCACTTACATTCATCCTTCAATGCCTCGCTTATCAACTAGCCCTGTGTCAGATCAGAGCTCTCCGCTAACAGTAGAGGGCTCTTCACCGCCAAATAGTTACCCCTCATCATCAGCGAGGGGTAATCCCCTGAAACAGCCAATTACAGAGATTCGGGAGACTCCGCCAAGAAGTTCAAGTCATACAACCTACTATAGCCAGGCTAGCCCAGACCTGAGTCAACCAGAATTACCACCGCTGAAGCGGAACTTTGCGACGAAGTTGGCGAGACGAATAGATACTGGCCAACCACCAACCATTGCACGGAAAGATCAGCTGAACTTCGCGCCAAAGAAGCAGCTAAAAGCTGCTCGAAAAAAGCCCGTCCAGATCACTAAACGCCAGAAAGTTCGTAGATAGAGGCCTGGTAGTAAGTAAGAAGTAACTCTTTATTGTTTAATTACTGAAATGTGAAGCAAATGCACTTCGTGAGATTCGAAAATATCAAAAGACTACCAATCTTTTAATTCCGCGGAGCAGTTTCGCAAGAGTAGTTCGAGAAATAACACTTGATCTTCCACTAAGAAACCGCCATAAGATCCGCTACCAGTCAATAGCTATAGAGGCTCTCCATGAGATGAGCGAACAGTTTCTAATCAACATGTTCGAGAGTAAGATATCCTATCCTGATCTTCAAACTATTATATTAACATGAATATTAATAGATGCAAATCTCTGTGCTATTCACGCTAAAAGAGTAACTTTGCAGAAGAAAGATCTTGACTTAGTTAAACAGTTAATGAAGAAGATGGGAGCATGGAGTGCTAGATTGTTTTAGCAGCTGTAGATTACTACAAACGATTGCTACAATACGAGAATCAGACTAGAGAGAATTCATGTCCTTATTCATGCTAGCCTTATTGCTAATTCTTAATTCTTAATCTGTCAAACAAACCCTCTCGCTATGCTCATCTGCAATTATAGAGAAAAGTCAAGCAAACGAGTTAGCTTCTAAGCCAACTCATGGACCTGACGCCAGTTGTATAGCGCTTTATCCCGAGCAAGGTCAAGCTTTAGGAAGAATGGTATCAGCTTTAGTATAGCTGAGAACTTCTTATCCATCGCAGATAAGATGTTGGCTGTTTTATCGAGAGCAGTAAACTCTTCCCAAACTTCAGCAGGGCCCAGAAGCTCCCAAACACCTTTCTTGATCATCGAGTCACTGATCTCAGAGAACATAGCCTTCACTGAAGGCTTTGGAGTAGAGGCATATCGGCGCTGAGCTGTAGTGAAGAGAGATCCTTGAATCTTGATGGCTGGGCGGTGCGCGAGTGCGAATTGGCTGAGAATATTAGTATTACTACAAAGGATTGCTATAATTAAGCACTTACGTCTTCTTCTTCTTGACAGAAGAATTAAGAACCAGGCGTATCTTCTTCTTCTTAGACAAGCGGTTCAGGTGCCAGTACTTAGCGAGTGCAAACCAAAGAAGCACTTCCTCTTTGGTGAAGATGTCGCCAGCTACTGGAAATTTAAAGCCAGGTCGAATGAAGCCATAATCCTCCATCGCAGCTAGGGTAAAGGCAGGATTGCTGTTCAGCCGCTTGACCTTGATGTAAAGTATCTCAAGAGTCATCTCCCAGGTATCACGGAAGAACTAGTATTCTCGGATCTGGTTTTCCTATCTGTTTGTTAGCTATTGCTATAGTAATTAATTATAGTCATCCAGTTACCTAGATCATCTTGTCGATAATCGTATTCGACTGCTTAGCAACATTAATAGTCGGCAACTGGTTATCAAGGTCAACGTCAAAGTTGAGCATGCCCTCAACTCCATCCAGGTTTTCCTGGGTAGCCTCATCAATCTCATTCAAAGGGATATCCTCCCAAGCCTTGTCTTCATCGTCATCGACGATATTATAGGAGCTAGACGAGACTGGGCCAGTCATCTAAGCTAGCAGCTGGTCTGGATGGTTGCCTTTGAGGAAGCTAAAAGCACTTGAGCACTGATTTGAAACACCAAAAGAAATAAAAAAGAACTTACTATCGTATATCAACTTGCTGGATTTCCCTAGCCTCAAGGGCCGCGCGCTCATCAGCAGACGCACTGATGTAGGAGCTTTTAGCCCTCAAGGCTTTAAGCTTGCGGGATTTCTGCTGGTTGATCGACTTCTTCGAGCGATCAAGTGCCTTCTGCTTCTTAGTCATCTTATCGATGCGCTGACGAGACTTCTTGGTGTACGCGTTGTCGGAATAATCCTCTTCAGCTTTACGCTTGGCTCCAGCACCAGATCCAAGCAGTCGGCCTAGAAGAGATTAGTACAAATGATTGCTACAAAGCTGGTGTGAACGTACCGCGATCCTGTCCTGAGGACATATTTTACTACTGTTCCCTAATTGATTTAATAAGTCAAAACCAATAATTGTAAGATCAAAGTATCAAATTACCTTAATTAAGAGGCTTGTCGGTGCGGCTGGGTGTTAGTGGTGGAGGTAGGTTGTAGTGTTGTCTGGGGAGAAGTTTTCTGAAGCTTCAGAACCTTACAAAAAAAAAACAAAATACGCCAAAAAGTGGTCTGTGCGCAGCCGCGGCTTCTTGTTTTTTTTCTAAAAAAGAATCTCTTTGAAAACCTCTGTTCAGTAGTTATCTGTAAAAGATTCTATATTGATTAGACCTGGACTTGTGTTTCTAGGAGTCCTACCTGATTCATGGTTAACTTTATAATATGATGCCTGGCATAGCCCGAAAGACTATGCCTGGTGCTAAGGAGCAGCAGAAACGCCGTTGGCGCCCTGGCAGTAAGTCTAGATTGCTATAAAAGATGGCTACACACTAACCCTAATACCTAGCAAAAGCTCTCCGGGAGGTCAGGAACTACCAGAAAACATTTGACTTCCTGATTCCGAAGCCCCCATTCCAGCGACTCTGGAAGGAAATCTGCGATGACATCGACCCCTCCAAGCGCCTGCGCTGGCAGGCGACTGCTATTAGCGCTCTTCAAGAGTCTTCGGAGTCTCTTCTCTTTGGTGTTTTCGACAGTAAGCTTCACTTGCAAACTCTTATCGAGTTGAACGAACTATCTAGTGATTAACTTTGCTGCGATCCACACCAATCGCGTCACCATTAAGCCGAAGGATCTGCATCTCGTCCAGGCTATCTTGAAGGCCGGCAGAGTCCACGGAGACAAGTGGTTCGACCCCGAGTCTGGGAAATGCGGGCGATTAATTGAAGGCATTCAGGGCGTTCGGAAGTTAGGAGTAACAAGGTAGCAGGTCTATTCGTTGCGCAATATATCCACTCTTGAGGCTGGCTACTACAAAAGATGTCTAAAATTCGTAATGCATACTTACTGAAATCTATCCACGGGTATACACCCGTGGGTACCCAAACCCGTGGGCCCCCCTTCAGTTTACTACCCGTGGGCTTTTTTACCCAAACCCACTTTACCCATGGGTACCCGTGGGTAATAGTAAAACTTTCGGGCACTACCCATAACTACCCGACCCATTTCGCGGGTACCCGTGGGACCCGCGGGCCGGGTAATGCCCATGCCTAGTTTTCAGCCGTTAAAGAATGCCTACGGTCGGCAAATTGAGAATAAGATGCGGCGAGGCACAACCCATATCTCGAAGGAAGATTTCTTTGCAGCATTTCACGAAGCTTTTAAGCAGTCTTTTACGAGGAAAAATATCCAGGGAGGTTTCCGAGGAGCTGGACTTGTCCCTTTGAATGCAGAAAGTGTTCTCTCAAAGCTGGATGTAAAGTTCCGAACGCCAACGCCTGAGGAGGGGGTCCCTCAGACACCAGACCCTTGGATCTCTAGGACGCCGAGCAACCCAAGCGAAGCAAGATCACAGTCTACTTTTATTAAGAGTCGAATCTCACGCCACCGAAGCAGCTCTCCAGCATCAATTTATAGTGCTGTGAGTAAGCTAGCCAGAGGGACAGAAGGACTAGGGCATCGGGTAGCATTACTAGAGTCAGAGGTTCAAATCCTTCGAGAGGAGAATGCAATATTAAGTCGGCGTCGAAGGGCTAAGAAAACACGTCTACAGAAAGGAGGAAGTCTTACTATATCTACTGGAGAGGATATACAGTCGCAAAGAGAGGCAGACACGCAACTACAAGAGGAAACGCGACGGAGTAGTGGTCGCAAAGTGAGGTCTGAGACGACTCATCGTCGGTGTGGCGTATGCGGGAATACAGGCCACAACGCGAGAACATGTCAATTTATTGAGGAAACATCCGAAGAACAGGAATCCGAGTAGTATTAATCAATCTAAGATTTCTTGTTATAGATTTCGATATTATTGTCGCGAAGGTCTGGTTTACTGTCTCACTCGCTTGTCTGTCTCACTCGCTTATCATATACGTTATACAACATTAGTTAAAAATTTACAATCATCAAGGGACGTTCAACATAGCTACCAATTTTCAAGCCGATTCCAAGTAACTCAAGAAATTTGATACATATATATAGGATAGATGTGAGAATTACCTAATGTGTTGTATCACGCCCAAAAGCCTATTAGTTAAGTAATATAGCCTGAAGTCTGCTCTCGGCGGAGCAGAGAGGTGATCGGCTTTTGAGACAGAATCCTGTTACTCCATCGATGTTTTACTACTAGCAGATGCTAAGAAGAATTAAACGAGAGGCAGGTTGACGCAGGTGTATAATGGGAGCATTTTTCTGTCATAATATGCCAGTCCTTGATAAAAGACTTCACCGGTACATGGAAGAGTTTCCCGCTGTGCTACGCTCGTCGACAGCTTGGCTGGTTACCATTGGGTTATCAGTGCTGCGTCCATTGAGATGAACATTTCACTGCTTACCTTTAATGGTTTCGCTCACTAGCTATGAGGCTCGTGGAAAAGGTTGCTATGAAGCTGACTGGTAGCCTTCTTCTGTAGGGTAGGCTTTCTTGATCCAGACCGTTGTACGACAACGCGCCTTGGCTAAGAAGTTATACAACTCTCCCTTGCTCCCCTCCCAATTAGGTTATGCACCTTGTTAGTAGCAGTTAGCGAAGACGACGAATAAGACACAACACGCAACTGTAATATGAGAAAAAAAAGAAAAAGCAAAAAAAGAAGAAAGCTAGATTTCTGCTTTTGAAGGAGGTACTGCTCAACGTGCTTTTGTCGGCCATACCTAACTAACACACCAATCCGTCAACTCCAGCGAAAGTTCTTACCACGAATCCATTTCTTAATGTAGTGCGTCGAACTCTTCCGTGGTCAGAGAGTGTCTCGTTTGCCAGTGCACATAGGTCAGGACAGCGCGGCTGAAATGTGGGCAATAAGAGTGGTACCATGGATCCTGGATTGCTCCTACTTTGTGCAGTTGCGGTAGATATTGAAGTATCTTCGTTGCCGCATGCTGACAACATCATTGTGCTGATAGATATCTGGGCATAAAATTAGACCGTCACGCCCTGCATGAAATGGTTGGAATTAATGCGAAGTATGGGATGTAGTTGATGCGAGTCTACGATAAAACTGATTGCCATTTCGAGAAGTTAGACTAACTAGGAGTTGCCAGGTTTAGTTTGAATAATACGCAGAGAATCGTGGCCGTACCTGGCTCTAACGTATAGTGTAATCTCCATTCACAACACGTGCGCGACCTTGGGTGTATGAATGAAGCATCCGTAGATGATAAAAACAAGGCGTCATTGGCGATATCCTCGGCGTGGCCATACTATTAATTGGAGCAAACCATATGACTGGCCCTAGGTACTTCTGCCGGTTGTCTTGCGTCTTGGTTTTTGGTGTTTTAATCACACCGGGGCATACGCAGTTGATTCAGATATCGTCTTTTGCGTAGTCAGATTAATAATGACAGTCTTTGAGCTGTTGCGAAGAGCTTGCTACCATGTTAGCCCTAAAAGCGATCATACTGCACTAGCTACTCACCATAGGATAGCGCTCCTACGAGCCCTAGCTGATTCGCGATATTCACGGTAGAACCTCGCTGCTTCAGATGTTCCAATGACAAATCCTCCTTGAGCATGAGGTTCAGCGCCGTCTTAGGACTTATCCATTTCCCTTGAAGTTAACTCTAATCACTCGATCAAAGCTCTCAACCGACATCTTATGGGATCTTAAGCGCGGCCCGATGATTCCGGCACAGTCTACCGAAGATTCTATTCGAGCATAGCTTCTTTCCAAGGACTTAACCAATGATTTTACAAATGCGTCGTCGGTATTGTCTCCAACGGAAATCTCGACCTGCGCTGTAGATTTGAGATTTAACACATTGGCCCTGGTCTGTGCAAGAGAGGTCCCGTTGATGTCAGTGGGAAAATTGTATTGCACCAGGCCTTAGCAGATTGTCACGCAGCAGTACGTCCCACCAGCCAGCTGGGCCAAAAATGTGATGTATTAGGAAAAGACTGTCTAGATGAGTAAATGGGCTTTTATCCATTTGTCTCATCGGGGTTTCATCTACAGATGTTAGATAAACGATATTAGTTTGATGCAATACACCTGGGGTTCATTGAGCAAAGAGTGATTCATGTTGTTGATTGAGTGATTCTACCCATTCCGGTTGAAGCGGGGTTCTGTTTTGTATCTACCCGTTCTTCCCGGTTTCAGCATATTGCAAGAATGCAACTAAGCTAGATTTCCTAGCATTTTATCCGGACGCAGGCGTCAATCTAACACACCCCCCCAGTTGAGGCCGCTTAGGCAGAGACTGATCCGCTGGGTTACTTAGTTTTCCAGTTTTTCCATTTCACCTAGAAGTTCCATTTCTCCCAGTGTGGGCAGCTTTCTCTTCTCTAGGTGGTTGGAGATGTCCACTAGGCCGATTTGTTTGATAAACGTCTTGAATGGCGTATAGCTCATCGGTTTAGTCAGTCCGTCTGCAACCATATCTGCAGTAGGTCTGTATTCCACTTTGATTCTATTCAATTAAGCTTCCTATCTCAACCAGTGGTTGTGTATATCAACGTGTCGGAGTTTTGTCTGCAACTTGGTGATGTCCTTGTTGATCAGTTGTATTGTCTGGATGTTGTTACGACCCGTAAACAAGGATAACAGCCGAACGACCCACTTGGGCGTCGGGCGGCTAGGACAGGACATTTGTACTACATGATTGATTGATTTATTCCTACTCGGTTATGAAGCCGCTCTTATGCCAGCAGCTATGCCCGGAAAGCGGGGTTTGGCAGGTAGCCGAAGCGTCGACAATGAACAGCGACGCCCCACTTCGCCCTGATGTTGCATCAGGGCCAGCTATCCCCAAGCTCCCCACTATGTTCTCTATTCTGTGTGTTTGTGCCCTCTGTTGAAGAAGTGTGTTGCTCTCCTGTCTGCTTTCTCGCTTTTGTGTTGCTCTCTAGAATGCTTGTTTTGCGTCCTCCTGCTTCGGTTCAGTTGGTGCTGGTAGCACCGTATCTGGTTCTTTGTACCTACAGTCTCCCCCCAGCGCTCAGCTTTGTCTCTTTGTTTTGTCCGTATCCTCCCGGACTTGTATGTGCCGTTTTCTCAGTTGCATCTGTAAATTCTTTGTTGCCTCCTGCCGGGTTCCTATGTGGCCTCTTGTTTCTTGCCTGTTGACCACTATTGCCCTCCACCACATTGGCCCAAGGGTCTTCCACGAAGCACAATGCTCCACTGACTCCGACATGTTCGATTACTGGGTATGAGAGCTCCCGCACAGATTCCGCAGACATTGTCGCGCGTTGAAGGGACACCAATCCTTCTTCGCAAAAGGGGCGACATTGATTGATTGATTGATTGATTCCTACACGGTTATGAAGCCGCTCTTATGCTAGCAGCTATGCCCGGAAAGCGGGGTTTGGCAGACAGCCGAAGCATCGACGATAAACCGCGACGCCCCACTTCGCCCTGTTGTTGGATCAGGACCAGCTGTCCCCAAGCTCCCACTATGCTATCTATTCTTGTGTGTTTATGCCCTCTGTTGAAGATTGTTGTCCTCCTGCCTGCTCTCTCGCTTGGTGTTGCCTTCTAGAATCCTTCTTTCGCGTCCTCCTACTTCGGTTCTGTTAGTGCTAGGCACCATGTCTGGTTCTATATACCTATAGTCTCCCCCCAGCCCTCAGCTTCGTCTCTTTATCTTGTCCACATCCTCTCAGACTCGCATATACTATATCTCAGTTGAATCTGTAAATCTTTTTGTTGCCTCATGCTAGGTTCCTATGTGGCTCTATGTTTCCATCTTTCGACCACCACCTCCATCCACCGCCTGGAGTCGGACTCAATCCGCAAAACACAATGCTCCAACCGCTTCGATTCGTCCGATTACTAAGTATGAGAGCTCGTACACAGATTCCGCAGACATTGTCATACGTTGAAGGGGCGACAATCCTTCTTCGCGGAGGGGGCGACAGGGGACCAATCTGTCTGCAAACTGTAGTATTTTGTGGCATCGATCGTAGCATGCCTGGTGTCTGGTGCTTTCTCTATGCAGGAGGTAATACCGTTCTGTCAGGCTTGTCGTCGTTGTTGTCGCGGGACGTTGCAAACTTTGTCGGGGGTGATAGGCAACCCATAACCTATCGGTGGCTGTAGTGTTGATGTTTGTTTGGGCTTGGTCGTTGTGCTCACGTGATAGCCCGTGACTCAACCGCGGTGGTGTCGATGGTGTTGTCTATTGACGTGTCATACTTTGTGGCTTGCTCTCGAATTTTTCGTGGTCAGAGCCCGCCCGCGGCCACGAGCAGGCTCTTTGGGAGCAGAATCAATGCCGAGGATGACATTATGCCCAAAGTGACCTCTGAGAGCGCGAGCAGGCGTGGTTTGATCAATTTGATGCTGTTTTCAAAAATTTCGTTCTCGCTGTTGTTGATGTTTTTCAAAAGGGGCGACAGGGGACCAGGATCACGGGAACAGCGGGAACTCACTCGGCACGGAAGAACTATGGTACAAGTCACGTGACGATAAGATAAGGAAACGATCAGTAGAGCACAGGACGGGACGCTCAGTAATCAGTTAGCATTGCCAACTGATCGCGATCACCTCATACACCTAGGTAATCACCCCCAGGTAGACAAAAAACACTGTTCAGGACTTGTATATAGTATGACCTGAGCCTGGCTCAAGGTCAGACTTCCATAGCTCTTCAACAATCAACTTTGTAATTACCCTAACCGGTACTTTCAGCTATACCTAAGTGACGACTACTCTACGACTCTTGTTGAGGCCTTGACTGATCACCAAGACCTTTGAAGATCTACGATCTATTCGACCAGGACCACGGAACGACTGTTACTACTCTCAATCCCTGGCTTACTATTAACACAAACCCACTATCAGTTAGCTAGCCGTAACACTTTGATTGCTCCTGTTCAGTAAGTCACCTTTTAAGAACTACTAAACAGTATAGACAAGATGTCTTCTCGCGCTTCTGCCAAATCACCCACTCCAGGATCCTCATCCTCTTCGCGCAACCAGCCTCAGAGCCTCGCGCAGGAGCCCGCCAACACTAAGGACTTCGACATGCCGGACCTCAAGTACGACTCCGATGGAGATGGCTCTTTCACCAAGGAAAGCTACGATAAGCTCCGACGCATAATCCAGAAACAAGAAGCCGAGACAAAAGACATACAGAAAATCGTCAACGAAAACCGACAAGCAATAGAAAACCTCAACAAGCAACTCCAGCACGCTAGACAGGCCTACAAGAAGCTAGAAGAAGACATCAAGGGGGACGCCAACCTCCGGAAGATCCAGGAACTCCAGGGGGAAATCACCACCCTCCGGGCCGCCGCCAACATCGTCACCACGCCCGTCCACGGAGGACGACAAAAGCTCAAGCTCAGTACGCCTGTCACCTACGACGGAACCCCCGGGACCCTCAAAGGATTCCTAATTCAGGTCAAAAATTACCAGAACTTTCACCATGGAGATTTCACCAACGAAACCGAAAAAGTAGTACACGCAGCCACCTACCTCCGAGGAAAGGCCCTCAAGTGGTTTAAACCAATCCAGGAAGAATACCTTAAATGCGAGACCCTCGACGAGTGCACCACCGAGACCCGCGACATCTACGCCAATTTTAAAGGATTCGAGGATACGCTCAGGTCACTCTTCCAAGACCCCGACGAAAAGCGACAAGCCGAACGAGATCTGGCACAACTTAAGCAGACTAAGTCCGCCAAAGACTACTCCGCCAATTTCCGACAACTTAGCGTTCAACTCGACCTCACCGAGGAAACCAAGATCTTCATATTCTATCAAGGACTAAAAGACGAAGTCAAGGACGAGATCATCAAGATTGATCGACCTGACGACTTTCTCCAGTACGCCGAACTCGCCATCAAAATCGACAACCGGCTTTTCGAACGACGAAAGGAAAGAAGCGAAAAACGACAAAACCCCAACTCAGGACGCAAGTACCAGTGGCAGCCTCAGCACCAGTTCAACAACCAGCGAAACGACAATAGACCCCGCAACAACTAGAACAACCCCCGACAAAGTACTGCCTATAGTCACCACAGTAGACCAATAGACCTTAGTGCTACACAGAGAAACGACAAAAAGAACGACAGTTGGAAGAAAGATAGACAGTGCTATAACTGCCAGAAGATTAGACACCTAGCATACGAATACAGGTCACCTAAGAAGGAACGCTTCCAACCGGTACCAGAGAAACGACAAGCAAGTATCGCCACGAAGACGATCCCTCATAAACAACTCAACTAGACCACCTGCTTCGATAACAACTGCCATATCCACTCTAGCAGTAAGGAACACGCAGGATGGTACCCCCAGAAACCTCAAGAACGATCTGGTTACGACACCACCAACGCACCTAAACAGACCCTCGCTATAGGATATAGAAGCAACAGCAAAATCGAGCGCAAGACAATCGAACAGCTCGACAGTATAAACGACAACGAGGAATTAGAACAAGACAATCAGCGAAGACTGAACCTCCTCTACGCAGGACGACAAGCCAACCTGCAGCGGATTCAACAGGACTCACAAAACCCTATGTAGCAACGACAACTCGGTACGCTGGACGCACACATCGAACGACGACAACATGCACAAGGAGATCCCGCACGGATCCGCCAGATCAACCAAGAACTAGAAGAACAGGTCGAATCAGAAACGACCAAGAACACCCCCAACGACTCGGAAACACCTCGCGATGTTGCCCGCCAACATGCCCAACTAGAAGTCGCCTTTGAAGTCGCTTCAGTCAACGACACCAGCTCTGGAGAGGACTCTGACGAAGAAATACAGTAGTATCACTACTACCAAGACCAGCGCAGAGTCCACTATATCAAGAAAGACGAAGCATGGAAGAAACAGCAAGAAAACGACGAACAAGGAACGGACGAGCAGTCAAAAAACTAGACTCGCCTACCGAAGACAAGGGACAACGACAGGCAGTCCAGACAAGGTCCCTATGTAGCGCAACGACGCCCACGACACAACGACACGAGCATATACAAGTCCAAATACAGCTCAACGGAAGAACAGCTACCGCCATAATCGACAGCGGAGCCCAAGGAAACTTCATATCACCAAGAACAGTAAATGAAAGAAAGATAACCTAGAAAAGAAAAGCAGCCGAAGACTGCTACGAACTCAGCACCGTTGAAGGAGAACAAGTCCAGTACGGCGGAGGACGCATTGCTATGGAGACAGCGCAACTCCCTTTACAGATCCATAGCCGGAATAAGCGACTAAACTTCGATATTACGGAGATAGGAGACAAGTACGATGTCATCCTTGGAAGACCATGGTTATACGACAGTAACCCACGGATAGATTGGAGAACAGGCCAACTCCATTAGGACCAGGATTCAGTCACTAAGAAGCAACCACGGAACGGTGCCTCAAACGAACCTCTCAAGACTCCTAAAGCGAAGAGATTTCTAGCATACCTACGGATAAAGGATGCAAACGCCAGGACGTTATCAGCAACAGACATCGGCAAGGAAGACCGACTTCTATCTATCCCAGAAGAATACCGGCAATACCAGAAGCTATTCGCCGAAGAACTCGAGACCGGACTCCCGGAACACAGCAACTACGACCACGAGATACCCCTTAAGGAAGGGAAGGAGCCAAAGCTAGGGTTACTTAGGGTTAGGGTTAGGGTTAGGGTTAGGGTTAGGGTTAGGGTTAGGGTTAGGGTTAGGGTTAGGGTTAGGGTTAGGGTTAGGGTTAGGGTTAGGGTTAGGGTTAGGG